TCAACTTTACTTGAGTCCAGTTTAAAGCTGATTGTTAAATTTTGATTACAAGTGTTGAATTTTCCCAAAATAATTCAAATTTACAAGTGTTGAATTTTCCCAAAATAATTTAACTTTACTTGTGTCCAATTTACAAGCGTTTAATTTTCCCAAAATGATTTAACTTTACTTGTGTGTAGTTTACAGGCGTTTAATTTTCCCAAAATAATTTAACTTTACTTGTGTCAAGTTTACAAGCATTTAATTTTCCCAAAATAATCTAACTTTACTTGTGTCCAGTTTAAAGCCGATCCTTAAATTTTGATAACAAGCATCCCATTTACAAGCGTTTAATTTTCCGACCACTGTTCAAAAATAACGTCACAATCATTATATGTTAATAATCAATTGGGTCGTTTATTAAATGATACCTTGATTAAAGTAATACATACTTACAGGTCCAGCACATAGGAAAATATGAAATTATGCAATCTTTACAACTAGACACTGTAACTTTATCTTCTAAACTAAATGGAGAAATGAACACTGCTTCTTAAATGCTTGCATATTTCCACACAACTACACTTCCCTGGTAATGTATTTTTCTCATAGAATCTTCAGGTTACATGTACATTATGCTTAATACCTGAAATTTGATTCTGGAGAAAACAGATTTGATTCTACAAGTACAAGTCAATTATTTCATGAGTCATGTTACTAGAGAGAAAATACCCCACCAATAGTCAGGAACTATATATATCTATATATAAATTCTTCCTTGTTTCTATTTCTAGTCATCAATTACTAAACAATATTAACTGGTAGAGAGACACACAGAGAGAGAAAGAGAGAGAGGGGGCCAACAAATAAATATTAGTACTAGAACATTTATTATGGATACAATAAACCAAGTAATTGTATCTATAATAAGTGTTCTAGTACTATATCATAAATCAATTGCTAAATGCCTCTCAAGGATTAAATAAATACATGTATTACCAGGTTGAGAAAGAGAGAGATAGAGAGGTGAAAGAGATAGAGAAAGAGGCCAACACAGTGGTTACAGTCTGGGGAGTCCACTCCACACAAATGAAATTAGGTTATTCTGGGACTAACATAGATGTATGGTTCAATTTTATTTCAATAATTCGCTCGGGTGTAGGAGTCTGTAGCCATGTGATGACACCCAAGTACATGTACCTCCTTTCTTTGGATAGGAAAATGAAATGAAATGAAATAAGGTTTAACGTCCTACTGTTCTGCTCCAATTGGGCTAATGAAGATGGGCATTTTAAGCCATACAGTGTGCTATGAAGGAAATTTTGCCCAGGCAGCGACCCTACGGCCTACTCTTATATCGAATTCCAACTGTCAAGGGATCTTTTATGTGCACGCCAATGTGTACACGGGACCGCAGATTTTCACCTCATCCGAACAACTAGACAGCTGTCCTTGTCAGGCCTCTGTCCAGCACCACTGGCAAGGGGAAACCTGTACCCGGACCACTCGGACCAAAACGGAGACCACTCGGACCAACCTAAAAGACCACTCGGACCAATCAATTTATATTGGAAGATCGGAAGACCACTCGGACTAATATATATGTTGACTCTCGGACAAAAAACAAGACCACTCGGACCAATCAATTTATGTTGGAAGACCACTTGGACCAATATTTATGTTGACTCTCGGACCAACCCAAAGGGTCGCTTCTCAATCCACTTATTCACTTAAGAAATAAAATACAGATTTTAAATATATATCATTTATTAAAAAATCACAATACAAAGAAGCAAATAATTTATAGGTGAATCTATACATAATCTAAAAATGTCTTCCTTATGAAAGTACATAAGAGCAAATATTCATATTTATTACATCAACAATTTTTATTTTTAATATGCCTGTGACATATTAGCGATCCGAGTAGTCATATCAAAACAAACACAATTTATTTAAACAACACTTTATTATTGGTCCGAGTGGTCTTTTTGTATGGTCTGAGTAGTCTTTTTGTATGGTCCGAGTAGTCTTTTTGTTTGGTCCGGATAGTCTTTTTGTTTGGTCTGAGTAGTCTTTTTGTTTGGTCCGAGTGATCTATCAGTTGACTGGTCTTTGGTCTGAGTGGTCATGTATTCAGGGAAACCACACTGGAAGATAGGACAATTAAAGGTGCTGATAATTTTGTTATTGTTTAAAATCTTGATGCTAAAAGTTTTAATGATGTGTTTTCCCCTTTTATTAATATCAATGTCATTACTAATACTATTACATAAATGTAGTCCCATCAGAAAGAGAGAGAGAGAGAGAGAGAGAAATGGGGTTTAAGGTGAACTCAACACAATCTAGGTCATTGTGGGACTAAAATATAGTACATATCTTTATTCTAATAGCAGTATGAGGAAACCGGAGGACCACCTTTCTTTTGATAGGAAATGTAACAGACTGACTCATAATTTTGTTATTGTTTAAAAACTCTATTATGATGGGTTTTTCCCTTTTAATTAATATGTCAATATTGATACATATCCATATAGTCCCAACAACATGTTTTTTTGTATTTTAGATGAATGACCTAACCTTGTACATGTGTATTTAATAAATATATGTTATGAATTATGTTTTAATCCCTAACAAATACTGGTGATCCTAATCCTTGTCAAGTATAAGCGGGAAATCGAAACCATGCCACTTGACTCAATGACAGACGTTATGATCTAAAACGCACACGTTAAACCATACGGCCCTCATGCCACCCCCTCTTTACACAAGGAAGTTATTCATGTATTATACTGTATGACAGTATAATATTGTTAATCAATAAGTGTCTACACAACATGTGATACAAATGATCCATACGGCACCGGCTGTATGACATAAACAATAGGTCAGTATACCGATTCAACAATTTCCATCTATATGACGGGTGAGAGCGAGAAATGGGGTCTAATGACCACTTGACACAGGTAATTTCGGGACTAACAGATGGATCTATTATATTTCAATAATTCACTTGAGTGTAGGGGTCTTCTGCAGTGGGTGGAAATCGGAGGACAACAGAGAAAACCTGTGCAAGAGGGTAATTGAAAAACCATAACATATGACTCAATGACAGACCTTATGATCTAGAGCGCATGCCTATATGAGGGGTGGGTGGTCGAGTGGTCTATCATATGCACTTTAGATCATAAGATCTAAGAATTATGATTGGTTGTCCAACCTTGCAGGGTTTTTTCTGGGTACCTCAGTTTCCTCTGACTGCTAATTTTGAATGTTAGTCCCAAAAAAATGACTTAGTTTGTGTCAAAAATGAAATGAAAAGGCATTTAACATCCTACTTTTCTGCACTGTCTGTGCTAATGAAGATGGGCACACGCCATACAGTGTGCTATAAGGGACCTTTTGTCCAGACAGCCGCACTACGGTCTACCCTTTTTTTTGGGGGGGGGGGGGGGTGGATGGCTGAATGGTTAGCACGTGCGTGCTGTATCATAAGGCCTGTCATTGAGTCAACTGGCGTGGTTTCGAATCCCCAGTTGCACGTGTCAAGGAGTAGGGTCGCCTGTCCAACCTCGTGGGTTTTCTCCGGGTCCTCCGGTTTCCTCCAACTGCTAAAGACCCCTACGCACAAGCGAATTATTGAAATAAAATTAAACCATATGTTAGCCCCGAAATGACCTAGTTTGTGTCGAGTGGACGTTAAACCCCATTTCTCTCTTTCTCTCTCACACTCTTTTTTTGAACACCGGACCTCCACGTTAGCGAACCAACGTTTTACTCACTGAGCCACCGCAGCTCTCTTCTTGGTTTCAGTGGTTTAGTGATACAAGACTATGACCAGAATCTTGCAAGGGCAGCAACATTTCTGCCTATTTTTGCGCTGCAGAATTGTGTTAAAAATATAAATTATTCAGAGAATGTTTCCTTCTTTATGATTTACCATTTGGGTTGCCTCCCCTTGTGAGTTTAAAATCAAAAGGAGTATCTCCCCAATGATTTGACAGCTTTGTAACAGAAATTGTAGACAATATTATGTGAACATCCCCGAAATATATATAAGTGTACAGTTAAATCTTGTAATATTGACGGTTATGTTTTTATTAATCTTAAAGATTTTCAAAAAGAAACCATGGATATAGTTCATTAAACATACATTATGCAAGAGCTAAATCTGTCTATTGGAGGTCTTTCTTTAGGTCTGAAATGTTATCTAAATTATTAATTAAACATTAATTAACCTATCCAGACCATAATCAACTCCCGATGACATCGCTAGCCTGCGATCTTTAGTGGATTATGAGCCGATTTACTGCATAACTTTCATTCACGATTTAATGATTAAATGGATATTTGAGACTATTCTGTTTATCGTACTGATTTTAGTAATACTGATCGAGACTAGGCGGAAATTCCAATCGCTTAATTCTCAGTTCATAGATAGAGGATCAATTTTTAACTATCTTCTAAGTTCTAATCTGTACGTCCCAAACTGAAACTCTAACAGCCTATAAGCATCAATAATATATATAGACAATATTGCCATTTTGGGGCATTTTATTTTTACTCAAAAATAAAAATATAACATTAACCTATGGCAATGGCATTGCAATTGGCAATAATGAAATTATGAATATTATGATGACTAGGCTATACAATACTGTCAATAGACATCATGCACAACTACTAGTAATATTACTAGAACTAGCCTACAACATTACTCATTATTAATTCGTTCTGGAATTTTTCAAGCTGGGTATAATTAGTGTCAATAATGATTCACGGTAATCACGAGGTTATGATTCTTATTCCGTTTCCAGCAGTGCCAAAAAAAAAAAAAAAAAAAAAAATGCTGAAAGAAATGCAGTGGCATTGGCACGTTTTACAACTTACTCACGCCGGTTGCGATTGTTAATGTAATTTTTATTTTTTTGTTCGTCACTGGTGGAATCTGTTTATTAGAATTACAAATGACAGTCACACTCACATATCAAGCGTGTTTAAAATAAAGTAAACATACTTACAATTTAACTGTATAAATAGAATTGCCTGTGATAAGTTCTGACAAGGTTAAATTAACATGTATTATATGACTTCACTGACGTGAATAACATTTAAGCTCCACGCATCACCGAAAACTTCCTGTTGAGGCCAAGAGCGCCATCTATTGAATATTGAAATCGTTTATTATTCAAAATTCGAAATTCATATCGAACCTGTTCAAAGGCGGTAGCACGATTTCACCAAGTCTACCCAAATTCAACATCATTTCAACTCTTATGAGAGAGACAGGGAAATGGAGTTTAATGTCAACTCGACACAACAAATTAGGTCATTACGGGAATAACATGGTTCAATTTTATTTCAATAATTCGCTTGCGCCTAGGACTAGTAGGAGGGGGGGGGGTCTTTAGCAGTAGGGGGAAACTGGAGAGCCTGAAGAAAACCCACGAGATTGGACATTCGACCCTACTCCTTGACACGTACAAGCGAGGAAGGCAAACCACATCTTCCAATATAAATTGATAGGCTCGAGTGGTCTTTTAGGTTGGTCCGAGTGGTCTTTTAGGTTGGTCCGAGTGGTCTCTCTTTTGGTCCGAGTGGTCTTTTTTTGGTCCGACTGGTCCTTGGTCCGAGTGGTCTTTGGTCCGAGTGGTCCGGGTAGGCCCCAACCCTTGACTCAATAACAAATAGTCCAGTTTGCCTATCAGATAAAATGGCATTTATTGAACCAAAAACACATACAAGGAAGTCAAGAAGCAGCATACAACATACAAATGTACATAATGTATAGATGAAAATGTAGCATGATGATTTATATCAAAATTTGATAATTTACTGTTCTTAATGCCCAATTGTCATTTTTATCGAATTTTGATAATTTACCGTTCTTAATGACAAATAGTCATTTTTAATTTAAAATCTTAGCATTATTGTGCCAGAATGTGATGTTGAAATAATGGTGCTTTTGGGTAGATTTGTTCATTACACAAATATTTCCCTTGGTTATTACTTCAAGACATTTTGAGACAAAAGCGATACGATTTTAAAGGAGCTAAATCGCTAACCAGCGAGGTAATTTCAAACACACAGACAGGGGCGCCGGGCCAGGGTACAAAAAGATAGAAATTTTGAAATTTGTCAATTCCGAGAACGCTGTTTAGAGCGCCTCTAGCATTCCAATTCCAACATAAAACCCTTTAAAATACATGATAATGAAAGAGACAAAAGCCTAATTATTCACAATTTTCGTGTCATGAGCAATTCATCTCATAAAAAAATATTTTTAATTTGACATTCAATACACTAATCTTCATCAAGAAAATAGAATAAGCTTTTTAAATGAGACAGTAGATTTAGAGAGCAAATACATATCTATCATTTAAAAATGAATAGACTAGTAAAAAGGTTGAAAACTTTCAGCATTAGGGCATGGGTATACATGTATACCCCCAAAAAGGGCAGGGTACCATTTGTACCCTGGTAGGGTTCTGGCGCCTCTAGCTGCACACAGGTAAGTTTATAATAACCAAAGTTAAGTAGTTTGTTCATAATCGAAGAAAAGAATATCCGTTTAAAATTTACGACGGTTCAGACAGTAGCTACTTTCAATTAAAAATTTGGCATATAGAACGGTATATTATCAAATATAAGTATTATACATTACACAGATGTTACGAATAGCTAATAACTAATAGTGAACTAACTTCATACATCGTTCACGTGTCTTTTACCGCATGTTTGGCGGGCTGCCATCGTCTGCACTAAAAATAGTTTTGTTTACGTCGTACGATTGGGTCAAAGTACAAAGGCTGAGAGTTTATTCGTAATATAATAATGTATTTAACAGTTAGTTTTATGCGGGCGACTGATAATCGCGCTCTGTAAATATATAAATAACGCAACGTTATATTCTTTTCGTGTTTATTGAATAACGTGGCTTGTTGAATGGAGTTTAATGAATGAAAGTTATTTTCGGTAGTCTTGATCAACACGACACTTTATTTTAACGGCATTTTGCACGATTTTACTGGATAAACTTGTCAGTAAGTAGGTCAGTAGGTTACTACACGTTATTTACCAACTTTCGCTTTACTATCAATTCTCCACCAAAATCCAAAGAAAAAACTTGAAAATAAGTTATTTATAACATTTCTTTATCGTTATCTCTGTCGGTAGACTTTTTTCAAACCACATGAATCAATTTCTTTTAAAATAAAACCCCAACCCAACGTAGTAAAGGCTCCCAGGTAGGGGTGGATCCAGCCAGTGTTTGGGAGAACCTACCCCCCCCCCCCACTCAGATACTTTACTTTATCGTAAGATGGTGGGATGGGATGGGCATTTAAAGGGTGAAATAATAATATAGACAGACATAATGTGTGATATCACATGCTTCGCATCACAATATCATCTATTAATTCATAATAAAAATTGACGTCCTTTTTAAAAAGCTCAATGTGTATGTATATACACCAAAATGATGATAGAGACCATGTGTTTCTCATTTCTCAAACAATTTCATAGGGGGGGGGGTGGGGAGGAAGTTTTGCTTGTCTCACATGAGCCTGTCAAACTTCCGGTCCCTCATGCAAAAAAAATGCTCCCTTTAATTAGCGCCAAACTGTCAGACTCATGGAAATAAATGTGAACGTAAAGAATGGACATGGTTCTGTCCTGTGCTGTTTGGAGTTTAAATGATACTGTTGAACTCCCTTTTGCTCGCTCAGACGAAATGTATGGATTCCATGGCTGAGGTCGTTGGTTCAATTCTGAACAGGAGCATCCTGTCACACATTCAATATATTTCATTTCATGTTTTATAGGCCTATAGGTGTGCATTCCAGGTAACAGGCCTACAGGTGTGCATCCAAAGGTAAACAGGCCTACAGGTGTGTGCCCAGCCAAGGTAAACAGTGATTTGAAATAAATAAGAGATAATGGATCCTGATTTAGCTGATAACTGGTTCTTTGAATCAGTAAAAAAGTAAGTTTGAATTTAGGAAATTTTGCCAGCAGCACTAAGGCATATTCTTATTTGATTTCCAACTGTCAAGAGTTCTTTTACGTGCACGCCAACGTGTACATAGGACCTGAGTTTTTCATACCATTCAAACAACTAGACACTGTTCTTGTCAGGCCCTCAGTCGTGCACCAGGGGAAACAATTCTGGAAGTTAAAATTTCATTTCCTGATATTATTTATTTTTTCATTTGGATTGAAATAGAACATGTCAACTTAATACTTTAACATATACTGCCGGAAAACAGCTAATATACTTAGGCAACGTTTGGAAGACTATTCTCTCAACGATTGGAAGGTCATTTAGCTAGATAACGTTAACAGAATACGCTTCGAAATGCTGCTTAAACAAATATATTGGTAGCTGTTTTCCATGTTTAACATCTCCAACCTCGTGGGTTTCCTTAAACTCCTCCTGTTTTCTCCCACGCTAAAGACCCCTACATGCAAACAATTTATTGAAATAAAATTAATCCATATGGTGTAGTCCCAAAATGACCACATTTGTGTCGATTAGATGTTAAACTCTATTTCTCTTTCTCATAAGTTTAATATGAAGAAGTGTAATGCACAATTATATTACCGGTACTTCATTAATACTACTTCACTATGCTGTATGAATCCTGTAAGTTAAACAGAGGATAAGTACAGATTATCTCCTTATTAGGACCTCATTATCTCTAAATTATCCAGTCCACAGAAAAATGTTTGTTAAATATATATCGCCGCTCACATTGAAATGTGGCCATGTTTTGTTGTAACCCACATCTGTTCATACACCATTGTCCACAAATGCTTGTGGAAGATACAGATAGAGGCATAAATTTGAATTCCAGGCCTGACATTTAGAACTTAGTACCGGGCATGTATAAAAAATGTTATTAAAAACACTGAAAAATCCATGACAGGTGCAACTGGTGGGTGCCTTATTTGCGGGCTTGTTGATTGCAAGAGGCAAAATTTGATTACTAGGGCTTTGCAATGATAAAAGGGTTAAAATTAATGCAAGAAAATTATATAAAATTTAATATAAAATTGTGAAAGTTGAATTGATAAAAGGATATACATGTAATAAATCTCAGCTGATGAAGACAGAGGTATATATGAGAAAGATTGCACCGACAGCGGTGTTAATAAAATGATGCATGTTGGATGTAAAATGAATGAACGTTCTGCTCCAACTGGGCTAATGAAGATGGGCATTTGCCATGCAGTGTGCTTTGCGGTAAATTTTGCCCAAACAGCAACGTTACGGCCTACTCTTAAATCGAATTTCAACTGCCAAGGGATCTTTTACATGCACGCCAATGTGTACATGTAACCTCGATTTTTCATCCCATCCGAATGATTAGACAGCTGTCCTTGTCAGGCCCTCCATCCTGCACCACTGACAAGGGGAAAACCACTCCGGAAACTCTTGATGAATTTTCTCAGCCAACACCAGGCGCGAACCCTAGACCCCCAGGCTAGCAAACCAGCGTCTTACTCACTGAGCATCTAAACATCCCTGGTACAATTGAATATAAATTGTACTGGTAAATAGAATTGTGAAAATTAAATCCCTAAAAGGATATAATTAACATGAGCTATTGAAGAAATGTGAGAAATGTTGCGCCAACGGCATAGTCAATACAATGACGCATGTTGCATGTAAACATTCCTGGTTGAAATTAAATTTAAAATTGAATATTAAAATTTTATGATATATTTTGTAGATATAATAGTTTATATATGTATGATCTACAACAACAAGTGATATCGGCTGACTGGATCAGTGAGCAAGGTAATAGATATATTCAATTTATATTTTACACTTCACTTATTATCACTGATTCAATTCACCTCAAAGCATATATTATAATTATTCTATTATATTCCATGCTTCATTGACTTATGATACCTATTCACAGGATTGTGTTAACATTCTGGTCTGGTACACAACACAGAGTTTAAAGATAAACTGATTTGATTTAGTTTAAAATAGGGTTGATCTGGTGTTTTATTTCTAATAGAGTGATGGGACAAGCTTTATGATTTGAAATGTTAATGTTTTACTTTTCTGCACCAAATGGCCTAATGAAAACTGGCCTATGCAAGGCAGTGGACTGACCGCACCACTACAGCCTACTCCTATTTCAAGTCAGGCAGGGGATTAATCTGATATTTGTATTCAAATGATTCATGTATAGGACTCTCATTTCAGTCATATGCTCAACAATGTCATTTTTTTTTTGCTAAAAACCTCTTAATATTTTCTCGCCAGAAATTGATCGTCTGACATGTAACGAACGGACAGATAGATCCAATAAAATAAATAATGGCAGACTAAACACGTGTATTGCAGTATAATAACTTCTTTTATAAGTGAGATGTTGACGAATAAAATTTAATTTTGATTAATTAAAGGTTTATGTGTGTCTATTTCAAATGGTAGAAAGCACGAAATACTAGAGTTATCTCTTCCTGATCGCATCTTGGTGGGAGAAGAACAAGCAGTAAGTTTCAGAATCGCTTTATTTGTGGGGCTTTGCGATGGTCGAGTGGTCTAATGCCATCACTTCAAATCTTAAGGTCTGTCATTGAGTCAAGTGACATTGTTTCAATCCCCTGCGTGAACGTGACAATAGGCATGGGGTTGCTCAAGACGCCTACGCGCAAGGGAATTATTTAAATGAAATTGAACCATGCGATAGTACCGGAATAATTTAGTTTGTGTCGAGTAGACAGTTACACCAATCTCTTGCCAAAATTTCTCTCATAGCACACTGTATGGTGTATGCCAGTCTTCATTAGCTCGGTCACAGCAGAACAGGAGGATGTTAAGCCCCATTTTCTTGCATTTCCTTTCATGTTTAGCAGTCTAACTGGCATCAAAATTGAGCAAATGGAGAAATCACATATGAGACAGTTTAAAGCACAAAAAAAACCACTGTTAGATTTTAGATGTCTTATAAGTAAAAATGATTAAAAATGTATTTTAAAATTTTAAATTTTGTAAAATATATCTTGCTAATCCAAGGTAAACGATCATCCTTTTGGACTTGTGTTGATTTGTATGCATCTTTTTTTATATGTAAACCTTGCTTTCCAACCAGGCGTTGTTAAAAGATCGTGATTTTCGTGTGGAAACTGGAGGGTTTGTGGAAGACAGGGTTACATCTTTATCACATCTACCAAATACAAGGTAATTTATTCAGAAAATTTGATCAGAAAAGGGTTTGTAGAGGACATTGTTACATCCTTATCACATCTACCTAACACTAGGTGAATTATCCACAGTTTAACACTAATCAATCATGATTATTACTTTATCATCTACCAAATACAAGGTAAATTATCCATAGGTTATCACTATTTTTCTGTGGATACTGGAGGTTTGTAGAGGACATGCTTATTTTTTTATAAAATCTACTTAACACTAGTTAAATTAATCAGAACTGAAATGGGGTTAAATTATATTAAATATATATTGCCATCACCCTAACCTGTCAGTCCATCCATCATCCACAACATTTTTTAAAGTTCTTTAGTACAATAATTATTGTAATTTGTTCAAAATCAATAAGCTTCTTCATCTCATGAACATACCGTATAAATTTCAAGTAGAGTGTTTGCAAGTCATTGTGAACCACTGCCTGACCAAAGGACAGGGACAATGACAATATACAACTACATATCAATGTGGGTGTTTAAAACTCATGTGAATGCATCTAGAGGTTCAAGTTGCCATCCCATTGATATGAAATTTATATATACTATTCAAAAAAAGTAGGGGATATTTGATTTTTAAGTGTTATTAAAGTCACCTAATGAAACTGACGAAGAAACAAATGACAAAATGAAATGAAGTTCACATTCATCGATTTATTCCAAATGATCGTTAGACTAAGTAAGGCACAGACTGACCATTATAAGGGTAAAATGATACCCGGGGTCAAACAGCAAAGTTACCACAGCATCACAACCAAGTCAGTAACGGGTAAATCCTCCTCTGTTTGCCAAACAAGCATTGATCCGACGTGGCATACTCCTAATGAGACGTCTAAGGTCATTTTGGTCCAGATTGTCCCATTCCTGTTGCAACGCAGCAGCAAGTTCTTGGACATTGGCAGGACGTTGTTGTTGGAGGTAACCTGTAACGATCCTGGCCCTGTGACATCTTGCGTTGTCATCCTGGAAGATGAAACGGCGGCCATGACGTCGTGCGAACTGCACAACATGGACTGCCAAGATGTTGTCCCGGTAGTACTGGCCTGTAACACGCCCTGCAACAACATGTAAAGCCGTTCTTCCAGAAACAGTGATGCCTCCCCACACCATAACAGAACCACCCCCAAATCGATCATGTCTGATGACGTTAACGTCTTGGAAGCGCTCGTTTCGACGCCGCCACACCCTCCTACGTCTGTCCAAAAAATCAACAGTGAACCTTGACTCATCTGAAAATATCACATTGCTCCAGCGTCGATTATCCCAGTGTTGACGATCCCTACACCAACGACGTCTTGCCTGAATGTGATGATCTCTCAAACAAGGGATCACGCGAGGACGTCGGGCGCGAAGGTGACCCCTATGCAGTCGATTCCGAATCGTCTTGCCAGTCACTCTCACACCAGTGTCTGTTTGAAGACGAGCGCTGATCTGATTTGCTGTGATGACACGATTTCTCAAGGCCAAGGTACGGATAAATTGATCCTGGGCTTGAGTTGTCGCCCTTGGTCGACCTGAGCGTGGTCTGCCCTGTACAGATTGTGTATCACGGTATCTGGACCATAGCCTGCTTATGACAGACTGAGAAACATTCATCGTCCGCGCCACAATCGCCTGTGTTGTGCCGATCTGTAGCATGCCAAGGGCACGTAACCTTTCATTTTGGGTAAGCCGACGCATATCAAAATTTGTTTTCTGGACACTAAAACAATAAAACTGATGTTTCCACCCTGGAATTCAATGCCACAATGACTGTAACATTCAAAGTCAGAGTCGTGCAAATCTTGGGTTGGACCCCCATGATGATCCCAAGCATCACCTGCATTCCATGCGGTAGCTATTGGTGCGTTTGGGCGTCACATGTAACTGGAAATGTTTCTTCTGTTAGGTTCTATAGTGACTTTTTTCGTAGTCATTTGCATATTTTAGTATTATGCCCCCAAAATCAAATATCCCCTACTTTTTTTGAATAGTATATATAGAATTTCCTTTGTATATTGACAGTTCAGTTACTAAATTATTATAAATAATATTTTATTCAAGATATGTAGCCTATGTAAAAATCCTGATAAATGCCATTGAAATAATTTTCTTCAGGAATGTTGTAGCCTCTACAGATGTAGATAATTCTGTCAGCATTTTACAGATTGGTGGCGAAAACTCAGGTAGGTTCAAATTGAATGTTGTAGCTAAGATTGGAATCACTTTTGTAGTTCATATTGAAATAATTTGGGTAGGTCAGGATGAAATCATTTTGATAGTTGTTACTGAAATCATTTCAGGTTGAAATCATATGGGTAGTTCAGGTTGGAATCATTTGGGTATTTTAGGTGGAAATGGGTAATTCAGGTTGAAATCATATGGGAAGATTAGTTTGGAATCATATGGGTAGTTCATCTTGAAATTATTTAGTTAGTTCAGGATGGAATGATTTGGGTAGTTCAAGTTGGAATCATATGGGTAGTTCAGGTTGGAATCATTTGGGTAGTTCAGAGTGGAATCATTTGGATAGTGCAGGGAGGAATCATTTGGATAGTGCAGGGAGGAATCATTTGGGTAGTGCAGAGTGGAATCATTCTGGTAGTGCAGAGTGGAATCAATCGTGTAGTGCAGGGTGGATTCATTGGGGTAGTGCAGGTTGGAATCATTTGAGTAGTGCAGGTTGATTTTGATAAGATGAGATTGGAATCATTTGTGTTAATCACTGTTGATTAGTATATTTTCTGATTAATCATCATTTGACTCTGCAGTTATTTGGTGTATTTTTCCTTGCCTTACAACCTCTGTTAGAAGAAATGAAATGAAATGAAATGGGGTTTAACGTCCTACTGTTTTGCTCCTAACTGGGCTAATGAAGACGGGCATACGCCATACAGTGTGCTATGAGGGAAATTTTGCCCGGACAGCGGCACTATGGCCTACTCTTATATCGAATTCCAACTGTCAAGGGATCTTTTACGTGCACGCCAATGTGTACACGGGACCTCGGTTTTTCGTCTTATCCGAATGACTAGACAGCTGTCCTTGTCAGGCCCTCCGTCCTGCATCACTGACAAGGGGGAATCACGCCGGAAAATCGGGATGAACTTTCTCGGCCAATGCAGGGATCGAACACCCGACCTCCAGGCTAGCGAGCCAGCGCCTTACCCACTTAGCCACCGTGATCCCCCTCTGTTAGAAGAGAAATGTACAAATGTATATAGAAATTAATATGAGTGACAATAGAGGGTATTTAACACATCAAATTCTTGTTCTTCAGTTTGTGTAGTTATAAATTTTGATTTCTAATTTCAGATCTTATCTGTAAACAACAAACTATTGTCAACAAGACACCATTACGGTTAGTATAAATTTTATTTATTATCGATTAAATAAAGGTCATTTTAAACGGAATATTTCATTAGTTGTAGCTTGTACTAATTTCTTGCTGTAGGGTATTTGAATGATGATTTGTTTGTTTTTCAGGGAATCAAGTCATGTTGGTGTTTTATCCGATAATCAGGTTTTATTTGGAAGCGGAGTAAATGATCTTTGTTTAACTGATGTTACCATAGGAACAATAATCTCACACTTCACAGGTTAATATTTCAATTTTATTTATTTATGTTGCCATTAGAACAATAGTCTCACATGTAACATGTTACACTTTCACTTTTAGTTTCTTTATGTTGTCAAGGAATCTCTTACAGTTAAATAACACAATAGCACACCTAAATATATCCTATTAAATTATATGCAGAAAATTCAAATTCCTTAAAATGTCTGTAGGCCTACATTGGAAGTTAAACTCCAGATTCTTGAGTTGTATATATAAAGATCCCAAATCCCCCCACACCCACCCCTGGATCCATCACCGAAGATATAAGTTTATTAGAACCCTGAAGCATGTAACTGAAGAACATCATACATCTGATGATCAAATACCCATTGGGCTGAATCGAAACCCATCTATTCAGCCAGACACAGTATCTCTATATTTGATTTAAAATTAAAATCAGGATATCTGTCATGTAAGAGGAGAAAATTTACTGATTTTGGTCTCTGAATGACAAATAGTTGGATTGACAAAATGTTGACCTCCATTTCTTTTCTTTCAGGTGAAATGTGCAAAGAAACACTGCCTATTAGCTGTCTTGCACCACTAGATGGCTCTACATGTTTAGCATGTGAAAGGTCAAGGGGTCAAACATATACCATAGACACAAGGGACAGTAAATTGATGTGTGACCTTTATGCTAGTTTCCATAGTAACTCAATTATTACCAGTATCCATAGTAACAGTTGTCATAACTCTAGTGAATCTTATTGGACGATGTGTGTGTCGCCAGACATGAAATATATTTATCAAATTTCAAATAAAGGAGAATTTAGATACATGGATATAAGAAATTCCAAAAACACTGTTACTATAGCAACCAAACTCTCAAGCACCAGTCAGAAGATCAATTTATCAGTAAGTTAGATTTTATTTTGTTAAAAGATGAGATCCCATATTTCTAGCAGATATAAACACTTATCACAAGCTTAGTCTTGTTAGAACACCTGATACCAATCCTTTATTTAGCAGGGGGTTGGGTGGCCAAATAGTTTAACACATTTGTGTTGCATCATATAAGGTCTGTCATTGTGTAAAGTGGTGTGGTTTTGATTCCCCACTTGTACATGACAAGGAGTAGGGTCGCCTGTCCAACTCGTGGGTTTTCTCTGTGTCATCTAGTTTCCTCCCACTGCTAAAGACCCCAATGCGCAATCAAATTTTTTAAATAAAATTGAACCATATGTTAGTTCCAATATGACCTAGTTTGTGTTAAGCGGACGTTAAACACCCCATTCCTCTCTCTCATTTACTTTGGGACTTTTTCTATATGAAATTTATCAATATTTTTTTTTTTTTTTAGTGTTCATCAAGTGGAAAATATTTGGCCATGTCAGGTAAGAGTCTCTACTTTCTTTCTCTCCGCTCAAAACCATGTATTTAATGGGGCACAATAAAAGCAGGTGTAACTATGTAGTTAAAACATCAAAGCCAATTTGTGTAAAATTTTTAATAAAAATATTGAGCCATTAACAAATGAGCTTTAGATTTGCTTCATTCTGCACACAGAAATCCATCTACTTCATACTTCGAGAATAGATCTCTGCTAAGGTTGCAGCGATAACCCGGGGATGCTGATTAATCGCGTTTATTTTTAAATTATGATATCGTATCGGCCCAAAATAGATAATCGCCATCCCCGGTATATCGGGCCATTTTTTCAGTTATCGCGATTAATCTAATAATCGCCAGATCACTGATTATTGAAAGAATAGAAGTTATTTTAGGCAACACAAATAAAATAAGTTGTTTCTCGGGCACCGCCCGCACGCAAAATTGGTTGCGCGTGCGGCCTATTTATTAGTCTTGATGAAAAATAAAAACTTTGTAACGCCCGCCCGAACATCGATAAGCAAGTCATAAAAAGAATATGCCGCATGTATCTACATGCCCCATACGTGAATATCCATTCAAATGTATTAAACTGATTCAGATGTAAACGCTCATTTACGGGTCTTTTTTAAAATAAAATAAGTTGTTTCTCGGGTCTTTTTTATTGATATCGAAAGAACCTCCATTTTTGTATCACGTGATTTTAATTACCTCCCCTTGTGAACTAGAATTTGATTCGTGTTAAACACCGAAAGTCATTGACATCAATGCAATGTATTTCAATCATTCGATCTTAATCGGCTCATTATTGCCGGCTTCAGTCGGTCCATGTTTGAAAAAATCCTACGTATAAAACAATGAATCGTAGAACAGATTAATTATTATAACTTGTGGCTATGAATACGATACGATGATGGTCACCATACCTTAGTCAGAATCTGGGTCATTAGCACATTTAACGGTAGTTTTGATAATCCGGAAAATAATAATTGGATTACACATTTGATGGTTTTACTGACCAGTTGTTAGTTAAATTTAAATAGTCATTCGATATAAACCCCAGATAGAACACCGAATATCCTGAGAAACACACCGAATATCCTGAGAAACAGTCATTTCCCGAATCCCGATGACACATGACATGCATTGGTTGGAATCATTATTATAAACCAGCGATACTAGATAATCTAGATTTAGATCTAAGTGTCGTTTACCGTGATGATTATTTTTGATACACATGCTGACAGAGGCTTACTCTTTAAAATATTGTCGTTATTTTGGACGGCTATTAATAGTCGTACGGAATTTTATTTTAAACCAATTTCAATTATGGTTGTCACCATTACCATTAGTAAGCTACATTACGTGAATTAAATATGGAAAATTATTTTCCTTTCAGTCAGTGTTCAGTGTTTGAGTAGACTTGATTTTTGGGTTTATGTTCTAAGTATGTATAATATATAACTGAAAGCAAAACCGTAGACAAGTAATGACTTTCTCATTAAAAAAAAAAAAAAAAAATACAAGGCCGCCCTCCCACCCCAACAATTTTCAACAATAGCCAAATTTTATTTTGCACCATCCTCTAGCCAGAAATGAGGTAAAAAAAATAAATAAACCGCCCTCCCCCCCCCCCTACAGTTTCAGCTGTCAGTTGCCCGAGAAACAAGACATTTATTTAGTGTAGCCTTAAATAAACAACATTCATCGATCGTATCTCTGACAAGTTCATTTCTGGTGTTGTCGAGGATGCAGGGCAACTGTTATAACTGATCATCCAGCCTCTTTTCTCATTCCGGGTTCAGTAACCGGAATATTTTTTCACACTTTCAAGTGTCTTTTTTAACATTATTTTTTAGTTGTTTATTTTTATAATCATACAAACCAATATCAATCAAAAGTATATAATATAAACTGATATTTTCGTATTTAGACAATTACGCTTATTGGAAACACGGACAATCACACTGTCCAATAAAGCAACATATTCGAGGCTGGTCAATCTGGTCAATTTTGATGCTCAACACCCTGGCTGTTTCAATTTTCTTTCTCACCATCATTTTTATCGCGATAAAAGAGAACTAGCATGATAAAATACATAATCGCAATACTACAATTTATCGCGATAATTCCAAAAGCTGTTATCGTGATAAAATAATTTGATATCGTTGCAACCTTAATCTCTGCCATAAATAGCACACAAAGACTAAATAAAGTTATTCTATTTTGTTAAATGGGAGTAGAATAACTACTTAACAAAATTCTCGAAGTTAACTTAGTGTTTTTATACGCCCACATTTTCATGTGGACGTATATTGGCGTCGCCCCTGTCCGTCCGTCCACAATTTGTTTGTGGACACTCTACAGGGCACAATTTTTTTTTGATTTTGACGAAACTTAAAATATAGGTCTATCTCCCAAAGATCTCGGTTCCTTTCGATATTGGCATATATCCGACCATAACTTCATGGATTATGGCCCCTGATTGTACAAAAAATCACGTTTTTAGTTTGTGGACACTCTAGAGGTCACATTTGTCATCTGATTTTGATGAAACTTGAAATTCATGTTTATAACCCAAGGATCTTGGTTCCTTACGATATTTGCGCATATCGGATCATAACTTCCTGAATTATGGCCCCTGATTATATGAAAAATCGTGTTTTTAGCTTGTCATAATTATTATCTGATTTAAAAAAACGTTTGAACATATCACTGTTAAACTGTAATAACGCTTCAGTGTAAAAATATGGTATATCAAGGTTGTGGACCCTCTAGAGGTTATAATTTTGATACGATTTTGATGAAACTTGAAATACATGTTTATAATCCAAAGATCTGGGTTTCTTTCAAAATTTGCACATATTGGATATCGGATCATAACTTCCTGAATTATTGCCCTTGGTTGTACGAAAAATCATGTTTTTAGCTTGTGGTCCCTCTAGAAGTCACAATTTTTATCCGATTTAAAAAAACGTTTGAATATATCACCGTTACACCCTAATGATGGTTGAATTCGAATTTCGTGAAAATCTGACCAAAACTGCCAGACAAAATGGCCACCCCTCGTAGGCAAATAGTGTATATTAATCCAGAATCCGACTATGGTTCTGTAGGAAAGTTTGAGTAGGGAGAATTTTTTTGAAGAATTAAAAGGATATGTTCACTTTGCATCAAACAGTATTTAAACCAGTCAAAATGTTCTTTATTTCACAGAATCAAGGGATGAATAAACTACTAGACTGTAAAATTTCATAAGCCTCCTATTGTATTCAGAATGCCTATTTCACACAAAATCGTATTTTATATCCAAGTGGACCCTACATATAAACATCTATCAGCATAATAAGTTACACATTAATACAACATTTAAATATTATCTATCACCTGTAGCACTTTCCACTCGAATTAAAAATAGATTGTTTATTGGAATTTTAGATTAAACGGAAACTTTCTTGTTGCTGTAAAATACTCAATCAAAATACCAAGTGTTAATTTATATGATAATTTACGGCCTACCATGTAATACAAAAATTTGCAACATGTTTTAACAGCATATCTTTCTGCATGAAATGATAACAAATTGTTTATTATATAAAACGGAAACATATCTTTTTTTCTATTTTGTACCTGTAAAACAAAGTCTTGGGTATCACAAAACCATCCTTATAGAATCTAACGTTTCGTACGTGTAAAAACTTACTTCTTCAGAGAGTAAAACTACACAAATGTGGGCGTATAAAAACTAAATAATGTAAAGGGAATTGCAGAAAATTACAGTCAAATTGATCCACTCTGTACCGAGAATTTAGTGATTGAATTTTAGGCCTAGCCTTGATCATCATTACTAAAGACCACATCGAGAGATGATTATGGTCGTTATATAACGTCCTGGACAACTGCCACTCACTGTGTGTAGGGCGTAATATAACGCCTTGGAGGTATTTTCCCCAACCTATTCTTAGAACATAATTCGTCACTTGGGAATTTCCCCACGATCGCAGCATGTGTAGGACGTTATATTACGTCCTGGACAACTGACACTCACTGTGTGTAGGGCGTAATATAACATTTTGGAGGTATTTTCCCCAACCTATTCTTAGAACATAGTACATAGTTCTTCGTCACTTCATCTAATTAATTACACAATAGGGGGTAGTTAACGTTTTAAAAAGTCACGTTTAATGGGTTAATTAATGTCTAATTAATAATTTAGATAACATTTCAGGCCTAAAGAAAGACCTGCAATAGGCAGATTAAGCTCTTGGATAATGTATGTTTAAGAAATTTTATTCTTTAATTCTATGAGCGACAAGATATGCAAGCTTATGTTTTCTTTTGCAGGTTTTGATGGAAATATTCAGATTTACAACATAAATAATATCACCACGGAAAATAAACTAGAAGCTATATTTAAACATGAAGGTCACATGGCTAATAGTAGCCAACCAGAAACCTTGTTATCAACTGTACATCTGTGGTATCCTGGCCAATCAGAATTAGTTTTATCAGGGGCAAGTGATGGTTCTCTTCATGCATGGAGACCAGCTTTTGTTTGAATGAATTAATAGAACTAGTCTGTGTTTATTAAGGACTGGAAGTAGTAAATAAAAATACTGAGAACAGCTCTTCAATCGAAACCCTACCTTGAAAACCCCCAAGGTATTTTCTCATATCAGTCTATTTTTAAAACTAAAGTCCTAGATGTTTGTTTATGAACCAGGAATCGCGTCACGTGACCTTTCTTCATGTCTTGTGACAGGAAATTGTCTGGAAATTCTGGCCAACATCAGTAGCTCCTGGTCATTGATCCAGCACCTTTCACACTTGGCCCCAGGTGGTTCTACAGACCGATGAATGATCAGGTGTGTTAGCAATCTAGAACCACATGAAAATGTGGGACTATAAAAAAAACTAAATATAAAATGCATATAATATGTAGGTATTTTATAAGTTTTATTCTATTACATATTACAATTAATATGTACAACAAGAGTATAAAAATAAAACATAACAAAACATTCACTTAGCACAATTCTTCTACTTTATATTTTGATTTTTTAAAATTCTTTTAACTGAATCTAGAAAGTAGATAGCACAGTGACCCATTAGTTAGTTAATCTAGAGACCCAATATTTCCTGAATCTAGGGAAATAAAATGCGGTTTAACGTCCCACTGTATTGCTCCGGCTGGGCTAATAAAGACGGGCATACACTATAAAGTGTGATAAGGAAATTTTGCCCGGACAGTGGCATTACAGCCTACTCTTATATCGAATTCCAACTACCAAGGGATACCAACGTGTACACAGGACCTCATTATTTTCTCAAATCCGAAGACAGTGTTCCTTGCCAGGCCCCTGAATCTAGATAGTACAGTAACCCAATATTTACTGAATTTAGAGAATACTGTGTGATGATACACTATAAATAATATACAATACATGCAGGATATCTATAAGATATACATATATACAATTAATAAAATTCATGGAGAGATGCTTTAAAGATATAAATAATCCTTCTGTCTTAATTAGGTCATCAATTGGACAGTTCATTCTGCACAAGCACATGGTATACTTCAATAATTTACATGTCTTTATGAGAGGTGGTGGGAGAGAGAGAGAGAGAGAGAGAGAGAGAGGAATCCAGTTTAATCCACTCACACAAACTAGGTCATTTCGAGACTAACATATTGTTAAATTTGATTTCAATAATTCGCTTGTGCGTAGGGGTCTTTAGCAGTAGTTGGACAGGTGACCCTACTCCTTGTCACGTACAAGCGAAAATCGAAATTATGAGAGAGAGAGAGAGAGAGAGATGTTTAACTCCTCTCAACAAAAACTAGGTCATTTCTTTTTCAATAATTTGCTTTCGGGTAGGGGGTCTTTAGAAGTGTGAGCAACTGGAGAACCTGGGAACCACCCATGCGGTTGGACAGGCGACGCTACTCCTTGTCATGTACAAGTGGGGTATCGAAACCACGCCACTTGACTCAATGACATACCGTCTGATCCAACGAACACATGTTAACCATTTGTCCACCCAACCCTCCAATTAAAAGTAGTCAAGTGGAGACAATTTGGGCTGGCATGATTGAAACTAATAAATGTAAATGGCACAAAATAATAATATCATACGATGGGTTGAAATGATTGCGATGAATATACAAGATGAGATATTTGTTAATTAATAAGGACTACGATTTTCCTGGACTTTTGTCGATTCGAGTCTTCTTGGATGGTGACCCAATGTGACTCTGAAAATACATAAATAAATACATGTAGATGTAATAGGAAATACTCAAACAGTGCAGACAATCTGAAATGAAATGTAGAAGCCAAAGCTGATGCAGAATGCTTCTTCTTCTACATGCACCTTGAGGTTAACGCCCATTTCCACCTAGAATGACACTGTGAAACTTGCTGAAAAAGGCAAGTTATGGTTGACAGACCAAGTCCAGCTTGGAGTCATATATGAGCTTGAAAAGGGAAATCGCCTGTCTACCTCCAAATAGGGCTCTAAGATCTAGTATTTTTTCGTTACTACATCAAATGGTTTTTGTTCTATTGTACTATTTTCATTTTGTTTTAAAAATATGTATGCTGCTCTTAATGTGCGTATTGATACAATAAAATTAAAAAATTTATCTCATCTTATACCCTTTTCAGAATAACAGGGTCTAGAGAACATAGTTATTGAAGGAGGCCTAAAAAAAAAAGTTCAATTGTTTTACCTTTTGCCATTTTTCTATCAGTTTATCAGCCTCTGCTTGATAATAATTAAAAACGTCATTACAATCCCCACGTACAGGACTAGTTGGTGGATTGTAGAGGAAACAATTATCTTTAACTAACGTCATATCAGCATGAAAATCTTCAAATTCTTTATAAACACCAGACTTAAAATAAACAAATATAAACATTTACTATTTCATACATTCCTACATAAGGCCAAAAATAAAAAATCTGGTTCTCAGATAATCCTGCATCACTTAAAAAGAACTGCACAACCCGTTTTTATTTTTATTTATTGATAAATTATTTATGTATTTCCCAGGAAATGTACTGTGGACTCAATTATCAAATGGTAAATGTTATTGACAATCATAAATGATACTGTTCTCTAGAAATCGATTGCTATAATGAGTCTTTGGAGACATCCAGCTGTTTTATATTTGTAGAGTGTAGACTAACCAGAGGGTCTCCACATGAATATTCTTTGTCTGCAACTATATTGATTCATAGTTTAGAAGCAACACATATGACACTTTCATAGAATATGTTGAAAATTTCATTCAAAATTGCTCCACTCTGAACCGAGATATTAGTTTTTGCATTTTAAGCCTAGCCTCAATCATCATTACTAAAGTCGGTACGATAAAAAACATATAGTCTTGATTATCCATTTTTGGATTTAATCATCAATGAGCGATGAACAATAAAATATTTTAAGTTAGTGAGTGGTTTTAGTTGGTAGGTAGCATTAAGCGAAACAGAGATATTTTTAAGGTCAGTCTCAAGACCAGTAAATCTGACCACAAGGAAAGCCCTGGTACATGCATATACAAGACTTGAGTAAGTCACATTATTTACCTCTAATTTTTTTTTAATGGTGCCGAAATCCATGGGTGTTTTAATTATATTATAATAATCAGGTGCATCTACAGGATCAACTACAAATATAATCAAATATAACTAATTAAAACACAGGTTTAAATGTCAAACGGCAGATTTTAAGGGCTCAGTTCCAGGTTAATCAAAGTACCGTCACTTTATTAAAGATACATTATGGGAGATTCAATAACGAGTTGGCAGTTCTCACTATAATAGTTAAAAACTAGATAATATAAAGGCAATTTGCTGAAAATTTCATTCAAATTGATCCACTATGAACCGAGAACAAAGCGTTTGAATTTCTACCTAGCCTTGATCATCATTACTAAAGTCAGTACGATAAACAGCATGGTCTCGATTATCCATTTAATCGCTAAATCGTGAAAGAAAGTTATGCAGTAAATCGGCTCACAATTCACTAAAGATCGCATACTAGCGATGCCATCTAGAGTTGATTATGGTCTGGATAGGTTAATTAATGTCTAATTAATAATTTAGATAACAGCAATGAGCATTGAGCATCAGATCGGATTCCAATCCAGTAAATATAATAGGCTAGCGACCACATTGTGAGTTGATTATGGTCTGGACAAGTTAATTAATGTCTAATTAATAAGTTAGATAACATTTCAGGCCTAAAGAAAGACCTGCAATAGACAGATTTAGCTCTTGCATAATGTATGTTTAACTCTATGGTGTTTGTAACTCATTCTAGTCCCAACTATCTATGCAATATATCTTGTTAAGTTTCAAACATCTTTGGCAGAATGAATTAGTGCCAAATTCACACCAATCTGACTAAAATACACATGTAAATCCTGTTTTGTTGGACAGAAGACCCTACTCCTTGTCACGTATAAGCTGGGAATCGAATCCGTGCCACCTGACTCTTTCACCGACCTAATGACCAGACAACCAATCGCATAAGATTATCAACGTACCTGGTTGTGTAAACCAAGCTGCAGCATTTAATTCTCCTTTCTCACGATTCACTCCACGATATTTGGATACTTTCTGTAATAATCTATGAATAAACAGAAATACACGCATATTTATACCTAAAAAAATTCTACAAGAAGACTCTGTCAAAACTGAATCAAATTTGTTTCCATTGAAATGCAAAAGTGATGAAATCTGAAAAATATCTAATTAGAATAAGACTATAGTAAGTTGATATATGTACAAAGTGTTATAAAATGGCTGATCGAACCCAAGTAGTTCAAAAGGCAATTGGGATTAAAATATTTAAATATAACTTATACTTAAATACTGTATAAGCTGTTGCCAGCAGGCAAGATACGCTCTCATTTTGCAAGAGATGGATAGAGAACAAGCTAAAAAAAAAAAGCGATTTTTCGTACAATTCAAACTTAACCATCATTAGAGTGACCTGTAGAGTGTCCACAAACAGATGTTGGACGGACAGGTGGACAAACAGAGGAGACGACAACATATAAGTCCACATGAAAATGTGGGCGCATAAAAAACACATACTTATGAAAAACAGCTACTAGTATATTTAATGTGATGTTATCAATCTAATTATAAGTGTTTAATCTTACCCAGCAGCTGATCGAACCCAACCAGCTTGTGATACAGATGATACTGATGATGTTGAAGATGTTGGTGAATGACTTTCATCTACAGTAACAGGTAATTTACGTTTTCTCTTACTACTTCGTGTTGGATCAGCTTCCCCTTGACTATCAGAACTACTTCCTGTGTCACAGAAATAAATGTACTCTGTAGAGTGTTCACAAGAACTTGTAGACGACAGACGGACGAAGGCGATGACAATATACCACCACATTTCCATGTGGGCATATAGAAACCAAAAGTACTTTGTTGCGTTGTTCAGGAACTTTCAGTTCCAAATTTTTAAGTTTTGAAATCTTAAACAAAACATCTTCCACATGATTTAAGTGGCTATATATTTATATATTTATAGAAAATCCATAGGTAAATGAAATGAAATGAAATGGGGTTTAACGTCCTATTGTTTTGCTCCGAACTGGGCTAATGAAGAGGGAAATTTTGCCCGGACAGCGGCACTACGGCCTACTCTTATATCGAATTCCAACTGTCAAGGGATCTTTTACGTGCACGCCAATGTGTACACGGGACCTCAGTTTTTCGTCTCATCCGAATGACTAGACAGCTGTCCTTGTCAGGCCCTCCGTCCTGCAACACTGACAAGGGGGAACCACGCCGGAAAATCTGGATGAACTTTCTCGGCCAATGCAATCCATAGGTAAAGTCTAACAGTTCAGTTGATTAGTTTCATATCTCTATCGGTCTGTCTGTTTGTATATATCTTCAGTCGGTCAATTCACTATAGATAATGTAATAATAAATATCATAATTACCATGGCTACCAAGAGACTGACTAGCTGCCAATAGATAACTCTCTTCTATAGGATCTCGAGATTCTAAAATTATTCTAGGAGTTATGTCCCCTCCTGAACCAACACCTTCTTTTTCTTCCGATAGCGGGGTAAATTTTGTTAGTTTGAGAGGTAGGGAGTCTCCACCACTCGGTTCTAATCGTACCATCACGTTGCGATCTGTATCATCCATAGCAACCGGTATACTAGGCGTGTCACCAGCGCCATAGTTACATATTACCTCTGCTGTCTGAAATAAATAAAAAATTTCCATGAGTGATTCGACTTGTTTATTGTAGGCGACATCACTACGGTAGAAGCGGAAATTACATAAAGCTATTTCACACACACAGTCAGCTTTACACTGGACATACATAAGTACAAATTAGATGATTCTTGGTGATTTTAGGTTTGTTTTTTATTTAAGAATTTTCGAACGGAGATTTAATATTGAATGAATGTGAAAGAATTTATGGCTACATATGCAAACTTAAAAGAAAACTGGGTTACAATTTTACCCACTGAACCACTATGGCTCCTAGCCAGGGAACAAAATAACAGTCGACAATTTTTGCTAATCAAATCAAATAAATCGCAAACTGCGATGTGAACCCGGTAATTTGGCCCCTTCTACTAGTAAAATATAAATCAAGAATTAGTTTAAGTATTTATGTACCTCTGTGAGGATGGTAACTGATGATGGTTTATTGGCCTGTACTGGTTGTAAACCTGATTTTTTACTGTCTGTCGTCACCAGATTCTCTATATCATGTAGAGGTATAATAACGTCTGCTTCTCTACCTTCACCTCCTGCACCACCTGATTCAAATAGAACAAAATCAAATAGGGTTTAACATCCCACTCTTCAGCTCCGACTGGGCTAATGATAACAGTTCAAGTAATACAAGATAGGTTGCCAGGCAACAAAACAAAAGCCCACAGCAGCTAAATCGTCCGAGTCGTCAACAAAGGTTGTCACATATTTATTCTTTTGTAGGTAATTAGGGGAATTTAATAGACAATTTCTTTCAGATGACATTACAATTTTCGTCGTTTGAGGGTTCACAAGGTTCTAAAAACTAAAACAAGGGCCATAACTCTGGAAGTAATCTACAGAAATTGTTGAAATTCAACAGGCTTTTTCGTTTTACTAACTCAAATAATGCATATAAATTTCATACAGATCGGATGATAACTTTTGTCGTTCAAACATTCATAAGGTTCAACAAAGTAAAACAAGGGCCATAACTCTAGATGTAATTTACAGAAATTTGCTGAAACTCAATAGACTTGTTAGTTTTACTAATTTAAACGATACATATAAATTTCATATAGATCGGATAATAACTTTTGTCGTTAGAGCATTCACAAGGTACAACAAAGTAAAACAAGGGCCATAACTCACGGCGTAATAAAGGGAAATTGCTGAAATTCAATAGGCTTCTTCGTTGCACTAATTTAAATGATGCATATCAATTTCAAACAGATCGTATGATCACTGTTGTCATTAGAGCTTTCACAAGATTCAACAAAGTGAAACAAGGGTCACAACTCTAGATGTAATTAACAGAAATTGCTGGAATTTAATAGGCTTCTTTGTTTTACTAATTTAAATGATGCATACAAATTTCATACAGATCGGTTGATAACTTTTGTCGTTAGAGCGTTCACAAGGTACAACAAAGTGAAACAAGGGCCATAACTTCAGAAGAAATTAACGGAAGTTATTGAAATTAAAAAGGCTTCTTCATCTCACTAATACAAACAACATATATAAATTTCAAAACAATCAGAAGATAAATGTAGTCTGTAGAGTGTTCACAAGAAATTGTGGACGACGGACGGACGGGGGCGACGGCAATATACGACCACATTTCCATATGGGCGTATAAAAATGAAATAGGTTTAAAGGAGCTAAATCGCTAATATTTATGGCCTAGAAATTGACACAAATGGTTCGAAATGCATATAATAATGTAATATGAATGTATATAAACTGATTTACTTTCAATCGTTTCTGTTTTACTGTAATTTCTAAAAACCCTAGAAGTCTCATTGAATTGCAATCTTTTGCTTCTGGTTATTCCAGTCTACACTAGTAGTAATTATTGTCCATGCTCTCCAGATAAGAATATGACGTCACCGTTTGACATGAATTGTGGAATATATCTAGACTCGTTCTTTGAGTCCCTTGTTACAAATGGCGCTGAAACTATTATGGTACACGGTAAAATGTTTAGTTTGTCTTAAATATTGGATATCAGAAGCCCATCTTTTCACAGTAAGATAACATCATTGTTGATTTAAACTGACCAATAATTCTTGTTTTCAATGTCGAAGTTTGTGGATGATACTGATTGTCAGTTCGGCACATGCGTTGTACTCTGAAATTCTCCTTTTCACTTGATTGACACCCCATAGTATCCCCATAGTCAATGTAAAGTTTTCAGAATGATGCAATTGATGATTTCCTTACCTGAACGTTCGACGACCGGTTCTTGATCATCATCTTCTGTTAAGTCAATCGTTGTTCCGTATGATGACCCAAAGTTACCTCCCCTTCTCACTAATTTATTCGTAACAGGATCCATAACATACTGAAATGTACCTAGATCAATATTAGCCTCTTCCAGTGAACTTCGTATTAAATCTAACTCAGCACTTGTCTTGGGTTTGGGTTCGGTGTAAAATAGCCCCGTCTCTGGATCTAGTTCTCCGACAAATTGAGGTGTTTGAGGCTGTAAGGGAGGTTCTTGTAATGGCGGATCTTCTTGGTGTTCAGTTGTTTTAAACGTTTCATCCCTTCTCTCCTCGTTATCTTTCAATATCTCTGGTAAATCAATCGGGACATTTCTCTCCACTATAACAGCTGGGGTTGGTGGTGGGGTGGTTGGCATCGTGGATTCAACTTTCTCCTGAAATTGTGGAGAAAAATATCAATGTCTTTGTGAGAGGCCCCGGAGAAAACTGACAGGGTTGGACACAGGCCACCTAACTCTCTGTCACGTTCTAGCCAGGCATAGAAACCAAGCCACTAGATTCAATGAGAGACATTATTATCTAAATGGCAGACATTATCGTTAAACCATTCGGCCACCCAACGTCCCCTTGTTGAATCGAGGATACAATATAGGATGACCTTAGCCTATATTCAGGCCTAGATGTAGACTGATGAGAAAAATAACAAACCATATTTCTGAAACAGCTTACCTAGAGTTGTGTTGCTATAGTGTACTGTGGGTATATTTATCAAACAGCTTACCTTGAGTTGTGGTTGTGTTGCTATAGTATACTGTGGTTTTATTTCTCTAGTTGCACTACTGGTCACACTGACTGAAGCAGGGTTCGTTTGTTCTATCAACGACATAGCTTGTTCTACAAAATAATCAAATAGGGTTGAACAGGGTACTTGGCTGGGGGAGTCACAGTGACTCAGTGATTTAGACGCTGACCTGCCAACCAGGAGGTCTCGGATTTTCTCCTGGTATTGGCCGAGAAAGTTCCTCAAGAATTAGCCTCGTCAATCATGCAGGATCGAAGGCCTGTCTAGTCCTGTGTATACGATGGCATGCATTTAACTCTTAACTGACCCTTATAGTGTTACCATTAAGTAACCATGACGACAAATGTTGACAAACCTGCTTTCTCAAATGCAATGTTCCTAGCATAATGAGAGTTACTTCCCTTATAAACAGATGACTTTCATTTGTTTACTTTCTATTTGACATTTTGACAGTTAACAATCGTACAGTTTCTTCTTAATAAATGATAATAAAATGGTGATATGTCTAGGTCTATACGAAAATCTTCTGCTTATAATAATATCATGATTTATATAGCACTTGATTACAAAACATTTAGTTCCTAATGCGCTATCAAGTATTTCCTCTTTGGTCACATCAAACTATTTTTAAAAAAAAGATGGGTTTTTGATCTTGACTTGAATGTTTTGATAGATTTGGATTGTCTAATTTTTAACAGGGTTCCCGCGGCTTCATCAAACATTTTTTCAAGGATATTCAAGGATAAATATACGTCAAATTCAAGGATTTTCAAGGACATTTTTTAGCCTAAAGTTACAATTTTTCATCTTAAAAATAACCAAAACATTACCAACTATCGTTATAAAACTTCTAATCTAAACGGGATTTTCATATCAACTTACTATTATTACCAATTTGAAACAAAATTAAGGATCTCAACTGAAATTCAAGGATATTTTCCTATTTCCGCGAAATTCAAGGATATTCAAGACCTTGAAAATGAAATTTTAAATTTAAGGATATTCAAGGATTTTCAAGGACCGCGGGAACCCTGTTTAATTGGTAACTGGTTACAGGGATATGGTGCTGCAAACGCAAAAGATCGTTAGCTGACTTCAAGCCCGACGGTTTTTAGGAGATCAGGAATATCAAGGGTGTCAAAAGCCGCAGAAAGGTCAGGTGAGTTACCTACCAAGTCACCAAGTGTCTATCTACATTAATTGAGTTACCAAGATTATATATATATGAATTGAGTTAATGAGTTACCAAGAGTATATCTACATTAAATGAATTACCTACCAAGATTATATCTATATGAAATGAATTACCTACAAAGAGTATATCTACATTAAATGAGTTACCTACACAGAATATATCTACATTAAATGAGTGACCTACAAAGTGTATATCTATATGAAATGAATTACCTACAAAGAGTATATCTACATTAAATGAGTGACCTACCAAGAGTATATCTACATTAAATGAGTGACCTACCAAGAGTATAATAATGTTCTGATGTAGATGTTTCTTCTGGTTGTTCAGTTGTTTGATCTAATTCTAAAACCTCATTACTAAAAATACAAAATAACATAATAATATAACTAGCTTTACCAGATAAACACTGTACTATACTTTTCAAAAAAGTAGGGGATATTCAGAAACAATACAAAACTGCGGAAATGCACTGCTGTTTTTATTAGAGGTCACCAGCGTGTGTTAATAACAGGCCAAATGCCTACACATGAACATAAACAGTTCATATGGGCGGCTTATCTGACGGACCCATTTCACTTGCAAAGAGATACACCGTCAAAAGTGAAAATAAACACTATACTATAACTAGTTTCACTATAACTAGCTTTACCGAATAGACCTTGTACTATAACTAGCTTCACCAAATAAACTTTGTACAGTGGACTCTGTCACATCCGACATCGTGCGGGATCGTTACAATAATTCGGAACACACAGCATTTCGGAATACCGAGTTTTCTCCAAAACCGGAAATACTGTAACTTCGAAAACCGGAAGTATTTTTATATTGTAGCTTCGAATCACCAGAATGCTATTCCCTTTATAAATGATAAACTTTTCTGTACTTTCAAAATTTTATTATATTAAATAATTAACAATAACAATGCATGCGTACAATATATTCATAAATCGTTTACATGTAATATCAATGCATGCGTACAATATATTTATAAATATCAATGCATGTAATCGTTTAAAGTAGTTTGCTTAGTTAAGATTACCGGAAGCATATCGTAAGGCGGAGTCCTGGGCAACATCTTCTAACAAATGAATTGTTGCGATCATCTTTTCGTCCTTAATCTGTGCGAAGTGTTTAATGTCGTGGAGCATGCTTAGGAATTTTGAATAGGTCAAGTCGGTCGTTAATGTATATTCTTCATCGTCCCCGTCTTCAGTCAATTGTCATTTATAATCTGTCGTTCTATGTCCAGTTTTTCAAGCCAATCAAAGTAAACGGCACTTGTCATCCAAGCTTTGCGATTGGCCGACCAATTGACTGGCAGGTAGATCTTGTTCACTCCCTTAAAACAACTCTGGTTCACTGCTTTACCGATCAAAGTAATCAACACAGTTTTAATCTCACCGATAATTGATTGGTGATTACTTGTTAATGTTTTCTGACTTCACACCCATTGAGTTTTAATCTCACCGATAATTGGATGCTTCACACCCACCGTTTGAAGTACGGATTATACGGTGTCGATTCAATGGAAATTATGTGACGGGACGGCTGATTGATTTCGGAATCCGGAACATACAGAATTCGGATTTACCAGCGATTTTTTGGCTGAAGTAATAAGGAAATAAATCGGGACATGAAAATCATACCGGATGTCACAGCAATCCGGAGTGATCAGAGATCGGATGTGACAGAGACCACTGTACTATAACTAGCTTTACCAAATAAACCTTGTACTATAACTAGCTTTACCAAATAAACCTTGTACTATAACTAGCTTTACAAAATAAACACTATACTATAACTAGCTTCACCAAATAAACCTTGTACTATAACTAGCTTTACCAAATAAATCTTGTACTGTAACTGGCTTTACAAAATAAACACTATACTATAACTAGCTTCACCAAATAAACACGTTACTATAACTAGCTTCACCAATTTAAATGCCAGTGCCGGATCTACTTTCAGACACCTTGAAAGCTGAACCCTAGAGCCTCAAGAACTGGGTGGCATCCGGCCAAGGTGTAAAATATTTTTACCATAAGCCTTTCTTACATGCACTGTAGTCTTAAACAACTGTCATCATCATCCTCATCCTGGCCTTTTCTCAAACAGACCTCAATCTTCCTTTTGTCTATTTCTGCAAATAACCATCTCCATCAGTCCCATAGGTGAAGAAAAGTAGGATGTGAAACCCTGTTGCAATTCATTTCTGCAACTATACTATTCAAAAAAAGTAGGGGATATTTGATTTTGGGGGCATAATACTAAAATATGCAAATGACTACGAAAAAAGTCACTATAGAACCTAACAGAAGAAACATTTCCAGTTACATGTGACGCCCAAACGCACCAATAGCTACCGCATGGAATGCAGGTGATGCTTGGGATCATCATGGGGGTCCAACCCAAGATTTGCACGACTCTGACTTTGAATGTTACAGTCATTGTGGCATTGAATTCCAGGGTGGAAACATCAGTTTAATTGTTTTAGTGACCAGAAAACAAATTTTGATATGCGTCGGCTTACCCAAAATGAAAGGTTACGTGCCCTTGGCATGCTACAGATCGGCACAACACAGGCGGTTGTGGCGCGGACGATGAATGTTTCTCAGTCTGTCATAAGCAGGCTATGGTCCAGATACCGTGATACACAATCTGTACAGGACAGACCACGCTCAGGTCGACCAAGGGCGACAACTCAAGCCCAGGATCGATTTATCCGTACCTTGGCCTTGAGAAATCGTGTCATCACAGCAAATCAGATCAGCGCTCGTCTTCAAACAGACACTGGTGTGAGAGTGAGTGGCCAGACGATTTGGAATCGACTGCATAGGGGTCACCTTCGCGCCCGACGTCCTCGAGCGATCCCTTGTTTGAGAGATCATCACATTCAGGCAAGACGTCGTTAGTGTAGGGATCGTCAACACTGGGATAATCGACGCTGGAGCAATGTGATGTTTTCAGATGAGTCAAGGTTCACTGTTGATTTTTTGGACAGACGTAGGAGGGTGTGGCGTCGTCGAAACGAGCGCTTCCAAGACGTTAACGTCATCAGACATGATTGATTTGGGGGTGGTTCTGTTATGGTGTGGGGAGGCATCACTGTTGCTGGAAGAACGGCTTTACATGTTGTTGCAGGGCGTGTTACAGGCCAGTACTACCGGGACAACATCTTGGCAGTCCATGTTGTGCCGTTCGCACGACGTCATGGCCACCGTTTCATCTTCCAGGATGACAACGCAAGATGTCACAGGGCCAGGATCGTTACAGGTTACCTCCAACAACAGAACATCACCACATTACCTTGGCCAGCATCGAGCATGTCTGGGACATGCTTGTCTGGGACATGCTTGGACAGAGGTTACGTCAACGTCAACAACGTCCTGCCAATGTCCAAGAACTTGCTGCTGCGTTGCAACAGGAATGGGACAATCTGGACCAAAATGACCTTAGACGTCTCATTAGGAGTATGCCACGTCGGATCAATGCTTGTTTGGCAAACAGAGGAGGATTTACCCGTTACTGACTTGGTTGTGATGCTGTGGTAACTTTGCTGTTTGACCCCGGGTATCATTTTACCCTTATAATGGTCAGTCTGTGCCTTACTTAGTCTAACGATCATTTGGAATAAATCGATGAATGTGAACTTCATTTCATTTTGTCATTTGTTTCTTTGTCAGTTTCATTAGGTGACTTTAATAACACTTAAAAATCAAATATCCCCTACTTTTTTTGAATAGTATATTTTCATCCCACAAAATTTTTGTGAACAATGTTCCGAGGTCCTGATACTTTTTCAACCTCTGCAGCGTCCAATCCATCACTTACCTATGATTATCAGCAGGCTTGTCCTCTATTTCAGCTTGCGTCTGTTGAGCAGATGACATTCCTAATATGGCCTGTAGAGTAGCCTGATCGGTTGTTCCGCTAGCTGCGAGAGCCTGGGCCTGTTCTTCTGTTACATCATATTCAAACCATTCGTTACCACCAACCGTATTGACCACTTGTCCTGCCATTATTAAATAAAGATAATCAAACATATGGCTTCTTGTCAAGCGAGAGAGAGAGTGAGAGAGAGATGGTGTTTAATGTCCACTGGACACAAATTAGGTCATTTTGGAACTAACATTTTATTTCAATAATTCATTTGCGTGTAAGGGTCTTTAGTGGGAGGAAAGCGGAGGAACCAGAGAAAACCCAGGAGGTTGGACAGACGGAAGATGTCTTTGTTAAAATACTGAATTCTTGCATATGAAGCAGCATAAAAAAACCTAATCTGCACAATAAAAAGTATTAAATTGTTAAATGAGTGTACCTGGTGATGAATCAGTAACTGTATCAGGTACTATACCAGCAGCTTGTATTAATTCAGCTAATAACGACGAGGTACGACCTTCACTCTCGGCTTTATTTCTGGGTACCGCAGCCCCACCCTAAAAATAAAAACAATCATTATATCGTCATTAAAATTCCTTTATTTCTAGATACCTCAGTACCACCCTAATAAAAGAGAGAGAGAGAGAGAGAGAGAGAGAGAGAGAGAGAGAGACTTTTGGTTCAATTCTATTTCAATTATTTGATTGCATATAGGGGTCTTTAACAGTGGGAGGAAACTGAGGGACCCGGAGAAAACCCACAAAGTTTACTCCTTGTCACGTACAAGCTTGGAATCTAATTACAGCACCGCTTTACTTAATGCCAGACCTTGTGATCAAACGTGCATGCGTTAAAACTATCTCACAACCCAACCCTCTAAGATAAGGGGTTGGACAGGCAACCCTATTCCTTGTTATATTAAAGCAAAAGAAAAATAAGAAAAACCAATATACTTACCAGTTTACTCTGTCCGCCTGTAGATGCTGTTGTTATGATAACTTTACGTTCACCTATTTTACCTGAGGGTAAGGTTGATGTTGATTGGCTAATATTAACCCCTGGGTTTCCTTCCTGTTTCTGTATAAATGTAACCAATTCCTAAAACATTTATTATTTGTTCCAATAAATCCATTTTTAATTTTTTAAATCCAATAACCTAATTTTGAGCATATCCTGTTTATATTATACTGAAAGAAAATGAACCATTTTTGGACTTCGGGGAACTCAAGATCTGACTAGCAACTGGCCTTAAAATATTTATCGAGACTCAATAGTCGTGATAACTGCGCTTGAAAGAGTAAATTATTCGAGTTGCGTTGAGGGGACATAACACTAACCTGCTTAATTCAGCATAAATTGCCAACTCATTTGATAACAGGACTTAGGATTTGTGAAGACTTGAAACTCGACTCAGTACTAAAGTCAGTGACTTGTATTGGACTTAAGATGTGGCGACTTTGGGATTCGATTTGGACTATAGCTTCCACGACATGTTCAGACCATTGCCAATGACTATATAAAAGGAATAGCCGAACAATCTCACTTAAGCCTGAGGAGTTTGCATAAACTCAGCACAAACTTGGTCATTTTGGGACTAAAATATGGTTCAATTTAATCTCATTTATTCGCTTGCATGTGGTGGTCTCAGAGAAAACCCACGAGGTTGGACAGGCTACCCTACTCTTTGTCATGTACAAATGGGGAATCGAAAACCATGCCTTTTGACACAATGACAGACCTTATGATGCAACGTGCACACATTAACCATTTGGCCACCCAATCCCCGCATACAAAAGAAAATAATAGAATCACTAACCTTTTCAAAAGCTGTAGGATTAGCGAGAACTGTAGAGGATGATTTAGATATCATGGTAGGAGTATGGGGACGGCGTTGTTGAGTTTTCTGGACAACAATAACATTTGGTTTCGATACTAAAAAAGAAAGAAATGGAGAACAAATATTTCAACCATCAGACTATTTGTGTTGATCAAGACATTTATACCAGGGATGCTATTTCAAACATTTTTAGTTGGATCCAGAATTAGGTCACTAGAAATTTTTGTCTGCTTCAGGAAATAAGGTCAATAAGCTTCCATTCCCTTTGATGGATTTTCAATAGAAATATCTCTTATGTTATATAGCATATCGTCTTTTAAATAATGTTTATGATTAGTTCAAAATCCGATGACACGATGGATGTTACTAAAAATAGAATAAAATAGAATGGACGGCACCTATCAATTAGACAATTAGAAAAAAATTACAACATCCTGGTCCTTTTCAATTTTCTGATTGGTTAATAGAACAGAAACCTAAACTAAGTATGAAAGCTAAATTCAGTTTTAATTGACCAATAATCTCATTAAAATACAGATCTTTACAATATTTTAGGCCATATAAAAAACAATCGGTTTCTCAGATAATCCAGCGGTCTATTTAATTATTGCACATAAAATTATTTAGCCAGGTCACAGGAAGCAACTCTATTACAAACTTGAATGAATCCAGAAATGTGACATAGGCTCATTTATCAAGTATGCAACCCTGATAAATGTAACTGACAAATATAATTGATACTGGATAATTTAGGCTACACATTCCTATAAACAACATGAGAGATAAATTTAGCGCTCTTTGAAATTTAACGTAATTGTTTATAAGAAGTCATTTCGCCCAGTAATGATCCTTTGACAAAATAAAAACACAAGAATAAAAAACTCCCTCCAGTGTTAGATGTTTTTTCGTAAGGATTGTCTGATAACCAGATTATTTTTTTTGTATGGCCTTACTTTTCATAGATAGTCTGGCATATTTGTAATATAAGAGAGAAATGGGTTTAACGTCCACTCGATACAAACTAGGTGATTTCAGACTAACAGATAGTTCAATTTTATTTCAATATTTCACTTCCACTTCCATGTAGGGGTCTTTAGCAGTGAGAAGAAATCGCAGGACCCAGGGAGAAACCCCTTGTGGTTGGACAGGCGACCCTACGCCTTGTCACGTAAAAAGCTGGGCATCGAAACTAGGCCACTTGACTCAATGACAGACCTTATGATTTCACGTGCATGCTTTGAACCACTAGACCACCCAACCCCCTATTTGTAATATAATATCGTATTACCTGTGGTGCCACCTGCTGTTTTTACTGCCGTTAAATGTAATGTTTTAGGATTGACAGTAACTACATTTGGCTTTGTTGTTGTGATTACACGGCCACCAGGTGTTGAAATATTCAATACTTTTGACGTCTGTGAACCTAGAAAAATAATCAACTTATGATATTTAGAGCACTCCAGGTGAATCTACACGCTAACTGTCAGACATATTGGTGGAAGAAACACTCGCGTAATAAAAGATGTCGGCCTGTAAATCTTATTAAATTATCTATCACTGAACAACAATAACAATACCTATTTGCGACAGGTATAGCGTCTGCCAGGATTTGAACCTGTCATCTTTAGTGAAGAAGATATACAGTACAGACTATGCAGTCAGTCATAATGGCTGCTCAATAGAGTACCAAAGGTTATAGGTCACATGATGTTTTTGTATTGTAGTAAGTGGAGCATTAACTTTGATGGAATTGTGTGCAATATGTGTAGTTTAATGGTTGAGTGCAAGACATTAAAGTAATATATTGATATTGCACGAGGGATATATCTATATATTACACAATGTCTTGCCACGAGACCTTTAAACAGCTTAAAATACAGACACTATCGAGCAAGTGCATTTCACAGAAATACGTCACACAGGTCCAATATTTCAACTAGTATAAATAATATATGCTTGGCACATTGCCTGTACCATTATTTGAAATAATGGTACGCCAACATCAAAGGATGACGTCACATTTGTATTTTAAAATAACTTATTAATATTTATCATTATGTAATTTACCTGATCCAGTATTAACGACTACAACCGGTGTACCTGTAGAGGTGGTACTAGATAAATGTGATGGTTTAGGTAATATTTTACTAGTTGTACCTTGGATACTCTGTGTAATAATCTTCATACCTATAACAAAAACATCAATAAATACAGACTAAGCTGGGAGATATGGCTTGGTGAGTAAGACGTTGACTTGCTAACCCAGAAGTCCTGTGTTCGATCCTGGTGTTGGCCCGTAAAGGTTTTTCAGGATTTTCTGGCGTGTTTCCGCCTTGTCGGTTGTGCAGGACTGGGGGCCTGGGAAGTAACAATGTATAGTCATTCGGACAGGACAAAAAAGCGAGGTCCTGTTTGCAATAACCGCATGCACGTAAAAGAACCCTTGACAGTTGGAATTTGAGATAAGAGTAGTCAATAGAGCGGCTGTCCAGGCAAAATTTTTCGCATATAGTACACTGCTTGGCATATGCCTGTCTTCATTAGCCCAATTAGAGCAGAGCAGTACGTGGTTAAACCCAATTTCATTTCATGTCATTAGAAATCTTAGATTGCAAGACAATACCTAAATATTTTCTTTGGTCAACAATCTTTTTCATATGTTGCGTAAAATTTATGGAATAAAATTGCCCAGATTTTAAGGACCTGTTCTAAGTGTTATAACTTTTAAAAGTCAACTTTAGGATGTACTTTGTCAAATTGTTTTGTACTGCCATCTTGTTTTAGACAATGTTTCATTAAGAGAAACTCACATCCATCTTGTTTTAACATGAGCAACTTACGACCATTCTGTTTTATCTATATTGTTGGTTTAAACAATGTTTTAACAAGAGCAAGTTACGGCCATCTTGTTTTAACAAAAGCAAGTTACGACCATCTTGTTTTAACAAGAGCAACCAACAGCCATCTTGTTATATGTTTAGAGAATGTTTCAACAAGAGAAACTTACCGCCATCTTGTTTTATCTGTATTGTAGGTTTAGACAATGTTTTAACTTGTATATTCTGTAATGACTGGGGTGATGGATGAACAGGTTGTGATGTCATTGGTATAACTACTCCAGGTTTATGTTGCTGAAAAATAAACATACCATTAAAATCATTTTTCCGAAACCAATTGTTTAAGGCATGTCATCCCCCTAGTCATAAACTACTTGAATTTCTCAATTTCATATATTATAATTTTGATAATAAAGACAGAAAGATAAATGGGGTTCAACGTTCGCTGGACACAAACTAGGTCATTTCAGGACTGCAATATGGTTCAATTTTATTTCAATAATTCCCTTACGTGCAAGGATTTTTATCAGTGGGAGGAAACTGGAGTACCCAGAGAAAACCCATGAGGTTGGACAGATGACCCTACTCCTTGTCATGTTTAAGCGGGGAATCGAAATCACGCGACTTGACTCAATGACAGACGCTGTAATTTGACGCGCTGCATGTGTTAACCCAATGTCCCCTTTCATAATAAAGAGAGAGAGAGAGAAATGGGGTTTAACGTCCACACGACACAAACTAGGTCATTTCGGGACTAACATATGGTTTAATTTTATTTCATTAATTCGCTTGCGCGTAGGGGTCTTTAGCAGTGGGAGGAAACCGGAGGACCTGGAGAAAACCCACAAGGTTTTTCATAATAAAAGATGTATATATTTTTATACGTACTGTAGGAAATCTCTGTCGTGGTATTGTTCTAAATCTTGGTTTACCGGCTAGTGTAGGACTAAATGATGGTGGTGAACCCATTAAAGGGGAATGTGTCGATACTACAACAAAACATATCAAATATAAATACCTTGCAGATAATATCAATATCGGACTCAACCAATTAGTTGTCCATTAAAAACAGACATTTTCTTTCACGATAAGAATAAAAAAAGAGAGACATGTTGTCATGAAGCCATGGATAGAGGATATTTGATACAGCCGAGGTTCAGTCTAATACTATATCTAGGCCCAACGAGAGACTGAATCAACTAAAAATTTAGTTTAGATATCCAGAAAATGAAATATACATCCACAGCAGCTAAATTGTCAGAACCGTCCTTAAAAGTGGTTGCATTGTGAATCTGATTTTACATTGTACAATGAGTATAATTATGATTAATGGATTGTTAATTGTAAATTGTTAAGTAAAGTAGTCCTGGACAATTTGGAGACAGGTGGATATCATATAAATATACTGATAATAATAAGACACAGCAGGCTTAAATGAGGGTATTGTAATATAGTGTCCAGATAATCAAGCCTACATTGCCCAGATGATCCATGTTACACATTAAGTGACTCGAGTGTCTGGGTAATCTGGATACAGGGCTGTCGGTAATTTTTCACAGATGATTAGCAGCACTGCTAATCAAAAAGTCCAATTTTGCCAAATTTGATTAGCAAATTTAAAAATTGATTAGCAAATTTAAAAATTGATTAGCAGTTTTTCAGTTTCAAATCAACATAAAACACCTAAATAACAAGATTATTTTAATTTTAATTGATAGCAAATGATTAGATTTCATTCTTAAGATTTTTTAGAATTTTAGCACTTCCACAGCTAGCTGTGAACATTTCTGAATGAACGTAGACTTTTGTTAGGCCTTATGTCTGAAGCCAATTCTTGGCAGTGGCTTCTTATTTCTTCGTTAGAAAACAATTTCGTCTGCTTTTTATCGTGTGTTATTATTTTTGTTCAATCGGAAGCACGCGGTATTTTACGAATAATCTCGATTAACTAGACGCACGCGATATAAACAATAATAGTTTACGGGAATTCTTACTTTTATTTCTCACTTTACAATACGTTTACACGTATTTATTTTTTATATTTTATTTACAATACGTGGGGGATACACTGAATTTATTTTTTTTCAAATTGAATACTGATATAATTACTCGAAATTGACATGTCTCGCAACGTGAGTGGTACTACTTGATTCCCTATTTCCGGTTTAATAGTCCCGATTCACAGAGTTATGTCCCTGTATTATATAGTATCATCAATTGAGTCTGGGTAGTTTATAAAATTTATTTGATATTTTATACACGTTGAAAGTGTTGAGAAATGTGGATAAATCTTTGTGTCAATATCCAAAATGACAGGCATATTAATGATTCGCAGTTACTGCGAATCAAAAACGTTAGATTTTAATTTTTGATTAGCAACGGACAAAATATGTATCGCAAATTGCGCTGCGCTACTGGTAGTCGGCAGCTCTGTCTGGATAGTATATAAGTACAAGTTCATCAACACACATGATATAACTACAGGTATAGAATTATTTCAACTTACTTGTTGTTGTTGGTGATGTAAATGCATGCGATGAAACTGTGACGATGTTAGGCGATGATATTGATACAGGCGGACTACTAGGCATCATAATAGAACCACGCGTCATACTGGCTAGAGCTGTTGACGTGGCCGTAGAAGCACGTACTATTGGTACGGATACTGATTTATGTAAAACTGTTGGGGTCATGGACTGTCCTGAACTTGTTACAAGAATAACCTAAAATAACAAACAAAAAACCCATAAACATCAACGTTCGATTAGAGTTTGACACAAACTATTTGTTTATTAATGGGCTTCTCTAATCTTTATCAAACAATGATAAAATATAACGAGGCAATATACACTGTCACCGAGGTATTATTTAATCTTTGTAAAAAGCATTCAAAATTGACAATGTCTACCAGAGGCAAACTAGGTCATTTCGGGACAAACATATAGTACAATTTCATTTTAAAAATTTGCTTGTGTGTGCGGAACTTTAACAGTTTTAGGAATCCCAAGGACACTGAGAAAACCCATCAGGTATACGACCCTACTCCTTGTCATGCTGAAGCTTAGGATCAAACCACACTACTTGACTCAGTTACAAACCGTATGATATAAAAATCAAGCATTTCACCACTCAACCACCCCTTCCCCTCTCCCCAAATCTATAAAAATAATTTTAACCTTTGGTGGTTGTGAATGTGAAGTTGAAGGTATGCCACGCCCTTGGGGACTCTTACTGATGGTAATTTTAACGGGAGACATGGTATTATGGGAAGATTGCGGTGTTGAACTGTATGCTATTCGTGGTGTCTGCGTTGACACAGACGAGAGATTCATTGTGTCAGAGGATTGGCTTCGTCGTCGTTTTCTAGTCTGTAATTCTTCCTCATCATCTGGATGTAAAACTCCTAAAATTTACAACAAAACTTTGACAATCATATAACGATTCAAATATAAATTATTAAAGAATACTATACACTGTATTGCAGGTATCATTTAATCTTGTGTATTTAGCATTAATTTATCATACATTCATTCAATATCAATTCTCTGACTGAAAATTCATATAAGCATTTAAAATCACGAAAACTCATCTAATTTGTACTTGTGTCATGTTTAAAATGATACCCAGGTTGCAGTCCATTCACAGATTGTTCTCAACCTAATTGAAATAGATCACTTAAAAATAGATCAGCAAAACAATTGGTACAGTTTAAATATGATCAATATTGTATACCGATACCTCAGATTCGCAAGAAATTTTTTTCAAAGGATCTGACAATTTTTAACAGTATCCAAATTTTTTTTACATAAACTTTTATAGATAAAAACTATAAATTTAATTGTATTAATTTTGGTTTAAGGTTAAATTCTTTGAAATTTTAATTCTATGGCAAGTAAAACTGACTGGCAGTTCTTCAGACAACCAAATTTCACTGCTCATCATTTAAGACTGGCAAAGCTGACTGAAATTAGAGGCCTAATTCTGTCAATAAATAAGCAAAAATCACCTTTAATCTATATAAATAAAATCAAAGTATGTATGTGTGTGTATATGTGTGCATGTTCGCCCATCAAGCTTCGTCGACGCGCTCCATCCTCACATATGTGGTATCAAATCTACAAGCATGACCCTGTGAATGTTTAGGCCATTGAATTTGGACCCCAAGCGAATTGGGTCCCAGCAAATTGGGCTCCCGCCGATTTTGGGCCCCAGACAAAGCCGGGTATTCTGCAAGTATGAAATGAATTGGAGATTAACGTCCTACTGTTTAGCTCCGACTGGAGTAATGAAGACGGGCATACAACATACTGTGTTCTATAGTGAAATTTTGCTCGGACAGCGGCACTACGGCCTACGCTTATATCGAATTCCAACAGCCAAGGGTTCTTTTACATGCATTCCTAAACGTCGTCCCTTGCCAGAACCACTGCCTGCATATAATGTACCTTTAATATGGATTGATGCACCACTTGGTAGAACTACCACATTAGAAGTAGGACTGGCTGGACGAGATAATTTAGATGTTGATGTCCCTACTGATGACATACTGCTAGAATACATTGGTGGTGGTGGTACTGAAAGAAAAAGAAACAAAATAATTATCAGAAACCAGTAGAAAAGGAGACAAGTTTGTCATTCTAGACAAATAATGTAAACAAGAGAGTGAGAGAGAAATGGTTTTTAACTACCACTCGACACAAGCCAGATCATTTTGGGACTAACATATGGTTCAATTTTATTTCAATGAGTCACTTGACTCAATGACAGATGTTATGATTTTATGAGCATGTTTTCAACCTTCTAGATCAACCAGTGAATGGAATTTAGAATCTCAAGACAGGTTTAACCACTACAGCCTTTCCAGGGAGGAAAATTTTAGCCTAAGAACAGCATTTCTGTCTACTCTTCACTGATTTCCTACTATCACGGTTTTCATATCACCCGAACTTGTGCTAACCCTGACAAGTGGTTATTGGGTTGGATAAAACCTGAGAGTCTTCCCTGGCCAAGCTGGGATTCGCTGAGAAACAAAAAATCTTTCATAAAAAGGTATCAGTTTTGGTACTTTTTAACATCTACATGTATGTGTTCTATATACATTGAAAAAATTAAATAGGAATTAAAATATGACCAACCATCTCGACCAGCTGTATTCTTAGGCATTGGTAACATCGCATTTTTCTCTGCCTGAGCATTAGCCACCTGATTGGCTGTAACAGTAAATGCTGTCTGTGGTACAAGACGTGGCATCAATGGTATCAATCTTCGGCCCTCTATCAACCATTCTGACGTTGTGTTAGACCCTGCTATACTGTAAATAGTAGAAAGTTGTAATGAAAGCCAGCACACAAAGGATGGTCAACCTCTGACGCATGCTTCACACTTGGCACACTGGATGATTATTGGTGCTTTGCATCTCTGTGAGAGTGAAGCGCAGTGCACTGAAACTGTCAGAGACTGTTGGCTTAAAAAAATTGAGATTGGAACCAGACAAAACAGGCAGTGTGCCAGTCATAGTTACCCCCTACCAAATTGGGCGAGATTGCGTAGCTAATTTATCATTGACGTCATATACATATTTTCACACTTGTTGATTTTTAACAAAATTAATTGAATAATCATACAATTCAAATTAAAAACAATTTTGAATTTCAAATGAAATTTTGCATCACTTGATAAACTTAATTATGTAGGTTTTTATTTGACAACAATCAGCTTCGCTCTACTCAGGGAATGTCAGTTACATATTAATTTTTAGCGATTTTATTATTTCATACATATCCCTTTTAGCAACATTTACTAATAGAAATGGCACTGACTCTAGTAATTAGGATAGGGTTTGAATTCTAGTAAATACATTCAATTACTTGTGAGCTATTGTAGCAAACTTTTCATCATTCACGGCTCGTCGGACTTCAGCTCTATGTCTCTCTGTTGAAATACTGAAATTAAAAGTAAACTTTAAATCATATTTGATATACATAAAGAAAATATGTTGTCAAAATCCACCATTGTTGACGTATTGTTTACATAGTCTTGTACAATTCTAGACACTAACCTTAAAATGTTTTGTAGATCAAGAAGTATTTTTTTCTTTTCTTTCGTCAGATCTCCCTGGGCTCTAAAAGCTGAGAGAACGGCCGAGTAACCTTCAAGTTCAAGTCGTCTCAACACTCTCTTACAATCATCTCTTGACATATCAAGTAACATTGGCCACGACATCTTCACATTGATCCTTGAAAACAAATTAAAAACAATCCATTTAGAAATAAAATCTAATAATATATATGAAATAAAACGGGGTTTAACGTCCTACTGTCCTGTCCGGCTAAAGAAGACTGGCATAGGACCATACACTCATACAGTGTGCTATGCTGGAAATTTAGCACTGACACTCTTTTCTGTTGGCTATTTTCAACAGAATTCATGTACAAATAGCCTTAAGCAACTACGTCTATAGCTGTGTACAAGTTACTACCCAGTTTGTTTGATAGGTCAATTAATTGGCTTGATTTTTTTCCATAGCTGACTGCACTTGCTTGGATTTAAAATCCATACTATACTGATTTTTCTACAGTTACAGTTTGCATTGAAAAGGGTCTTACTGAGTGAAAAAACTACCAGGTCAAAGTATATTTGCTATCGCATGAAAAACCATTGGTTTTATGTGGAAGTTTAGATGGCATTACAAATCCCTGAGTTTTCTTTTGTTTTACCAAAAAATAACTTTCACCTCACTAATTTTTATTCCTGTTTTCTGCATCAATAATAAGTTATTCTCCAAAATTCATACCTTAAAATAATTCTTTTGTTTGTCCGTAATCAATATGGGATAATAGAGGTTAAATTTGGTTATTGAAAACCACAATATCAATAAAAACTGAATTTGTAAACCACGACAAAAATATTTTTATTAAAACGCCGCCATTGCAATTTTGCGGGAGGCTATTGCGCGTGCGTGAAATATTATCCATGTTTTCGTATAAAATATGATATACAAATTCTTTGTTTGTGCAAATTCTTAAATGATATTATGACATTTAGTATACTTATCTTTAACATAGTTCACATGATTTCGGGTTCTTTATCTATGATCTAATGAATGATTTTTTTTCGTGATTGTGAAACAGCGGCTATAACTTTCCTCTCTCTCAATGTTTGAAGGTCAAGGTTGTTATTGTTTACATGTTGAAGCTTGTGTTTGTAAACTTTTTCTTTGTAAATTTTCTGCCGTTTATAATAAAGTATTTTTGAAAATTAATTTTTTGTCTGCACACTGTAAGTATAAAGCTGCGAGGCGCACGTATTTTTTTAAAAACTTTTTTGAAAGATCCTAAGTCGATGGTTTGTCTTGAGATTATCAGACCTCATTTTTTGTCCCATCCAAAAGATTAAATAAATATAAACAGAATACTTTACTTTTTTCGATGTCAATGAGTTTCTTTTTGGAAAATTAGTACATTTACAAAACTACATGTTATACATGTGTAGCCTGATATACTGAAGTGTACTGTTAGCATAATTTACCCAAATTCACCCAAATCTACCCAAATCCATCGTTATTTCAACCCATAAGCCAATAATTTATACTGCACATTTGTTGTTGTTCATGGTGTTTAACGTCCGCATCCACCGAGGGTGATATCTCAGACAAGTTGTCTTATTTTTATTATCTTAACTCACATGTATGTGTCTTTCCTGTGTGAGTACACAGAATAATCCCGCTAGGTTGAGGAGGTGCCTCTATCTCCAAGACACATACAGTCACACCAGGGATCGAAACCACGACGGAAACTCCTGTTAAAACAGCATGATAATTAATTACACGATGCCCGAGATGCAGTGCATGTTATCTAAACTAAAATGTTATTCCGTTAACCGTGCAGGTTTATTAATGTAAACTTATTCTAATTTCAGAGTACGTTATGTAAGATGGGTGATGGGGATGAATATCTGATAAAAAAATGTGGACTCAAGTTTGATCCGCCATCTTTAGTGTTGGCTTATGTTGATATAAAAACCAACAAACTTCGACGGAGAACAATGCCGCTACGAGACTTTCACAAAAACTCTAAACTAGACGAATTTATTACAGAATTAAAATCCGCAAAACATGGACAATTTGTGAAATTAATTCCAAGAGGACAGCTTGTTCGGTTGTTGACTATTGTTAAAGACAAATTAAACGGAATGAGTCTGGAGGCAAGCCTTGCACGAAACAGTGAATTAGAAAAAATAGATCCTGAAGAAAATCTGAACAAAGTTGACGATGAAACGTTACAACGCAAAAAATTACAAATGGATGCTTTGTTTGAAAAGAATCGTAAAAAACCTGGTGATCCAGGATTTGAGTATGACATCGAAGTAGATTTTGAAAATCAAGCAAAAATTGAATCATCAGGTTGGGATTCTGATGGGTCTGATCCCGAATTTTGAAAATCTAATGAAATTCATTGCCTTAGGTTACACCACTTCGAAATTTTGTTCTTCTGGAAAGCTTATTAAAGATACTCTTTGATTGGCATTTAGCGATCAGGAAACACATTAACAGAACACAGTTTTTATCGTGCTTGATAAGAATAAGTGAATACTTGTTGAAACGTTGTGCTTTTAGAATAAAACTAGTGATTGTTTCCCATAAAAACTGTGTTTTGTTAATATTAAAGATGCATTATGCAAGATTAAAGAGCTGACAGTTCTCGTTATAATAGTACTGTTAAAGATGTTTTATGTAAGATTTAGATAAAGAGCGGACAGGTCTCACTATAATAATACTATTAAAGATTTATTATGTAAAATTTAGATAAAAAGCTGACAGTTCTCACTATAATAGTTCTATTAAAGATGCATTATGTAAGATTTAGATAAAGAGCTGACAGATCTCACTATAATTGTTCTATTAAAGATGTATTATGAAAGATCTAGATAAAGAACTGACAGTTCTCACAATAATAGTTCTATTAAAGATGCATTATGTAAGATTGGATAAAGAGTTGATAGATCTCGTTATAATCGTTAAAAGATAGATAATGGAAAGGGAATATGTTGAAAAATTTCAGTCAAATTACTTCATTCTGAGCTATGTTAGGGCTGTTTGGAGTCTTGATTGTCATTGCTACCATTATTATGATAGTAAACAAAGTCTTGATATCCAATTTTTAATTAAATCATTATCTGTCAATCATTTTTAAATCTGTTGAAAATCAAGAGCATCCGATGGATTAGAGATTTGATTATGGTCTTGTCATGTTAATAAATGTCTAAATGACAATTTATATAACATTTAAGGCCTAAAGAAAGACCTGCAATAGGCAGATTTAGCTCTTGAATAATGCATCTTTAAAGTTTTGCTTCCTATGTCTTGGGAGGAAAAAAATAATTTAAAACAAAAAGTATTTGATTGCTCTGTTTAAATGCTTTTATTAGAGATTTGAAATTTTAAACAAGAAGTCATTATAGAGGACATGAGTGGCTATTTATGAGAAATAATTTAGCCCAGTAGTGATCCCTTGACAAAATAAAAACACACAAAAAAAAAACCTCCCTCCTGCATCAGATTTTTGGTAAGGACTGTCTGAGAACCATAGTATGACCTAATAAAAGCCCTTTTTTTGGCATATCTCATGTGTTATCATCATTATCTGATGTTGGTACATTCAAAATTGCAAAATTAAAGTTTATATCTTAAAATTAAAATAAATACACTTGCAAAGCTTACACTCTCAAGCTAGTATAGCTGCTAAGCGACTCTGGTTTTACAATGCCATTTATCCATGTAAAATATAACTATTAAAAGGCCCACAATGACATCAAATGTAGAAAAATTAATTTTCATAATGTTATGAGCAAGATTTTCCTTAAATACTGGATTGTTTGAGCTACTTTTCGTTTTATGTGAAAAAAATTTCTATAATGTCTGGGCACTATGCACTGTAACCCGAGCCCCAATCTCTTTCACAAATTGTTTAAACATGCATTATGCAAGAGCTAAATCTGATTATTGCAAGTCTTAATTTAGGCTTCAGATGTTATAGAAAATATAAATTAGATCTGTATTTAAACAACAAGACCAAAATCAACTCTGTAGACCCACGGATGGCTCGCCTACAGCTCGGATTTAAATAGGATTTCACTAATTGATTAAATCAAATAAGGGGTAACCTGATGAAAATACGTCAGTTAGATCGAGGTTAAATGATAGAGTGTACTTAGCGAGGCCGCTGTAAAGCGTTTCCGTATGCCATTGAAAACTTTACTTAATAATCGAGACATGTAGGTGGAGTTAACGCCTGTCAATCAAACGATCAGCGAAGGTGAATACGCATTTCGCTACCATTTTTAGTCAAATATTACAACGATGATAACTATGTTCAGAATATAGTAATTTGACTGAATTTTTCAATATATTCTTCTTTCATCATCTACTTTTGAACTGTTATAGCAAGAATGGCCAACTCTCTATAAAAATCTCCCATAATGTATCTTTAAAATTGACAAAAATTGTTCAATTCTGATTACAAGCATCAAATTTACAAGTGTTTAATTTCCTGACCACTGTTCAAAAATAAACAACCATATTGATTACTAATTTATAATAATTGATTGGGAAGTTATACGCAAGATTAAACTATATTGGGTTTACAGTGATATGAGTACAGGTTTACAAGAATTATAAGTAGAAACTTAAATTGAATCTAAGAATTACCTATTAAATTTCTTGCTTGTTACTTAAATTTGGTAATGGGTGTTAGGATTGTTTAAAGGTAGTTCTGTGTGGAAATTACAAGTACGAGTTCTTTATTCGCACGCCAATGTGTACATGCCAGATGAGACCTCAATTTTTAATTCCATCCAAATGGCTAGACAGCTGTCCTTGTCAGGCCTTTACATGTAAGTCATTTTATAAGTTGGTAAAAAAGTTTTATTCATATGGATGTACATGTTTTTTGGTCATATGTTACGATGTTAAACTTAAAACGTCTTATTTTATTTGCCATTTTGGGATTGTATATATTGTGTTTATTGGGTAAAAAAAACTACGCAAGTCTAAATATGGTCCTAAATGTTGCTAGACTGAACAGGTGCACTCAAAGTTTTCATAGGATTGTGATAATAAAAGTAGTTTAAGTATGTAAATGAAAATAAAATATGTTGGGGGTGGGGGTGTAGGTTGCTGAATGGTTAAAGGCGTGCTGTTAGGTCGTAAGTGGTGTGGTTTGGATTCCCCGCTTGTACGTAACAAGGAGTAGGATCACCTGTCCAACCTTCAGGGTTTTCTCTGGGTCCTTCGGTTTCCTCTCACAGCTGAAGACACATACGCGAATTTTGCCATTTAAATGGATTACATGAACATAGAGCAGTGCAGGACATCTTGTTGTGAATGGAAAATACGAAATAAAGATGTAGTTTAAGATGTAGTTTAAATTAGATCTGATTGCAGTTATCTTTATTCAATATTAATTAAATTTTTGTTCTTCAAAACAACTAATCTTATTTTTCTTCTCCTTTTCTCAGGGAAAAAAACTAATTTAAAAACCAAAAGTTCTTGGTTTCAAATTGCAAACAAAACGTTGTTGACCAAATTAATGTGGCTATTTATTTAATTATCAAGTTTGTGAAGAACTAAAATAGAACATATCAACAACTTGTTTTATTTATTATTCATTGTGCCTATTTCTTTTGAAATGTCCATAATTACCAAACAGATTGTTGGAATATTTATATTAACAATTATTGTTATACTTTTTATCGTTATTAAATTTTGATAACAGAAAAATAAAAAATTACTTTGATCCAAAAAATTTGTTCTGTGTTTATTTAGCCATGTTCATAGTGGAATAAAAGTTGGCAAGACCCTCGTCAAAAAATCATGCAGTTAAAGAAAAATAGAAATTGATTATGTGAATTTGGAATATGCAACAATTTATGATAAATTTACCTACACATGGCCAAGGTGAAGTCAATAAATCAGCTTTCTATTAGAACAACCAGTGAATCTGTCATTTATATCTTACCATTTACCATTTTTAATCTCACAACTTGCAGCTTTACGTAAGAATGGTTTCATAAATAAGAGTCCAGGCCACCTCATTCTTGAACTAATCATAAACATTATTCAGACTCTGAAAACCGGGAACAACAGGGCAAGCTGCATCTGAAACCATCCCCAAGCTGCTTCTGAAACCATCCCAATGCTGCACCTGAAACCATCCCCAATGTCCACATGTTGGCCGGCAGAACAAACCACAGAACACATTCCACGACTTTTGGTGACCTAATTCTGGACTCAGTTAACCCCAACTAAAAACATAAATGAGCATCTCTGGTTCATATGATCTGTCAATGATTTATGTACTGCTCAGTGTTCTTGAACCAGGAACTTGTTTCCACACAGTTGGTCATCATGCTGTTGTCAACGTTCTTTGGACAGTTAGTCTTCATTGATTTCTGACATGATGTCATAATTCTAATAAAGCTGCTGAAATGATATGGGATTTTACATCCCACTGTTCAGTTCCGACTGGCATACATCATACAGTGTGCTATGAAGGAAATTTTCTCCAGGCAGCTGCGCTACAGCCTACTCTATTTTAATTCCAACTGCCAAGGGTTCTTTTGCAACATGGTAACGTATACATAGCATAGCAACTCGGTTTATCATCCCATTCGAAAGACTAGATGAACTAGTCATACAAGGGAGTTTCATGACTGACCATTTATAACAGGGGTGACCTCTTAATCAAATCTTTGTGTTTGTTAGTGTTGATATCTAGTAAAAATTTTATGCTTGGATCCATCGGCAGCTTACCTTAATACTTGCAGTTATGGATCAGCAAATTTGGCCGTTGTTGGACTTCGGTATTGGTATTATTGTTTTCGAAATATTTGGGGGTGTGAATTCGAATTCGCACCCCCAAATATTTCGAAAACAATAATGATTTCTTAGGAGCATAGCCGGCCACATCCTCAGCCCCTCCAAAAAATTCTGTAGCCCCGCCAAATTTTATGAGCTGGCTACGGGCCTGATTGGTATAAAAATACTTTAGACTTGTATACACTTATACTTGTTCTTAAAAGGATAAAAAAAAAACCCAACAAATTCTGAATAATGATAAGTATTTAATCTACAATATAAAAACATTAGTATAATTAATAGATCACTTGAGCTACAGTAGGCCTGCTACATTTTACTTACACATGGCCTACTATATTCTTTAGGCCCAGATCAACTACAGTAGGCCTGCTATATTTAATTTACACATGGCCTACCCATATATATTATCTAATACTTAACAGCTAAACCCAACCAATCATATAATTTACACAAATAAATCATCTTAATACATTTGCTTATTTCATAGAATAATTCCATTAAAATGAAGAACCCTCTTTGAATGTCAGTAGAACAATGAAAGAATAGGGGACTTATTAATGATAAATTATATATTAATTCATTTATAATTTCATAAGACTAATTCCCTTAAATTGAATCCTCTTTGAATGTTAGTGGAGAGAGAGAGAGAGAGAGTTTAACATCCACTCCACACAAATCAGGTCATTTTGGGACAAGCATATAGTTCAATTTTAGTTCAATGGGAAGGACCTGGAGAAAACCCATGAGGTTGGACATGCGACCCTACTCCTTCTCACGTACAAGCGCGAAATCAATACTACGCCACTTGACTCAATGACAGATGCGTCAAACCATTTCTAATTAGAGAACACTATCTGTATTTTTGAGCAGGGACCTCATTCACGAAAACTAAAAGTAAAGTATTTAAAGGAATGTCTTTTTTATTGGTTGAGGGTTAAAATATTATCATAAATTTCAGGTCTAAGCCAATGAAAAGACTGTTCATTAATTAGCTAGGTTTTGTTTTTCAGTGAATATTCCAATTTATAAATCAATTTTTAAGAGTTTACACACAAAACAACTATAGTTTTATTTAACTGCTTTAAGGTCAGGGTCAAGTTAAAGATAAGCAGGGGCATTAACTCAAGATTTGCACTCAGATTCACACCACGATTCTTTTTTACGTTTTTTACAATTTAAAACAAATAAACCTAAATAAAGACAGTACCCTCAATATCATCGTATACATGTATATGAAATCATATTTGGACTACATTCACATACAATATAATATATACATTGAAACAAATATTATGCACATACGCGTGTTCGTGCTGAAAGGCAAACAAAAGTTTCCACCCATGCCAGAATAAAGGCTAAATACAGAGTGTAAGAGACCCTAATATGCAGAGGTGGGAACAAGTTGCAGGACCAAGTCCAAGTCGAGTCCCAAGTTGCTGACCTTAGTACATATTAACATGGATTAAGCCGTGTAAAAATTAGATATTGTCTGAGAAATGCAAATAACTATCAGGGAATTTAAATAATACAATATTGTTCAAGATCGAAAGCAATCTCTAAGGTTAAATATAGTGTTTAAGATGATAGAAAATCAAAAAGTATATACAGAACATTATCAATAAATATTTAAAGACAACAAAAACCATAATCCTATGAGCAGACAACAAACTGAGCATAATTGCGTGACTTTATACAAAAGCTAAATCAATCTACACTGGGTATATATTTATATTTCATGAAAACTCTATCCATGAATCGAACACAAGAGTTTCATAAAGACTATCAGTTCATATTGTGACCTGAGTACGAGAACTGGGGTTTAACGTCCACTTGACACAGAACTCTGTCATTGCAGGACTAACAAATGGTTCAATTGCGCCTTGAGGTATTCAGCAGTGGGATGAAACTACAGCACTCAGTAAAATCCCACGAGGTTGGACAGGCAGCCCTACTCCTTGTCACGAACAAGCAGGGAATTGAAACCACGCCAGTTAACTCAATGACAGATCTTACAACTTAAAGTGTATGTGTTAAACCACTAGACCACCCAGGAAAAAGATAGGTTGCCAGGCAACAAAAAATATGCCAACAGTAGCTAAATATTTATTCTTTTGCAGGTAATTGGGGGCATTTACAAGACAATTTCATACAGATCAGATTATAATATTTTGTCATTTGAGGGTTCACAAGGTTCTACAAACTGAAACAAGGGCCGTAACTCTGGAAGTAATTTACAGAAAATTTTGAAATTTGACAAGATGTTTTCGTTTTAATTATTTAAATAATGCATATAAATCTCATACAGTAAAACAAGGACCATAACTCTAGGAATAATTGACGGAAATTGCTGAAATTTAAGACCTCCATTTCACAAATTTAAATTATGCATATAAATTTCATACATATTGGATGATAACTTTCATCAATCGAGCATTAACAAGGGCCATAACTCTAGAAGTAATTATTGTAAATTGTTGAAATTCAATAGTCTTTGTGGTTTCACTAATCTAAATGCTGCATATAAATTTCAGACAGATCGGATAATTTTTAGCGTTGGAGGGTTCACAAGGTTCAACAAAGTGAAACAAGGGCCATAACTCTAGACGTAATAAATGGATATTGCTGAAATTCAATAGGCTTCTGCGTTTTACTAATTTAAATAATGCATATAAATTTCACAAAAATCGGATGATCACTTTTGGCATTCACAAGGTTCAACAACTCACAAGAGCCATAACTCTAGACATAATAAACAGAATTATTGAAATTAGACAGGCTTCTTCACCTCACTAATGTAAACAACTTATATCAATTTTAAAACAATCAGATGATAATTTTTCACGTAAGAGTGTTCACAGATAGACGGGCGGGTGTGACGGCAATATATGTCCATATGGGTATATAAAAACTGATTAAACACAATTTCATTTTTATAGGTGACAAATAAAGAATACTAACAAGGGGTTGCCATACAAGATACTTTCACATTTTGAAAGAGATGGACAGAGAACAAGCCAAAAAAGTGATTTTTCATACAATCAGGAACCATAATCCATGAAGTTACAGTCCGAAACATGCCAATATCGAAAGTAACCAGATCTTTGGGATATAAACCTATATTTCAGCCTAAATTGTCTCCACATTGACTACAAGGAATATTAGTCTGGATATTAGTCAAAGGTCAATCATACAGAGATTTTAATAAATCTTTCAATTGTTTAAGATGAAAAAGAATGATCGTACTATGTGCACCAGGACCCGAGCATGATGTCATCCCTGCCATCTTGCAATTGTGACATCATATCAAAAATCGTTTGACAATCGATGCACAATGTACAAGGAATTGTTCGAACAACCAGACAGCCAGTTACTGTATACACAATTAATGCTAATTTGTCCAGTCCAATATTCGAAGCAGGAGCTGGGCAACTAAGGCTAGAGGCTGCACAATACAATATAGATGAATAAATAATCAAGCCCCATCATTCATGAATGCTGAGATGGCTTCAGCCAGACAAACAGCCCAATAATTTTACAATCTATTTACAATAAACATAATATATTAACAGTAGATATATGATAATCAAATTATTTCCGACTAGCTCCACAGATGAGTGAATAAAACCTTTAATAATGTTGTTGAAATCAGTTTGTGTTGGCATACCTTTCATTTTTTCATCGTTTACTGTGAAACAAAGTAGTGCAGCTTTACGTTGTGCTAATATTTTGAGATATACATTATATATAAATATAAATATGTCCAGTTAACAGATTTACCAATTAATTTCATTCTGACATACATTAAATTATATAAGGAAGCTGTCTGCCCTCTATAGGTGTATTCCGATATTAATAATGTATACAAAAAATTTAATTTAACCATACATATAAACATTTGTAGAATAATAATTTCCATGGCAATGGTTTAAGATTATATTTCTACAGGGTATATCACAAATCAAAATACAAATATTTTACTTTAAAACAAGAAGTGTAAGCCACTAACAAACTTGTGTAATTTATGTGCTAAATCAGATGTGGGGGGTGGGGTGGGAGGATGGGGGTCAAAGCCCTCTGGCATTCATTTTAGGGGGCACCCAATCACAAAGTGAAAGTAAAGACATTCTTAATTAAAGTTAGATACTGCCTAGCTAAAATGGCCCAAATATGAGCCATTAGTCCTTCAACAAAGAACTGTATTTTTCCCAGACAAATGTCTTTTGGAAAAGGATAAGGAAATATTTGACAAAGACAAGTGGGGATGCGGGAGAAAATATTTTAATAGGGTAGGATAATTTTTTCTTGTATTATTGGTCAGCTCAAATTGTGATATTTGAACTATAAAAATTTAAATGACAGTGTATAACAGATAAATTCTATAGCTCTGTCAAACATCCATTCAAATTAAAGCCTTTCAAAAAAGAGTGAAATTCCTATCGAGCTAAAAGAGAGTTGACTACACAACAGCACTTACGGGGATCAGCATGATTCACGAAACATATAATATTTATTGGGGGAGAAGGCCGCAACATCAAGAAAATACACAATTTTTAGATGGTTCAATTTAAAACAATTCTAAGCTGCAAACGATTCTTTATATTTACATTTTTGGCAGCATAATATTGTAATTTTTTGTGTTTCTATAAAGTTTGTGAATGTCACACAAACTGTTAAAGCTGTGTAGTAAACTTGCTGGTTACTAAGGCAACATGTTTTACGTTGATGTACGACTATCTAGCACACTGTCGGTAAATATTTACAATGGTAGAAATATAGAAATAATTGTGTAGTGGAGTAAACAAATTTTCATTTTTCTGCAGCTTTTGTCGATCTCTCCACGTTAAAATCATAATCATACTGAAAAAAAAAATAAAAAAAATATTTGAAATGCAAGCGGTGTTTACGTTTTACTTTTCTGTATCGATGGGGCTAATGAAGATGGGCATCTACCATACAGTACAGTACACTATGAGGGAAATTTTCAATCTGTTTTACAGAGTATTACAAAACTGTTCTAATATCTCTGTAAAAGATGCCTGCTTTCAACAAATAACGTCATATCACGCGACGTCAATCATTGGTTCAATGGCTCGTGCATTGTTTACATAAGACGTTACAGATTTGAGCAGAATGGCGCCTTTTACTCATTTTAATACTCCTTTACACTAAAATAGGAAATAATTTTTACCTACAAATACCTCAAACGTCTTTATTTATTTTTCTAATACATCAAAAAAAATGTTTTAGAATTTAATTTGTCGGAGGAAAAAAGTTAATATTTGTGGCTCATTAAGTCGCATCGATGTCATCCTTATCAGTGATTGTCGCGGCCTAGCGAATATTCACTGTGGATCAGTGTGGGGAATTTTGCCTAGACTGTGGCATCCCTTATTATCTCTTCCTCGAATTCCAAATGACAAGGGCTCATTTAACATGCATGCTAATCAGGGCTCACACTGTCGGTCGCCAAAGTCGCAATTTGCGATAAAAACATGAAAGTGGCGACTAAAATTTGATTTTGGCGATAATGTTTTGCGGTACTGGCGATTCTTTTTGCGAACTGGCAGAAAAAAATCTTAAAATTCTAATCGTATTTATCCTGGTTTAACCATTAATTGAGTGTTAATCACGTGGCGGAATACTATAAATTAATCAACTGGCTGATAATCTGGATTGCGTCAATGAGTAATACTAATAAGTTGTCTTGAATTAATGATTAGTTGATTGATAATGGCCAATGATGTATATAAAGCCTATCTCAAGTCATTATTTACTCCTAATGATTAATCAAAGCGGTGATTATTTGATGTTTTGTTTCGTCTTAAAAAAATGTTAATACATGCAATCAAAATGGCCGACAGTTCCTTTCGAAAAGAATTAAATATTTGATACCTGAATTCGTTTACAGTGGCTTCATATACGTCATGTAAGACATACAAGCATGCCTATCAAATTATATTATCACCACTGGTCGAAAACGTAAGAACGAGTTGAATAGCGACGATTCTTGAGCGAGAAATCATTTCGCCATATGTATCCTATTACCGTCACCAAAATGATCTAAAGATGAACGACGGGTATAATTGTAAGCATCTCTTACAAAAATATAATTGAAATTTATATCATTCTAGCAGGGATTCAGATTCTAATACCTTTACGGTACCTGAAAATAACTATTGGCCTATTGTACACGCAACACATAATTTATAAAAAATTGGCAATCCTTGAATGAGATCTAACGTGTAAATAGTGAAAATATATTGTGCAGTACGGTGTTCAAATAGACTAAAGTCACCAAAAAAAACCTGACCTTATTAAATCCAAACTGTGCTAATGTATTATATACAGACAGATTTTTAAAGTTGTTGTATATTGTATTCTATATATGGTTAATTGTTTTATAATATTTTTATAATATTTTAATATTATAAAACAATTAACGGTTTTATGTCTCAGCTAGGCTTATTAAAATAAGCCTGGCTGAGACTTAAAATTGTTAGATGTTGTCTTTTTTATCACACATTGGCAGATAAAATATTTCAGTTGGTGGGAAAAAAATATGAACATTTTTATTTATAAAAATTATCATCCATTTTGGCGGAAGAAAATTGAAAGCCAGTGTGAGCCCTGATGCTAATGTATATACGGGACCTCAGTTTATCGTTCTATCTGAATGTCTAGACCGTGGGTGTCAAATTCAATTCAATTCAGGGGCCACTAAAATTTTACATCAAGTGGGCCGAAGATATACAAATATATCAAGATAAAGCCAAACGTCCTTGAACTTTACTGAATTTTGAACAAAGCAAACGTCCTTGACACAGGTTTTTTTTAGACTGGTTTCCAAATTGCCAAGATATAATATTGAACACAACGTTCTCTTGTATTACATACAACTCAGATATCTATGACATACAGTATAGAAGTCAGAGTTATACTGAAACCAGAAAACAATAATAAATGATTTCCATCGTTAGTTTCTAAGAATTATCAACATGTCGGTTTGTTGAAATTTGTTCCACAGGCCACATTCAAACCCTTGATGGGCCAGATCTGGCCTGTGGGACGCATGTTTGACAACCCTGGTCTAGACCCTGTTCCTTATCAGGTCCTTCATCCTGCACCACGGACAAGGGGGGAAACCACTGAACTTACTCCATGACAGACCTTACTATCTAACACTATTCGACCACCCATCCCCCATTTTATTGTAGGAAACAAGAATATATTGTTTAAATGACTACCTGTGTTTCCACATCATATAAAGATTTATATGGTATCCTGGGAATCGTAATCTACAAATAAAATACAGCAATCAATCGTTATACAAACACAATAAAACATGGGTTGCCAGGCAATAATAGAGAGGGAGAGAGAAATGGGGCTTAACGTCCACTCTTTAGCAGTGTGAGGAAACCGGAGGACCAGGAGAAAACCCATGAAGTTGGACAGGCGACAATACACTTTGTCACATACAAGTGTGGAATTGAAACCACGCCACTTGACTCAATGACAGACCGTATGATCCAACGTTACCCCTGCCCCCCTACAGGCAATAATACATATCACAACAGCTTAGTTACCCAAGCAGTTGGTAACAGGAACAATTACCAGACACTAAAAAGTGATCAAGGGCAACAACTGATGAAGCAATTATCAGAAATAATTAAAATTTGAGCTTGATTTGGTAATCAGATAATAGCTATCCACAAGATCAAGGTCAATGATCAAGGGCAATAACTCTGATGTCAGAAGATAATGCAGATGATTATCAAGATTAACTGGGCTAGGTAGCTACAGAGGTGGGTAAAAATATATGTGTACAGGGTAACTGTGTAAGTATCTCTGGGCACACCTCAATCATTTCCCCAATCTAGGATATAGGCAATTCCTTTCATGAAATGAAATTGGGATTAGCTCCGACTGGGCTAATCAAGACGGACATATGCCATGCAGTGCACTATGAGGGAAATTTTGCCCGGACAGCGGCGCTACGTCCTACTCTTATATCGTATTCCAAGTGCTAAAGGAATCTCTTATGTGCGAGCCACTATGTACACAGGCCCTCAGTTTTTCATGCCATCCAAACGACTAGACAGCTGTCGTTGTCAGAGCCTTCGTCATGCACTACTGAAAAGGGTAAAGATTTAATGGATAGTCATCAACAACTTACATTTTGTAACTCAGATAACATTAGAAATTTTGGATTCAACTGCCAGGGAACACCAATCAATGCTATAATAAAAAAAAATTCTTTCTAAAAACATACATTTGTACATTGATCAATCAGTGCTATAATAACAAATGGAAACTAATTTTTCTAAAATATGATATAATTAATTCTGTCAATTTTTCTAAAATATGATATAATTAATTCTGTCAATTTTTCTAAAATATGATATAATTAATTCTGTCAATTTAATGTTAAATACATATTAGCGTGGATTAAACATACATTATGCAAGAGCTAAATCTGAATATTGCAGGTCTTTCTTTAGGCCTTAAATGTTATCTAAATTAATAATTAGACTTTAATTAACTTATCCAAACCATAATCAACTCTCGAGGCATCGCTAGGCTGCGATGTTTATTGGATTATGTTCCGATTTGCTGTTTGACTTCCATTCAGAATTAAATCACAAAATGGATAATCAAGACTATGTTTTTATCCTACCGACTTTAGTAATGATGATCAAGACTAGACCGAAAATTCAATCGCTAAAATCTCGGTTCATAGTGGATCAATTTGACTGAAATTTTCAGCAAATTCCCTTTACAGTATCTAGTTTGTAACTATTATAATGAGAACTGCCAGCTCTTTATCTAATCTCCCATAATGTATCTTTAAGTTGTGATATACTTTATATTTTAGTGACAATTGTCAATGGCGCATTGTTAGTTTCATATGTCTCTCTGAATCAGAGATGGGATTTTGCCCGTATATCCCATCACTGTCTCTGATTGCTTAAAATGTTTATTGGTCTGTTATTTGGTAACCCCCAAAAATAAGGTTCTTAGCCAAAACTTTCAAACAAAGAATTACTTATATCATTCGTCTACTTCAGTCCATCCTAATATCATTAATGGGGGGTCGGGTATGCCTTTGATTATAATGTCAAGTGACGTTCTTTTGATTTCCTGTTTGTACATGACTGTCCCACCTCATGGGTTTTCTCTAGGTCCTCCAGTTACCACAGTCCCATCACAGTGAATTATTGAAATAAAATTGAACCATATGTTAGTCGTGAAATGACGTTAAACAGTGTTATACCCCATCTCTCTGTCTCTCCCCTAAATGATTGATAACATATATTTACCATTAGCTGCTGTAACGTGGTCGTCACCTGCGGGTCTAATAGAGGGTGCAGCTGTTGGTTGGTCCGGATTGAGAGGATATGGTAAACTAGATCCTACGTTAGACCTAAAATAAATAGCATAATAACATCACTATTACAATATATGATCAGCTACTATTACAATATATATATCAGTCACTATTACAATACATAATCAATCACTATTACAATACATGATCAGTTACTATTACAATACATAATCAGTTACTGGGCTAATGAAGAGAAACATACCCATGCAGTGTGATATGATCAGAATTTTGTCTGGACAGCAGCGCTACGGTCTATTCTTATATCGATTTTACATGGGACCTCAGTTTTTCGTCCTATCTTAACGACCATCTAACTTTTGTCGGCCAACACAGGGATCGAACACAAGATTTCTAGGTTAACAACCCAACATCTCACTCAAAATAATAATTAACAAGTTGAATACTCACATGTTGAGAACATTATTATGATAATTATTAACAGTATTTGATTCAACCTGGGATGAACTTATACCACCTGGTAATACAAGTCTACCAATTTTATAACATAACGAAAAACCATTTAATTCACTGGAAGAAAAAAATATAGAATTATGAACATATCATTCATTAATGCAAACATTTTGTGCAATCCCAACATATTTTTCTTTAAAATGGTTGCATCTCTTTAATTTGGATTAAAAATAAAACTGTTGATTTAACTGGATTTTATGAACTACTTTGTTTTTTGGGATGATAATTTAATTCAGTGTTAAAGTGTTAAGATATAACTGATTTTGTATTTCACCAGAGAGAGAGAGAGAGAGAGAGAGTGAGAGAGAGAGAGAGGTACAGTGGTAACAAACTAGGTCATTTTGAGACTAACACATGGTTCAATTTTTTATTTCAATCACACGCTACTGCGGAGGGGTCTTTAGCAGTGACAGCAAATGAGAGGACCCGAAGAAAACCAAGGTTGGACAGGTACAAGTGGGGGTTTTGAAACCACATTACTTGACCTTATAATCAAATGCGCACAAGTTAACCATTCAGTCACCCAACCCCCCATAAGTCAAAAGACTAAACTATACAAGCAAACTTTTGTTTAATGTATCAGGGTGTCAGAATCAATTAGATTAAGAGGCCACATAAACTAAAATTTTGAATTAAGTGGGCCGGTGATACATGTATACAATCAGCGATAGCCAGGCAAGATACGCCCACATTTTGCAAGAGATGGATATAGAACAACTTAAAAACAAACGCGATTTTTCGTGCAATCAGGGGTCATAATCCAAGAAGTTATGGTCTGAAATGCGCGAATATCGAAAGGGACTGAGATCTTTGAGATATAAAGATATATTTTTAGTTTCATCAAAATCAGACAAAAATTGTGACCTGTAGAGGGTCCACAACCTTCATATTACATACTTGTAAACAGTTTTCCCGAAATCCGAACTCAATCATCATTAGGGTGTAACGATGATATATACAAACGTTTTTTAACTTGGATAAAAAAATTGTGATTTCCAGCAGGACCCCAAGCTAAAATGTGATTTTGGTACAATCACGGGCCATAATTCTGGAAGTTACGATCTGATATGCACGAATATCGAAAGGAACGAAGATCTTTTGGTTATAAACACGATTTCAAGTTTCATCAAAATCGGATCAAAATTGTGACCTCTAGAGAGTCTACAACCTTAACATACCAATTTTGTCCAGTAGTTTTGGACTGATTTTCACGAAATTTGAACTCAACTGACATTATGGTGTAAAGGTGATATATTCAAATGGTTTTTTTTAAATCATAATAATTGTGCAATCTAGAGGGACCACAAGCTAAAAACGTGATTTTTTGTACTATCAGGGGCCATAATTCAGCAAGTTACGATCTGATATACGCAAATGTTAAAAGGTACCAGGATCTTTGGGTTATAAACATGCATTTCAAGTCTCATCAAAATCGGATGAAAATTGTGACCTCTAGAGTACCCACAAGCTAAAAACGTGATTTTTCGTACAATCAGGAGCCATAATCCATGAAGTTACAGTTCCATACAAGCCAATATCAAAAGGAACCGAGATCTTTAGGAGATAGACCTAAATTGTGACATGTAGAGTGTCCAAAAACAAATTGTGGACGGACAGTTGGGATGACAATATATTACGTCCACATGAAGTATCAAGATAAAGAAGATAGGTTGCCAGGCAACGAAACATACGCCCACAGCAGCTAACTCGTCCGGGCAGTCAACAAGAGTTGTCACATATTTTTACTTTTTTCGGTAATGAAACATTTATAATACATCAAAATCTGATTAAGAGTAACAACTCATTAAGTAATTATCAGAAAACCATTAGAATTTGTTTGGTTTTTATAAAGTTTTGCCCCATGCTAACGTTTAGTATAGGAAACTTTTAACATCATGGATTTAGCTGTTCAAGTCATAAAAATTAATTGAAAATCAATATACTTGTTTGTCTCAAGACCTTACACTCTGTGTATGAATCTGAAGTCAATCGGATGATAACTTTAGCTTCTAGAGGGTCACAAGGTTTTTAAAAGTGATCAAGGGCCATAACTTTGGCAGCAATATTCGTGCCGCGCTCGAGATCAAGGGAAAGTGCCACTGTGGATGAGAATTTCTATATGGATTCTTAAAAGACGTAAAAGATATCGTAGACAAAATGACTGTCCATTGATTTAGGGTGTTATTTACTCTTACGATATGTGACATCTATGATTAGTTTATTATAGATGATATCGGCTCACATCAATGCGATTAAGATGCCCGACAAATGAGAAACCACGATTCTTATTGAATTGATGAATAGTCCGACAAAAGGAAAGCAATGACTTCTGTTTAAGATTAGATTGATGAATTGTCCGACAAAGGATTAAGCCAGTCAATCAAGGCAGATTAAGTCGTTAAATCAAGGTAGGTTTATACTATAGACGGTATAACACGATAAATACGTTGATCACTTAATTACCTAATAAACCCAGCGTATTATCGACGATAATCGGGTTGAGTGGTAGTTATACACTCAGTAAACTATATTAATTTCGGAATTTTGAATATTATTCACCATGTCTTGATGTCCGATTGGGCATATTCCCGGTCGGACAATTTTGGGCGTTTGGAAAAAAGATTCGGACAAGTCCAGAATATACGGGCAAAATCCCATCACTGGTCTAGATCGAAATTGAGCAACTGTTTCTGAACACTTTATTTTGTCAGGTAAGTCATTCCATAGTCGTGGACCATATACACTGAAGGCTTTATCACCAAAAGATTTTAATTTAGTTGAAGGTACAACAAGTGATAGATTATTCTGTGAACGGAGTGGTCGGTTTGGTACATAAGGCTGCATAAGATCTGTGATACAGGATGGAGCTGAATCATGCTGAGACTTGTAGACCAGTGTAAGGATTTTAAAGTTTATAGGAGCCTCTATGATATCTATGACATACAGTACAGAAGTCAGAGTTTTAATGAAACTGGAAAACAATAATAAATGATTTCCACCACTAAGAATTAATGACATGTCAGTTTGTTGAAATTTGTTCCACTAGCCACATTTAAAGCCTTGGTGTGCTGGATCTGGCCTGCGAGCAGCATGTTTGACACCCCTGATATTGTATAGCAATGATAATTGTCTTACCCGATTAATGTATAATTCACAGGAGGTTTGCGAGATCCGCGACCCAACAATACTAATTCTGTGATCACATCTTGTGTCATACTTTTATCCATCCATCTAACACATAATACTTTCTTTTTTATAGCTTTTTCTCCTACAATTATACAAGTGTGTTATCAATATTGCTTGATAGAGAGAGAGAGAGAGAGAGAGAGAGAGCGAGAGAGAGAGAGACCTACAACAGTACTCCTTGTCACTACATGCATGGAATTGAAACCACACCACTTGACTCAATGACAGGCTTAACCGTTCATCCACCTAACACCCCCTAATCGATAAAGAGTTAGAGGACCCTAGTCTATTTGTAGCTCAGCAATAACTGTATTACATAGAATTGTGTCCTGTATTACCCACACATTTACACTTTAATTCTAGTAAGTAAGACCTTGAATGTGACATAAATTAATACATTGATAACATAGGCTATAATCAACAGTCTTCTTCCTCTCATGACCATAAACACTGTCTGTTAATTTAATGTCAATTGCCTGATAACTTTAGTCTCTAGAGGATTCACTATATGACCACATTTCCATAAATTTGTATCCTGTGTCTCAGTAATTAACTTTCATCTCATTAAATAACAAGTTATAGACCTGCAAACAAAATGATTTGGGGGGGGGGGCATTTTCTGCCTAAACTGACAGACTTTGATTTTTGATATGACATCACAATATCAAGATAGTGATGCTGCCACATTTTTTACCTGTTCCATATAGTACTGTAGTTTTGAGGTCAATCGGACATGGGTCGCCACCACAACGACTGATCAATTCGAAGGAATTATTAGTGAGCAGAAATTCGCCCATGTATCTGTTAGCACTCGTCACTTCAGTCAGTTATATAGAAGGATAACTCGTGTTTTCCTTTTGCGTTCGTCACTTCCGATTGTTGAAACATTGATTACTCATCTATCGTAGCAATGATGTCTGTGATAAAATAATATTTGGAACGTGTTTAACCAGTTCTATCACATATGTGATAATGACTGGCACCAATATTGTCCTTTAAGTAAGTTGTTTTATCACAATAACTCACATGTATCATGACAACCGGAACTTACTCATGTTTATCATAACAAAGGGAGCTTACTCATGTGTATCATAACAAAGGGAGCTTACTCACGTGTATCAAAAGTATTATCTACAACTGTAAACCCTGGAGGGACTGGATCTCTATCATTAATAATAGCAACATCGACCAGTACGTTGGTTTCCTTCAATACATACACACATTAATTACAGTATAGAAACATTTGGTTGAATTTGGGTTAATGAAAGGATCTTAAATGGCTGATTATAATCGGCTTCAACCGCTTGATGCTTGAAAGGCCGACAGATAAAACAATAAACTGGTGAGGATGTTATCATAAATCAATCTACTTTTGGCTCAATTACAATGGCTTAATTATTACATCTGGATTAGACTTTCTTGTTGGCTAAAATAACAGTCATACCTTAGAGAGAATCGGCCATGTGGTTCATAATCAGAATAATTAGCACATTTAACAGTAATTTTGATCATCACCCTTGTTGAAAGACACGCTTGCTGAAAAATGCGCTTGCTGATTGTTCATAACATGTCCAGTATGTTGCCTTTATGAATTTAAGTCATGTGGTGAATGAAGATGATCCAAGTTATTAGCCCATCGGTATGTAGCAAACATGCACTGCTACAACAAAATTATGCCATACATGCAGTAGATCATGTATCAAGTGTTCATGTAATATAAATGTCATTCCAAGTCGTATTTTACACACAAATAAAGATGATATCGGTGATATCGTTAAAACATATCCAGCACAATTTAACATCTTGGCATGGATTGTGAATTTCGGGAATCTTGAACATCTTGTAAACATCTTGTAAACACGTCCTACTGTTCTGCTCCAACTGGGCTAATGAAGACAGGCATATGCCATACAGTGCGCTGTGATGGAAATTTTGCCCAGACACCGGCGCAATGGCCTACTCTTATATCGAATTCCAACTGCTAAGGGATCTTTATGTGCAAGCTTATTTGTTCAATTCACCTTTTTCTAGTTTTATATTTTTTTTGACAGTAAAAACTGAACAATCAATCTATTCTCTATCAGTGTTATTACAAACCTGTGCTGCATAGCCCCTTTCAACACACATGTATCTCGTGACCTTTCGACCCCATATTTTATCCTTCCACAAGTCAGCATCTTCAGGAATAGCACCATACGTTTTATCCATCTAATAAAAAAAACATGAAATGAAATGAAGTTAAAGTGGTACTTTTCTGCACTGTAAAAGAGCGACATACACCACATAGTGTGCTTTGAAAGAAAGGATGAAAGGATGAAATTAGACACTTATTGACGGTCAGACTATTTTTATAACCCAGTCATGTTGGGAATGGAGTAGGAAAAACATATTCTATTTATATAAATGGTATATAAATTGAGCAATACATGTAGGTCCCAGCAGCAGCATACATGTTGGAATCCATACAGTGTACGTACCAATGTGTAATTTGGTGGACATTTTGCTGGATCAGCAACAATACAAACACCAGTTATTGGAAGATCTTCTGCCATTGCACCTACAAAAAATAACTAATATGTGGAACTATTTTACAAGAAATATTGATATATAAACTAAGGCTTTCACTTCAAAAATTTACATCAATTCTTCATGTAATTTGTTTATTGAAGATTAGCAAGATATTTTTTTTAAAAGAATATGTCAATTTTTGGTATATCTCAATTTCTAATATATTTTGAAGTGTTTTTACACATAAAAACTACCAATTTTACTATATTCATTGCGTTTTAAGGTAAAATTCTTTGAAATTTTAACTTTATGGCAAACTAACAGGACTAACATATGGTTCAATTTTATTTCAGTAATTTGCTTACACATAGGATAGGAGTATTCAGCAATGGGAGGAAACTGGACAACCAAGAGAAAATCCATGAGGTTGGACAGGTGACCCTACTCCTTGTCATGTACAAGCGGGGATTCAAAACCATGCCACTTGACTCAATGACAGACTGTGTGATGTAATGCGCATGCCTTAAACCACTAGACCACCCAAACACCCATTATGGCATGTATTTTGACTGACAAGAAAGTTCTTTTACCAGTCAATTTCACAGTCAGTCAATACAGACTGTCGAATATGACAATAAAAACCACGATACTGGACTCGCTGCAGAACTCATGATCTAAATCACAACCCATTAGACCATTCAATGATTCAAACTCCCAGCCTATTTTGATCATGGCATGCTATATTACCCCTCTGTACAAAAGAATCATGATCACTGACGTAATTAGTTACCATTGTGGAATTTCCTGATGTCAAAGTTTGTGAGAATCATTTTTATGTATTTTACTATATTACTGAAGGTGATTTCAAACGAATACCTTATACCAAAGACAACTCATCCCAAGACAACTCATCCCTATATAAGACAACACATCCCAAGTTAGAAATAGAAGACAACTCATCCCAAGGTATTACCTACAGTGAAACTCATACATACAGATAAGGATATAATGTCATATTCTGAGGAATTTCTATCAGACAATGATATGAAAACAATCAGCACGACTGGGGCCAACATTTTCAGTCGCATCTATATATGGTTCAAAGAAGGAATTGAAATGTGTATGCTATGATAAGTATACAGAGTGCCCAAAACTTAAAACAACTTAAAATTTAAAACAACCATATCAATTTTATTAAAACAACAATATCAATTTTATTAAGATAACACATTTTTTTAACAAAATCAGAATGGTCTGAGTGGTCTTAAAGAAAGCAATTGTATTAAAACAAATATGACTGGCACTAGTGGCACGTATATTTGTTGGGATGAATTGTCTTAAATCTCGACCCATGTTTTAAAGTTGGGATGAGTTGTCTTTTATCTTGGAATGGGATGAGTTGTCTTTTATCTTGGGATGAGTTGTCTTATATTGGGATGAGTTGTCTTCGGGATGAGTTGTATGTATATCTTTGAAACATATGGAGGACTGAATCCCACATAAACAAATCACATATCACAAAACCAAGGGCAGAGCTGACAAACGGTACACGGAAATGAAAGCGATAAACAACAAACATATCCACTGAGGAGAATGGATCAGGGAGCTAGCGTTTAAATGTTCACTGTGCCGTTGTACAGGTTAAATAATGCTTGATAGTATTATCGCAGTTTGTTCATGTGGGACCTAATTCAATCAGCAAAAAAAAAAAAATGTCAATGGCAAATTCTACACCAACACAGCATCTCCAATATACACCTAGGAGGATTATTTATGGCGCTATAGTAAGCTTTGTCATAGATCCGCATTAATGGTTCCTTTTCTCCCATTATAACTTATAACAACGGAAGAAGCTTTTAAAAAGTGCAACATAACATTACATATTGATTACTGTAAGAGATAATGATAATGCCGGACAAACTGCTTTTGAAAACACTTCTCGGTTACATGTTTTAAAACTAGAAATGGGTGTATGCTATTACACTTACACTGAACAAGGAAAGTTTTCAATAGAAGGGCAACTTATATTCATCAAAATGTTGACATAATGACGAAAAATAAATACTTCAGGTCTTTCCCAATAATAAATATACATTGAGAGTTACCTTTCCCTAAGGTCAAGGCCGTCCACTTGCAGATTATCCAGTCTTATGGACTCAGACTAACAATTATTTGCCCATTGACTTCAATGTTAAATGACTGTAACATCACAGGCTGTAGCTTTTTGCTCAACATGCCGTTGGTTCCAATCTTTATAGGCACAATGGGGACAACATTTGGCAATCTCCTCATCATAATTTTGTAGGGGGTTGACCGTTTAGATTTTTTGCTACACGGATTTGAAGTTGACAGGGGTGAAAATCTCACTTCCGACACAATGATTGCTCTGCAGAAAGACACTTTACACCCCCTATCCCTCCGCTGTAATATCATCAGTATTACCCAAAACTGCTATGAAATTGCAAATTTGATCCCTTTTCTCCAATTCTAGACCAAAAAGTCAACCCAAAAATGCAGGAAGAGGGGAGAAAAAAATTAAGGGAAAAATTGTCTATTTATAACTCGCACTACATTCGGAAATAAGGGGAAATAATTACTAGTCTTAGTCCTTATAGAAGTCGATGCTGAAAGCGCGCATTTTTACGTTGTTTACAAAACATTTAATTACTACGAATCGGAACAAAATGATTGATCGAGGAAGTCTGATTGTGTTTGAAGGCTGTGACCGAAGTGGAAAGACGACACAATGCAACAAACTGATTGCACAACTCGAGGCCGATGGACGTAAAGCTAAATATCTCAAATTTCCAGGTAAAACACAATCAAAAGTACCGTACCGTTATAAACTAGTTATATAATCCTAGTATCTCCCGCCATCTTAAGAAAGCGGGTTGTCAGTCCACCACACCATTTTGAACACAATATCTCCAAGCCACATACGCTAACACAAGGGATCGAAACCATGGCCCCAGCTAGAGCCCGAGGCACCATCCATGGCATGATTTAGACCGATTACATCATATGGTATTTCGGTCCCGCGTCATTTCGGACTTAACATTTCATACTCAAAAAAATACACACTAATCAGGAATCCTAGCGTATTCAATACCAGGCTAATTCATTACCGGTAAAATCGGCGTATTCAAGACCAGTATATTATAGGGTTGGTTGATCGGTATATAAAGGTGCTAAGTAGTACTCATCAGTGTGGATAGAAGCCGATTCGATAATTATTATTGATGATTGGTGTTTGATGTATTAAAATTGTTTTTTTTTTATTATTGAGTTGTTGTTTAAATTATTTAATCTTAAGCTTGAGATTGTACATCCCGGCTTTGTTATTTTGATTGGTCGGTGCATAAAGGTGCTAATTAGTACTCATCAGTGTGGATAGAAGCCTATACGATACTTTACTTATTAATTAATGATTGGTGTTTGATGTATTAAAATTGTTTGTTTTATTATTGAGTTGTTGTTCAAATTATTTAATCTTAAGCTTGAGATTGTAAATCCCGGCTTTGTTATTTTGTATTTTAAACATCAAACCAATTCCGATGCAAGCTTGGAATTTGTATATATTTCGAATAAAATACTCTCACCATTTGATATCGGTATCTCAGATACATATCAAGTTAAGTATAGCCTAATTATAATGAATCCTTGTATCGCTTGCCGTTCGACCGTGCATCCAAGACAAGAAGGTCTTCAGTGTGAAGAGTGTAATCTATGGCAGCATAGAAAATGTACAGGTATGTATTTATAATTTCACAGATTTTGCTTGCTTTCATTAGTATTGAAATAAATCATAAGTATTGAAATAATTACACGAGTTTTGCTAGCTATACTTACTCCAACTTATGTTCACTAAATTTTATTTAAACAATTTTGTTCTCTTTAGATATATCCCAGGCAGCATATAGAAGAGCGGTGAAAGGGTTGGAAGAGATTAAATGGACATGTACTCCTTGCATAAATGCCGTAAGTACCGGTAACTTTTAAAAAATCAACAGAACCGAAACATCAATTTCTATAATCAACGAAACATCTTTCATATTCTTACCGTATTTAATATTCTTCCCACCGTATTTGATGTTTTAATTTAGTCAACTTCAATATACTTACCATAACGTATTTTACGTTATTACCGTATTTAATATTCTTCCCATCGTATTTGATGTTTTAATTTAGTCAACTTCAATATACTTACCATAACGTATTTTACTTTATTATTTAGGCTATTCATGTTGCTGTTCATGAAATTACCGCTACTTTCGACGAAGAAGTACCTATGGATACTAGTGTTGGACGTGAACAAGAAGAATTGCCTCTTATGGAGACCAGTTCCGAGGCTGTCCCTCTGGAAAGATCCTACGTTTTACCCGAACCAATACTGGAAGATTCGATCGACGACGATGCTCCTGTCTTTGATGTACCCGCAGCTGAGGGCCCCCGTTACATCATTCTCGAAGGTGGTACCGAGAGGGGAAACAAGAAGTTGCTGGACATGGAGGGTTACTCCTACATCTTTAGGGTATGTAATTATTTTATATTTAGTGTATTTACTTTACGCAATTGAATATATTATATTGTTTTGTGTGTTTAACAATGTAATTGAATGTAATAAACATAATTTAGTGTATTTACTTTGAATATATATATTGTGTTTTTCAGAAACAGCTAATGGAAACACAAATTGGCGCTGTGTTCACCATCCGAAAGTGGACTACTGTCGGGCGACAGTAATACAGACAGGGGATGAGTACGTGGAGAACCAATGGATATCGAACCGAATGTTTAGTGCGAAGAGTTGGTCCGTTTTTATGCGCTCCGTTCGCACGAATAATGACGTCGAGGGGTGGCATAACCAAATCAACTCTTGACTGAACACTCGGGGACCAGTTCCATTTTATTTATTGCTTGTAGAACTACACAAAGAAGCTAAGAAACTCAAAATGGATATGGTGATGCTCACCGAAGGAAAAATCAGCAGATGCCAACGAAGCAGAGTTGGACTGATGCAGACACGCATATTCTCTCTATGGACCAACTACAATGCAGGTGAAATGGATACTAGTAGGCTATTGAGAGAGTGTGCGTTTCTGTACGGTCCCTCTGCGGAAACATCGTCGTAAGTGTATTGTAGTGTTGTTTGTGTTGTAAGTGTATTGTAGTGTTGTTTGTGTTGTATCAACCATAAAAGAAAAGAAAAAAAAATTAATAGTGTATCACATTTATGAACACAATACCCCGTTCAAGTATAAAACTAAAAGAAAAAAAAAATTATGAACACAATACCCTGTTCACAGTTTTTTACGAACTATTATTAATCGCATCAGCTGAAAACATTGATTTTTGATGTGATAAATAAAGAAATATTAATAGTAACATCAACACAATACTCAGTTCAAAGTTGAATACGAAACTATGGCTATTATTAATCGCATCAACTGAATACGATGTTTTATATGTAAATATTGTCTTCGAATGTTAAATATTTCAACTCTTGTTTGTATTATGATTATTTAAAATATATAATATTAATAGTAACGTCAAGTTAAACACAATACTCAGTTCAAAGTTGAATACGAAACTATGGCTATTATTAATCGCATACGATGTTTTATATGTAAATATTGTCTTCGAATATTAAATATTTCAACTCTTGTTTGTATTATGACTATTTAAAATAAATAAATAATAACTTGTTAATCCTTCTATTGTCTTGTCTTAATTGATCAATTAACACCCATAGACAGAGTACTACTTAGCACCTTTATATACCGATCAACCAACCCTATAATATACTGGTCTTGAATACGCCGATTTTACCGGTAATGAATTAGCCTGGTATTGAATACGCCTGATACCCTAATCAGCACTACAGCAGTGAATATACGCTAGGCCGCTACAATCACTGATAAGGATGACATCGATGCGACTTAATGAGTCCCAAATATTAACTTTTTTCTTCCGTCAAATTAAATTCTAAAACATTTTTTTCAAGTATTAGAAAAATAAATAAAGACGTTTGAATTATTTGTAGATAAATATCATTTCCTATTTAGTGTAAATGGGTATTAAAATAAGTAAAATTAACCATTTAGTTAGCCCGAATCAGTAACGTCTTATGTAAACAATGTACGCACCATTGAGCCAATGATTGACGCCGCATGATCTGACGTCACTTGTCGAAACAGTCATCTGTTACAGAGATATTAGAAAGACTTTCGTAATCCTCTGTGAAACAGATTGAAAAAAATACGGCCTTGACGTTTTGAAGGTATACAGACAACTCATCCCAAAGACAAATTCATCCCAAAAGACAACTCATCCCAAGATAAAAGATAACTCATCCCAACTTTAAAACATAGGTCGAGATATAAGACAACTTATCCCAACAAATATAAGTGCTAGTTATATATGTGTTAATACAATGTGTTATTTTAATAAAATTCATATTGTTGTTTTAATCAAATTCATATTGTTGTTTTAATCAAATTGATGGTTGTGTATCACTGTTTGTATAATGTATTAATGTTTTAGTACTTTGTTGTTTTATCTTCTACTAACATTGTTGTACAAGGAGGCAACACAGCCACCAACCCAGATCAAAAGCCAGTACTTGGCATCTACGACTATTCATTCAGATTCAGAATGGTGTCTGAGAAGACGCCAATAGAAGCAGACCAGATCCACACAGTTCAAGCTATTTCAACTGTGGAATTCTTATAGAAACCAAACTGTTAGCAACAACCAGTTATTAAAAAGATGTGGAGGAATCTATGGACCGACAAACTGTCAGACTAACTGACTGAAGAAAAAACTTAATAAGAAAATGAAGAAAAAAAACCATATAAATGTATTATGTGTTGATGTAATAAAATGTATTATTTAATAAATTGTTGATATCTCGACTCCTGTATTAAACCAAACAAAACTAAGTTGGGATGAGTTGTCTTTTATCTTGGGATGAGTTGTCAGGTATTCGTTTTGGACTCAAGCAGGTGACATTTCGGACTAGGGTAGGCGACGTTTCGGACTTGGGGAATAAGTTGAAAGGAAAGGTTGAACACAATTGTCAAATCAATCTATAATAAACCAAAAGCGATTTTATAAAAAATAACATGCAGGCAAAATTTACTTCTTGCAATCGTGGATCATGCACCGTATTGATCTCTCTAGGAACTGTAAAATTTTCAATGTTGAATGTTTTTACAAGCCTCTAGAATTTTTTAACGATAATCCGTAAGCTACACGTTGACATGCATTCCTCGACAAATTTGCCATAGATAGGAGTACCAATCGATAAATTAGTGCATACAAAGAAAAATCTTTTTGGAAAATATTAGAAATGGCAACGATCAAAGTGAGATAATTAAAGCTGATTAACCGATAATCCCTATGTTATTGTATGCGCAAAGAAACCTTACAGTACAGTTACAGTTCTTTAGTGGATGAGGAAAACGTGAGTTGTCAATCACGTAGGCTTCTACAATTATAAAAAACATTAGCAGTATTACTAAATATACACAAATTTTCAACAATATTTTATTGTCAAGTTCAGTACTCGCTTATGAAACAAAACAAAATTAAATAGAACAAGCAGTGTAAAATCATCGGACTCATATAAAACGAAAAAAAAACCCAGCTAAATTACAAATATATCACATAAATTTTCAACAGTCTTTTAATTATTTATCCGAATCGGAGAAGTCGTCAAGTAAGTCTGAAACGTTGTCAAACTGAGTCCAAAAAGGTTGTCTGTGTTAAGTCCGAAATGACGTGCTACCACTAGACCACTGTGAATAGCCCACACACACACCTCCCACAAACACACACACACCAAAAATCAAAATCATACCATGACCGCAATCATGAACCGCCAAACCACTGTGACTAGCCTATACCCAAACAGTGACACTTTGCCATAGACGAGTATGAGTCCTGTAGGCCATACCAATAATGAGGTATTATTTTTTAAACTTTTATTCTTATAAATGAGAAGGATGAAATTGGTGGTTAGTTTTATTCAGTGAGTAGGCGCTGGCTCGCTGACCATTACTGTTGCTTGAGAAAGTTCACATCAGGAATTTCCAGCGTGGTTTCCACCTTGACAGTGGTGCAGGATGGAGGCCATTGGGGGGCCTGGCAAGGAAAAGAATCTAGTCATTCAGGCCAGACGAAAACCTGAGGTCCCATTTATACATTGGAATTCAGTTGATGTCTAGGCAAAATTTTCTCATAGCACACTGTATCATATGGCTTCTGTCTTCATTAGTCTGGTTGGTGCAGAACAGTAAGACATACAGGCTTTTAAAGAACAGGCATAGTAATACGGTAATAATTTTTTTATATTTCTTGTTTTCTTTCAGATCGAACCACTAAAATCGGTCAACTTATCAACAGCTATCTTGGACAGTCATGTGACTTGGATGACCATGCAATTCATCTTCTCTATTCAGCCAATCGCTGGGAGGCTATGTAAGTCGAAATATTTGCTATCTTCAATAAATAGTGCTACAGTATTTATAGCTAAAACATTTATATGCCACAGAGTGTTGTGCTCAAGGCAGAGTATGATTGTTTTCTGGAATACCTGATGTCACTTCTGATTTGAAACGTTCATACATGTAACTAAAAAATGTGTTTTGTTTAGAACTCTGCAGGATACTGATTCGCATGAATGAATTATGACAATTGAGTGAAAATATGGATTTCTGGCTACAATATCTCAACCAACAATGACAATGGAAACATAATTGTTGTTATACTCCCACATTTTCATGTGGACGTATATTTTCATCGACCCTGTCCATCCGTCCACAATTTGTTTGTGGACACTCTACAGGTCACAATTTTTATCTGATTTTAACGAAACTTAAAATATTGGTTGGTATTGGTTGGATTATGGTTCCTGATTGTATGAAAAATCATGTTATTAACTTGTGGTCCCTCCAAAGGACAAAATTTTTATCCAATTTAAAATGTTTGAATATATTATCGACCAAAACTCCCAGACCAAATGGCCACTTCTTGTACGCAAATAGTGTAAAAGTATCGTATATCAAGCGTTTAAATATTTCACCGTTACACCTGAATGAAGGTTGTTTTCGAATTTCGTAAAAATTTGACCGCAACAGCCAAACAAAATTGCCGCCCCTTGTACGCAAATAGTGTAAAAGTATGTAATACCATGGTTTTGTTTCCTCTAGAAGTCACAATTTTTATCCAATTTTGATGAAACTTGAAATGTAAGTTTATAACGAAAACATCTTGGTTCCTTTCGATATTCGAGCATATGTGATTTGGGACTGACAATCAAGCACGCCCCTGGACTGGTGACCCAACTGCTACTGGCCATTTAAATTGCTGTGAGAGATGACTAATCAATCTAGCACCTTTAGCATTTGTCATCCAGGTCCAAATTATAGTTTAATTTTGTGACAGGTGTCATGCACAAATGTTTCTAGACCTAGAGCTTGTAGGGTCACCCGTCGAACCTTGTGAGTTTTCTCCAGGTCCTCCAGTTTCCTCCCACTGCTAAAGACCCCTACATGCAAGCAAATTATTGAAATAAAATTGAACCATATGTTTGTGTCAAGTGGATGTTAAACCTCATTTCTCTCTCTAACTCTTCTATAACAGGTTTTCCGAACACCTTAATATTGACACAGTAGGGTCACCCGTCGAATCTTGTGAGTTTTCCGAACGCCTTAATATTGACACAGTATATTCGTCCTATTTCTTAACATTTCAACGATTGATTTGCATACTTAATTCCACCCAAATGATTGAGATTTCCTTTTCAATGCAAGTTATTGGTATAATAACAGGGAGCCACGTTGGCTCAGTTAGTAGGACTTGGGCTCGCTAACCTTGAGGTCCTGTGTTCGATCCCCTTGTTGGTCTAGAAACTTCATCTGGATTTTCCGGCATGGTTCCCCCTTGTCAGTGGTGTTGGACAAAGGGCCTGGCAAATCACATCTCATAGTCCTGTGGAGGTGAAAGTTGGAATTTGATTCGAGAGTAGGGTGTAGTGCCACTGTCCATGCAAAACATCCCTCATAGCACACTGTATGGCATATGTCCGTTTTCATTAGCTCAGTCAGACATTGAACCCCATTTCATTTCAAGTTATTGGTACAATGAAAAGAACGATAAAAAATAATATATTCTTTGATATTTATTACGTATCTATTTTTCAGACACGACATGAAAAGTTTAATAAATCAAGGAACAACGTTAATAATTGACAGATATGCTTATTCTGGTGTAGCATATACAGCTGCTAAAGAAGTAAAAATATTTATTTCTTCTTTTTCTATTAGAGTTTGTCTGCTTTCATTGATTGTGATATGCGTAGTGCACTTATCTTTCCTGTTGGAGCCACATAAGTTCAGACCAGGAATCAAAACCATGACCAAAAGCCAGAGGTGATCGGCCAGCTAATGCTCTAAGCGAGACCAACACTCTAGACCATCGCAACCCCCCATCTTGCAAAATAGATCGTCTGCAAAATGAAATTGGATGTATCAATTAGACTTTTAATCATATTGGCGTGCACGTAAACTATCCCTTGGCACTTGGAATTTGATATCAGAGTAGGATGTAGTGCTGGTGTCCAGGCAAAATTTCCCTCATAGCACACTGTATGGCATATGCCCATCTTCATTAGCCTAGTCAGGAGCAGAACAGTAGGACGTTAAACCCCATTTCATTTCATTCATTAAACAAAATTTGGTTTAATCAGTTCCTCAACAAAAATTTGTGTAACTTTATTTCTTCAGACATTTAATTGCACTGAAATTCCAAAATTTCATTGTCTAGTCATACTGATGGTACAGAAAATTAAGGTCCACCAGTATACTTACTGTCAGTTAGAATCCAAAGAGAGAAATGGGGTTTAACCTCAAGACACAAATTAGGTCATATTGAGACTATCATATGGTTCGATTTAATAACATCTAGATATTGCTAGACTAGGCAATAATTCCAGAACTTATACATGTAGCTATGTTATCTCCCTTTAATGCATACATGTGAATGATGGCATCCGATCAGAGGTTGTGACACAAACACACTCAATTCAAACATGGCGACCTCCATGAAAACAGTGAAATTGAACGAACCTTATAACTTAATTATAACAGGTGGACCTTTCACCTTTTGCGATGATCAAGGAATCTGATAGGCTCCCCTGCTGTGTCAGTAGCTGATTGAAATTATTGCTGAAATATGCAGGGTATTGCGTGAAGGGCTTGATAAGATATACAGAGTTAAAGCCATTCTATTGAAGATGGGCATGTCTGACTTACCTTGGTTCATGCAGAAAAGAATATGTATAAAAACCAATTTAATTTCATTTGTCACATTTCTTGATTGGGGATGGCATGTGTGTACTTACCATTTATTTGTACCAAAGGCCAAAAATGACCTAGTTTGTATCAAGTGGACGTTTAAGCCCATTTCTTTGTGCGAGGTGGTAGATCATACATCTATTGGTGAAAATCAATAGGTTTCTTCATCTCATAAAACCTTAAACCTTTTATTACTTCAGGGTTTTACGCTTGATTGGTGTAAACAGCCCGACATTGGTTTGCCTCAACCTGATAAAGTTTTCTACCTCACGCTATCATCAGAAGCCGTTAGTAGACGTGGTGGGTTTGGAGATGAAAGATACGAAAAGAAAGACATCCAAGAGAAAGTCGCCCAAAATTTCCAAAAGTTAAAAGATGGTGATTGGGAGGTATACCTATTAGTTTATTTATCCAAAGCAGATTTCTTTCAAAGTTCCAAAGAGAGTTAGAATGTTGAGAGCCACCTGTTCGATACCAGTGTTGGCTGAGAAAGTTCATAAGGATTTTTTGGTCTGGTGCAGGGCAGTGGGTCTGTCAAGGCCACTGTATAGTTGTTCGAATGGTACAAAAAAGCAAGGCGTATGTAAAAAGATCCCTAGGTATTTGATATGAGTAGGCTGTTGTGCCGAAAAAGTTGCTCATGATTTTAGCCATATCAATTTCACAGTGCTTTTGTTGTTTTAATGTGTGGTGTGGTTCTCAATATTTTATTTTTTTTTACTACAGGAGATTGATGCTGATAAATCTATTGAAGACCTACATCGTGAGTTATATTCCCGTGTTAAACAAGTCATGGAGGATTCCAAGAAAAATGAACTAAGAAAATTGTGGACGAATCAGAGTTAATTAAATGACAGCCCTGTAATACACATAGACAGGGTCTTGTCAGGCTCTGTATTGCAAACACAATCACCACAGTGCTTGTTTTTCATTCATCAAGCCCCTATTGATACATAGAAGAGGAACTCAATTTTTTGTGCTTTTCTTGCATTTATTTAATTGATAAAAAAAAAAATAATTTAGTTTTTTAACTGTCAAAAATTATAAATTTAAACATGATTGTATAATACAGTTTTACGGTATATTTCAGTTTACCAGTATAATTGTCTTAAACAGCAGGACATTTTTAAATTTTTTTTTAATAATAATAATCCTCTATTTATAAAGCATCATAATACTAAAACAGAAGTTTCTATTGCGCCATTTCAAGTTTTCTCTTATATTACAGACTGAAATTAACAAATGATAAATATTATTTATATATTATTAAAATGTTGATTTATCACTATAAATATGTCGTCAATATACATAAATTATATAATACATGTAAATAAATATTTGTATAATTTTATTGATTTTTTAGATGGTAAATATTGATTTTAAGGCGGTAAATATGTCATACAGATGTAAATAAACATGATTTTTTGGGTATAATTCTGTTGATTTTTGTCTAAATTTATAATACTTACTTGAAAATAAAATAAACATGAATTATTACAATAAATATACAATACTTTACAATACATCCAAATATACACACTAGGGACCGGGTATCACAAACTGGGCATTATTTGATGAATCTTGATGGTATTTAATACTTACTGCATGGCAATCTATTAACTGAATATGTGTATTAGATTATAGATGGTAAGCTCAGTTTCTTTCCTTTTTTCATCAAATATGAATGATACCCGGTCCCTAGTGACAGTACATCCACATATACCATACATCCACTTATTCAAGAACAATACAGTAAACTTCGCATATGTCGGATCTAAGTGGACTGACCAATTTTATCTGAGATAAGCGAAGATCCGAGTTGGCCGAAGACCGAAATTCAATCTTAGCTCGATTAGAAATAAACTGCAAGAGCCGGATAATAATTGATTCAAAGGCACATTTCAAGCTTTTGTTTGTGCGAGTAGATAACTTCCTAAATTTTCCCGGAAAATTTCATGTACAGCAGACATTGAGTTTCAAATTTTCCCGGAAAATTCTATTATTGCATCGCGTTAAATAGGCTGATTTGAGTCAAAATGATAGGAGAAAGTATTTTGGGGCTCTGTGCATGGAATACCTAACTGTGTTTTAGACCATCGGTACGAAACTGACTTGTCAAATTCTGAACATACTGACGATCCGACTTAGGTGAAGGAAAAAAGCCGGAATTGGATCAAATGGACCGAACATTTTGATCGACTTAGGAAATCTGACTTACGTGCAGAAATATAAATAAGTGCAGGATCAAAGGGTCCAAACGATTTTATCGGATTTGAGCAAAGATCCAACTTATACGAATCCGACTTGTGCGCAGTTTACTGTACACCCACATTTACAATAACAATACATCCATTTATACAGTAACAATACATCCACATGAAATATTTTTACATAAAAAAGAAATTAGTTATTGCACTTGATGAATGGATCAGATTGATGATACTCAATTGAACATTCCACATTCTGGACAACCTTCGGATGTAGACCATGGTTGCGACTACAGTCTGAACTATCTCGAGCGTACTAAAGTACGAAAATCTGTGCAACCAAAGGTCGCCCAGGTGTCATGGTTTGACTTATTACATGGTTGACTGTTCTTTTGTTTATTGAAAACTGTAAAACAGTTGTTAATTAATATTGAAAAAATACAACCATAATTTCTCTCAAATTTCTGTACTGTCAGTACCCCTTAATAAAATGAGATCAAAATACCTGTAAATCTTGTGGATGGTAATATTAAACAAAAGAGGTGACCATGAAGGGGTAAGCTGGGTTTAACTATTGACGCCCAAATCAGAATTCTGGAATACACTTTAAAGTAGATCTATTGTTAGATGGGATATAGTATTAGAGTAAAATTATGATTGGTACATACAGAATACCAAACTGATTACTAGGCCGTTACAATCACTGAATTAATGAGGTAAACAAATAATGTCAGAATAGAAGAAGGGAAAAACCTCAAATACTTAATATACGTGCACCTAAATTTCTTAGTCACATAGTTGGTCTCAAAATAAGTGCTCACTGCAGTCCGTCTCAGACTAAATGAATTAATGAGGTAAACAATGCCAAAACGCAGGCGCGGATCCAGGATTTTTTGTGGGGGGGGGGGGGGGCTAGGTTGGATAATTGCTTAACTAATTGCTTAAAATGTTGATGGGGGATGCTCCCTTCACAGGTTGTTCTTAACAAGCTTTATTAGCAGTATCAATTTACTATTAGAGTAACCAGTCCATTTAAGTATAGGAAAGTTGGTTGAGGTTTTCCAGAGCACAAACTTTCACAGACGAAAAGTCTATAGACTTGGTTTACTGTTTTTACTTTCAGTGCATAAAAATAAATAATATAGCTTGCAATAGTTGCACAGGCTTAATCATAAATGTAGAGGTTTACAGGGAATTTTCACACATAAATGACCAGGGTTTTTTTTCTTAACGCTGCCGATAAAATTAAAAAGCAAACACAACAATATTCAACGTCAACAGGCAAACAGCGTTAATAAAACTCTTTAAATTTCAATAAACTTATTTTTTCATACAGTACGGTATGCGTTAATAAAACTCTTTAAATTTCAATAAACTTATTTTTTCATACAGTACGGTATTAAAAAATTGCCGTCGTCAATAGGCGATTTGCCGTGCGGTCAATTGGTCCCGACGGCAATTTATGCTGTCAACGTTTTTTGCTAATTGCCAGAGCTGTTTGTGACTATTTGTTTTTGCCCACAATGGAATGAAAGTCATGACTCAACTCAATGTATACAAACTCGCAATTTTTGGATCAGATTCAGGCTTTTAGATTTAAGTTACCCTAACCCTTCAAATTTTCAAGCCTGACCGGGGGGGGGGGGGTCCGGACCCCCTGGACCCCCCCTCTGCATGGATCCACGCCTGAAACAGAAGGGAAAAATTTTGTGTGAATGCGTGCACCTAAATTGCAACGGTATAGGCCTAGTATATAATAACTTACTGTCTGAACCATCGTAAATTTTAAACGGATTTCTTCGATTATGATCAAACTACTTAACTTTGGTTATTATAAACTTACCTGTGTGTTTGAAATCAACTCCTGTTAATTAAAATTCATTAAAAGCTCATTACATAATCTAAAATTTTTTCGCGCCTACACCGCTCATTTCTAATGTGTAAAATTGTTCTTTCTACTCTCACAAAACAGGCGAAGTTGACGGACGGGCCTCAAGATTCTGTCGCATTTCTTATCCTCTCGTTAAGGAGAATTTGATCCCATTTGTCATGACATTGACTATAATTTTTCAGGCCCAGTCCCCAAAAATTAAAAGGTCAGTTACATATCTGAATTTTTTTCACGCCTGCGCTGCTAGATTCCATTATGGCATCATTCTTCCACTACCCTGTCATATTCACGGTTATAGTGAACTGCCCAGTTAGTAGTATCACCGGTGTGTGGGTCATCAGACTGTACAAATGCTCTGGCAAAACAGGTGGAATTGACAGGGGCAGATTTTGAGATTCTGTCCCACTGACTCCTATTTCTGCTTCTCTTGTTCACAAGAATTTGCTCCCAGCAATGACCTCAAGTGCCAGGATATTGGTTTAATTTTTCAAAATTTTATCAGGTTGCTCAGTGTTATAGCCACTGCCCCTAAGGTTCACAACTATAGGCAATACGATCTATGTTCTACCGGGACGCCTAGTGTTATAGCCAGCTTCCAGATCAGCTACTGGCCCCTAGAAAACTATCACCTGTGGTGCTCGGCCCCTGACTGCGTCACTCGTAGTAGGGACATGTGTATCAATCTGTCGCATTTTTGCTTAACACCCCCCCAAACAAAATCTTTATGTACGCCCCTGGTAATAGATAACATCTGTGGAAGATTGTCTCTTTAGTCCAGTACGTTCAGATTGGATTATAACTTGAGCTTCGTAATAATTATTAGGTCTTTTGTTTATTTTGCCATAACTGATTAACAAGTGACATTTTGGTTGCCACATATCATAAGAATTTGAGGTTTTAAGTTTATAGGAAATGTAAAAGTTTTTTACTTCTTTAAAACAAAAAAAATCAACAGTACTTGGCAATCGAGATGAAGTCTAGATTATCCATTTGTAAATTAAATTATTAAATGGCGATTATAGGCTTGTCATGTGAATAAATGTCTCAATAATAGTTTATATAGCATTTGAAGCCAACAGAAAGACCTGCAATAAGCAGATTTAGCCATTGCATAATGCATTCAAATTTTGTTTAGGGACTAGAGTAAGATGTAGATCGTCATAATGTGAAGTGTTTTACTCCTTTTTTCTTTAAAACAAAAAATCGGCAACTTTAAATAAAAATCTTAATAAATATAAGATAATGAATCCAAGAACAGCAAACAAGGCTATGGCTGAATAATTCATCATTTCTGTTAAAGGAACTTTACGAACAGCTTCCTCTGCACCAGACCATTTATTGGGTCCTTGTAGTCGCCATTGATACGCTCCACACGACGAAAACATCAACCTAAAATACAATCAACAATTCTTGTATATTACACCAAGGCAGTGGTTGTCATTGGACCGGAATGGAATAGAGTTTAATGTCTAGTCAATACAATACTTTGTATTATTCTGAGACTAACACCTGGTTATTTATATATCTACAGAGATAAAGAGGTCATATTGGGACTAACATTTTATTTCAACAGTTTACTTGCTTGTGGGAAAGAAAAAGAAAGTGAATAAGGCCTAAGGGAAAAGAATCACTGGTGCAATGTGGAGGGCCTGACAAGGACAGCTGTCTAGTCATTCGGATGTTACAAAAAAAAAAACGAAGTCCTGTGTACACATTGGCGTTCACGTAAAAGATCCCTTGGCAGTTGGAATTTGATATAAGAGTAGGCCGTAGCACCGCTGTCCAGGCAAAATTTCACTCATAGCACACTGTATGACATGCCCGTCTTCATTAGCCCAGTCGGAGCAGAATAGTAGAACGTTAAACCTCATTTCATTTCATTCCTATTAAATTTCTGGCATTTTACCTCCAGGCTAACCAGGGATGCTTCCACAATTCCGGTTTTGCCCCAATCAAGGCAGCTATTTCATCATTATATGTGATTGGATCTCGTTGAATGGTGTGCCGATCGGATTTATAATATCTCTCAGTCACATTATTCTAAAAAAAAACATACAACATAATTATAACTATAGCGTTGATTGAAAGAAATGCGAACATATAAAATCATTTAACAATAACCGGTCAAGACAAGCAAAGTATGAATGTGATTGGTTTTTCATTAATCAATAACAATATTGCTGAAGTACGGACCAGGTACAAGATAATTTTTAAAAAACTGACTAGAAGGGGCTTCCTAATGTATATCCTGATGTTTCTAGCTTACTCACAAATTTACTGTGCGGTATAAAAAATCTACAAAGGGCCCCCAAACTGTGTAAGAACAATAACTTGTTTAGGGTCCCCCAACCGCTTTCCCAAACCATCTTTGATATTTCTAGGAGCTCGCGATGGGCCACAAACTCCTTCTTAATCCATCTCTGATATTGCTAGGCACCCGCAATAGGCTCACAGACTCCTTCTCTGATATTGCTAGGGTCTCGTGAGGTAATCACAGGCTCCTTCTCAATCCTTCTCTGATATTGCTTGGGGCTCGCGATGGGCTCACAGACTCCTTCTCAATCCATCTCTGATATGGCTAGGGGCCCGTAATGGAATCATAGCACTGTAACCCAGGTATCGTTTAATCTTGTGTATCTAGCACTAATTTCTTTCACATTCGTTAAATAACAAATCTTTGTTTAAAAATTTGTAAAAATCGTTTAAAATCACCAAAAATCATCTAATTTGTACATGTGTCCAGTTTAAAGCTGACTGATTAATTTTGATAATGAGTGTCCAATGTACAAGTATTTAATTTCCTGATCACTGTTCAAAAATTAATCATTATACATCATTAATCAATTGGGTTGTTTATTTTTTAACAATGATTGAGAAATTAAACACTTGTAAATTGGACACTCATTATCAAAATTGAATAGAACCTTTCAACTGGACAGAAGTACAAATTAAACGATTTATGGTGATTTTAAACAGTTTTTACAAATTTTTAAACAAAGATTGGATATTAAACGAATGTGAAAGAAATTAGTGCTAGATACACAAGATTAAACGATACCTGGGTTACAGTGTAGAATACTTCTCAATCCATCTTTGATATTGCTAGGGGCTCGCAATGGGCTCATAGATTCCTTCTCAATCCATCTCTCATATTGCTACGTTAAATGTAAAGTGAGATCTACCCTTTCTTCTTTGATGTTATCTAGCATTTGTTGTTTCGAAGGTAGTTTGACGGTTCCTTTACATAACTGTGAAAACCATCTTGACTGTATCTCTGACATGGTAAGGATCCCACCTGACGCTGGTTGAACAAATCCTATAAATGCTAATGACGATCCTATTTCTGGATTAAAGGCATTCTTGTATAACTAAAAATAAAATGAAATGAAATGGGGTTTAATATCCTACTGTTCTGCTCCGACTCGGCCAACCAAGACAGGATTCAATGAAACAATAAACCATATAATCTTTAAGTGGCATTTAGCGATTGGAAAACACATTAATAGAACACAATTTTTATGGGAAACAATCACTGGTTTATTCTAAAAGCACGACGTTTCGACAAGTATCCTCTTATCGTTATCAAGCACAATTGTGCTTGATAACGATAAGAGGATACTTGTTGAAACGTCTCACTGGTTTATTCTAAAAGCACGACGTTTCGACAAGTATCCTCTTATCGTTATCAAGCACAATTGTGCTTGATAACGATAAGAGGATACTTGTCGAAACGTCGTGCTTTTAGAATAAACCAGTGATTGTTTCCCATAAAAATTGTGTTCTATTAATAAACCATATGTTAGGTCCCAAAAATCATCTAATAATTATATTATGAGGATATCTCACCTTTAATGAATTTGAATTATCTTCTAGAACTTGATTCTGTATATCTTGATGAAGGAATGGAAGACCTATTTTATATCCTGTACATAATATAATAACATCAAACTCAGCTGATTCACCATTTATAAATTCTACTCTTTCTCCCTCTATTCTCTATAAATATAATAAACATAATAAATGTTCTCCATCTTTTCTCCATAAATGTAATAATTTTAAAAAATCATAAATCTTCTCTCCATCTTTCCTCTCTATAAATATAATAAACATAATAAATAATAAATCTTCTCCATCTTTCCTCTATAAATATAATAAACTTTAGGACACATTATATAAGAGCTAAATCTGCTTATTGTAGATCTTTATTTAGGCTTCAAATAAATGAATTATTACTTGGACACTTATTAACATGTCAAGCTCATAATGAACTCTCTAGATCATCGGATATAGTTGTGATTTTGAAAAGATTGAAACACAGTCACTATTTAATAACTGAATTTAAAAATGGATAATCACCCAGAATAACGTAATTTGACTGAAAAATGTTGAACGAGAAAATTTCTGAGGGTTTCCAGTTGGGGTTGGTCATGTTAGCGGTGCAGGACGAAGGACCTGGCAGAGGTTGAAACTTGATCCCAGGACATTTCAACATAAGTCACATCAAAGACCTGACTTGTGACTCGACTTGAAATATTACTCGTGACTTGACGTGATAACTAACGACTTGAAAGAGCTAAGATTTGGAGTCGCGAATGTGGGAACATAACTCTAACTTGCCTTATTTGATGAACTTGCGCTTTAAGCAGACTTGGGATTGACTGAACTTGGTATTAAAGCGACATGGTAAGAAAAAGCATACACAGTATTAATAACTCACGTATGTATACATGTACATAACTTAACAATATATTAAAAACTATTTTGATATCTTACCAGTATATTACGAACTATTTTGACATTTTACCAGTATATTAGGAATATCTTACCAGTATATTAGGAACTATTTTGATATCTTACCAATATATAGGAACTATCTTAATATCTTACCAGTATATAGGAACTATCTTAATATCTTACCAGTATATTAGGAACTATTTTGATATCTTACCGATATATAGGAACTATTTTATTATCTTACCAGTACATTAGGAACTATTTTATTATCGAACCAGTATATAAAGAACTATTTTGAAATCTTACCAGCATATTAGGAACTAATACCTTACCAGTATATTAGGAACTATTTTAATACCTTACCAGTATATTAGAAACTATTTTGATATCAGTATATTAAGAACTCTCTTAATATTTTACCAGTATATTAGGAACTATCTTAATATCTTACCAGTACATTAGGAACTATCTTAATATCTTACCAGTACATTAGGAACTATCTTAATATCTTACCAGTATATTAGGAACTATTTTGATATCTTTTCTCTGTATGTGATGTATTATAGTTGGGCTAACAGTAGGCTGAGTTTGTAAGGCACCCATTTTAGGATTTAAGCCCCACCTGAAAATCAAACAATAAAATTTGTAATGCTAACAAAAACCAACATTTGAATTTATTTCACTATGTTGGAAGAAATCGAGAGATGGGGTTTAACGTCTAACATCAAAACCAAAAGACTTGGATTCAATCTGATTAAGAAGAGGCCCATCAAAAGATTACAGAGAAAATTATAGGTGGCGCTTGGTTTGTGTTTACTATACCCTGGTTTTAGTTGACCGTCTACGTATATATCCCATTTCTAGAGTATGTCAAATGTTGACAAATTTTCAATTCATCATATCGCTGTAAATAGTGATACTCCGTTTAGAGATGTAAGGTATTCTGCCAAGGATTAATAAACCCTTAAATGACTTTAAAAGGATTTAAAACCTATCTAAATAATGTTGAACTTAGATTTGAGAGAGAGATGGGGTTTAACGTCCACTTGACACAAAGTAGGTCATTTTTGGGCTAACATAAGCTCCCATTTTTAATTCAATAGACCACTTGCGTGTAAGGGTCTTAAGCAGTGGAAGGAAACCGGGGTACTTGGATAAAACCCACAGGGTTGGACAGGGAATTGAAACCACGCCACTTGACTCAAAGACAGACGTTATGATCTAAAGTGCACATATTAAACCATTTGGTCACCCAATCAACCTAAAAGATAAATAACTTACCTTTTGGGATTTCCTGAGATAAGCTTTATAACATTTTCAAACACAAAATTAGCCCAGCGCCATGGTAACATAAAGAATGCCCGACAAGCATACACATCTACTGGATGACCAAAAACGTAGTTTGGAACAATCCAGGCCCCTGATCTTGTACTAACATACACTGACTTACATCTAGATAAGAAAAATAATAAAAAAAACCTTTGAGTTCAAACTTTTAAGGGCCAATTAAAGTCATTTCTATTTGAGTGAAGTCGTTTATGTTTGTTCGTGCTGAAAACAACGAAGATTGTCCCCAGAGTGAATTTTGGGGAATATGCCATGCAGTATCTACCTCATCCTCGGTATCCCCAGTGGTATCGCTTTGTTCTACTCCACTAACCCCTGAATCCATACAAGAAGGAGACACATAGTCAAATTATCTGCCCTTGATACTATTTTATTGACCAATCAAACATAGAAAGCGAGTGGTCGAAGGGTAGTAACTGACATGTTGTTGATACTAAGATCGCGGAATCGTTTGTATACTTTGTCAAAATACTTTAGGACATCTTTTTGTGTGCCTGTCATTTCTTTGATATTAAATTTCTTGCAAACTTCCTTATATTTGAACGCACAAGCTGCTGTATTGTGGTGAACATAAACTTAATGATGCTAAGACTGGTATGTAATCTGTTTTTAGATTGGTTCATAGAAAAACCTACATGGCCAATGAAATCATCAAGGGGTTAGTGGAGTAGAACGTAGCTATGCCACTGGAGATACCGAGGATGTGTCCACCTGCTCTTTGTCAAATTTCAACTAACTAGGGATCTTTAAGTGCTCACAAACATGTACACAGGACCTTGTTTTTTGTTCCATCCACAAAACTAGACACTGTTCCTTGCAATCCCCTCCTGTCTACACCTCTGATAAGGGAAAATCCTAAGGAACTTTCACGGCCAACATTGGGATCAAACCCTGGATATCCTGCTTAGTGAGCCAGCGCCTTCGTCACTGAGTCACACGTGATTCAGTGATGACGAATACATTCATATTGGACACATTTATAATATCACAGAGAAATAGTGGAGGAAATAGAAGTATTAATATTAGTAAGCTACCTGCCTGCGGCTGCACAGTTTGTTGCCGCGTCTACGGCACTGTTACCAATACCAACCACCAGTACTCTTTTACCAGTAAAACTATTGGTTATAACATCCTTATAATCAACGGAATGAATTATCTCCCCTGAAAGTAGATACATGTAATACATATAGTGCCATCTATTGGCATTCTATTGGTTATAACATCCTTATAATCATCGGAATCAATTATCTCCCCTGAAAGTAGACACATGTAATACATATAGTGCCATCTATTGGTTATAACATCTGTATAAGGACTCAGACTCATCACTTCCCTTTTATTTGTACCTATTATTTGTAGTTTCTTAATTTTATAGCAATTCTCTCTTTCTCCGCCCTTTAGTATGTAAAATCTGTTGACGTTTTGGTCTAGAATCAAAGACATGAATTTCCATTATGTTCAATGTTTTGGTGAATACAGGGAGGAAGGACCAGCCAGTAAACCGATATGATTTAAGGTGATCAACTAGTAAAATAACGCCACTGCCATTAGCTTCGTTTGCTTCAATATGGAGGAAACAAGGGTAGAGAGTGATGAAGACAATGTACATGACATAAAAAAAAAGAATTTTCTCTTTACTCTTTGAAAAAAATTTCTTTGGACTATCACAACGGATATAATTTCCTCAAAAGGATTTGGAGGGAGGTGTGGCGATGGCGGGATTGTCGGCTGTGAGGAAGGATATGGTCATCACTTTATAACAAAAATCAAATATTTCATCTATGAATCAGGAAGGAATTTTTCTACTTTGGTGTGAGGAAGCATATTTTTTTACTTAGTTGTGAGGTGAGGAAGGATATTTTCTGACTAAGTTTCGACCCTAAGGGGAGTGGGGGTGTGGTGGGGAAAAGTGCCCCCCCGGGAGTGGGGGTGTGGTGGGGAAAAGTGCCCCCCCGGACACCCCAAGATAAGAGTGAGCCACAGGGGCAGGGATGTGAGGAAGAAGAGAAGGCACATTGTGGAATAATATACACCCCTGTCCACTTCTAAATGTCCTTCAGTGATATGCCTGTTTATGTTTTCAAATACAAACCTTTGAATGTTTCTTGACCTCTAAATTTGGCAACTGTAGGAATAGCATGATGCCCGCTTGCTATGGCAACATTTTTTGCAATAAAAACCTGTTTTTCGTCCGTTTCTTTTCCAGTTTTACCGTCTTCTTCCATTCTACATGTAGTTATCTGCCAATCTTCACCTAATAATAAATATGCAAACAAACTATGAGCAATATAAATCAGACTTTCTAAGGCCCGCCACCAAGAAAACATTTCAATAAAAATTTTCCATAATAAATTTAAGTGTGTCATTATATGGGCCCCGGTCATCACACACTACCAGTTATGTTATGTGCAAGATACAGGACCTCATTTTTTGACCAATCTGAACAACTAGACACTTTTGCTTGACTGGACCCCCATCCAGCACAACTGACGAGGACAAGCCGGACTGGATAATCCCAAGGAGCTTTTTCAACCAACACCTGGTTCCCAATACCCATCACGACTTCCCTATCATTTGATTGCTGGTTATCATTATTTAGTGCTTGTCTGGTTGAAATGTATGAAATGATGAATCCATTACATCAGAACAACCAGATGCTTTTCATTTTGTATGGGGGTGGCCATATTGTGTGCCACGTGAGCAATATGCCATAATAGGAGGGTCGCCTGTCCAACCTCGTGGGCTTTTTCGGAATCCTCCCACATCTAATGACCCCTAGTTTGTGTCGAGTGGACGTTAAACCCCATTTCTATCTCTCTATTACATAACGTCTGGTTGAACTAGACTAATCTTACAGGTATATGCAATGGGTCATTTCAGGACAAACATATGATGGTACAATTTTATTTCAATAATTCGCTTGATCATAATTATGGTCTTTAGCAGTAAGAGGAAATGGGAGAGGAAACTCACAAGGCCACCCTACCCCTTGTCACATACAAGCTTGGGGTTGAAACTTGACTCAATGACTGGCCTTATAATAACCACTCAAGTACCCCTGTCCTCCACTCAAGTACCCCCCCCCCCCACCTTCTCCACTCAAGTACCTCCTCCTCCTCCACTAAAGTTCCCCCTTCCTCCACTCAAGTACCCACCCTCCTCCATTCAAATTCCCCCATCCTCCGCTCAAGTACCCCCATCCTCCACTCAAACTCCACCATTTCTAATATCATTGAACCATTGCACTGTGACTAAATATTTCTTTAAATTACCCATTCTTTCAACTGACAACACCTTTGTATTAAATTGAATGACTTCTTCAAGTTTAAAATGTGTTGTGTAGTCATAAATATATTTGGCCATATCTTTGTTGTGTGGGAAGTCTGCAGCATCATCTGGAAATGGGTAATCCGAAAAACAGTAATTATGCTTTGAAACATTTCTGAAAAAGTAAATTAACACGAATTAAAATCTTATATGTGTTCTGCGAGGGATAGATTTTTGCCTGAACAGTAGCACTATTATATACTTTTCTTACAAAATACATATTCTTCTTTTACCGATGAGAAACCCTAGAGGCTAGACCGACAGCCCTACTTCTTGAAATTTCTTGAAATGGTGATAAACATCCTATTTTCTGCACCAATCATGAATATGCAGTGAAGTGTGGTACTAACTATTTGCTGAATTCCAACTGCAAAGGGTTCTTTTAATGTGTACCTTACTTTGACTTTTCGTCACAGCCGAACGATTTGACGATGTTCCGTGCCCTTATTTTTATTTTCTTTTAAAAACATTTATACCATTAAAAGATCAGATATTCTTGATGAATATAGTGGAAATGTAGCTGACAAAGCAAAATTCCCTCATAGCACACTTCTGGGCATATGTCAATCTTCATTAGTCCTGTTTGTGATGAAAAGTAGGACCTTAAATCCCATTTCATTTCATTTCATTGGCAAGAGCACGTACAAGTTTATGATAAGAAATTATCAAAATGATTTATTTTATCAGAGAGATAAATGTTGTACATGAAATATTTCACGGACTTGTGTTAAATACATTTGTAGTAGGTTACTTTTTATCTTTATTGGATATCTATCTATCAACTATGAAGGAGTATGGTCATCTGCTTATCCTATGAAATAGGGCTTAACGTCATACTTTTCTGCACCAACTGGCCTAATAATTTTTTCCGGAGAACAGCATTTCCGCCGGCTCGACTTTGTCAAATTCAGACAGGATTTTTTTTCCTTGAACACCAATGAGTAATGTGCTATGAGGGAAATAATGCTCGGGCAGCAGCGTTGCATACTGTCTTCAAATTCCGCCCAACTTTTACATGTGCGCCAAGTGTAAACATGACTTTTTTACTGTCCCATCCAAACAACTAGATACTGTACTTTCCGCCTTCCCACACCACTGACATGGGGAACAGAACTTTCTCTGTGGCATCAAATCGATTTTATAATGGATTCATGTATAATTGTTTATTTATTCAATCATATATTATTAAATTCAATTTGATTAAGGAATCATTTTGCCTACCTGTATATTTATTCATTCAAGCAAGATTTATTTCAATTAAGTTATGGATTCATATAAATTATTTATTTTTTTAAATCTCCAATATTTATAGTTAAATCCCCAATAAAAATATAAAAACAACAGTGCTACATACATGTGAGTAAACCTCATCACACCATAATCATGTTCCCTGTATGTCCACAGACCACCAACTTCTCCTGTCCGTTCTAAAATAATCACATTAAAGCCGTCTTCTCTTAGACATTTGGCCGCGACAAGACCAGAAATTCCGGCACCAATAACAACGACATCTTTACGCCTTGCATTGGAATCGGATGACATTTTCTCTGATTCTATTCGCCTGTCAGAAACTCAAGAAGGTATTAGAACATTTCACAACCCCGATTACATGCTCTTTGAAGAAGTCAAAGTCTGGCCCAGTGTTGATGTCACGTGATACAGTTGTGTCACGTGATATGATAAACTGTCACTTGGTCCACCAAGAACTTGAACGTTTTATCCCGATCGATCTCATATTCCAAAAACTGTCACTCGGTCCACCAAGAAACGTTTTATCCCGATTGGTCTCATATTCCAAAAACTTAACGTAAAATTATCCCGGTCGATCTCATAACCTATATATAGCTCCGTCGTGTAACATTAGTTAACAATTTATTAAACTGTTGGCTATTCTTGCCATACTAATTCAAAAATAGCTGATAAAAAAAGAAAATATTGAAAATTTCAATCAAATTACTTTATTCTGAACGGAATTGTCACTGAGGGAAGTTTGGACTAGTAGAAATAGAAATAGTCATCAACTGTGTCCGCACCGTCTACGAGAATTGCCGACCGTTTAATTGATAGGCGATAACTCCACCCACATATTCTCAGTTACCAAGTAACATTCTTAGTGGCTACGGTACCCTCGCTTGGCAGGCCTTTCGTCGGCAGTCTCCAGTAGTGACATAAGTGACTAACGGTGAATGTTAGCTTAGTGTGACAGAGTAATATTTTTAATATATATAGTCAGTTGGTTTTAGTCATTTTAATCCGCACTTAATATAAACTAATAATGGTTGTACTGTCCCTTTAAACCTATCCTATACTGTCCACTCTACACCTGGTCTGCAGTGAGTTCACTCACTACATTTTCAACTTTAACCTTTCTTATTTGTCTAGTGAGGTGTTCTTTGAAGGTCCCCTTGGAGACATTCATCCTATATAGGTTTTATATGCAAAGGTAGACACTTTTCCTCTCCTTAAGTATATAAAGGTTATTATATTGCGTATTTATTAGTATATTTCAAGTATTGCTAAATGAAAATATTGACGCTTCTTCGATAGTGGTTTGGTGTTTTGTGACAGTTTATTTATCAAGTATGTTTATTATTATATTATTGGAATTGGTCTTTGTTTTAAAGTGGCAGCCATGTTGAATTTCTTTAAAGTATAAATTGGTGATTTGAAATAAACACGTTCCAAATATTATTTTATGACAGAGATCATTGCTACGATAGATGTGGAATCAATGTTTCAACAATCGGAAGTGACGAACGCAAAAGGAAAACACGAGAAATCCCTCTATATAACTGATTGAAGTGACGGGTGATAACAGGTACATGGGCGAATTTCTGCCCACTAATAATTCCTTCGAAGACCAAAAGTTGTTGTGTGAGACTGTGAAAGGATATCTGACAATTCATAAAAAAAAATGACTGTTACTAGATAAGAGAACATGAAAGAAAAATAGAAAAAGTCCAAGTATTACCATGTTTTTATAGGGATAGAATGAATAAACACGCGTGAATGTACGGACTGTTTCTACTTTATTCGTGTTCTCTTATCTAATGACATTCAGTTACTTTTTTGAATTGTCAGATATACTCTTACAGTCTCATATAACAACTTTTGGTCTTCGAAGGAATTATTAGTGGGCAGAAATTCGCCCATGTACCTGTTATCACCCGTCACTTCAATCAATTATATAGAGGGATTACTCGTGTTTTCCTTTTGCGTTCGTCATTTCTGATTGTTGAAGCATTGATTACGCCTCTATCGTAGCAATGATCTCTGCGCTAAAATAATATTTGGAATGTGTTTAACCAGTTCTATCAAATAATATGTGATAATGACTGGCACGAATATTGTCCTTTAAGATCTAATTATTCGTATTATTATTATTTAAGCTGTAATCAGGGGCGGATTGGGGCCGGGAACCTGCCCGGGATCCCGTGTCGGGGCGGCCCCTTTTACTGACCGCGGAGCCCAGACGGGGGGGGGGGGCTCTCCCCCGGGAAAATTTTGAAAAATGAACCCCAAATATGCGATTTGGTGGCATATCTGATTATAATCTCTGTCAAATAATATATCTCATATTTAGGCCAAAACCCCGACCTGCAAATAATTTACAACCATCATCGTCATATTATTAATTAACGTATTATCATTGCATCGTCAAGAGTCAAGAGAATTTATCTGGTTAAAAAATGGGACTGGTTGAGACAATTTTGATTTTGACCATTCCGAATTCCGGCCCACACCCAGCACACCCGGCCCAGAAAGTCTATTATAGCAGCCCATTCCAGACTCCAGTGATGGCGTGTCGGCCCGTTAAAGCCACCGGCCACATACAACATGATCATCATCGCTCCATGGCCGGTCCAATACCCCCTCCCCCCCCCCCCCGCCCATATAATGTTCAGCAGAAAAAGGTTTTTTAGACGAATTGGACAAAATTATTTTTTTCATTTTCTGCCGACCGGCCCGATGGCCCAATCCGCCCCTGGCTGTAATAATAAGTATATTTCATACTTGTACGAGTATAGCTGTATTTCATAGTTCACTTATACATATTATACATATGATTTTATAGTATCGTTATTATTACTATTAAACCATGCTTTAATACTGTTTTATACATTGTATTTATTATATTACTTGTATATTTGCAGGGTTTTTCTTGTTTACTTTGGCCGTAGACAATGATAATAAACTATTTTCAAAGGAAAGAACCCTTGTATGTGGTCATTATACCCCCTTCAACATTAGTCAGCCATTTATTGATTTAATTTTAAATGGGCGACTATTTAAATCCAGGCTGTGCGCAAGCCATCCGATCGCGAGGGTTTACAGAGTCGATTTTGAACTTGTCATGTAAATAAGTCTAACTATATAATTTCTATAACATCTAAAGCCGAAATAAAGACTTGCAAGGGGCAGATTTTGCTCTTGCATAATGTAATTTAATTTTAAAATAAAATGAATTATGCAATTGGGTTTAACGTCCAGTGTACTACGTAACTACAGGGATACGGTATACCGTTTGCCGTGTTATATGAATGAAAGATCTATTTGACAAGGCCAAACGCATAATTTCCGCAAGGACACGAGACGTAATTTAAACAGTACTGTTAACCCAAGACCTAGCCCTACGCCTTACACTAACTCTAACCCACAATCCTCGGCAACAATCATATATGCCCTAACCCCACATTTCGTGACCTTGGGCAAATATGCGTTTGGCCTTATCAAATAGATATAGCCTTCTTTTACGTGTGCGTGTTATTCAAACGATCTTATTAGGTCTAAATCAACAAATTGACGTGTCGATAATTCTTAGAAACTAGAGTGTGGAAATCAGTTATTATTGTTTTCTGGTTTCAGTAAAACACTGACTTGTGTACTATAGATATCTATACGTTGCATGTAGAATACAAGAGTACGTTGTGATAGTGTTCAGTATTATATCATGGCAATTTGGAAACCAGTCTAAAAAAAATTATCTGTGTCAAGGACGTTAGGCTTTGTTTTTAGACTTTTTGTATATCGAGAGAGAGTTTAACGTACTCCACTCTTTTATTTCAGTAAGTCGCTTGCGCGTATGGGTCTTTAGCAGTGGGAAGAATCCGGAGGGCCCGGAGAAAACCCACGAGGTTGGACAGGCGACCCTACTCCTTGTCACGTACAACCATGGAATCGAAACCACGCCAGTTGACTAAATGACAGACCTTATGATATAACCTCCTTTTTTTGTATATTTCAGCCCACTTGATGTGAAATGTTAGTTAATGTGGCCCCTGAATCGAAATGAGTTTGACACCCCCTGGTCTAAATATTAAGGCCACCTGCAGATTTCGGCAAGGTTTACGAACGACTAGATACCGTTCCGTGCCAGGCTCCTGTCCTGCACGCACTGCAGACATGGGGGAAATAACAAGTCTCCTCGAAGTTTGATTATTCATATGTGTGCACAGTGTGCTGTGAGCGAAATTTTGCAAGTACAGGGGCACTATAATACGACCTACCCTTTTTTTTTGTATTTTTTGAATTCCAACTGTCAAAGGTTCTACGCTGTACGCGGGGGTGGGGACGGTGCTCGGTGTTTTGTCCCACCCAAACGACTGAGACTGCCTTGCCAGGCACTCCCTGTACCCTTGGCAAGAGTAAACCGCGTTGGATTCGAGGAATCTTCTTCTCTGTCAACACGGGCGGTTGGATGGCCGAATGGTTACCACGTGCGTGCTGTATCATACAACCTGTCATTGAGTCAACTGGCGTAGTTTCGAATCCCCGGTTGTACGTGACAAGGAGTAGGGTCGCCTGTCCAACCTCGAGGGTTTTCTCCGGGTCCTCCGGTTTCCTCCCACTGCTAAAGACCCCTACGCGCAAACGAATTATTGAAATAAAATTAAACCATATGTTAGTCCCGAAATGACCTAGTTTGTGTCATGTGGACGTTAAACCATCTCCCTCTCTCTCTCTCTCTCTCTCTCTCTCTCTCTCTCTCTCTCTGTGTCAACAATGGTGACCTCGAGACGATGTTGAGTCGGATCCTAGTCGAGTTCCAAATCGCTGACTTTAGTACCGAATCCAGTCGAGTTCCAAGTCCTCAGAAAGCCCGAGTCCCCTTCAAGTCGACAGTTCAGCAATTCACGAGACGCAATAAATATTTCAAGTCGAGTCGCAATTGTCGGGTCATTTAAGTCGGAGTCGTATTCGAGTCGCGAGACTCGAGATCCCAGCTCTTGGGAGCCTGGTTGGAGTAATAGCCACCTTAACAAGTGAACACATTCAGGTATTTAACTTAGACGTTCGACGTTTTTAAAAGATGATACCATGAACTGTCGTGTGTTTATCTATATTTATTGTTTGATTACAGAACACAGTGGTTCGTCGTCTTCGAACAACAATGGACAGATTCAAGGCGTTCGATATAGAAAACAAATATTGCACAAAATTTATCTAGGCGAGAAATAAATGTCATCTCACACGATGGAAAAATAGAAACGGTGTTAAACATGACTTTAATTACTCTGTATATTCAATACAGATCTATATTTCGTTTCGGTTTTTTTTATACTTTCGATCGTTAAGACAAGGAAAACGATCAGATTGCTGTATACCAATAGTTTAAATAATAAGTTAGAAATACCACAACAAGACCGGGAACATTTAATAGAAATAAATAACAAATGCAGAATGGGCACAGGCACGGGCACAGAGGGGGAAACTGGCGCTTGTTAATTTACTATATTTTTTTTGCGCGTAGGGGTCTTTAGCAGTGGAACAGGCGGCCCTACTCCTTGTCACGTACAACCGGGGATTCGAAACCACCCCAGTTGACTCAATGACAGGTTTTATGATACAGCGCGCACGTGCAAACCATTCGGCCATCCATCCCCCCACCCCATTATTAAAACAAGGAATCAATCTAGTTGTTACTCTCGACGACAGAAATGTAGGTATATACACACCGTTGCGATCATACGTAGTTTAGAAGCTGGGTTATTGGAGATATGGGTTTTCAAATAGCAGAGATCTTGAAGATCCAAGACATCGACCATAATATTATGTTGGTTTATACACCAAGATTTCGATCCTAAGTGGTTTACAAGCAATGGGTTATTTATACTTTCAATGGCTTACACTACATGAAGAACTGACTAGTTGTAATGTGAGGTCGCGTCGGTGTCACTCGAGCCGCTTTTAACCCTATGATGTCAAACATTTGATTTGTCAATCAGTGTTGATGTTTCTACTTACCGTAACAGACCGTTTCATTGGTTAATCCCTCGCATCATCTAGAACGCGGGTTATATATAAAAACTCTTCCAGATCCTTGTGTAGTAACGACAAGTAAACGAAATTTTGAACTATAAAAAACAAAACGAAATATGATCTATGTTTTGATCAGATTGGTTTAAATGCTGAGATATAGGTTTTGCATAGCGGAAATCTTGAAGGTCAAAGATGGCCATCATACTTTAATTTATGGAGTAAGTGGTGCCTATCAAAAATGAAAAGCTGATGTAATAGGTAACATCTGCGGAAGATTGTCTCTGTAGTCCAATACGTTCACAACCATTCCAAGTCTGATCACAGTTGTTAGACCAGGGGATTTTACCGCTGTTTTAACCGAGGTTGTGACACTATGGAGACAGATATGTGACACTTTCTTCTAGGCGTTTCTTCGACTTCACGTTGTGGGATCAATTATTTCAATCATCAATTAACTGACTCTGGAACACCGTTTATGTTGTTACTAAGTTTATATAATTAAACAAATAAAGCAAACTACAAAGTTATGATAGTACTTTTCGAGTTATTAAAATATCCACGGTCTGAGTTTAATGTCCTTTCTAACTCAGACCAGAACGGCTTAAACGTGGACAGAGCCACATACTTCTTGATAGCTCTACATAAGGTTCGCGCTAGGATGATGTGTTTACCCTAGCCTCTCAGCCGGAGAGGCTACGATATTCCCTTCTCTGGCCGATCTATGATATCTGAAGGTAAATCAAACCATATCTCTCCTATATAGATATTATAATGCGTCATCTATAAGGGCGGGACAATTACCATTTTTGGTAAGTGTTTCGCATAAGCACCGTTTTACGTCAACACTATTCTAGTTAATTGTACTAATCTGTGCACGAGATAACTGGACTATAGTACCCTACTTCCAGCAATGGATACTGACATAACTGTCGGTGAGTTAGTCTAAGATAGAAGTAGAATAATGCAAGCTACTTCATTACCCTAGTTTTCGTCACACATCATGTAGGTAACGAATTTCTATATTAAACAGAACACCTTTCTTAAAGCTATAATAAACCTTATAGTATTACAATACGCCCCTTTTCAATGCGTTAAATAAGCAATGTTGCTTAATTAACGCTTATTGTTTCACATGCAATAAATACAATACAATATCAATAATTAAAAGCACTGAATATGTCCATTAAAATGTTAAGTCCTAATTCTAAAATATCATTATACTGTAATCCTTTAGTGGCATTTAGCAATTGGAAACATAACAAAACTGACACAGTTATATGGGACAACAATCACTGGTTTATTATGCACAATGCTTGATAACGATAAGAGAATACTTATCGAAACGTTGTGCCTGTGTATAATAAACCAGTGATTGTTGTCCCATATAACTCTGTCAGTTTTTTTTATCATTATACTGATAAACATGCTACCATAATGTAAGTTCACTGATTCACTGTCAATATAAATTCTCGGTTATACGTTCCAACACAATAAAAAAAACCCTACTGTTTCAATGTCAATAAGTTCACTGTTCCTAACACTACATAATTTCAGGTCCTGTTCAGAATTGTTCTGTTTCTTGCACTGTAAATTTTGGTGATTCGTTAACACTTCTTTCATTTCCTCTTTAGAACTATATCTGCTTATATGCCGGAATTCCTCTGTCTGGTTCGTCGTTGCTGTGCGTTAAGATAGGTAGGCTACATTACTTCCCGTAACCGATCAGTGTACTTGCTTAATCAGACCACTAATTATTCAATTACATTACCCTTAATTTATGACATTTATTTTAATATTAATTGGATACGGTTAAACCTTATAGTATTACAAGGTGAAATGAAATGAAATGGAATGTCGTTTAACGTCCTACTGTTCCGCCATACAGTGTGCTATTTCGGAAAGTATTCTTACACATACGCGTATTAAAGGCTCTGGTAGGCCCATCACCGACAAGCCCCGACCAGAACTGACACGGCTTTTCTCAATGATAGCTCTCAAAGTATTGCAAAAAGGGACCGACAAGGAAAAACATGTTTTAGATATGCATATTATCCATAAAATTAACAAATATGTTTAAGTTCTCTCTTCCAAATTCACAAATTCATAGTCTGCTCGTTTCAATGCTAGGTTACTTCCTAAGTCGTCAAGGTAACTGTTGATGTTGTAGTCATACTATACGAATTAGTAGAATCGCTTTGTGATGCATCGACGCATTTGCACCGACCTTTGATAAGTTCAAAAACTCGAGCATTGCAAACAAAGGAAAGAAAAAGAAAACCTCCTTGACTTGCGTTGATAACAATAAAAATGTATATAAGTGGTTCAGACTGGGTAATAATAGCTATAAACCCAATTAACCAGGTAAAACCAGTCAACGAGGACATTTTAACGTACACAAATACATGACTTCTATCTGTCTGCGAGCTCGTTAAATTGGGTCGATTTTTTATTACTCGAATGGTGAAGATGAAAAACGCGATGTTCATTACGACTATGAGACCGACCGGAGTGGCGAATGCAACGCCGATGGCCAGCGCAGATGACAAATAACAAACATTCCCGCCATAACCAATAGAAGCGCCATTTGAGATCGCTGAATGTACGCTAATTGTCACGGCAGCAATTAAGGCGGGAACACCGTAAATGTAGACACTATATCGCAAGAGCTGACGACGTTTATGGCTGGGATCATCCCTGTTTCTCATGGACGTGAACACGTGGTACATGTGAAAAGAGCAGACGTTCATGGCGCAAAAAGCACTCAACCAAAAATAGTGAATGAGTACCCCCATGATTTTACAGACGACCTTCACCTCAGTTTGTCCCGATCCGGCCACGTAGAGAAACTGGGCGAACCACAGAGAAATGACCAAATTCATATTGTTCAGTCCTGGCATACTCCTTAACGATTCGAAGACGCAGTAGACGACGAAGACAAGTATCAGGCAAATTAGCGAAAGGGCGGTGAAGACGACGGAGACGATAGCGACAGGTGTAGCGTCTGAAATAGGAACGTTTCGAAAGTTCCTTTTCAAATTCAGGGCCATATTATCCAAACAAATCTTTACCATTCCGCCATCTTCTATGCGATATTGATCCCGGGGGATCGGTTTGTTTTTCCAGTCAAGATTCAACCCACCATATTCGTCTATTTGAAATTCACCCTTTTCTAAAAGAATTTGTGGACACTTCATTAGACCATCCACTGGAATATACACAACCCCGGCGTCATCTCCGGCATCGTGTTCATTCCGATCGAACTCTGTTTTCTCGAAGACCTCAATGCACGACACATTTCGGTGGACGAAACAGTCCATGGCCCCAACACAATTCGCGAAGATAGATTCACGAGTAGTTGACAAGCCCCAGGTATTATTGTCGTCTGATAGATTGAATGACGTGTTTCCTATCCCCAGTAAAATGTTTTCAAACTCCACAACCAACGTGGGTCTTGCTACCACCAGGTGTGAAAGAAAAAAAGCCATCTTGGTTTCTCTTGTGCATTCGGTACTATTTGATCTGAAATCCAGCGCCAAAACCTCCAGGTAAAAGAAAATTGATCTGCTCAATGGACCATAAAAGAGGTACCTCTCCAGCAAGACCATGATCTTGTCTGCTGATTCTCGTGCTATATCTGTATGACTGGAAGAAAGTCTAAAATAGAGTCTATAGGCCATTCCTTTGGCCTCGTCGAATATTGGAACACATTGATTATTCTTAAATTGTTTGCCATAACTGCAGTAAATTTTTCGACATAGTTTCTGAAATGTAAAGAAAAAATAATTGCAAGCCTGCGATGGGTCAACTTCTTACTGAAAGCAGTAGTTGGCGGAAGAATCCCCCTAACAGCGATGCAGTAGGAGCAAGACGCGAAAGAAATCCTTCCTTTGAAAATAGTCCCAAAATAAAATCCCCCAGTAACACGTCCTGGAATAAATACTTTTATATAGTCTACACCGTCTTGTCAGTGTGTTGCTAGGGGATTTTAGTTCAGGAAATGTAAAGAATACTAACGATAAAACAGATACATCTGAATTCAATAAAATGAGAAAAGTTTTAAAATATTAAACCTGTCCGTGACCTTTCACCGACGAATGGTTGTATTATTAAGGAACCGAGCGATTGCCATTTTACGTTTGGTCATCCCAATAAACGAAGGTCTCGAGATCATAAATACAGCATCAGATAAAAATTACCATGTTGCACCTGTTTGAAAGAAACTGCACCGGTGACCAATCACCCATAGAATCAATTACAAACTCCCGTGTTTAAATGGAACAATCCTATAGAATATTTTGGATCTACAATTACTGAATATATCCTCAAACGCGACATCAGGGTTACAAAATGATCGCCTTCCGACATAACAAAAATCTCATCTCAGTGACCCGTAAAGCTGTTCTTAAATTGAGGCTCTAAACATATTGGCTCGCTACGCTGACAGCTTCACGACCCCCCCCCCCCCAACACACACAAACACACACAAACACCGTGCATTTCATTTGTAAAATCTGATATATGACTTTCGAAATATAAATGGATAAATGTTCATTAAGAATGTATACCATACCTTTTTGTTATCAAATATTTCATCAGGACGGCAAATGTCTCGCGACTTGGCAGGCGGTGTTTGTTGTTGGTCATTTTCAAAATCTAACAAAACGGAAAAAGCTTTCGGGAAAACTTGTCGATTACCCTTGACACATTCAAGAAGTTTTGAGTCGTTGGCTGCATTACAGAGGTAACAAAAGGGGTTCGCATATTTTTGCCCATCGACAATTTTTACAGCTGTATATCGAGAGCATGCAACTTCTACAGATTCATCAAACACAACCCACAGTCCAGTAACGTTACATTTAGTAATGGTGGACGAATCATCGAAGCACCTTCTGACGTTAATATGCTCCGGTGTCGAGAAAGACACGCTACAGTTAGAGTTTTTACTAATACTCTCTACCATTTCTTCTTTAGAATTAAAAATAAATCCGATATTTGACGAACACGCAATGCTCAGCTGCCATGGCTGTACTCGATGAACATTCCTACAGCGTGCACAGTTGACGTTTTTGTAAGTTGTTTTATTGTCAAAGGCAGTGACTGGACCGAGCAATGGTGAATTCCGACAGGATGCAGAAAGGTCATGGTTCTTGTCTGGACATGAGGAAATCATCTGATATCCCTCTGATGTCGGGAGTTTCGCACGGTATATATCATTGGGAATACCGCGATACAAGATAGAGTTACAAGAAAATGGTGATTTCTGTTCTGGGTTGATTAATCTGTGGTCCGCACAACAATCGTCGTAGAGGGAGCAATCATCGTCACAGTAGCATTGTTCACAGGGTTCGCAAAATCTTCTTCTGTATCCATTACAGATCCCTGTTCTTCCACAATATTTTAAGTTTCTTTCAAGTAACCATTCCGACCAATTTCTGTTCGGGTTTCCGGTAGTAATATCAGCCAACGGATTTTTTGAAGTAGTCGAGGACATTTCTATATTACCCGTGTAACCCGTGACGATTTCTTTGTTCACCGTTTCCGTAAGATCCAAACGGCACAGGCAAAACAGAAACAGCAGAATTGTCAAACTCTGCATTTTCGAAAATGTCAAATCACAATAAAAAGATAAAAACGGAACTGAAACATCTGAGAATGAACAATTTTTCTAACCTCAAGAATATATGTATGGATTAGACTACGTAAAAGCATGTAGATTTTGTTTGAAGAGTGATTTGAAGTATGGGTCTGTTCCGTTCTATATAGCCCTACAGTGATTACATAACGGAAATTATATTGATTACGTTAGCAAGAGTTCTACAGATACTTAAAGACTGAAGTACTGGTAGCAGATTTGTAGAATCTCGTGTTGTTAAAGAGACACGGCATCGGAGGATAACGGTGCACAAGATGTCAATCTTATTTAACACGGTAAAGATATCTTAGTTAAGGAAATGAAATGAAATGAAATAAAATGGGGTTTAACAACATCCTACTTTTCTGCACCAAGCTGGCTAATAAAAACAGGCCTACGTCATACAGCGGTGCTGCGACCTACTCTTATTTCTTTTGGGTAGGTGGCCGAATGGTTAGCAGTGAGAAGACATAGGAAGACCCGGAGGAAATCCACGAGGTTGGACAGGCGATCCTACTCATTGTCACGTACAAGCGAGGAAACGAGACCACGCCAGTTCACTCAATGTTAGACCTTACGATCCAAAGCGCACACGTTAAACCATTCGCCCATTGAACGCCAAGGATCGGTTTACAGGATCCCCTGTCTCTTTAAAGAAGTTATAATAACTGGTGGAAAATATGATCGATTAATTGATCGCGTCTCGTCTTTAATTCGTTAATTAATTGTTTATTCAATGAGTGCGAATAGAAGACTCTATCTCTATGGGGTTTAACGTCTTACTTTTCTGCCCCATCCGGGGTAATGAAAACGGGCATTCGACATGCAGTGTGTTATAAGGGGAATTATGCTCGGGTATTTTTTGCCTATTTTTATTTCGATTTCCAACTATCAATGGTACAATGTGTTCTCAGTTGTACTTGCCTTCCGAAAGGCTGGATATTGTTCCTTGCCAGACTGGTTGGTTCTTTTTTGTCCTATCCAAACGACTAGACGCATACCGTTGTTTTCCAGGACCTCTGCACCAATAACAAAGGAACCATAGCATGTTAACTATACATGTGATTGTAGGGGATGATATTATGATGTTATTCAAAATTGATTTCATTTATTTTCTTGGTCAGTCTTTATATAGACCATAGGGATCTAAATAAACGCCAAGTAATAAAAAATGAATGAAACGGGGTTTAATGTCTAATTTTTTCTGCTCCTTCCCTGAACATGTGATAATGTTGATAATCATTTTACGCATAAGTAAAACATTATTATCTAGCAGCGGGACAATGCCTAAAATTGGAAATTGGCGGGAACTGTTCTCCTAATTTGTGATCATGAACATTATCACATTTCCACCAAATTTTAGACATTGGACAGCACACTGATTACCACCTACAAAAAATGGTCTGACCCCCCCCCCCCCCCCGCCCCCCACACACGCGGCCAATCCTTGAGCCAGGGAACTTGAGTAACAAGTAACATGATCTGCTAACGACAATTTATATAAGTCTTGAATTGTTTTCATATACCTCCCATTATTTTGTAAATACATTCGTTTTATATAAACTAAAATATTATTATACAAGTTTTGAGTTGTTTTCAGATGCTTCATAAATATTTTTTAAACCGTAGTTTTTGTATTATTTCAGTTTCAATTAAACTCATTTCTTTTAAAGAAACAAGAAAACTATTTAATTGTTTGCGTAACAACAGGATAATACTTTGCACCATAAACAATTCAGTATTGGTTTTTGCTGGTGGAGGGGATGGGGTGGTGTAATCAAAAATATTTTTATTTACTCGCGGAAACACTCGCACACCAGCAAAAAGAATAAATAATCTCATTTTTGTTTTGCATTCTAATTTTCAGGTCTTTACATCATAAACAATTAAGCAGGTTCAGAGTTCTATTCGCCCTGTAAGAACTCTGGGCGAATCCCAGCTTTACATTGTTACTCTCGAGCAGCATAAAATCGACCAAAGTTCAATTCCACAGATATATCTTGGTAAATACTAAACGGAATTGAACCGTTTTTAGATTCAACTTCCACTTATTGTAGTTTGCAATGTTCCTGTAGCACAGTGGAGTCAAACATGTTTCCAGATCCGGCCCGCCAAGAGTTTAAATGTGGCCCGTGGAACAAATTTCAACAAACTATACGTGTCGATAATTCTTAGAAACGTGTCGATAATTCTTAGAAACTAGCGGTAGAAATCATTTATTATTGTTTTCCGGTTTCAGTATGTCATAGATAGCTAAGAAGTTGTATGTAATACAAGAGAACATGTAATTTGGACGTTTGGTTTAGTTTTTAGAATTCAGACCCACTTGATGTAAAGTTTTAGTTCATGTGACCCTTGAATGGAAATGAGTTTGACACCCCTGTTGTAGCGCTTAATGACGCATTGGGGATTTCATGTAGTAAAATTTGAAATAACAATAAGGATTTACGGTATACAAGACTTGAAAAGAAATGAAAGTAAACGAAATGAAAACGAACGTGGACCAAGCAACGTTCAATGGACAATGGGCGGGGTGGGGTGGGGCTTTTACATGCATGTTAACGTATTTACGACACCCACCTGGTTTCTCGTCCGATCTGAACGACTAGACACTGTCCCTTGCCAGGCCTTCTGTCCGGCACCACTTCAAGGGAATGCAAGACGAAGGGCCTTGGCGGGAACAGCACCTGGGGTTCAGATAGTAGAAAAAATTCTTTACAGTTGGAGTAGGCGAAAACGCATCTGTTGGTGCAAAATTATCATCATAGCACACTGCTGTTGAAGGAGTTGAAAGGAATTGACTAACTCTGCATAGAATGGGGAAATCAGACAGGTACTTTCTCGCCACCGGGGGCGCACCGGTTTAACGTTCACTCGACACAAACTAGGTAATTTCGGGACTAACATATCGTTCAATTTTATTTTAACAATTCGCTTGCTCGTATGGGTCTTTAGCAGTGGGGGAAACCGGAGGACTTAGAGAAAACTCACTCAAGAAGTTGGACAGGCGACCCTACTCCTTGTCACATACAGGCAGGAAATCGAAACCACTCCATTTGACTCAATTACGGACCTTATAATGCAACGCGCACGCGTTAACCATTTGGCCACCCAACCATCCAGGTTAGTAGAATGGGGCGTGTCCCCGAATTGGCAGTTTAACTGTGTAAATATGTTTGATGTGCATTATGGTTAGTTTTTCTCAGGGAGGGAAGAGAGTCGTCGGGTGGGGTGGGGTGGGGTGGGGCACTGTGTCCCACTGGTATAAATACAAAAAGACATGTCGTACTGATATATTTATTTTTTTAGAGCGTCTTTTCATTTATTGTTACACATATAACATTTTAATCGAATCAATCTAAATGAAATTTATAAATATCTAGAAGCTAGAATATAAATGATATAACCGGAGAATCATATAACTGAGTCAAATAACCGAATAACCGTATCACTGGCAATAATAACCGGATAGCCTTCTTGAAGAACCAGCAGGACAATTTTGACAATTACATGTATTACCAACCAAATATTGGTTACCCGTGCAACAAAAAGATGATGATGAGCGTTTATGTCTCCCCAATCCCCCAGAAGCCCGACCATATTCCATTACATCCTGTCCTTGCTGCCTTATCGACCGTTTTTATACGCTCGCTGCAACCTTAGTGCAGGGAAAGACCTTTGCAAAGAGTTTAAAATTGGGTGTTTTTGGTACAGAAGTAGATTAATCTGACTCCATCGTGACTTAGATGGTCCATTCATTGTATATAGAGGGCTGGATAGACCTAACTCTGGCACTCTCTGAAACCATACAAAACTTGTCTTTAGACTTACATAGATCATATGGTAAGTACTCCATGTTCGCAGCGGACCTGGGATTGTTCATTCCATACCTAGTGTTGTAACCGGTCAATATGGAATGATGTATTTGGTACCACCTGGTTGTAGAACGTTGGTCAGTCCAGGATCGACAGGAACTTTTACCACAATATGCTCAGTAGCCTCTACTGGCAAGTGCCGTTCAAACTTTTTAACGAAGAAAGAATAGCCCGAATCATCTGTTGTAAATGCTGAATTATCTTGCAACCACTTAAAGTTTGGTATTTTCAGAGTGGCTTCATCCCCTTTGATGAGTGTGTCCAAGGCAACATATTGGCTCCGGCTACTGAAAGAGTTGTGGGTATGTAGAAGGTATCTTTATTGCTACCAGTTGTGTCAGACCTGTAGCTGTTGACCTTTGTGATAGCAGTATCAGATGGCAAGTTCAAGGCATTTGTACATACGCTTGCCTCTGCCCCGCCATTCAAGTAGGTGATAATATTGCAGTAGTCGTTGACAATTCTCTAAATATATAGAGTAGAGACCAATTGGGAGACGACGGCTGTATTCATCAAAACAAGCTATCGATTTCTCGTGTCTCATTGTAAGCTATCTGTAATTTTTCTGTCATGCCGAAAGCTAATTTAGCTTGTGCTAGAGACTCTATAATATCAGTTCAAATTGAAACTCCAAAATCTGTTCGTTAATCGAAATATATTTGGTCATGTCCACATGAATGGTCAAACAACCACCCTTTCTTGCGTTTACAGCTTCAAAAATCGTAGAATGGACAGTTGTAACGCTAAAAGTAATATCACAGACCTCTTCTATCGCTGTCTCCCAAGCTGCACCAAGCGCAGCAATATGACTTTCTTGTATTGCGGAATAGTAGTCAGTGTAATTCTGTAGGAACCGTTTGGATTTGTCTACAATACCAGGATCATTTCCATTCAACCTATAAACCAAACCAAGTTTCAAACATGCCCTATTTTTGTTTTTTTTGTTTTAGCAAAACCTGCATTTAAAAGTTGAGCCACGGCGGCTAAGCGGGTAAAATTGTTGTTAAAAAGGCTATTAATCTAACAATATTCACACCAACAATATCATTGAAATCGGGGCTCCCTAAAATATGCTCTAATGGATTGCAAGCGCCAACAATTGCCAAAACCAATGAAGCAATATTAGATAAAAGAACGACTGCTGTGGCACCGAAGAATGCCTTATTGAAAAAGAAGGGTAAGCTTATTTGTCAGTGGTTTCGACCATTCTTTTATTTGAAGATCAAAGTTGTTTAACATTCCTTGAACAAAAGCGACATCGGCTGAAGCTTTTTGTGTATCATAGGTGGCCAGGGAGGAAAAATAGTTTCCGACAGCAGAAAAGTTATCCTGTAGGTAACTGGAGATATCATCAATTTTATCGCCGAGAATATCAAAATAGTTTGCTGCTTGCATGTTGAGAAATTCTGATATCTGTAGTTGTTTCACTATAGGTAGGATGTAGTTGGCAGTATGATCTAGATTTTTTGTTGTAACGCCTTCTGCGTTACTGGCACCCTTAACAAACAGGAAAACGGCGTCTTTTAAAAATGCCATTATGCAGTACACTTGTGTATTCTGGTTTTACATGTATTATGTGATTGTCGCGGGCTACTAGAAATGCCCACCTAGGCACTAAGGTGATGGGGGGACGCAGTCAAGTAACGTCTGAAATTCTTTCAAATCGACATTGGCTCGAAATTCTTCAACTTAATATCTTATGTATGGATGGAAGAATTTTGTTTATTTAGGCAGATTTCAAACCGGGTAGTAGGTTAGAGGTAGCTCACGGAATATAGTTAATTAGAATTTCATTTATCGAGAAATATTTGTAAAATTAAATCTTGTCGGTGTTTACCGAGTTATTTGTAATCGTCATAAATGTAAAAACACAAACTGACACAGTTGGAATTCGAAATAAAGAGTAGGCTGTCTTCATTAGCCCGTTTGGTGCAAAAAGTAGGACATTAAACCCCATTTCATTTCATAGATAAAAGGCCAATATGGCCAGGATACCATCACATTACATAATAATATTTCTTTTTTAAATATAATCAATTTATACTGCTGTTTACCTAGATAAGAAACCTCATCTCTCAGCCCAAACACAGTGCAATATCATCTCAACGTTTTTAGCTACGTTCTCGTATTAAACTAACGTTTACCGAGTCTTAAATGTAAGTTTTTACTTGTGATTATATTATTGACTATAATGGGATATTATTATGGCCATATTCATGTCTTTGTTATGTGTTAGGTCGCGCCTATATTTCACAATATACATGTACGTAAAGATAACCGAGCAAAGACCACACCCACCAATTTGCGAAAGTAAAAGTTTATTTACATGTCAAAGGGGCCACGTGATAAATGTCTGATTTGACTTCCGGGCATGCGCAATTCGTATATATTGACGTCACTCATTGAAAGTTTTTGGGTGGTGGATGTACTGATATTAAGTAAGTTTATGCTTTAATTGGGAATAATTTTGATTATACCAGTCATAGAATTGGGTAATGATTGTGTCATCCATCGAATATACCCCATAATCAATTCACAGGGTGATTTGATACGTTTACAATTGTCCCCGTTTTTGGGCAGGGAAGTGAGAGTGAATGCGAACAGACGGCCATTTTTCAGTACATCGCAAGTGACAATTGTTTTCAACCCGGAAACACGTTTTTCGTTCACCTACATTTTCATAGCCAACATGTTTTATCAATCAAATTATTATTATGTTAAAATAGAACGATTTCAATATGGCGATGCAGAAAATATTACATGGTGCTGCGTGTATGTCATCTGGTGAGTAGAGCTGACGATTCATCGAACGCGTGTGACATCTCACTTAGTGTTTTAGTGTAGGACGAATGGCATGGATCATGCGAACGGGTTTTCATCAATTATGTCATTCTCAGTGATCATATTTGCCATATTAATTATCCAGTTTGCTTTGTAATTCAATAATAATTTGAGTGAGCTTATATCTTTTAAATAAATTCAGTAATATTTCTCACTGGAATTCTTGAATTGAATAGAATCTACGGTACCTTTTAGAAATATTTCAAGAATGTCATTGTCACTGTCAGCACATGACAGCTAGATCTATATTATCTCCCCTTAACATCTTTTTCTTAAAAAAAAAACACACAAAAATTTATGGCAAATCTATTTCACTTGACAGGTAAGTCTTTTCTCAATTTTCTTATGACGTCAAGTCTCCATATATTTTATTGTAATTCTGTGATAGTTTCTTTATTATTTATTTTAGGAAAGATAATTGACAAATTAAACACTACAGTGTGACATAATTTTTTGACACATTTCAGATTGACAGAAAAAACATATTTGACATGTGAATAATTTTGTCCATGTCTAAATGTATAAGCTTATATATAAATTCATACGTGGATAGGAGAAAAATTTGATGTGAATAATTTTATGCATGTAACATGTAATTTATTAATGCGTATTTATATTCATTACATGGATAGAAGAAAAATTTGACATGCAGATAATTTTATACATAATTTGTGTGTACATGTATAACACAATTGTTAAAATGTACGGTTGAAGGTCAGAATTAGGCCTCAAAATTGTGTACATATGACCATATATCTATATTAATGTAATACATACCACTACCAGTTTCGATTGTTAACAATAACATTTGTGGCCTACTTATAATTTAAATTATTTGCATATGGGAAGTACATGATGTACAGTGTCTTCAAACATGTAATTCTGCCCTGAAGTTAATAATATGTGGATGAAGAATTTAGAAATCTACTTCATATTTAAATCAGATTAAAAATAAACCCATCCATAGACATAGCAAAGATGACAGGTGAAGCTAGGTTTTGACTAAATTTTAATTCATGATATTTTGGTAAATGTAAATGCTGAAAGGAAGAACCATTTTTGAAGTGTGATATTCCTTCTCATGCAGGCCTCGAAATGTTTAAAAAAAGCTACCTGGCGCAAGCGACAGGTAGCTTTTCTTCATACCTGTCGCTTCAGTAAATAACCTGTCACTCTCAATTATCAAACTCAAAGACTAATCACATCACACATATCCATACATGTAGGTACACACACACGTTTGTTTAGGTCTCGACATATATTGCTCCATATAAATATTGTAATATGAAACCTTTTTATTTCTTCGACATCGGAATACCTAAAAATTCTTGAAAGTAGGTGAATCTGCTTTGGCTCATCGACTCGAAGATTAATACAATTCTATCATTTGATGCACATGAATTCCGCACATTATCATGGTACCACACTTCCGTACTAAATCGAATACTTCGCCGTTGAGTTGTAGAATTCAGATTTTATAATATCCGTAATAAATTGAATATCAAAACACAAATCACACCTGTGCATGGCACCGTATTTACATGTACCGCGTGCGAAGGACAGATAATGCCACCTGGAATTCCCTTCTCACATATCCGTACTATATTTACGCTACAAATTATATTTATAAATATCTTAAATATTTTTCCGACCTGATTATTTGATTTTGTCAAATTGTCTTATAAATCATTCATGGCCTTTATTTATGGAAATTGTTTAAAACTAAATACACCAAGCAACGAGCCATGTGCATTTCCGTTCCAACCACCACTATATTTATTGTGTTGTTGTTACGGTAGAAGTATTTTTGTGACTTGGGGGTGCTTTAATTTATTTAGATATAATACTCCACAATGCTATAAACTAGTTTGGTGAAGCAGATGGGGTGAAATTCATTGTTATAAAATTGTCTACTTCCCAACTGTGTGAGTAACTGTAGCCTACGACAGAGCGAAATGTCAACAGTGCAAATGGTGGCTTTTCGCGGTATTTCTGTGCTTAATTCTTGCATTTAGTTACGAATAATTAAATGTATGTGACGTGGACGTGAGTATTGTGGTCAATTTACTAAACATCAAGTAAAATTTAGCCCACCTGTCGCAAGCGACGGGTAGTTTTATTTGCTACCTGTCAGACGAAAAAATTGCCTGTCGGCAACAAGTAGACAGGCGAACATTTCGAGCCATGTCATGTAGATATTCATCTTGGCAAAATGGTTTTAGTTTTAGCTAATCTAAAAACAGTTGTTTTTTAAGGCGAGCAACTGCTTTCGAGCACCGTCGTACACCTGAATGTCGACCGAGGAAAGGTTTTTCTCCCTCCCTTCAAATTGAAAATCGCTCTCCTTCATAAAGTCATGTGGGGGGGGGGGGTATTATCATTTACGAAACCACGAATGACCCCCTTACATGCAGTTATTGATCTTCAGAATCATTTCCCGTACATACAAACAACTGATCACTCTCCTACTTTGGCCCTCCTCTTAAATACAAACAACAATGACTGTAAAAAGACTAAAATCAACCTCAGAGCTGTCATAGGGCCATTATTACATTGCAAATGTAATTAATTACATTACCATTAGTTTTTCAATGTAATCATTACATTCTACAAGCAGTATTCTCCTGATATTAACGAATAACAACCTTACCGGCCTTAAAAAGAACCTTTATTTTTTCCAATAAAGATCCTTACGAAAGCAGTCTCAGAGTAGGCCTAATCTTTGAGTCACAAAAATCAAAATTTAGTTTGTCTATGTCATTCAAATTGAAAATTTAATTATTTTAAAATTTGATGTCAAGTAATTTTAATCATTCCAAATAGCTTGTCATTGCAAAACTTAAGATTATTTTTTAAAGTATAAATAACCATAAACAAAATTATGTGATTCTTGAAAGCGGAACATGTATATGCATGTACATGTATGTAAGTGATGGTCTGGTTTCACACTTATCAGGCCCCAAGTTTAAGATTTTCTAACAAGGCGCTACAATGCGACTGAATTTTGACAATGGCGACCAGATATTTATAAATGCTAGGTTTCTGGCGAGTGAACATATATCTTGAAGTCCCCAATTAACACTATAGCTATCTGAACTTTTCTCTGTAAAGATAACGTAATCAGCAATGATCCCGGTCGACTGTCACTCTTGTTTACTTCCTGGTTTGAAATTGGGTCAATCACATTGTCCTCTGCGAGAAAATTCTCATTGTGCATGCGCTGTATTTATTGAAAGTTTACGAGACAGCTGACAGCATGGCTAGCAGACGAATCGAACCTATATCGTCTTACTTTACTAGTAAAGTAACTTCGTCTCGCAGCGAGTCTCAGTCGGGGAAAAATGATGATAGTCATGCTACTGACGCTACACCACCCAAACAAGCAAAATTACAAGCTTCACCATCTTCGTCTCGCAGTGAGTCCCAGTTGGAAAAAAATGTATAAAACATCTTTTATTATTATTATAGGACGACAAGTTGAAGAGTTATGTATGTTCACAATATAATTTAGCTATATCATATGACAAATTATTCTAATCTTCAGACTTGGCAACTGAAAATTTTGTTTGGCTAGTGGTTTTGAAAATTTACTTATGTTTGCACAAGTAAGTTCAAAATGCTGTGTAGAGCCTTGTCTAATCATTAGGATTATCTCTTTTAAATCGGATTGATGGATTGATTGCTAAACCAGATAGTAAACTGACTCATAATAATTAGCTTGATGACATGGAGAGAATACTCTTTGTCAAGCTATCGTCCAAATATTTTAGTACCGATAGCCGTTTTATAGTTTATTAAAACCGGTACCTTATCCAGTTGCGTAATGAATACAATTTAATAGATTAAGATCACCTGGTGATCTGGGACTCATGTAAAGACAGTTCGCTTCATTGAGGTTTCATATTTACTGTTCTCATTGACATTCTAGGCCTAGAATGGGTGCAGTTTAACAGACCCACAATTTGTGATGACCTAATGAGTACAGGGTCCTATACCTGTATCATGAAAGGTTTAAAGAATAACTTTTGAGTCAACTGGCGTGGTTTCAAATCCCCGGTTGTACGTGACAAGGAGTAGGGTCGCCTGTCCAACCTCGTGGGTTTTCTCCGGGTCCTCCGGTTTCCTCCCACAGCTAAAGACCCCAATGCGCAAGCAAATTATTGAAATAAAATTAAACCATATGTTAGTCCAGAAATTACCTGGTTTGTGTCGAGTGGACGTTAAACCCTATCTCTCTCTCTTAAAGATTAACTAGGTTATACATGCATTATAGAGCTGACAGTTCTTGCTATAATAATAGTTAAAAAATAGATAATTACTTCATTCTGAACAAAGTTATGAATGTAGGAAATTTTGATAAGAATAATGTAGTCTCGATTTTCATTGCTAGTAGCAATGTTACAGTTGTTACAATAATAAACAATGTCTTGATTGTCAATTTTTATACGCCCACATTTTCATGTGGACGTATTATGCCGTTGCCCCTGTCCAATTGTTTGTGGACTCTCTACAGGTCACAATTCTTATTGGATTTTGACGAAACTTGAAATATAGGTTTATCCCCAAAGGATCTCGGCTGCTTTCGATATTGGCATGTATCGGATCAAAACTTCATTGATTATGGCCCCTGATTGTACGAAAAATCACGTTTTTAGCTTGTGGACCCTATAGAGGTCACAATTTTTATCCGATTTTTTTGAAACTTGAAATGTAAGTTTATAACCCAAAGATCTCGATTCCTTTCGATATTCGCGCATATCGGACCGTAACTTCCTGAATTATGGGCCCTGATTGTACGAAAAATCACGTTTTTAGCTTGTGGACCCTATAGAGGTCATAATTTTTATCCGATTTAAAAAACCGTATCATTATATCACCGTTACTCCCTAAGGATGGCTGAGTTCGAATTTCGTGAAAATCGGCCCAAAATTGACAGACAAAATGGCAGCCGTTCGTTCTCAAATAGCGTAGAAATATGGTATATCAAGGTTGTGGACCCTATAGAGGTCACAATTTTTATCCGATTTTGTTGAAACTTGAAATGTAGGTTTATAACCCAAAGATCTTGGTTCCTTTCGATATTTGCGCATATCGGACCGTAACTTCGTGAATTATGGCCCCTGATTGTACGAAAATACACGTTTTTAGCTTGTGGACCCTATAGAGGTCATAATTTTTATCCGATTTAAAAAAACGTATTATTATGTCACTGTTACACCCTAAGGACGGCTGAATTCGAATTTCGTGAAAATCGGCCCAAAACTGACAGACAAAATGGTCGCCCTTCGTTCTCAAATAGCGTAAAAATATGGTATATCAAGGTTGTGGACCCTATGGAGGTCACAATTTTAATCCGATTTTGTTGAAACTTGAAATGTAAGTTTATAACACAAAGATCTCGGTTCTTTCGATATTTGCGCATATCGAATTGTAATTTCCTGAATTATGGCCCTTGATTGTAGGAAAAATCACTTTCTTCTTAGCTTGTTCTCTATCCATCTCTCGAAAATGTGGGCGTATCCTGCCTGGCAGCCGCAGGTTAAATTTAGCTCTTAGATGGGCATACATAATGCATCTTTACTAGTGTTGAAAATCGGATCAAGATTTGTGATCCGAATACTTTTGTTGCTATCCGAATACTATTCGGATAATTCGGAAACGTGAAATTCTTGAACAAAATCACATCAAAAGTTCATATACTCATAATTTCTTACTTATTTCAATGTTTATGAGTGTTTGTGTATGCTGAGTATGAAATCTTACTTTCGATTTGCAAATTGTTTGAGCCATGAAGAAAAAAAAGTGCCTACCTTTAGCTGCAATTATTAAGACTATCCATGATATCCAAAAAAAATCAATGAGGTGAATAAATTTGTGTATAACTACTCCTGTAATCCGCAGCCCTCCCACTTATCATTTTTGCTCAATCAACGCAAATGAAAAAAGTAAAATAAAAACATCTGACATTTATTCCGTCAAGGTCGTTTGCCTCATTATGATAATCTACTGCTATTGAACAAGTCAGTAAGTGAGAATATACGTGACCTAGGTCGTTATGAATAAATTTCATTGCGGGAAGTATAAACACAGTGTAAACTTGTATTCCGTAAACCCAAGAAGTAGCTTCTATCTAGCGTAAACTAGCACAGGGAATGAATGAATATTTTTTTATTTAGACTACTGTTTTCGTTGAACTGCATTAAGATTTTATTAGTTACTATCGCTAATGTTAACATTTATGCTCAAAGCTGCGTACGTGATCAATAGCATTGGGGAAAATTTCAAAGTAATCAGATGTAAAAATGGCTAAATATAGAGCATACGGAATGTCAGAAAACTAACGGATAGTAAAATGATTCGCATAACCCTTATTTTGAATCCGTTAACGGATATCCGAATAGTAGTTTCACTAATCTTTACATATTCATATTTATATTTAAACATACATTATGCAAGACCTAAATCTGCCTATTGCATCTCTTTCTTTAGACCTGATATTAAGATTTATTAACCATAATCAACTCCTGATGCCATCTTAATGTGTTCGATTTTCACTGGATTTGAATAGGATCTGCTGCTCAATGCTCATTAATTACATGTAAATGCAAAAATGGATAATCGGGACTACATATGTTTTTTTTTTTATCGTACTGACGTACATTTTAAGTAATGATGATCAAGGCTAGGCCTAAAATTCAATCGCTAATATGTTAGTTCAGAGTGGGTGGAGCAATTTGCCTGAAATTTTCAGCATATTACCTTTAGGTTAACTAGTTTTTTGTCCCCCGCCTTTCGAAGAAAGCAGGGGACTATTAAAATGGGTTCGTCCGTCTGTCTGTCCGTCTGTCTGTCCGTCACACTTTTTGGGACACAATAACTCTCTTCCTAATTGAGCTAGAATGTTCAAACTTGGTGTATGTGTTTATTAGGTCAATGCCTTGATGGAGTTCGAAGATGAGCATTTTCCGCTTAGGGTAAGCAGAGATAAGCAATTTGATTGGTTGATGCTTTGGGACACGATAACTCTCTTCCTAATTGGGCTAGAATGTTCAAACTTGGTGTATGTGTTGATTAGGTCAATGCCTTGATGGAGTTCGAAGATGAGCATTTTCCGCTTAGGGTAAGCAGAGATAAGCAATTTGATTGGTTGATGCTTTGGGACACGATAACTTTTAATTGAGCTAGAATGTTCAAACTTGGTGTATGTGTTTATTAGGTCAATGCCTTGATGGAGTTCGAAGATGAGCATTTTCCGCTTAGGGTAAGCAGAGATAAGCAATTTGATTGGTTGATACTTTGGGGCACGATAACTCTCTTCCTAATTGAGCTAGAATGTTCAAACTTGGTGTATGTGTTGATTAGGTCAATGCCTTGATGGAGTTCGAAGATGAGCATTTTCCGCTTAGGGTAAGCAGAGATAAGCAATTTGATTGGTTGATGCTTTGGGACACGATAACTTTAGTTCTAATTAAGTGAGATTGATGAAACTTGGTGTATAGTTTCATTACAGTAATACCTTGACTAAGTTTGATAATGAGCATTTTCTGCTCAGGGTAAGCAGCAATTTGATTGGTTGATACTTTGGGGCACGATAACTCTCTTCCTAATTGAGCTAGAATGTTCAAACTTGGTGTATGTGTTGATTAGGTCAATGCCTTGATGGAGTTCGAAGATGAGCATTTTCCGCTTAGGGTAAGCAGAGATAAGCAATTTGATTGGTTGATGCTTTGGGACACGATAACTTTAGTTCTAATTAAGTGAGATTGATGAAACTTGGTGTATAGTTTCATTACAGTAATACCTTGACTAAGTTTGATAATGAGCATTTTCTGCTCAGGGTAAGCAGAGCGATACGCAATTTGATTGGTCGAGACTTTGGAAAACAATAACTCTCCTACTTTGATTGTTAGACTATAAGTAAAGATATACTGTTTGATTGTTCAATACTTTGTAAAAGATAATTTGTGATAAATTTATATGTGTCCTCTAATTATTTTCCTATTTCGGCGGGGGACATCAGCCTCACTGTTGGCTTGTTTAAAACTATTATAGTGAGAGAACTGCCAGCTCTTTATCTAATCTTCCATAATGCCCCATTAACAACTAAAAGTTTACATATGTTATTTCTATGTTTCAGATTCTGGTATTTAATTGAATCAGATTAAGAAGGATAACTCTCAATTTTTAATTAAAAAGCCTAGAGTAGAGCTAGCTAGTTAGTATGCCTCTCTTTGGTAAATCACAGAAAAACCCACAAGAGCTAGTTAAAGGGCTGAAAGATGCTCTGCAGACATTACAAAACCCTAGTAAAGATAAAGACTTAAAAAAGGTAACTGTAACAAAATCAGATGCTTGATGTCTTGTGTATTTAGTGAAGGGGTGGGGTGGGTGGGTCCAGTGGTTAAATGCGTGCGCCTAAAACCAAAGGTCTGTTATTGAGTCAAGTAGTGAGGTTTTTGATTTCCGCTTGTACATGATAAGGAGTAGTGTCCAATCACGTGGGTTTTGTCAGAGTCCTTCGGTTTCCTCAAACTACTAATGACAACTACGCGCAAGCGAATTATTGAAATAAAATTGAACCATGTGTTAGTCCCGAAATGACCTCGTTCATTTTAAGTGGACGTTAAACCCCATTTATTTCTCTTCTGTATTTATGATGGAGCAGAAAATGTCATTGCCCGGACTGCGGCACTATGGCATACTATTATTTCGATATCCAACTATCAGTTGTTCTTTTACGTGCACACAAATGAATTTATGTGTTATTTTACTTTATTTGACAGGCATCAGATGATGTAACTAAAATACTGGCTAACATGAAGGTCATGTTATATGGAACAGCTGGCTCTGACCCACAACCTGAGAACGTCGCCCAACTTTCAATGGAGATATACCAGGGTGAAGTTCTCAAAATGATGGTAGAAAATTTGGAGAAGATTGATTTTGAGGTGAGGAGTTTTCGTGAATATTGCAAAATAAAGTACAAATCTGACACGCTTTGTCATGTCCTGATCCAATCTGATTAATTTAACACAGATCCTATTTTATTTCGGATTTTATAGTTCAAAGACTCGTTTTTCTTGTCTTTACTACACTAGGATCTTGAAGAATTGTTATATAACCTGTATTCTGGATCATGCGAGGGATTAGCCAATGAAACGGTCTGTTTACGATCTGTTTACAGCAAGTTTTTGGTGTGGGGTGCATGAAACATCAACGCTGATTGATTAATCAAATGTCTTGACGTCATACATGTAGGTTAAAAAGCAGCTCATGTGACCTCTGCCGTGACCTTCCACTACAACTGCTCAAATCTTCATGTAGTAGAGGCCATCGAAAGTATAAAAAAAACAACTGAAATACAGATCTGTATTTTAATCAGATTGGTACCGATCATGTATTTTTCAGACAATATCTAATTTTTCGTTGCCTAATCCAGGCTAAAATGTACTAAAAATTGATTGTTTGAATTTAAAAAAAAGGGGGCTCATCAGTTTTTGACTGATTTTAATAATTATTTAACATGTATAATCCATGACATGTGATCTAGTTTTAATATTATTTTTGTGATATGATTTCAGGGAAGAAAAGATGTGGTACAGATTTTCAACAATCTATTACGTCGTCAGATTGGAACACGTTCACCGACTGTAGAATATATCTGTACTCGTAAAGATGTATTAATAGCTCTCATGAAAGGGTAAGTATTATTGGTATTTTTAAATGGCTCTCTGTTTTTTGGAACCTTAAAATAGACGTAAATGGGCCTAAAAACACATATTAATGTAATATGAATGCCATATTAAAGTGAGCTATATTCAGTTTTTAAAACTTTTATGGTAATTATGTATGGTGAAATATGTGAACAATCCAAATTAAAGAGTATTCACACAGGCATTTGGACATCGAAATATGTTAAAATAGTCTTCGAAAGTATCAAACTATGATCTTAAGATTCCTTGAAAGTACCAATTTGAGGTTCTTGAAAGTCTGGATTTTTTTACCTTGTGTAACCTGTGGGAACCCTGACTTTGTGCTTACATTAACCTATTAATATAGTAAGTGTGCCTTTTGCTGATTAGACATTTCTCTGATTTAATCCCTTTTTATACGCCCACATTGAAATGTGGTCGTATATTGTCGTCGCCCCCGTCCGTCGGTCCGGCGTGCACAATTGCTTGTGGACGCTCTAGAGGCCAAAGTTAATATCCGATTGACTTTAAATTTATACACAGTGTTTAAGGTCATGAGACGAAGAAGCCTATTGATTTTCAGCGATTTCCAAAAATTACTGCCAGAGTTATGGCCCTTGATCACTTGAAAAAATCTTGTGGATGCTCTAGAGGTCAAAGTTAATATCTGATTGACTTTAAATTTATACACAGTGTTAAAGGTCATGAGACGAAGAAGCCTATTGATTTTCAGCGATTTCCAATAAATACTGCCAAAGTTATGGCCCTTGATCACTTCAAAAAATCTTGTGGACACTCTAGAGGCCAAAGTTAATATCCGATTGACCTTAAATTCATACACAGTGTTTAAGGTCAGGAGACAAAGAATCCTATTGATTTTCAGCAAATTTGGATAATTACTGCCAGAGTTATGGCCCTTGATCACTTCAAAAAGTCTTGTGGACGCTCTAGAGGCCAAAGTTAATATCCGATTGACTTTAAATTTATACACAGTGTTTCATGTCATGAGACGAAGAAGCCTATTGATTTTCAGCAATTTCGGATAATTACTGCCAAAGTCATGGCCTTTGATCACTTCAAGATATCTTGTGGATGCTCTAGAGGCTAAAGTTAATATCCGATTGACCTTAAATTTTTACACAGTGTTAAAGGTCATGAGACGAAAAAGTCTAATCATTTTCAGCGATTTTCAATAATTACTACCAGAGTTATGGTCCTTGATCCTGTCAAAAAATCTTGTGGACGTTCTAGAGACAAAAGTTAATATCCGATTAGCTTTAAATTTATACACAGTGTTTAAGGTCATGAGACGAAAAAGCCTATTGATTTTCAGAAATTTCAGATAATTACTGCCAGAGTTATGGTCCTTGATCACTTCAAAATATATTGTGGAGGCTAAAGTTATCATCTGATTGACTTCAGATTGATACACAGAGTTGAAGGTTAAGTGATGAAGAAGTATATTGATTTTCAATGAATTTTGACAACTTGAACAGTTAAATCCATGATATTAAATGTTTTGTATACTAAACGTTAGCACGGGGCAGAACTTTATAAAAACCAAACAAATTCTAATGATTTTCTGATAATCACTTAATGAGTTGTTACTCTTAATCAGATTTTAGTGTATTATAAATGTTTCATTACCGAAAAAAGTAAAAATATGCGACAACTCTTGTTGACTGCTCGGACGATTTAGCTGCTGTGGGCGTATGTTTTGTTGCCTGACAACCTATCTTTTTGTTAACATGGAAACAATGTTGGCTAAGTATTTTTGTATGCAAGGGCATGGGATATTGAAGACAGTTCTCATGGATTTTCTATACTTCAGATATGAGACACCAGAAGTGGCTTTAAATTGTGGTATGATGTTACGAGAATGTTGCCGTTACGAGGCCCTGGCTAAACTCATGTTGAACTCGGAAGAATTTTATGATTTTTTTCGATACGTAGAATTATCAACATTTGACATTGCTTCTGATGCCTTCTCCACATTTAAGGTTTCTAGCTTGTTTTTTTTTTTTATCTTTCTTGAAATTTAACCAAGTAATTGCTATCACGCTATTAATGACTCTTTTAGAGGCATTTTGTAACTGGATAGACTTATAAACTACAATTAATAATTCATTTCTATGTGCTTATAAACTCCCAACTACATATAAAATTGGTTGCTAGTGTCGATAGAATACACATGCATTAAGACATATCACATTTATGCATGTATTTGTTTCCTGGGTGGGGGTTGGATGGCCGAATGGTTAGTGCTTGCACGTTGTATCATAAGGCTAGTCATTGAGTCAACTGGTGTGGTTTTGATTCCCCGGTTGTATGTGACAAGGAGTATGGTCGTCTGTTCAACCTCGCTGGCTTTCTCTGGGTCCTCCAGTTTCCTACCACTGCTAAAGACCCCTACGTGCAAGCGAATTATTGAAATAAAATTAAACCATATAATGTTATTCGTGAAATGACCTAGTTTGCGTCGAGTGGACGTTAAAACCCATCGCTCTCTTTCTCTCTCTGGTTTGCACTGTAAGTGCAGAACGGTAGGATGTTAAACCCCATTTAACAATCCTCATAAAGATGTAGAGAGGGCGCAGGCTATTCCACTTATGAGACCCCTTTTAGTTCCCCCAATTAGATTTATTTCAGAAGGCCACCTGCAGAATTCCTCATGGTCACGAAATGGAAACAGGTCTATCGCGAACACTAACCCAAGACCTAGCCTTAAACCTTACCTAACCATTAACCACAATCCTCGGCAACAATCACATGCCCTAACCCTGTTTACATCTTGTGACCTTAGGGAAATCTGCAGTTTTTACCCAAGTCCCCAACCCTAACAACTACAGCAAGATGAAATGTGTTTAAACACAATTGAGCAAAGTTGAGAAATATGTCATATGTTTAATGACATATGTTTAAGACAACATGTTTAAGAAAGGCTACACCTTGGCTGAACCGAGATCGACCAGCTCTTTATCTAAATCTTACTTAATGCATCTTACATTTATTGATGAAACATTGTCGAAAACAATATTGGTATTTCACTTTGCTGTCATTGTATTTAAGCCAGTTGGTGCACAAAAGTAGGACATTAAACCCCATTTCATTGTATTTAAAGATGGTTGAAGATTAAATATTTTGTATTTCCAGGAATTGTTGATAAAACATAAAATGTTATCGGCAGAATTTTTAGAGAATAATTATGATCAGGTTTTCCACAACTATCAATCTCTTCTAAACTCAGAAAATTATGTCACACGACGACAAGCTTTGAAGGTAAATATAACTTTTAAACTACCAAACAGCTAACAAGAGTGGGCCATTTTAAAACTCAACTCAAAACATTCTTATTTCAAAACTCTGATCTGTAAATAATCAGTGACTATAGCAACCAACACTGCCGTAAGCCTAGCGTGTTTTGACACGCACGGATCGTAGGGTTTGGTAGCTCGCAGACTGGCCGCAAGAAACCGTGCAAAATTTTGTATGTGCAGAACCAAAAGTCTCTACAGCCAGTCTGTCAACACACGCGAGTGACGCTGTCTCACGCACAGGTTTACTAAAATTTCCCACCGATAGTGCGTGTATGACAGGTTGTGAACTAGATTTTAGAAACTGTTCTTCAGTATTAACATGCTTCATAAACGGCGATATTATTATTAGACTGACCTTAAAATAATCTTTCTTTTGTCTAATGCGACCGGGCAACTAAAATCACTTTTCGTGGCCTTTTTATTGTCCCCCGCCTTTTACCCCAGCCAGATATATCAGTAACCCAGACAACCTCAAATTGATGATGAATATGTACATGTATAGCCACCATTCCCAAACGTTCGAACCCCAAATTTCAGCGATATAGATCACAGATTGATAGGAAATAATATAGATGTAACAACAAATTCCTTGAAGGTGACCTAATATAAATGTTGCTATTATTCAAGTTGCTTTTTTTTTGTTGCAGTTATTGGGTGAATTGTTATTAGATCGTCACAATTTCACCACCATGACCAAATATATCAGTAACCCAGACAACCTCAAATTGATGATGAATATGTTACGTGAAAAGAGTCGTAATATTCAGTTCGAAGCCTTCCATGTTTTCAAGGTAAGAGCTAGGTGAATATTGAACAAAATGATAATAACTTTGTTTACTTCGAACTATTGTTTTAATTGAATAAATATGGGGCTTGGGGAGCAAAATGTTGGGAGCCAAGACAATCGAACGTTGGATATACTCAACATTTTGTTATGTAGAGCAAGGTTCTTGTGTTTCGATTGGGGGTGGGGTGGGGGATTGTCAAATGGTTTAACACAAGCAGGTTAGATCATAAGGTCTGTCATTGAGTCAAGTGGCTTGAATGTGACCAGCAGTAGGGTAGCTGGTCCAACTTCGTAGGTTTTCTCCAGTTTTATCCCCAATGCTCAAGTGAATTATTCAAATAAAATTGAACAATATGTTAGTCCCGAAATGACCAAGGTTGTGTCAAGTGGATGTTAAACTCCATTTCTCTCTCTCTTTTGTGTATAGTGGAGTGGTAGAATTTAAACATTGATGGGTCTATTGAGTAATTAGCAAGAATGAGATTTTTAGGTCATTATTTACACACACATTTTACCTGTGCACTAATGATGTTTGTGCTATATTTTACCATTTTATGGATCAGCTTTGTTTAATGTTCAATATGCTTCTGATGGTTATGATTATTACAAACAATGTTTGAGATATTTACAAATGCACTAACAATGTTTGAGATATTTACAATTGCACTAACAATGTTTGAGATATTTACAGATGCATTAATGATCTAAGCCATATTTAAAGGTGCACTAACGATGTTTGGTATATTTACAGGTGTTCTTACAATGTTTGACATATTTGCTGGTGCACTAACGATCTAAGCTATATTTATTGGTGCACTAATGATGTTTCATATATTTTCAGGTGTTTGTAGCCAACCCCAACAAACCCAAACCCATCTTAGAAATACTGTTACGGAACAAAGAAAAACTTGTGGACTTTCTAGCTAAGTTTCATACGGATCGATCCGAAGACGAACAATTTAACGATGAAAAGGCTTACTTAATTAAACAAATAAAGGACTTAAAAGCCCCGGAGGAATCTTAACAATAGCTTAATTATATAATAATACATATATATGCCGAGTTATATCTGTAATATATATATATATACATATATATATATGTATGCAGTTGAGTCGTCGTCTCTCTTCGTTTGTGAATTCAAGACGTCGTTTTCTAGGTTCTAAAAACAAAAAAAAACTCACCATGTAGACTCGCCTGATGTATGTGACACACAATTTTTAGACACAACCTTCCAGTTTCTTCCATCGTATGCCTTTAATTGGAAGTTCATTTCCGATGTGATTTTCGTGGACGGTCCAATATTTTAAACACTGTTGTTATGTTGAGTAGAAGCAAGTTTTGATGAAGATTTCTGCTTCGGAGAGTTCATGCAGCAACGCTACGATGATACACAGTATATCAGGATTGTTGTACATGCATATATAATATATCTAGATGTGCATTATCAGAATTTGAAAAAAAAATGAAGGGACACTTAGCTTGTGTGAAGATATTTTTTATTTAGCTTTATTCTTAACTGAAATTCACAGTTATTGCAAACACTCCAAAAACATTCATTTCTTAATGTGGAAAAATTATCAGGCTATTGAACCAAGTGGAAATTGAACAACAGGATAAGATAAAGCTTCTGTTTTAACATATTTGCAGCGTTTAGTTCATTAGTTTTAGATACAGGTAACTACCAACTTCAGGGATTTTACCCAAAGTGGCATCTTCTCAGTGAAAGAATTTAAAACCGACATTGAGATAGACCCCAAAAGAGTTTGGAATAACCCCCAGAGGGACAGATTGGCATGGTCCATTTTATTGATTGCAGTGAGATAAAAAGTCCAAGAAGTATGTTTATTTCTCTTAATCTTGTTTTGTTATTGCAATAACCAATGTGTGAACTGCAGCGACTAAATTCTTTGCCTACATATTCTTATACTTGACAATGTTTGTGGATTCTTTTTATTGTGAAAAATAAGAATCCTGAAAAAAAATATTCGGCAGCTTAATCTGTAAAGAACTGAAGTACCAAAATCATGGCATTGAGAAATATTTAAATGGTTCAAGATAAATTCATCAACTGTGCATTATTAATCGGGGGGGGGGGGGGAGAATAAAAATAGCTTAGCCAATGACAGAAGCTGGAGCTAAAGTTATAACCAATGAGGTGTAGACCAACCAAAGTTAAATTTGGAACTAAAGATAAAATTTTAATGAGATTGGTTTTTTTTATTGATCCGTTCTGCTCCACTAACCCCTTGATCCACACTGCCTTTCATGATTTCATTGGTCAGGTTGATGCTATGAACCAATCAAAAAACACATTACAAACCCATCTTGGTGCCATTGTTTGCATTCACAACAATATGATTGCTTGTACCCTCGATTATGAGATTTAATTTAATAAGCAATTTAATATTAAAGAATGGCATGCAGACAGTGTCCAGTTGTTATGCTATTACTGACTACTTGCTTTCTATTTATCAAACTTCTTGAGTGGTCGTTGATTACCAAGGGTGGATAATGTGAATAGGTATCTCCCCTGTGAATGGACAGTGTTGAGTAGAACGGATTGATACCGCAGATGACAATCTTTTAGATTAGGTAGAACCTGGGTTTTCAATAAAGTCTTATTTACTTGTTGAATACTGCCTCGTATTGAATTTCAGCTTTAAAATGATATCATTTGTACTAAATTGATATTTTTCTGAACGAAAGCCCAAAAAACAATTGGGTTAAAAATTGCTATTTTCTGTGCATTATTCTGGTAAAAATAACAGTTATAAGTTTCGACCAGCCAAAGTTTTGATTGAGATCCATGTTGTAAACTGTAGTCTGTAAGGTTTTGTTAATGTTTTTGTTGTTTTATTTCCCTTGCTGATTATGGACCAGGAACAGGACTTCAAGCACTACTCATCTTGTTATTCTGGATCTTGGGGGGGGGGGGGGGAGTGCTTTGTGATAAAAGCCTTAGGCTCCATCAATTCAAGTATGAACTACATGCTTGTTCCTTGTACAATTGTACATTGATTGACACTTCCATTTCTGATATGACGCCACAATTCCAAGATGACGGTGATGACAGCATGCTTAGTTCCTAGTCCATAGAATGCTTGTACTTGTACAATATAAATGTAGTTCCTTTTGCTATTTTTTATTTGCCTGTATATTATTGGAATGTGGAGGTATGTTGTTGCCAGTGTCCGATGGTCTGTTGTCAACAATTTATTCTGAAATTGTGAACACTGTAAAGACTATATTTATCATCCGGTCTTTTTTAACATTTATGTATGTTTAAATGAGTGAGACAAAGAAGCCAATTGCATTTTAGTGATTTCTTATAACTTCCAGAATTATTGCTCTTGATCACTTTTTAGAATCTTGTGAAATATCTAATGACAAAAGTGCTGTTCAGATTTGTTGGAAATTTATATGCTTTATTGAGATTAATGAGAATTGTATTGAACTTCTGATAATTATTACTTGTAATAGAGTTATGGCCCTTGATTATGTCACATTAGTGATGCTCGATTGAAGATTCCAGAATGTAATTCACACCACAACACCACACATCATTTGTCGGGACTGTCAGAACTGTGACACGATTGCAATTCGGTCAGTTCAGATCGTTTCGGACTGACAATTGAGCATCCCCTCAATCTTTGTCGTTTTCGTTCGTTGAGTTTTAAGTCCATTTCCACTAAGAGTGATATCGTAGACAAGAATCTTTGTCTGTGTACCACTGATGTTATAGTGTGCTGGTGTGTGGTCAGCATTTACAGCATGTCTCTACTGTGATGTGGATTTTAGCACTTTGTAAGACTTGTTTTTTTTTTGTTATTATTATTATTACCGGTATTATTATAAAGTATAAGGATTTTGCTTTTTATTGACCTAAAGATTCACAATGCGACAATCGAAGTGTAGATTTAATTCTTTTTCAAGCTTTTATAGCTCATTAAAAATATCAGTACCTGCCAACCCCCATCCCTCTGCTGTATTGGGATAGAATTATTAACATACATGTTTCTATAAAAGGAAAAACCCCACCATTAAAGGAGGCAAGTCTCTAACTCAACATCAGCCACTGTCTTCTGACATTGCAAACACAACTGATTGGTCAATTTAAATCAACATTGATGTTATCTTACTGTGAAAAGATGGGCTTCTGATATCCAATATTTAAGACAAAATAAACCTTTTAAAATTGACACACACATCGCATTCCAGAATGCTTTTGAGTGCCATCTTGGTGAACAAGGCTAAACATATCCCACAGGAGAATACCAGTGTAGACTGGAATAACCAGACATCAATGACTGCCATTCAGTTTGGACTTGCGGAACATAACTAATTAGAAACTACAGTAAAAACAAACGGTTGAATGGATAACGCATGCACGTTGGATTGTACGGTTTGTCATTGAGTCAAGTGGCGTGGTTTCAATTATACGTGACAAGAAGTAGGATCGTCTGTCCAACCTTGTGTGTTTTCTCTGAGTCCTTCGGTTTACTCCCACTGCTAAAGACCCCTACACGCAAGAGGATTATTGAAATAAATTTGAAGCATGTTTGTCCCGAAATGACCTAGTGCACATTTCTCTCTTTGTCTAGTATCCATACTGGAAATATGGATGAATGAGAAAGGGATGAGGGAACTTGGGCCTCACCTATGCAAAACATCCTTTAATTAAAACAGCTGATGGTCATTTGGGGGATTTTGATTATAATGTGTATTTTTTGGACATTATCCAATTTTTCAAGGCTTATTCTGTGGTAAAAATGTACCCAGTACTTCTCAGATACATGCAAATAAACAAGAGACAGCATGTGTGGGTTCCATAGTCTTGTGGAGAAACATTTAAAAAGGTGTATACAATCCTACATGCGAGTCAGCAATAGACCGCGTGTATGGATTTCCAAGACTCAAAAGGCGTTTTCAATTCTACATGCAAGTTGGCAATAGACAGCATGTGTGGGTTTCCAGGAGATTATTAGAATGTAGTATTTGCACATATATTTTAACCCCCGTATCATTTGACCTCTGACCTGTATGTAAAGATCAATGTATAAAGTATAACATATTTTGTTTGTTTATATTATTATATATATATTAAACCTTGTGTAAAAAGATACAAAATAGTATTCAATAATTAATGTCTAATATAAAGCTATCAAACATACATGTCTTGATTTTTTATTCCCACGCATGGCAAAGAAATGAAATAAATGGGGTTTAATGTCCTACTATGGCACACTCATATATTGAATTCCAACTGCCAAGGAATCTTTTATGTGCATCCCAATGTACACAGGACCTTGGTTTTTCATCCCATCTGAACGACTAGACAGCTGTCTGGGGTTTGCTCCTCAAAAATACCGTATCCCAGACCTAGATGAGACAGAAGACATACAACTGTAGACAACATTTACCTCATATAGGTCAATCTCATTCATAGATAAACTGATCCTATCAGCCATAATGGGGGAGGGGGTGGCGGCAGATTGGTTTCTATCTCCCAATTGTATGACAGCTATTTCCTTCCACTATCAAAATAATAGTAACAAAATCGAACCATGTTAGTCCAGGAGGATATTTAAAAGGGCTCCATCCGTTCTATATTGGTTTGTTTCCATATCTCGGATATCTTTATGGAACTTTGTAAATTAAGCTGAAGAGGACTATTGATTTTCAGTTAAAGCCCCTGATCACATTGAAGAACATTATAGACGTCCTAGAGGTGTGAATTATCCGATTTACTTAAAATTTAAGTTCAGAATGAAACGAAGAATCCTCTTCACCAACCGGGCTAACAAAGATGGGTGCACTTAAAAGAATCCTCGACCGGTGGAAATCATCCTCAGTATCCCCAGTGGTCTCATTCCGTTCTACTCCACTGACGCCCTTGATTAATCCATGGGGGAGACACATATTCAACAAATTGTCTGCCCTTCATTCTACGAAGCAATCTAAAAACAGTTTACAAACCAATCTTAGCCTCATTGTTTATGTTCACAAAAAAATGGCAGCTTGTTTGTTCGAATATGAGGTTTTCAAGAAATTTAAAGTGACATGCACACAAAAACATGTCCTAAAACATCTTTTTCATGGGAAAGATGTTTTTATGACAGTCAAAACTGGCAGTAGCAAGTTATTATGCTATCAAGCTTATCCTGTTATTAGTCGATAAAAATCGCACAATCATCAAGGGAAGATAATTTGAATACGGTCTCCCCCATGGAAGTGATATCACTTCGGTGGAAGCGGACGTTAAATTAAGCTATTTCATACAGACACCCCATGGATGAACCCAGGCCTATGTGGAGTAGAACGGAAGGATACCACTGGGGATGCAGAGGACGGAAGAAACCCTGTTCGGGCAAAATTTCCCTTCTAGCACACTGTATTGTGTATGCCCATCTTCATTTGCCCAGTTGGTGCATAAGAGTAGCACGTTAAACATCATTTGATTTGCCAGTGCTGAGGGTTTAAAACATGAACACAATGTTTTTTGTTTTATTAAATTACAAAATAAATATTTACAATTAAAAATCTTCTATATTTTTATACAAATTGTCTCCATTAATTTAAGTCATTTACAAAAATATTTACAATACTATTCCATTGAAGCCTGGAATCAGATTACGTTGACAACTTGTGAGTAGGACTGGTTAATAATTCAGTTTGGTTTTTCCAGCATATGATCAATGTCGTTAATTAACTTGGATGTTTTTAATAAAGCTTGTCGTACAGAGTTAAAACCGTTAAATATCTCCATATCTTTGGCCTGACAAGCACGCTGTATGTCCATAGCACTATAATTATTACGCGATGCATAAGAGGAACTATACTGTGTAGTGTAACCACTGTCCCGACTACCATATAAGGATGCCTGATTACCCCTGAAGGCAGATTCGGGAATGTTATGATGATCTAGTGAAATGCTTGAATTAGAATTCTGGTTTAAGACTGTGTTATCAATTATATCTAGAATGGGTTAAAGAATCAAATAAATAAAAATGAATAAATGCAAAATCTCATCTTGTTCGAACAAGTACGAGCATTACTATATGAACTAGGAACCATCAAGTCATAGTAGCCATCTTGAAATTGTGACTTCACATCAGAAATCGATGTCAATTCATTTACCAATGAATAAGCCTGCCAAGTTTAATACTTGAATTGGCAGAGTGTGGCCACAAAGATAAATACCAAGAAGATTACCAAGTATATGGAACCAATACCTGGTTAAAAAATTAAACTAGTGTTTCAACACTACACTATAGTGACGTCCCAGTGTAATATATTGAACCCACACTATAGTGACGTCCCAGTGTAATATATTGAAACCACACTATAGTGACGTCCCAGTGTAATATATTGAACCCACACTATAGTGACATCCCAGTGTAATATATTGAAACCTCACTATAGTGACACCCTAATGTAGTATATTGAAACCACACCATAGTGACAACCCAGTGTAATATATTGAAACCACACTATAGTCACATCCCAGTGTAATATAGTGACACCGCAATGTAGTATTTTGAAACCACACTATAGTGACGTCCCAGTGTAATATTTTGAAACCACACTATAGTGACATCCCAGTGTAACATATTGAAACCACACTATAGTGACATCCCAGTGTAGTAGTATATTGAAACTACACTATAGTGACGTCCCAGTGTAGTATATTGAAACCACACTATAGTGACATCCCAGTGTAACATATTGAAACCACACTATAGTGACATCCCAGTGTAGTAGTATATTGAAACTACACTATAGTGACATCCCAGTGTAGTAGTATATTGAAACTACACTATAGGGACGTCCCAGTATAGTATACTGAAACCACAATGTAGTGATATATTTTCAATACATAATCTATTAGAAATAAACGAGACTGAAATTTTACAATTAAAATCAAAAAGGATACAATTAAAACAATTAATTTTCTTTAATTCTGCAGCTACACAACTGGAAAAAATAAATTCAAACACAAATGATAAATTGATGAATACAACTATGACAGTGATTGGTCAAAAGCTGTAAACACAACTTTTCTAAGCTTACTTGATTGGACACAAAAAGAAAATCCTGGTTTGCAAGGGCTCTAAAAGTTCTACCCGAATATATTTATGGATATTGCTAAAATATTACATTTCTTCTTAAAGAATATCTGGTTGTCTAAAATAGCTTAATCTATAAACTGTTTTAAGAGAGAGAGAGAGAGAGAGATGAGGTTTAACATCCACTCGACTTAGGGGTCTTGAGCAGTGGGAGGAAATCGGAGGACCCGGTGAAAACCAATGGGGTCGAACAGGCGACCCCTCGTCACGTACAACCGGGAAATCGAAACCACGCCAGTTGACTAAATGACAGACCTTATGATAAAACGTGCACATGCTAACCATTTGGCCATCCAACCCACCTCTGTTTGTAAGACAATTAATGACAGCAAAAAGAGTCAAAAAACAATAACCACAGATTTATGGATAACAATCACTGGTAACTTTTATAGAGTGAATATTCAACAAGCAGTCTCTCGTGCTTGTTGACAGAGACTGACTGTGAATGGTCCGAGGGCCCAGAAGGGTTGGGGCCACTTTTACTTCAAAACAAATAAAATTAATCATCGCATTCACTGTAAAATGAAATGGCTTAATTCTGAGGAAAAAAAATGATCTTTGAGTGGGGTACAGAAAAGCTGAATCAAGCTAATTTTGTTTTCTTGTCATGTCACATATTCTTGACCGCGATGGGGGGAACAAGGAAGCTAGTTGGTCCCAGGGCCGAAAGCAACATAGCCCACCCCTGCTTGATTACTAGAACAGAGAGAAAAATGGGGTTTGATATACACTCGACACAAACTAGGTTATTTTCGGAGTAACATCAACCCCTTCCTTGCTAACGCGAAGACACTACTTGCTGAAACATCATGCTATTAAAGATGCTGGTGAATTCTATCCATAAAGATGTCTTTTATATCATTTTTTAGCATAACAGGGGCCCAAAAAGCATCTCTTTGGGAGGAATGTGTAATAAAATAGTCTCTTACTACGGTTGTTTGTTAGATTCTTCCATGTCCTGATAAAAATGTCCACGATCTTTGGGTAAGGAGTTGACCCATTTAGCCCATTCTATGGCAGCTGTTACATATCTGACAAAATATACAATAAATTAATTTACAAGCGGTCGACATGCAAGATACGCCCAGATTTTGCAAGAAATGGGCAGAGAACAAGCTAAAACAAAAAAATCGATTTTTCATACAATCAGGGGCCATAATCCAGGAGAGAGAGAGAGAGAGAGAGAGAGAGAAATGGGGTTTAACGGCCACTTGCACAAACTAGGTCATTTTGGGACTAACATATGGTTTAATGTTATTTCAATAATTTGCATGCGCGTAGGGGTCTTTAGCAGTGGGAGGAAACCGAAGGACCCGGGGAAAACCCACGAGGTTGGATATAATCGAGGAAGTCACAGTCCTATATGTGTGAATATCGAAAGGAACCAAGCTCTTTGTGATAAAAATCGGATAAAAATTGTGACCTCTAGAGTGTCCACAAGCTACAAACGTGATTTTTCGGAGCAGAAAAGTATGTCATTTCAGGACTAACATATGGTTCAATTTCAAACCAATTTCACACATCATTTTAACCAAATCATGACCAAGCAGCCTTATTATTCAAATTATATACAAATTTGTGAAAATCCTCACTTGTGAGAGGCCACAGTGGAGCAGTTAGTATGGTGGTGGCTCACTAACAAGGAGGTCCCTTGTTCGATCTCAGTGTTGGCCATGGTAGTTTCTCATGATTTTCCAGCCTTGTGTCAGTGGCGTAGTTGCTCAGATGATATGAAAAACTGAGGCACACTCTTGTCCTAATTGGCGTGTATGTTACAGATAAACTGAAAATTGGGATTCAATAAAAAATAGGAAGAAACGCAGGTTTTAAGGCAAAATATCCCCCATAGCAGATGCCATTTAGTAACTGGATAGAGTAATAAACTTCTGGAAAACAGCTACTAGTATACTAGTATACTCTCAACATTATCACCTTACACAAATATACCGGTAGGCCTAGGTGTTTTCCAAAAGTATGTTATAGTTATGGATAGAGTAATTGGGTGATGCAATAAGGCTGAGAGAATACACTGTTTTCCATAAGTATGTGTTATAGTTTATTAATCAACTAACTTGTTGTATATTCCTGGTTTAGTTATATCCACCAGTATATATTGTCCATTAGGTAGAAGCAGACGACACGACTCACGACCCATCAAACGATCAAATCCTGTCACTCTCGGCATCACATTAGCCTGAAAATATAAATCATAAAATCCACTACACATTCACATGTCTTCTCTTTTCTCATTTCTAATCCTTAGACGAGTAAATATGAGAATAATTATGGTAGCGTTCTTATTTTAAAGCATTCAACGAATCCGTACGATAATGAGAGTAATCTGTCATCAGTCAAGTAGAACGTTTAAAGTCTGTGTGTCATCTTGATTTTTCAGAAAATATCAAATTTAAAATGTATACAAATTCATTATCTAGTATTTAATAAAGAAAACAAAATAAAAAGATCTATGGTAGATAATCTCGTTGCTTGGATTCAATTCTATTAAAACGAGGCTCATCAAAAGATTTGCAGTACAATTGAAATTGTGGTTTTAATCGTGGTGATCCTATCAAGTCTTATCATATATTCAGGTCAGTCGTAGCAATCATGATGATCGTATCGAAATGATCTGAATGTATCTGCACATAACAGATGGTGGACTCAATAGGGACAATCCCATCGTAACACATCGCACGACAGTAGCAACTTAGATTAACAAAGAATACAGGTGGCCACGAAAATGACAATTAGTGCCTATAATGAAATGGGTGTTTAATGTCCTACTTACAGCCTACTCCCATGGCACTTCAGTGAGCTAAGGCCTTATTCTTCAAGCCTCCTAGGGAGGGAACAACTGAATAAATGGAAGGAAAATAACAGCTCATCTTAAAGGAAAAATATTAATTAGACTGAAATGTGTCGTACCGTGGATGGTTTCTCACTGTGCTGTAAACATTCATCAAGTCTGTTAGAAAAATCACACACCATATCCAGAGCTGTTCTATCATCAAATACCACACGAATACGACCGTTAGTATATGCGGAAAACTTGCCACGTCCTGGAACACAACATTCTTCCAATATTTCACAAGATATTGGTTCCATAGGTTTACTCTCTTCATGCTGAAAATTTCAATTTTATTCTCAAATTAACTAAAAGATGACATGTAAGATTTATTAATCTATTCTCAGCTAAGTTATGACTGTTTGAAGATGCAGTGTATGCAGTGTAAATACACGGTTTACCTTCCAACAGATGGGGGTTGATTAGCGCGAATAGTTAGCATGTGCATGTTGTATCATAAGGTTTGGCTTTAAGACAACTGCCGTAGTTTCGATTTCCCTGTTGCACGTGACAAGGAGTAAAGTCGTCTGTCCAAACTTGTGGATTTTCTCCTGGTCCTCCGGTTTCCTCCCACTGCTAAAGACCCCTTCCGCCAAGCAAATTATTGAAATAAAATTGAATCATAGGTTAGTCCCGAATTGACCTAGTTTGTGTCGAGTGGACTTTAAATCCCATTTCACTCTCTCTCTCTTACCTTCCAACATGGCAGCTCTTCACGTCGAGTGTGTTTATCAGCTTCAAAAGCTTCGGATAAAAATCGGGATCCCCTTTTGACAAGTTTCTCCAGGGAGTATGGGGAGTTTGGTAGGGGTGGAGGAAGACTTTTTAAACTGTAGGATCTCTCTTCTAACTGGAATGGAAATAAAATAGGGTTAAACTTCCAACTTTTCTGCACCAGCCAAATGATATGAAATGAAATGGGGTTTAACGTTCTACTGTTCTGTTCCGACTGGCTAATGAAGACGGGCATATGCCATACAGTGTGCTATAAGGGAAATTTTGCCCGGGCAGCGGCACTATGGCCTATTCTTATATCAAATTCCAACTGCCGAGGGATTATAAGCCATGCTTAGAAGGAGATCTTGCTATGATTGTCGCGTTTCCATCTACTCTTAATCAAATTCAAGGTTTCTTTAACAAGGGATCTCAGTTTTGCATCCCATCCAAACAACTATACACCTTTCCTTGCCAGACCCTCAACCACTGTACCAGTGGAAACAACGCTGAAAAATCCTGTGGAACTTTCTTGGCCAACGCCAGATCAAATGTGGACCTAGGGGTTAGTGAGCCAACGCACAACTCATCGATTTTTTTCAAAATTTTCAAGGACGCACTGAACCCTAGGCTTTTTTTTCTTAATTCAGCCCCCTTCACTAATTGACCTTGTCCAAGATGAATCCAGCCCTGACATGGTGCGACATCAACTGTAATGTCCCCATGTTATAATTTATTTCCTGTTTTTAATAAGTTAGTAGACAAATCTACTTTCTTTCTAAATTTATCTCCTGATTTATTTCTGTGCTGGTCTACTGTCCATAGAACTAGAAAGTGAAGCAAGGGTCTTAGCTCTGGAAGTGATTACTGCAAATTGTTGAAATAAAATATTCATCTTCGTCTCACGTACCAAAGTAAAAAATATATAGATAAATTTCAAAATGATCCCACGCTAAATGTAGTCTGTAGAGTGTTCATAAGAAATTGTGGCCGGATGGAGGCGACGACAATATACAGCTACATTTCATGTGGGTGTATAAAAATAGTTTCAGAGCTAAAATAAGGCTACTGTAAACTAATGTAATAAAAGACAAGAGTTACCTTTCCTTGTTTAAAGAGAAGATGTTGATAATATTGACCAGAGATTCCATGAGAATAAATAACACTTCCATCACCTGGATACATCTCTATACTGGTGGTACTAGGTAAATATACCAATCTATAATAGTAATCAATATACCAATCTATAATAGTAATCAATATACCAATCTATAATAATCAATATACCAATCTATAATCAATATACCAATCTATAATCAACCAATCAACATAACAATCTAAGATAGTAATCAATATATACCAATCTATAATCTATACCAATATATAATCCACCAATCAACATAACAATCTATAATCAATATCCCAATCTATAATCAATTTTATTTCAATAATAATTTGCTGGTGGGAGGAAATTGGACCCCAAGAAAACCCATGAGATTGGACAGGCGAACATACTTCTTGTCACATACAAGCAGAGAATTGAAACCACTTCACTTGACTCAATGACAGACATTATGATCTAAACTGCACGATTAAGAAAGTTTAGCCGCCCAACTCCCTGTGAGTCTAGGGAATTGACAGTTTAGACGTTACCCAAAAATACCTCCATCATTAGACTAACCTGTAAATAACCCCATCAGCCATAACAACAGACAAACGACCAGACTGAAATTCCTCTCCATGCCCCGTCGACCAGCGATGTAAATGTTGAAAAGGACAGGTCAAAGGTTGTGGAAGGGGTAGACAACTCTTGACCACATCTTCTTTCTTTGGTTTTGTATTTGGAGATGGTATACTTTCCACTTCTTTTCTATTTTTTAGAACTGTAATGATTAAATATTATCAATGTACAATGAAATGTGTGATAGTATTTAAGGTCTATTGGAAATGAATTGAAATTTAATATCCTACTGTTCTACTCCTTTTGGGTTAATGAAGACGGGCATAGGCCATGCAGTGTGCTATGAGGAAAATTTTTCGTATCATCCGAACAACTACATGGATCTCTCATGGAAGCCCAATAAACCCAAATTATCTGGAATCGGCCCTGTAAACACTAGATGCATTGTATCTAGAGTAGTCTAGGGCAGAGGTGGACAAAATATGGCACAAGTTATACATGCGACCATTCCAAGTGACACATGCAACCATTCCAAGTGAAATATTATAAATATCTAATTTGACTCCAAATCAACCACTTGGTGAACTCTGTAAACATTTTTTTCTTAATCTATATTAATTAATCTTTTAAAGTCACATAGGAAGTCATTCACATATTTGTCACAAAAACCAAATAAATGTTATGCCTTTAGTACTTAGACCGCACCCAACCACTCCATCCAGTGCACAGCTGTCGTGCCCGCTCCCAACATCCCCATCACATGCACAGTTGTCACACCTTCACGAACTAGTAAATGGTCGGAAAGCTATTCACATATCTCAGACGGTTTAAGGCAGTCTAAGGAATATCAGGTTCAGACTGATTCTGGGTGTTCAGGGATGTACTGGTATTAATATATCACTTGTCTCTTATTTTCTTAAACATACATTATACAAGAGCTAAATCTGTCTATTGCACGTCTTTCTTTAGGCCTGAAATGTTATCTAAATTATTAATTAGACATTAATTAACCTATCCAGACCATAATCAACTCCAGATGGCATCGCTAGCCTGCGATCTTTAGTGGATTGTGAGCCGATTTACTGCATAACTTTCCTTCATGATTCAATGATTAAATGGATAAACGAGACTATGCTGTTTATCGTACTGACTTTAGTAATGATGATCAAGGCTAGGCGGAAATTTCAACAGCTTAGTTCTCGGTTCATAGTGGATCAATTTGAATGAAATTTTCAGCAAATTGCCTTTACATTATCTAGTTTTTAACTATTATAGTGAGAAATGCCAACTCGTTATCGAATCTCCCATAATGTATCTTTAAAGGAACTGGGGTAGTCAATATTGACATGTACCAAGAGCTAACAAATCCTGTTGGGCATTTTCAACAATTCAAGTGTTAGGCATTGAACACACTCAAATACATGACTTACCATCCGGGTTTTCCAAAACTTTTGTGGCTAATTTTAATGGATGACTCCATATCATTGGACACTGACTACAAGAATAATGTCTGGTAACCCACACGTAGGAATATCTCACGGAACTATCTTCTTCACAACTCTGATTGGACGAATTACTGTTATTGTTATCCGATGAGTTTGGATGATGACGAGGTTCATTATGGGTAGCTTTGGTTGCTTTTTTATGATCACCTGGCACTAGACTAATATCAACTGTATCAATTGTCCCATTTAGACCCTCTGATGATATTTTGCTTATACTAGATAATTCATGTACATTTGATCCGGGAGAATGCTCCTTATTAGGATGTTTAAACATGGCTGTCACTCCGTACGGAGTAACGATGGGCGTTTCGTTGATGGAAACAGTTTTATGTTTTGTTGGCGTGGAAACTCTCTGTGTATAAATAGGATCTATTTTAAATTCTGGAGAGCTGCCATTGTTGATGGTGAAATCTTGAAGAGGTGGAGTCGCCGCTCTGAGAAAATCAACTTTTGGACTATCAGAAAAATCTAATTCATTATTTTTAGAAAGATTATGAAAATCGGTTTTCGCTCGAACTACTGTTGGAGAAAAGGTAGTTTTAGCTTTCTTAATTTCTTCGCTGACTTTTGAAAGATAACACACAGTAAAATCTCGCCCATGTGGACTTAACACCAGACTTGCGAAATCGTCCGTAGCCATGACGCGAATACTTCCATCTGGTAACGTCTCCACTTGAGCTCTGTGTAGAGAAAGTGGCCATTTTACTTCTTTAATATTCGTGTACAATGCCTGGAACGAAGAAATTATACAGTGTTAGGTATATTAATAAAGAGAGAGAGAAATGGGGTTTAAGGCCCACTCAACACAAACTAGATCATTTTGGGACTAACATATGGTTCAATTTTATTTCAATACATGTAATTTGCTTGCACATAGGGGTCTTTAGCAGTGGGAGGAAACCAGAGGACTCAGAGAAAACTTACAAGGTTGGACAGGCGACTCTAGTCCCTGTCACATACAACCGGAGAACCTATATTAATAGAAATAACTTGGATTTAAAATCTAAACAGATCCACGGTGGCTCAGTGAGTAAGGACTATGGTATATTTTATCCAATAATTATCATGGCTGAGAAAGTGCTCAGGTTTTTCCAGCATGGCTTCCCCTTGTCAGAGATGCAGGGTCTGACAAGAACAGTGTCGAATGGTTTGGATGGGACAGAAAACTTAGGTCGTGTATACATGTAGTCATGTAAGTCGTAAAAAAAGCCCTTGGCAATTGGAATTTGAAATAAGAGTAGTGCTGCGGTGCAAGCAAAAGTTCCCTCATAGCATACAGCATATGGCCGTCTTCATTAGCCACAGATGGTGGAGAAAAGTAGAAGATTAAACCCCATTTCATTTAATAGTAATACACGCACTATTAGAAGGGAGAGGAGTCAACCTAGGCCTAGCCTGTTCATTAATCCATTTTCAAATGTAAGAATTTACTGTTTATTACAATAAATTAGAAGGGCAAGGAAACTGGGGAAAACCAACTCAACTTTACTCCTTATCAGATACATGTACAAGCTTGGGATTACTCAACTCTACTCCTCATCACATACAAGCATGAATGGGACCACTCCACTCTACGTAATCTACTCCTATCACATACAAGCTTAGGATCGTTCAACTCTACTCCTTATCACATACAAGCATGCCTGGGATCATTCAACTCTACTCCTTATCACATACAAGCTTAGGATCATTCAACTCTACTCCTTATCACATACAAGCTTAGGATCATTCAAATGATCTACTCTTATCACATACAAACTTGGGATCGCTCAACTCTACTCTTATCACATACAAGCTCAGGATTGAATCCATGACATGCACAGATAACAAACTACTTGCCCACCCAACCATCAAGGAATAAGAATGCATGGTGGTATTCTTACTGTTATTTCTGTTTTTGGTGTCAATTCTCGACATAAATATGGTCTTTCTGAGAATCTGTTTCTAAAATCAAGAGCTTGTAAAACTTTGTGTCTATGATTACTGGTTACAAATCGAACTCGCTGTTGAACTTTAGTTGTTCCTACAAAATATAATAAATATAAAAAGGATATTACATGTATAATAAGGCAAAACCATACGTAAGAGGGGCTGCATCTTTTTTAGCCCAGTCGGAGCAGATGTCAAATCTCATTTCATTTTATTTCATTTAAACCCGAAACCCCATTTCATTTCATTTCATTTAAACCTCATTTCATTTCATTTAAACCCTATTTCATTTCATTCAAACCCCATTTAATTTCATTTAAACCCCATTTCATTTCATTTAAACCCAATTTCATTTCATTTAAATCCCATTTCATTTCATTTACACCCCATTTCATTTCATTTCATTTAAACCTTATTTCATTTCATTCAAACCCCATTTCATTTCATTTCATTCAAACCCCATTTCATTTCATTTCATTTAAACCCAATTTCATTTCATTTCATTTAAACCCCATTTCATTTCATTCAATTTAAACCCCATTACATTTCATTTAAATCCCATTTCATTATTATAATAATAACCGCCTTCACATTAAGATGGCACAAATTTTTTAAGTATCAAAAGAAACTGACCATAAAGTGGATGTGTTCCAGCATCCGGATTATCAAAATGTGTAAGTGTAGAACCACAGGGTGAAATCTGTAGCCGTGTTTTATCATTGTAACGAACTTCTACACCATCATTAGAATATAAAACCATTAAAACTGGTACAGCGCTGGTGGCCATATCTAATCATCTTTACACCTATAATATATGAATGAACATTATTCTCATAAACTATAGTACACAGTTACGGAGAAAACATAAAAATATAATATCATATTACGTGCATGTGCGAACAATACAACAAAATTAACTAAATTATCAAGGAGGATTGACTTTCATATTAAGTTTTATATATTTACATAGATTTTCCAAAGTGATAATATTTGAATTATCAAACAACTGGTTAAATAAACTTTAGGATTAGAGAACTGCTGCCTGGGCAAATGCGCATCAGGGCTTTTTTTTTTTTGAGAGAAACATTTACTTTTATTAAAATAGCATTTTATATTGTGTTTATTAGGTATATTAATTTGCAAATAATGCCACTCAAAGAGAAAGAGAAAACATAGGATTTAACGTCCACTCAATACAAACTAGGTCAGTTCAAGATTAATATATGGTTCAATTTTATTTCAATAATACGCCTGTGTGTACGATCTTTAGCAGTGGGAGGATAGTAGAGGAGCCAGAGAAAACCCATGAGGTTGAACAGGGGACCCTACTCCTTGTCATGTACAAGTTGGGAATTAAAACCACGCCACTTGACTCAATGACAGACCTTATATGATGCAAGGTGCATGTGTTAACCATTCGACCATTTAATCCCCCACCATTCAAAGAAGAAATGATTTAATATCAAATGATTGAAATGGTGCTTAACTAACATACTACATTTCTGCACCGATTGGGCTAAAGAAGACGGTCATACACCATGAATAATCCAAAACGTTAGATGTTACGTTTTATATTTTGACGATGTCAACGTACATGTAACATCTAACATCCGAACACTCTTTCAGTGGATGGCGCCATTAGCAATTATTTTCAGTAATCCACACTGTTAACAGTATAAACCTATATATCCAGTCCATTTAGTTCACATAAAATCTTTTTTTACTCTCGATTTTACCAGATTTCCAAAAATTCATCACCGATAATCAACTGCAAACCATTAAAAAGGAAATGACCTCGTGGAACTCTGGCAAATTTAAAACAGGATTACACACGAAACAAAATTTATATATTTTTCATTTATTTTTAATATTAAGTCATTTACTTTGTTATTGTACTTATCTACATTGTCCCAAAACATTTATATTTGGTTCTATGGGCCAGACAGACATAAATATACATGTAGCGTTGAAAACACTGCAACATTATATAAAGTTATATTTTATTTCAGGTAAAATTTTTAAGACGTTACATCTAGGATCAACCTATCACAACATGGTTGTTGACTTTTCTTTTCATTGGTGAATGTGACTTTGAATAAAATATGTTTTACTGGACAGTCGTTGCTTGTCAGTGAGTTTTATTGTTGTTCAATGATGGCTCATGGAATAAACTAGGTAATGCATTTGGAATAAACCAACAGACGCCTTTCAACTTGTGAGTATTTGATGCACCAAAAATTCTGGAGAAACCCGCTCATAGCTTTTGACCATATGTTCGATGTTACCTAGTCAGAATATCAAAGAGTAACATCTAACTTAATGGATTAACAACATGAAGGGCAAATTCTGTCAGGACTGCTACCCTCAAATGTCATGGGTTCTTTTACATGTTTAGCAGTGTGTAAGCTTACACAGGACTCCCATATTTTTTGTCACATTTGAATGACTAAACAGTCCTTGCCCGGATCTCCTGGCTAGCATTAGCAAGTCAATCTCAATCACTCAGCCACTCTGACTACTGTAAATAGCATGTTATCCCTGTATAATAGTCCAGAGACATTTAAACCTTTCTGTCCATGAATAAATTAGAAATGTACATACATGTGTGTATGCAACTCATAATTTTGACATGTAGGCCTAGTACCTTGTAGTACCATGAACCTGTGTATTATAAGGTCCATGTTAGTTAGTAGCCTTCAGTAGTCTGTAGGTAGGTGCACACCTCAGTAGACTCGACAGAATAATCCAGGATAGTGGTAGCTCTCATTCACTGGCATGGACTGATCATGGGAGCAAGAAAACAATTTCTCCGGAACTAAATTCCAAATGTGATTAAGTTAGGACAAAGTTACACATCAAGTGAAAGTTTTTTTGGTTTCATTGTTTCTACAGACACTTGCCTTACTAAAGTTACTTGTCAGATTGTTAAAGGCAAAATCACAACATTTCAATGTGTAGATCTAGTTTGTGTTTTTGTTGAGCGCTTTGACACATTTCCAATTACAAACTGATGTGGGCAAGGATATTTATCATTACCTGTTCATTGTAAATAAATATAAAGATGTTATTCAGCATTTAACATCAGAACAGCAGACGAATAATGCGCCATCCACCATGTTGTTTTCTAATTGAACAAGTTTGAGCTTGATCAACCAATCGAAAGTAAATTACGGCAGGCCTACATGGTAGGTAACTCCATTTAACGTTAAGATTAAGGAAGTCTGCCAACGAAAAAGTAATTTAAAATCACTATGCAAGCAGTCAGTTTTAAATCAATGTTGTCATTATTGTTACGAAACATGCTTATATTCAATCCTAAAGAAGAAAAGCAGAAAGTCAACTTCTAGTTCTTGTTCTTCTGACAACCGTAGTTAGCCAAATTTATTCCATTAAATGGAGTTGTCTCCCTTATACCGACCGTCAAAATATTTTTTTTTTTTTTTAGCAAATTGAAATCAACTGGGTCTAATTATAACGTCTTACCTCTCTGTGGCGAGTCGGCTAATTAAGACGGGCATCTTGCAAATGGCAATTTCATGAACTGTCTTACAACAGCTTGTTCAACTCTTTTTTAGAATTCCAAAAGTAAACACGTAAAGATCTCATTTTATGTGACTCACCCGAAGCACAGGCACTTCCCCGCTATCAGGCTTACTGTATAGGCCTACTGTTATGGAATGGAATTTGTCTCATGGATATTTTCATGTTACTTTGTGTGAATATACAATAATTGTTATTTTTGTGGTTAAGTGTGCAATGCAGGGGGCAGTATCAGATCTAGGGGCCCCCACATTTTGGCTAAAGTATGGTCACAAAATCAAAAGTTGCTTTGGATGACTGAGAGATTCAAATTTACATTTGAAAATATGAAGATCAGTCGCTAAGCCTGCATTCGATGGATACCTTTTACACAAAAAAGAGCTCTGTGGGTAATTTTGACTTTGGCATAAACTCCGCTGGTAGACATCTATATAATTATAGTGCTGCCAGTTCGTCAATAAATATGAGATAATTCATACATTAGTGACTGTTGTTTTGATGATATTTGTAACTTGATAAAAGTTTGAAATTACCCCAGAATGCACCAAATCAAATCAAATGGGTTTTTACTTAATTCCTAATTAAATGTTCAGTCCAAAATATGCAAATGATGATCAGAGGTTTAAAAATTTATATTAAAGATGCACTATGTAAGATTTAAATAAAAAAAACTGACAGTTATTGCTATGATAGTTTAAAAATAGATAATAGAAAAGGAATACATTGGAAATTTCAGTCAAATTACTTTATTCTGAGCGATGTCATGACTGTTTGAAGAATAGCGTAATCTCGATTTTCATATCAATAGGCAGATTTAACTCTTACATAATGCATCTTTAATAAAACAAAAATAAGCCGAAAAATAAGGTAAAAGTAAACAATAAATACATTTTATTGACAATATAGTCTAGTTATTATTACAAGTCACACTTACTTTCACTTTATAATGTTAATTCTTTAGAGTCCTATAACACACATCAGATAATTGGTTAAAGTACCAGTACTAAACTATAAACTACATTTCTATTGGTTCCCTGACTCTACAATTCATCTAATAATAGACACTGTGTTTTCAATATCAGAAGCTGTTTAAGAATTTTACCAAGAAATTACAACAAAAAAGCCAACAGCCAACAAGATATAATTTTTCAAAATATACAATTTCTTCTATCAGTATTATAAAATCTGCTATCTTCAAGAATCTTTAACCAAATGAAATAAAATCAATCAGATCTTAGCTAAAGAATATTGGATTAATTAGATTATTAAACTTATAATAATCGGTGAGAGACTGGATTAAAATATTATAGGTATATCGACATCTACTTTATACAATTGTTGGAACTCGAATATCAGGCAAAGCCAGTTTACCTTCAATTAATCTTAAAAAACTTTAATTTTATGTACATACACTTGTATAGGTTGTAATAATTTCTTAACATCACTATAGCTTCCACAAGATTTTTTAAAGTGATTAAGGGCCATAACTCTGACAGTAATTATCAAAAATCATTGACAATCAATAGGCATCTTTGTCTCATGACTATAGATATTGTGTATAAATTTAATGTCAATTGGATATGAACTTTATCCTCTAGAACGTCCACATTGCGGGCGTAAAATAACAGTTTATCATAAAATAATCTATGTTTTCAATTCATTTTTATGTACATGGAAAGATGGTAAAAGGTTTTAAACATGCAATTATAAATAAATATTTCTAATTATTAGCATAGTTTTCAAATAAAATAAAATATTGTTTGAGTTGGGAGTATTTTTTATTTATCGATAACTAAATAAATTTTCTAACCAAAAGTTTAACGTGAACACATATGGATTACTTAAAATTTAGAAATAAATCCACGACTTCAACTCTAGTAATTAATAGCAATTTTTTCTCAACTAAGTTTTTAGTAAAATTTGTACAAAAAAACCTTGATGACATCAACACACTGTCTTGGACTGGACTGGAAAGAAAAAAATTAGGATGATTTTGGTACTAAATTATTTTTAGTTTTTCTCACAAATTGAAAATAGCCTTTATAAAATGAATTCGAGGGTAAAAATTCAGTATGAAAGTAGCTGTACTTCTACAATCTCTAAACTGTAAGCGAAATTACAAGAGAAAATTTATCTAGAGAATTGGGTTAAGATCATGTAGTGTGTTTAACACCATATTAGACATTTTTGAAACAAAGTTTTTATAGTTTTTATTTCTGGAAAATATCGCCAGAGTATCAATTTTGACTGAACCCCCCCCCCCCCCCCCAACAACCATTAATAAAGTGTACTCTAAGATGCTGAAAATATTTTGGTGAAATTCCTGCAGTCTGTATTCCTTGCAATAACCCTAGATAGCATCAAGCCTGGATATAAGGCACCTGTCACAGACTCTGTCAGACGCAAATTATCACACAACATATATATTATATGTGCGCTTATTTCTATTATGTCTTTTTCAATGGTTTATATTATAAATTACAAATTTATTTGAAAGTATAAAATAAAAAATTTCAATTTTTCGAAAAGATTAATTCCATCAATAGAGACAGCTCCTTCATGTTGAAAATAATTTCTCTAGTTTTCCATGTTGACTCTTAAACTACTGATACTTCTTGAGATAGAATTTCCGTAGCCCCCCATCTTGACTCTTGTATTACTGATATTTCTTGTGATATAATTATTTGTTTATTTACCTGAAAAATAGAACATAAAACAAAGATCATATAAATTATTAAAGATAGCCACACAAAGCGTGGAATACGCCCACACACCACACAGTAGCTTTGTATCGAGTGTAGATGATGATGATGATGATGATAATAATCGTTTTCTATAGCGCTGAACATTCAGTCAGTCGGACTGCTCTGTGGCACTTTACAATGTAGATATGATTATAAAAAAACATACATGTATATACAAATAAACAAAAGAATACCAAGGAGCAGTCAAGTTACAATATACAAATGAAAAGTGAAGCATTTATAGTTCAAACGTTTGGGTAAAAAACAGGGTTTTTAGATGTCGTTTAAATATAGCCAAGTTTTTACTTCCAGAGGCAATTTGTTCCATTCTTTTGGTGCTGCATATGCAAAAGCTCTCTCACCAAATTTTGACTTCTGTACTGGACATACAAGTTGGTTTTTATGAGATGAACGTAAGGAACGAGGAGTTACATATTATTTAATCAAATCGGATAAATAGGATGGTGCCAAAGGATCGTTTAAACAGTTGAAAGTGATTGTGTTAATTTTGAAAATGATGCATTGATTAACCGGTAGCCAATGTAACTGTTTTAGAACAGGTGTAATATGGTCAGATGGTTTGATGAGAGATATAATTCGAGCTGCTTTATTCTGGATTTTCTGTAGCTGACTTACAGGAGTTTTAGGAAGAGAATACAAAAATGAATTACAATAATCTAAAGATGACATAACAAAAGCATTTATTAACATTTTCGTGACATCAAGGACAATATAGGGTCGAATTTTGCCAATGTTATACAGGTGAAAGTTCGCCTTTTTGCACAGCCTGGATACAGCCTGGTTTTCATGTCGAAGGACGAGTCAAAGAACACACCAAGATTCCTGACACAGTTGGATGGGGTTATGGCTGTGCTTCCAATAGTCACATGGTTGATGTCAATGTTCTTTTTATTCCCGATTATTACATTTCTGCCTATTCTTCAGACCTTATTTTTTTGTCCCATATGAATGACTAGACACTGTTTTTTGTCAGTCCCTCTGTTCTGCATCACTGACAAGGGGAAACCATGCTAGAAATCTTGTGGAACTTTCTCAACTCACACAGGGAACTAACACAGCCTGCATCTCACTCACTGAGCCACCGTGGTTCCAAATTTAGGGTTGGAAATTGACACTAAATGGCTGAGCAGCAATTATTAAATGACCTAACATATATAACTTTAAATCATCAGAATTCAATTTTCATCGACAGATTTCTATTGTCAACTTTTGACTTTCTACAATAAATCGTATTTTGAACCTGATGAAAGGTTGACAGGAAGTATGGTGATTAAACAAACAACTGATATAGAATTTAGTAACTTATAAATGTTTAAATTGAAAAAGATATTAGAGAGGTTTCGCAACTTATGCTAGGTTCCCACTGTCATGCAATGCGATCTGGTACCTGCAGATACGTTTGGATACATTTCGATACGATCAACACGATTGGTATGACTGACCTCAATGTATAATTAGACCTGACAGGATCATCACGATTACTTCACAATTAAAAACCACGATCTCAATCGTAGCGTGAATCCTGATAGTGGTAAAACAGCATAAACAGTTACACTTATTTATATATTTGTGTTGATATGTTTGATTACGCCTTGTGAAATCTTGTTGAAATGTCACAGTGTAATAAACCATAGTATTTGTTATTCCATAAATAGTGCTCTATTTGATCTCATACATTGTACGTCACGAAAACTGACAACTTTTTACCGCCTGAATGTAAATGTAACGTTGCAAAACCTCTCTATTGTGTGGTCTTATTACAGGGCAATCACTTCTAATAGTATTATAAATTTATTTGAATTGTGTATATGTTAACCTGTGCTAATAATTATGATTATTTTATGATTGGGTTATAAGTACACCTCCATTAATCATTTTGTTGATCTGCCAGGACCCTGATTACTGACCGTAATAAACAAAACAAAACAACCCAGATCATTATAAATTATACACAAAAACTTCAGTGTTTAATCAATTTAAAAATGACACATTTTCATTACATACATATAGACATTATTATTATTATCTGAAAAGTGCCTTTCAACTGATAATTACCCGAGTAGGGGCCTTACCACTATCACAGGACCAGGATAATTACCCAAGTATGGACCTTACCACTATCCCAGGACCAGGATAATTACCTGAGTAGGGGCCTTACAAATATCTCAGGACCAGGATAATTACCCAGGACCAAGATAATTACCCGAGTAGTCGAGTTACACAACCCCATAACCAGGATAATTACCAGAGTAGGGGCCTTAGCACTACCTTTGGACTAGGATAATTACCAGAGTAGGGGACTTAGCACTACCTTTGGACCAGGATGGTTATCTGAGTAGGGGCCTTACCACTATCTCAAGACCAGGATAATTACCCGAGTAGGGGCCTTACCAATATCTCAGGACTATAATATTTACCCGAGTAAGGGGGCTTACCACTATCCCAGGACCCGGATAATTACCAGAGAAGGAGCCTTACCAATATCCCAGGAACAGGATAATTACCCGAGTAAGGGGCTTACCACTACCCCAGGACCAGGATAATTACCTGAGTAGGGGCCTTACCACTATCTCAGACCCAGGAGAATTAACCAAGTGTTACAATATTGTTATCCGAGTACTGGGGCTTACAAGTGATAATTACCTGAATACCGGGTTACTTCTGATAAAATAAACAATGATGGAATATTTATGATATCAAAAGTTGTGCTAAACATTTTCTAAGAAACCTGGGTAAAAATACCTTAAGACACTTTACATATTTGAAGAAAATAGATAAACAATTAATATTTTTTAAAAATTAATTTTTTTATAAAGGTCATTTCGTGACTAACACATGGTTCAATATTAATGCCATATTATGCTTGCGCCTTGTAGTCTTTAACAGTGAGATGAAACCGGAACACACAGAGAAAACCCACGATGTTGGTTAGGCGACCATACTCCTTGTCATGTACAAGCAGGGAATAGTAACCATGCCACTTGACTTAATGACAGACCTTATGGTTTAAAGTGCATGCATTAAACCATTTGATCACCCACTTCGTATATTAAAAGAAGGATACTTACAGAGGTAATTCAAATTTAACATCTACAGCTGCTTCTCTGGCTAGTCCTACTATTGTTGATAATTTTACAATCTGAAATTATTGAAAAGAAATGAAATGAAATGAAATGGGGTTTAACGTCCCACTTTTCTGCACTGACTGCAGTGTGCTATACGGAAAATTTTGTCTGGACAGCAGCGCTACTGCCTACTTTATATCAAATTCCAAATGTCAAGTGTTCTTTTACGTGCACAGCAATGTATGTGTACATGGGACCTCAGTATTTTCGTTCCATCTGAACAACTAGACAGCAGCCTTTGTCAGAATTCCGCCCTGCAAAACTGACAAGAGGAAAATTCTCGGCCACTACAGCTCCCAAAGTCTCAAATAATACCAGATACATACATCCAGTGACGGATTTAGATGAAGTGAGGCCCTAGGCTACATCCTCCCAATCCCTCACCTTCACAATTAGAGAAATTGAAAGTGTGGTTTAAACAAAATTGAACAAAGTCCAGGATGATGACGAATATTTAAGACTACATTGCGTGTACCAAAGGCTCATGACTGTCAAAAATAATATACACCTTGAACGGAGACCCCCAAGATCAGTCTGCCAAGCCTATATGTAAATTTGGCACTGTATACATTGTAATATACAATTCTACCCATTATGGAGTTGAATTTATACAAACTTTGGCGTGTTTTCAAATCCATGTCAATGCGTTTCCACGAGGAACACAGAACCCAATATTTATATCGTTTAAACTTGAAATGAAATTAAATGAAATGGGGTTTAACGTCCTACTCAGACTGGGCTAATGAAGACGGGCGAGCATACTCTTGTATCGAATACCAATTGCCAGGGGATCTTTTACGTGCATGCCAATGTATACACAAGTTCTGCTTTTTTCATCCCATCCGAATGACTAGACAGCTGCTTTTGCCAGGCCCTCCGTCTTACACCACTGACAAGGAGAAACCAGCGAGCCAGCGTCTTACCCACTTAGCCACCGTGGCTTTGTTTAAACTTGAAAATACTTGAAATAAGTACATGCTATGAGAGAAAGAGATGATGGAACTTACCATTTTAGCAGCTTCATCTAAGTTATCACAAGCTAAAATTTTAAGTTGGCTGGCACCAATAATTGCTTTGGCATCATCTACTCTAGTTCCTGTAATATAACATAACAAATCCTTATCTTGGGTTTTGAATTGACTAAGGGTTGAACAGTTATATATTTTAGACATAAAACCGTCTTAATGACATGTTTTCTAATAATATTATCTATTGGCAAAAGCTGGCAAAGACCTTACAATCTAACTAATTCTGGTAAAGTCCTATATTGCAATCTGGTGAAGTTCTATCTTCTGAATAATTCTTGTAAAATCCTATTTTTTAATTTGACTGATTCTGGTAAAGTCCTATATTGTAATCTGGCTAATTCTTATCAAATCTGGTGAAGTCTTATCTTCTAATCTGACTAATTCTTGTAAAATCTTATTTTACTAATTCTGGTAAAAGTCTTATCTTGTAATCTGACTTTTATTGACTAATGAGTAAGCTGACTCCTACTGATATAATTCAACATTGTAATCTGAATTGTATTGATATAATCCTACCTTGTAATCTGACCACTATTTTAATCTGACTACTATTATAATCTGACTATTACTTACACAGCCTCACATTAAAATCTGACTACTATTTCTACAGTCCTACCTTGTAATCTGACTACAATTGGTATTTTCATATCTAATTCTGCTGCAGCTTGAACAATACCCTGAGCTATGACATCACATCTCATGATCCCACCAAATATATTGACTAAAATAGCATCTACCTGGAAAAACAAGATAAAACCTGTATTATGTTATGTGTATGGGGGTTTAGTTTGCACATAACAAGGAGTAAGGTCACCCGTCCAACCTCTAGGGTTTTCTCCGGGTCCTCCAATTTTCTCCGGGTCCTCCAGTTTTCTCCTGCATAAAAGTCCTATATGCGCAAGTGAATTATTGAAATAAAACTGAGCAATATGTTAGTTCTAAATTGACCAAGCTTGTGTCTAGTGTTCTCTCTCTCCCTCTCTCCATGACAAGTGGAATCCGAAGAATATAACTCTCTCACTATAGTAAATGAAATGAAATGGGGTTTAATCATTAAACTTTAATGTCCTACTTTTCTGCTCTGACTGGGCTACTGAAGCCGGGCTTACGCCATACAATGTGATCTGAAGGAAAATTTGCCTGGACAACTGTGCTGTCCAGGCAAATTTGCCTGGACACTGTCCTTGTCAGGCCCTCCATCCTGGTATAGTACATGTTGGTGTTGTCAATGGCAACCTGTTTATACCCACCTTTTTATCTGATGTGATGAGTTTAAAGGCTTCTGTAACTTGATGTGAAGTGGCACCACCTCCTACGTCAAGGAAATTTGCAGGAGTTCCACCGTGTAACTTAATAATATCCATAGTTGCCATGGCTAAACCAGCTCCATTTACTGTTATATTAAATAAATACAAAACATACAAATATTAGACAATTAAAGATACTTTCACATGTACAAACTGGATGATTTGATGATATATTTGGACTATAAACATATTCAAACTAATTAATCTATCAAAAATTTTCTTCAAATTCCTCTCAATACCTTTTAAGCTATAAATAAACTGCTGTTAGGCACCATGTCTGTATCCTCATTTCATTGAGGGACGGTACATTTTTCAGAATGTAATTTTCATTACATTTATCATACATATTGAGGCCTAAGTAAATTCTTAATTACTTTCTGTCAACTTCTTTTTCCACTGTTTAATTGCAGAGTCTTTTGTACGCGGACACCCGTTAATGTCCCCAAAACTGCCTAATCATTTAAACAAGTAATAACCACCGCTCCCTCAGTCAAGCTAGTACACAATAAGCTGGCAGACAACAGTCAGGTTGCCAGTTACTGATACCCTGACATTCTTGCCCAGTTCTTGCCACATGGGTATTTTTTGGGTAATCTAGTATTTTTTATTAAGATCGGGTGTCTATACTTTCTATATATACCAAATTTGCCATACTTTTATTGGAAATAACCACCCAATAAATACTTTCGGGACAATGTATCTTTAAGAGTCCTGATGTGCCATTGGCATTTGTCGCTAACATATCAAATTTCTTACAACTTAATCCACGCTAATATATACTCAGATTGATTATCTAGCAATTAATTAAGAAAACAAAATCAAAATACCAAATTGAATAATCTCCTGGCTTGGATTCAACTGAAATTAAAATAGGCCTATCAATGCTGTTCGCCCGCGAAAAAAAATGGAGGCAGGCTTTTTACATAGCGAGTAGCATAGATCGATTAAATTTCAATCCCACATATCTTTGTAAATACAGAATGGAATTGAACCATTTTTGGACTGATATTCCTATTAGAGATTCAGCTTTCAAAATATTGTAGTTTGCAAGTGATTCATATAGCGCTAAATGTCGAATCAGAATAAATGACATGAAATGGGATTTAACCTTAACTCTCACCATAACTGATTGGGTTAAGACTCAGACCACAATAATGCCTTAGATGGATAACTCTTACAATAACTGATTGAGTTAGGATTCAGACCACAATAATACCTCTAGTCTAATATGGATATCCAACATATCAATCTCTCTCTTTCAATAACAATTTGTGAAAATTTGAGATGTTCAATTAGGTTTTAATAGTTGTCTAAAAATCTCTTTTGAAAAACACATTGATGATGTTCTTCTGATGAATCATGAAATATATCTCACCTAAACATCCGATATTTCCATCCAAACCAATATAATTTAAATCTGCTTCTGCAGCTTTTTTGTCTCGGGAATCTTCTTGTGTCCAATCTTTAAAATCAAATATTTTCTTTTGTCGATAAACAGCATTATCATCGAAGTTTAACTTGCAATCCATACAATAAACTGAAATAGATAAAGTATTCAGTAATGAAATAGTTTATATTAGTTATAAAGAACACGCGAAAGACATGTAAGAATCTTTATTTCAGGTTACTGAATACAATAAATATATGATTTTAAATGAATATTCAACGTGTTAATACATATGAAATATGTGATCTAATTATATACACATGTAAATGTGTTCATTTCATATGTCTACCTGCTACGATGGTCTACAGTGCAGTATAACTGAATATCTGCATTTCGCGGCTAACGTGAAAAACCAATCAAATCGTTTACACAATCACATGTGACGGACATACCCAAGCTTACTGACAAAGAACAAACTATGGACAACCTCAACACACAATATTAATACAAATATTAACCCTGCACCATTTAGCTTCATATAATAAATAAACAGAGAGAGAGAGAGGGAGAGAGAGAGAGAGAGAGAGAGAGAGAGAGGTTAATGTGTACATGACACAAACTAGAGAGAAAGGTTAATGTATACATGACACAAACTAGGTTATTTCTGGACTGACATATGGTACAACTGAATGGAACTAAATGCTTTTTTATACTAACAATCCTTTTACTTTTCACAATATTGTAGTATGCAAATCGACTTAAAATATTTCATTGTCCTGACCTTGTCCCTGCGAATCTTCAGACATTGGGTTTATTTCCACCATAGTAGCATCATATTTTAAAAATACATCTGTATATAACTTCATCATTACATCAGCAGCCTGAAATACAAAATGTATATTGTAATATATTTAAAGAAATGGACACAAATGGGTTGCTACACATATAATAAAGAGATGATGTTTATTGTTCATTTTTGTTTCAATAATTTGCTTGTGCGTAGGGGTCTTTAGCAGTGGGGGAGAAAATGGAGGACCAGGAAAAACCCACAAGGTTGGACAGGCAACCCTACTCCTTATCACCTACACGCAGAGAATGGAAACCACGCCACTTGACTCAATGACAAACTTATGATTTAAAGCGCATGCGTTAGACTACGCAATCCCTCTTGCTGAAAGGGCACCTACTCTATACAGACCTTATGATCTAAAGAGCATGCAATCCCTCTTGATAAAAGCTTACCTGATCAATACAGATATCACTGAAGCCCATTTCTTTGGCCATAAATACAGCTTGATCTTTAGTTATACCACGTGTAATATCCACTGGTTCTTTAACGATGGCTGTCGGATTCTCCTTCGCTACTTCTTCTATATTTACACCCCCCTGTGAACTTCCTACTAACACAGGGCCCTGTAACAATAAATATAGAATCAATTCATCTCTTTATTCCAAGCTGGGAGATTATCTACCATGGTTATTTTGATTTTGTTCTCTTAATTAAACGTTAAATAATGAATCTGAATATATTTTATCCTGGATTAATTAAAACGTGAAAATATGTTTATAAATACGTTGTATGTGAATGAAAAAAATGAAATGGGATATTACATCTTACTGTTCTGATCTGACTGGCCTAATGAAGACAGTTGTGAATGAATGAAGCCAGTTAATATTATCTATAGCCTATATACATTCAGCCAGTAGGACATCCTTATTGGACTGCTGGATATCTTGTACGTCTTCCAAACTGAAGGTCGCAGGTTCAAACCAGGCAGAAAATATATCTGTCACAAATCCACAATCGGGATCGGCAACTCAATGTGTCTAAATATAAAAACAACTTACGTGAAAACTTCTCTCCATGGCTATAGCAAAATAAAACTCCCGTCTTGAATACAGCCTCTCCACGACCATAACTTGATTACAGATTCTACCCTCAGTTCCAGTTTGTTTCGTAAATAATTTGTGTCCCAACATTTTACTCGATATATCTTTAGCCTCCTCATCACTGTAAAAATAATTAATGGAATATCAAAAATGAAATTAAATAAGCAATAAGGCCAGAATTAAAGTCCTACTGCCATACTGTGTGCTATGAGGGAAACCTTCACTGTAACCCAGGTATCATAATCTTGTGTATCTAGCACTAATTACTTTCATATTTAATATCAAATCTTTGTTTAAAAATTTGTAAAAATTATTTAAAATCAGTCCAAATCATCTAATCTGTACTTGTGTCCAGTTTATAGCTGACTGATTAATTTTGATGATGAGTGTCCAATTTATAAGTATTTAATTAATCATTACATACATCAATAATCAATTGGGTGGTTTATTTTTTAACAGTGAATCAGTGATTGAGAAATTAAACGCTTGTAAATTGACACACATTGTAAAAATTTAATGGCAGGTATAAACTGGACACAAGTACAAATTAGATGATTTTAAAGGATTTTTACAAATTTCTAAACAAAGATTTGATATTAAACAAATCTGAAAGAGATTAGTGCTAAATACACAAGATTAGATGATACTCGGATTACAGTGTTTACCCCAAAGGCAGCACTATGGCCTACTCTTATTTCGAATTCCAACTGTCAAGGGTTCTTTTACACAAGGTACACAGGACCTCAGTTTTTCCAAAGACAGTAGAAACCCATAAGTTAAAGGGACATTAGGTAAGATTAGATAAAGAGCTGACAGTTCTCACTATAATAGTTAAAAATAGATAATGAAAAAAAAAAAAGTCGAGATTATCCAATTTTACATTAAATTATCCATCACAAAATGTATTCAAATCTACAAGTTGATTATGGCCTGGATCAGTTAATTAATGCCTAATTAATAATTTAGATAACATTTAAGGCCTGCAATAGGCAGGATTAGCTCTTGCATAACGTATGTTTAAATTAGTCATATACAAGTACAGGATTGAAACCATGGCACTTGAATCAATAATTAACATAAATAATTAACATACTTAAATACTAATTTAACGCCACCCTTTAGACCGCTATCCCATGATCCCTTTCCTCGACCACCAGCAAGTACTTGAGCCTTTAGAACAACATCAGGTGTTTTAGTTAACTCCTCTGAAAAAGAAAATGAACATAATTCAATTCAATTCAATGAAAACACCATTTAATTTTGTAAGATCAAATTTTAATAAATGATTACAATCAATAATCAATCATAATAATTTTAATCAATAATCAATCAACCATTACAAACATATAACGTAATATGTGTACTGTACCGAGTTCTTTAGCGAAGGCCTTCACTTGGTCTGGAGATTCAGCAACTCTATATCTAGGTACAGAAACCCCAGCTTCTGATAATAAACCAAAACTCAGGTGTTCATGTATTGAAAGATGTCTTTGTGATTGGGTCTGTGTTTGTACAGATCCTAAAATCTGAAGAAAAGAACATATTATTTTAAACAATTCATGGATTTGAATACTGAGAATCTGCCTCAGCATAAGGACACCAGAAATGGAATAGAAAATGAAATGAAATTGGGTTTGATGTCTTGTCAAAGCAAAACTGAGGTCATTTTGTCTGTGTGTAATGATTTCTGTCTACTGCTCTACAATTTCAAATGGTAAAGGGTTCTTTAAGTTTAATGTACACAATAATATGTACACGAACGGACCTTGGTGTTTTTTTGTTTTTTTTTGTCCTTTCTGATTCTCAATGACTTTGTGCACTTTTCTTGTCAACTTGCAGACTTTAAAGATAAAATCTGCTAGCTAATCAAATTAGATTGAAATCAATATTTTGGACAATTGGCAATCAAATCATCACCAATATCTTGATCCCTTAAAGATCCACTCTGAACCAAGATTTTAGAGATTGAATTTTCGGCCTAGCCTCGATCATCATTACTAAAGTTGGTACGATAAAAAACATAGTCTTGATTATCCATTTCATGATTAAATCATGAATGAAAATTGAGCAGCAAATCTGATCGTAATCCCGTAAATATCGCAGGCTAGCATTTACATCGAGAGATGATCATGGTTTGGATAAGTTAATTAATGTCTAATTAATAATTTAGATAACATTTCAGGCCCAAAGAAAGACCTGTAATAGGCAGATTTAGCTCTTGCATAATGTATGTTTAATATTTTTAAAAAACTATGTTGTTTTTCAAGAAGTTTATTACATGTTATTGCAAAATGTTTTATTCTACATGTATGTGCAGGTTAGTGCTTAGACTTATGATTATTAGCTAAAGGTGACTTAACATTATTTTGAATATGTTTACACATACATGTATACACTATAATCGTAGCCTAAATTTGTTTACAAATATAGTCTGATATAGTGAAGTTTATCAGGTTACGTTACTCAAAGAAAAACTGAGTACAGTACCCTAAAAGAATAATGCAGTTGCTGTCAACGATTATTTCAAACGGTCTAATACTTTGAGCTGTTTGAAGCTTCGCTCATATTTCAGACCTAGAAATTGACACAAATGGGTTGCAACTTGCAATACATTTAATAATAGTATTTATTGTGCATGCTCTACAGATAAGAAATAAAGAATATGGCTTCACCGTTTGACACGACTTGTGGAATATGTCTAGCCTTGTTCTTCAAGTCCCTTGTTACAAATGGCGTTGAAACGCATTATGGTACAAATGGCAAAATGTTTATTTTGTTTTAAATATTGGATATCAGAAGCCCACCTTTTCCCGGTAAGATCACAACATCAATGTTGATTTAAATTGACAAATAATTTGTGTTTTCAATGTCAAAGACTTTGGAAGATATTGAGTTAGAGACTTGGCTACTTTAACAAGGTTTCTATTTTATCTTGGTTTTCTACTTGTTTTGGAAATCCAGTGAAAACAGGGTCTAACCATATAAAAAGCTGTGTTAGGATTTTCATACTAATATTACTAAATTCAGCCGTTGTTTTCTATAAAAACAACCTTTATAGCCGATAAAAATGTATATGGTACCCAATAATAATGGTTAATCCTGGAAGGAACCATGGATGCGAGTAATAGGGAGGGAGGTACATAGTACATGAATCTTGAGAATAAATTAAGTGGCAAATATTGAAATAATTAATAGAAAAATGGAAATGCTGATAGGGCAATTTTTTTTTTTTAGTTTTTTTTTTTAAATTTATACACGCATAAATAATGACATTATGCTAACAAAAGATTAATAAGCAAATTTTTCGAAACACAAACTAAATTAGATATATGTTGAATGTTCAGTAACGAAGGAGGACTGCCTTGTTGTTTACCAAACTTTAACCCAAGAACACGGGAAAGTCAAACAGTCCAGTCAAGTTCAGCTAATTCTCAGGCATATAGTTCAGAACTACCCAGAAGTAGAGCTCTGAAATTTCATAACCTGCAAGAAATAAACAAATCTGAGAGATTGCAATGAAAACATAAAAACATCTCACTCTAGAAGCGTGTTGAAAGGCTAATTTCTCGGCCGTTCGACCACTTCGAAATATGACGGACGCCATTTTTGTAGTCTGCTAGTTTCCGGTAAAATGGAGTTATCACCCTTGAGTTGATGAATTATTTTAAAAATAATATAAAATAGATAGATTAGCCTATTATAGATAGGATGTTGAATGTTCAGTAACGAATATAAGGATGGTGTCCATTAGATTTAAATTAATTTTAAAGGGCTTCCTACCCACAGCCACAGAAGAAAAAAAACCCCAAAAAAACCAACACCAACTGCCTAAAAAAACCAACAAAACAAAGTTTTCATGTTTAATTGGGAAAATATCTAATTTTTAACGGCCTAATCCTGGCTAAACTGTATTCAGATTACGTTTAACAAAAAAGTGTCTATAGTATTAACTATAATGTAAACTAATTATTCGTGTAGTTTAATCGCATTGTGTGCTTAATAAATTAGTTAGCCATGATAATCCTCGCAACGAAGTGCGTTAAAGAATTGCGTTTTTAAAGAGTTATTCATCTTATTATTCAATCTTCTTTCATTGCGATTAGGTTTCGTCAACGCTATGACGTCATCTATGTGTAGACGTCAACGTGATACGCTGATACGGTCGTCTGTTCTTTGTGTAGGCCTATTTATTTTTAAGCACAAGCACAATCTATACAGGCCAAAATCTATCACAATGTCAACCACGGAAAACAATTTTCGAGTTGAATCACTTCTTCATAGTTTGAAAGAAGTGCAGAATGGTATGATATGAACATAATTTGATTTCAACCACATGTCGTAGGCCTACTACTCCGTAAACCGTTACTCGTAGGCCTACTAGTACTTGTACTACTCCTACTACTACTAGATACGGTAGCCTAGGCCTAGATAAGAATAAAAACAATGACCATCTTTCAGTCTCACCATTATAGGCCTATCTTAGTCTTAACGTTTTTAGCTGTAGCTAGTCGTATACTCACTGCCTCACAATGCTTGATAATAAATAACAACGACGTTATCTTCAACTAAGTTCAAGAGTTCCATCAACATCAACCGATTGCTTTGACTCAAAGAATCCTATTTACAGTTTATATAGGATTCAAAATAACAAACAAAATAATTTGAATAGATTGCGTCGAGTGTCATCTCGCCGGATAAGGATAGGGTCAGGAATGATAAAATTAATCGTTGACATGACAAGTTTCAGTTTGTCATAACTCCTACTGCTGAAATGCCAAGCCCGATGATTCTTTTACGTGCACATTACGACTACAGTACGAGAGACCTCGGTTTTTGGTCCCATGCGAACGTCCCACACCACCGACAAGAGAGGAACCACGCTGGAAAATCCCGATCAACTATGTCGGCCAACACTGGGATCGATCGAGCACGGGACCCACCTCACGGATCATCAATATATTAGGCCCACCACAGAATCGCTTGACTGCGTAACCACTAGGCTTACGGCACTCTACCTCTGGCACAATTCGTTAGCATCGCCAATACAAATACAAGCCTTACAAATTAATTCAAAACGTTACCTCATATTCGATGAACTGACAATTCACCGCTACGACATGTTGCTATCAAACGAACGACGAAAGACTATTTGCAGTGTCTGCGTCTCTAATTCTACTGCCCGACATCAGAAATTTCACAATGAATAACAAGCCATCTTGTAGGTACCGTTCTATGTAATTGCTATATATTATAATGTGATTTATAAAGCGCAACCAATTCAGATTACAGAAAAATTTAAAACAGACATTATGGTACACAGCTCATGTTTTTTTTTTTAGAAAAATGTTGCATGGAACGTAAGTTGACTGAACAGAGAAATAAACGAAGGAATATGGAGCGAGAGTTTGAAACTGGTAATTTTTGTTCTTGAATACGAGAGAGAGAAATGGGGTTTTACGTCCACTCGACACAAACTAGATCATTTCGGGGCAAATGTGGTTCAATTTTATTTCACTTATTCGCTTGCGCGTAGCGGTGTAATACTGGGAGGAAACCTGGGGAGTCCCAGATAAAATCGACGAGGTTGGACAGGTGACCCTCACCCTACACCTCGTCACGTATACAAACGGGGAATCGAAACCACACAAGTTGACTCAATGACAGACCTTGTCATCTTACGCGCACACATTAAGCCATTCCATCATCCAACCCATTTGAAATGGATAAGAGAACACTTGTCGAAATGTCGCACTTGTGTACAAACCAGTGATTGTTTTCCATGTAAACCATAAACCAGCGATTATTTGTTATTTAAATGTTTATTTTTGTGCATTTCAGTGAATATGAAGTTGGTACAAGTGACAGATATACACCACAAAATGATGGGTAAACTTTGAATTTATAGCCCGGCAAAAAGAAATGAAATGAAACGAATGGGTTGGTTTAACGTCCTACCCTTCTGCACAAACCGGGATATTGAAAACGGACCTACTTTTCTTCGAATTACAACTGTACCGTCCTAACAACTATGACAACTGTTTTTTGCCAGCCCCCCCCCCCCCGTCCTGCACCACTGATATGGGGAAGCATTCTGAAAAATCATGGGTAACTTTCTCAACCAACATCGGGATACAACCCATACCCCCGCCTGCCTGGTTAGTGAACCGGCGCCTTACTAAACCACCGTGGATCTTAAAATGAAAAGGTGGGTATCATGTAGTTGAGGGATCCATTTAACACAAGCTATGTCATTAGTGGAATGGTATATTATGTTTATTTCAGTGGTGTGACCGGAGATGCCGGAGGAAAGCAATTATGGGGACATCCACATACCGGCACTTGCTTCTATGACAAATCATACGTAATGTACAGTCAGTGTTAGTTGAAATAATTTTGTGTCGAATTGATCAGATTGTTAAATTTTTTTCTAGAAACCATGAAAATTGCCCAGTTAAAAGTTGCAAAGACACAAGCACAAGCCGATAGGTAATATATCCAAATAACATACTACGGTACAAATTTTTTTTTTTTTACCTTTCTTTCACTAGTCTATAGGAGTAGCTCATTGAGTTACGTTTAATTACTGGGTATAGGGACCCATATTATTATTATATTGTTATATCTCAGGAAAGATTTTTTCTCTGCAAGGCAACAAAAACTTCGTGCTTCATTAAATTTCGTTGCATATTATTTCTATAGAACAGCGTGATGCTTCTAATGAACAGGATAAATACATTTATAGACACAGTACGTTTATTAAGCCTGTTATATATAGAATGGCAAGAGTAGTTCAACCTGCAAAATGAAAGTGGCGTGACGGTTCGAGTTGGTGAGTGGTATGGTGCCTGCACGCTACTTGAAAACTACAAATTGTGGATGTTTTAAAATAATCTTCCCGAAATTGTATCAACTATCGAATTGATCCGATGACTATAACATATATTATAAAATAGATTCATATTTTGTAGTTAAGAGATCTTTAAGATTTATATCTTGTAGTTTAGAGATATAAAAAAATATCTTTAAGCGAGATATTATATCTTTTAGATTTATATTTTGTAATATAGAGATTAGAGATATTTTAGAGATATTATTAAATTGATCATAAAGATTATATATTCTATTTTGTAGTTTATAGATATTATAAAATGGATTTTTAAGATTTATATTTTGTATTTTAGATATGTTATAAAATAGATCTTTAGGTTTATGTATTATATTTTGTAGTTTAGAAGAAGGAAATGAGAAAAGACGGGGAAAGATCGCCGACTTGAACAGACGAATTGAACGAGAAAAGGAGAAACAGAATGCAGAAGTGTAGGTCCTATAATAACCATTCTACAACTTTTAAAAAAAAAGTTACCAAGACAGTAATGTTCTCAAAAGATGCAACATATTTAATTTCCAAACTCAGTTGCCATTTAAATTACAGGGTAGTGAAATGAAATGGGGTTTAACGTTCTACTTTCCTGCACCAACCAGGATAATGAAGACGGACATACTATGTCATACAGTGTACTTTGAGGAACTTTCTCAGTCAACGCCGGGTGAGCCAGTGCCTCACTGGGCCATCGGAACAACTAAGCAAAATGCATGACAAGTAGGAACATAAATGTGATTGGCCACAAGTAAAATGTCAGGATATTTTTGTAAAAATGTCAGGAGAATTAAGGTCAAAAGAGGGAGACTTTATCACGCGTTAGAATTACCCACCCACCATGAATAAAAGACAAATTAATTTACATATTTGATATATTTTAATATCATTTGATTGTTATAATTACAAAAACTTAACAAAACACATGAAAACACACAATAAAGCACTTGTCATACTCATGTCTCTATATTCATTTTCAAATATTTACTGAAAGCACACTTCTTACATATACAAACACACTTCTTACATAAACAAACACACTATTTGTCCTCCATCAATCTGTCTTTATAACTTTGGCAACATCTTGACACTTGTTTTAATAATAACTTTTCTGGGACAAAAGAAAAACACTCTTTTCATGCTCATCAAGGAGGAGGTGGTAAAGTTGGATACATTTCCTCTGGCATCCTGTTCAATCTTTCTTAAAATTGAAAACGACCTTTCCACTGCCTCATTACTGTTGGGTAAACTTAAAGCTAAACATAATTTAGATAATACACCATATCTTGGTTTTACTGTAGGAACCCTACTTGAACATGCCCAATGGTTCTTCTTGATACACGCAGGGATTCGAATATTGAAATTCCCAATAGTCCTTTTCGGTTTACGCCGGGATTCGAATATTCGAATTCCCAACGGTTCTTCTCGATTCACGCCGGGTTTCGAATCCCGGGGATTGAAACAAGAAAGTCTGCGCATATAACTCACTGGCTCCCAGTGGAGGCCCGTGTAAAATTTAAAATCCCCTCAGTCACTTATCAGTGTTTTCACCAAACCGCACTAAGTTACCTACCGGAACTTGTTTCATAATATCATCCTGGTCGAACATTACGATCGGCTAACCAAAACTTTGTTTGTGTCCCAAAAGTTAAATTAAGATTATTTGGACAGCGATCTTTCCAGTATAACTCAGCAACATTTTGAAATAAACTACCATCAGAAGTTAACGATGCACCAACCTAACTGCAATTCAAGAGTTTATTAAAAACACACCTGTTTATAGAATATTATGAGACATAAAACTGTTATAGCACATAAACCATAATGTTTTTAGACTTTTTGTAGCGCTATGGGCATATACTCATTGTATGGAGTTTAACGCTTTAGAAGTGCACTATTATTATTATTATTGCCGAGAGACCTGTACCCTACCACTCGCTTTTTAGAGAACAATTGATTTTACTGCTGCTTGGATGACATAACTTGTGATGGGTGCAGGTTTCTATGGTTCCAAATTTTCACACTGAATTATTGAATTTCTGTTTTTTACAGAGCAAAATTTGAGGAGGAGTTGTCTGAACTTGCTTCTAAATTAATAACTGCAAGAAACTGCCATGTAAATATTTCTATTATTTTTCCAGACTTTGATAATAAATATTGATATAAATGATGGGAATGATATAAAAATTAAATAGGGTGTAACCTCTTCGCTTTTCATCACCAACCGGGAAAATGAAGATGGACGTACACGGGACCTTTTTTTTGGTATATTGTCCGAACCAATAGACATCGTTCCTTGTCAAGCCCTCTGTCCTGCACAACTGATAAGGGTAAATCCCACTGGAATATCCCGAGAAATATTTTCGGTCATCACCCGGACTTTACAGGGCCTTACACGTTGAGCTACAGTGGCCCCCGAAGATGCCGTAGACAAGTGCGGTGGTTATTTTTATCCCATTCTGTTCCCACATTATAATTATTTGAATATGTATTATACTTTTTTTTTAAAACAAAATCTTAGAAAGATGATCATTTGGAAGAAACATTGAAAAACCTTGAATCCGAGAAGCGACAACTGGGGAAACATAGTAAGTAGATAATTATGTACCGTGTTTTAAAAACATATTCTAGATAGATAATGTTAGTCTGCCAAGTAAAAGTGTGTCTCGTACCGTCTACGCCATTTGAATAATATATAGGTGATCTTCTAGCAAACAGGGGGAGAGATGGGGTTTAACGTCCACTCGACACAAACTAGATCATTTCGGAACTAACATATGGTTCAATTACATTTCAGTAATTCGCTTGCATGTAGGGATCTTTAGCAGTGGGAGGAAGCAGAGGGATCCGAATGAAACCCACGAGTTTGGACAGGCGACCCTACTCATTGTCACGTACATTCGGGGAATCGAAACCACGGCACTTGACGCAATGACAGGCCTTATGATTTAACCCGCACGCGTTTAACCATTGTCATTTTGTATAATTTTGTTCCTTCAGAGAGTTTGTTGAAGAGTGAAGTTGATAAGCTTGCACAGACTCTGGAATCCATTACGTTACAGCAGCACCTTGGAGTAGATTATCCAGACATAAATGAAGAAACACGTCGACAAATCTGGTGTGTGATCTTGTTGAATGAATGAAATGAGGTTTAACGTCCAAATGTTGTGCTCTTATCGCGCAAATGAAGACGGGCATGCACCACACGTCGTGCTGTATGCTATGAGGGAAATGTTGCCAGCACAGCAATTGAATTCAAACTGTCATAGGTTCATTTATGTACACGCAATGGTGTATTCGGGATCTGGGTTTTCCTGCTCCATTAGGAATGAGATTACTGTCTGTGTCAGTCTGTTCCCTGACATTTCTGTAACGCTCACCGTTTGGAGTTGCGGTTAATGGACATTTGCCTATTGGTAAAAATGCAAAATGATGACGGAAACGTTTAAAAAATGGCCGACAAAAGAATCAGCCGTCCAAAAGGGCACTTTACCCACCACTTTCAGATTTCCTGTCTCTGCATTGTATTATTATACAGTGTAGTTATCGAGGAAGGACTGTGGTACACGATTAACGTTTCGATTTTCCTCGATAACATATACATAATGACATGATATTATAGAGATGAAAAATACAGAAATAGTGGATTATATATACATAACCAAAGTTATGAATACATGAATCCGTGATAGTAGCTTAGACTATACATGATTGAAAAGGGAATCTTTATAGGGTATTCACACGGTAATAACTCGGTGTACTAGCTGCAGTCGTGTGATAAACGTAGTTAAAGTCTAGCTCCAAACCCGCCGTGGGGAAAATTTTGTATGTGCAGGACCAAAAGTCTCGGTTAATCTGCGATCTTCTACGGTGCCGAACACACGCATGTGACGCGTAAGATTCACGCACGGGTTTACTAAAATCGCCCCGTAGACTGTCTGTAGTCGCACGTATGGCGAGTTGGGAGCTATAGACTTTACGTAGCATGATTAATTATATGCCACGTGTTCATTATATTTTTTTGTAATTGCAGGCAACTATTTAAGGAGGAACACTGTGAAAGTAAAGATTACTTGAATAAATTGAGTAATGAGGTTGACGATATTCAGACACAATTACATCTTTATCAACAGTAGATTCGTCATTATCAGTTTGTTTTACCTTAAAGTCCTGATGCGCCATTTTAAGGAGTAGGAATCGCTTGAAAAGATGAATCTCTACTAGGATATCTGTCCAAGGTGGTTCAATTCCGTTCAGTATTTACAAATATATGTGGAATTGAAATTTAATCGATCTATGCTACTCGCCATGAAATAAGCCAACCGCCATTTTGATGTCGGCTATCATTTACATGTAGTGATAGGCTTGTTTGAAATCGAATTGAATTCAAGCCGATAGGATAACTAGCGTCAGTATTTTGATTTTGTTTTTTTAATTAAATGTTAAATAATTATTAATATTATGGATTTGATATTTTAGCAACCAATGCCATGACGCATCCGGATTATATAATTTACTCTGCCCAGTCATGTCTTAGTTTGGTCATTATGAAGAACATCCAAACACGAAAGGATGTCCGTGTCTTGTGTCTATAATAATACCTAGATGATATTATGAAAGACAGTGTCGATTGAAATCCCACTTCTAGTATCAATGAGCAAATGTGGTCACCGGCGATGGTTGAATCCTCGAAAATACATCCATCCATATTAGTATCACCAACGGTTCGGGGCTATTCTGCGTTCGAATAATGCACCCAGCATATAAATTTCATTGGGTAAAAGTTTCATAATGAAATATTACATATGTATCACCTGGGTGCATTATTCGAACACATAATAGCCCCGAACCGTGGGTGATATTAGAATAAATAGTTAAATAGTCGGCCATGAACTTGGATATGTAGAATGTGTTTTGGACTATCTTGCTCTAAAAGTGTTCAATTATGCTATAAAAACCAGAATTTTGTGTTAGATTAAATTATAAAGTTTTGATTTATGTGTATTGGTTTATTTAATCGATGTAGGATTGATTTCGTGTTAATAAATACTGTTGGTTTTATCTTGTATCATTAATTGTCCCCCGCCTTTCGAAGAAATTAGGGGACTATTAAAATGGGTTCGTCCATCTGTCTGTCTGTCTGTCCGTCCGTCTGTCTGTCCGTCACACTTTTTGGGACACAATAACTCTCCTTCTAATTGACCTAGAATCTTCAAACTTGTTGTAGGTGTTTATTAGGTCAATGCCTTGATGGAGTTCGAAGATGAGCATTTTCTGCTTAGGGTAAGCAGAGTTAAGCAATTTGATTGGTTGATGCTTTGGGACACGATAACTTTAGTTCTAATTAAGCGAGAGTGATGAAACTTGGTGTATAGTTTCATTACATCAATACCATGACTAAGTTCGATAATGAGCATTTTCTGCTCAGGGTAAGCAGAGCGATAAGCAATTTGATTGGCCGAGACTTTGGAACACGATAACTTTAGTTCTAATAAAGTGAGAGTGATGAAACTTGGTGTATAGTTTCATTACATCAATACCTTGACTAAGTTTGATGATGAGAATTGTCTGCTTAGGCTAAGGAGCAATAAGCATTTTGATTGGTCAAGACTTGATGTTAAACTTGATGTAGATGTTCGTCTTGACTTAGTTCAATGATTAACATATCGAGCTAAAGCTAAGCAGAGATAAGCAATTTCCTTGGTCGATGCTTTGGGACAAGATAACTTTGATTCTATCTGATAGAGAGTGATGAAACTTAGTGTATAGTTGGTAATCAGTTTGATTGCTCGATACTTTTGATACTTTTGAAAAAATAGATGTGCGATTAATTAATGTGTCATCTATTTATTTGGGGATTTCGGCGGGGGACATCAGCATCACTGTTGGCTTGTTTACATAATATATTTGAAAAGTTCAGAGGTATAAAATATTAAATTACCTATTTAATTCGACTGAAACCTAATTAAATGTTCAATAATTAATTTGACTACATTTTAACGTGGATTAAAATGTGATATTATCCGAAAAATACAAATGACGTACATACGAATTCAGCCCTGTCTTCTGGGAGACGATTTAATGCATATGAACCTGTTGATTTAACTGACATTTTTTGTGATCTGTCATCCGTGGTCTTTTTATGCACACTCTTTAGACCATTTGAACCACCCAACATAATTATACAGAGCATGTTGTAACACCATTTTGCCACACAAAACCATGCACATACAGTTTAAATGAAATGGGGTTTAACATCCTACTGTTCTCTATGAACTGGGCTATTAGGGGCATAGTGTGCTACGAGGGAAATTTTGCCCGGACAGCTGCGCTACAGCCAACTTTTTATTTCCATCTGTCAAGGGTTCTTTTACTGTACACCAAAGCAAAGGGTTTTCATTCCATCTGAGCCCAGTTTAAAGAACAAAAAATATCTTTAGCTTCAATAAATAATTTTATTAATTTATCTGGTCTTTATAATCACAGTAATGCTGTTAAATTAATACTACATGTATATACAAATTATAATATCTTAAATTATGATGAAACCATGGTAACAGCTTTTGATATCTCCCTGGTCACAATATTTTCATATATCTCTTGTTTCTTTGATATGTGCAAATGCTATTTAAAAATAACCTGTATTCTAATTACCACATTACCAAATAGATCTTTTCATATCTCCCTGGCAAAAATCTTGTTTCTATGGATATGTGTAATGCTATTTAACAACATCATATATTCTAACTACCACATTAGGGAAAAGTTCTCATCATACAGGTGATGTGATAATAGTATGAACAGTGAACTTTCTTTTATATCAAATAAATACAAGTTTTCTGATGGATTTTTAAAATACATTGTGATTTAAAATATATAAAACCGCTGATTAATAATATCCACAAATAAATGAGTACATATTTACACTGAATATAATATAGATAAAAACAGGTTGATGACGTGGACATTTCTGGGTTGAATTCCTTAAAATCACTAAAATATTCCAAACTGAACACTGTTCCTCTCTAAAATTAATGGCCTTCCCTTATTCATAAAAACTTAAAACTAAAATGTTTTAAGGATGTAGTCTTTTCATTGGTTAAGAATTAAAATCATGAACAGATTTTAGTTTTAAGCCAATCAAAAGGCTTAATACATGTACTTAACATTTAAGTTTTCATGAACAAGACTCCAGATTATAACTCACATAAAATGTCTTGTGCAAAATTAACTGAGAAGTATTTCGTCTCCACAAACAAATTATGTTTTAAAAGATGTTTGTACATGTACAAGTTATGAGTATTACGCATAAATTATCTTGTATAATTAATCAAATATTTTGTGACAAATGCTAAAATTCATTGTATAGTTGATTCTATGAGTAAATATTGATTGAAAATTCTATTTTAAATAACATGTTCCCTTTAGTCAAACATTCCAACATAAGACATTAATCCTAAGCTAAAACCAGTTTGTTCCCTTCAAAACTTTTAAAACTAAACTACAGACATATTGATTTAAAAAGGCTTTAATTCAGTGATCCTTTTAATAGGTAGATTATAGAGCTATTTTAATTTCTATTTACATGTAATTATGCTCTTTGTCATCTCATTTTATTATGTAAATGTAATATTGTCTTGTTTATATCTTTGTAAAGTGCACATGAGCACATTATATTGCAGTTGTTCACTATAGACATGTGCAATAATAATCATAATAAGTTAACAAAAAGAGACATTTTATTTTATTTCTGTATTCAATCAAATCAGATTTCAAACTACTTCAACTGAAATTCAGATGGTTTGGACTATTTTAAAATATTTTCTAGGAACACAACCCAGAAATGATGATTTCGATTTAAAAAAAAAATCACATAATGCTGATTATAAAATAATTTATTTGAGTTTAGTCAATATTTCCAAATATATCTTTTAAGATAGCCATGTAATTAACAGAATTAATCTGGTTTTTCGGCTGCGTTCCCGACCATCCTTCATCTTGTGTGGCCGTGTATTGTATGGGAGCTGCTGGGTTATCTTTCCAGTTGATTAATTTTATAAATTGTGAATATACAATGTTGCCGCTACCATCACCAGGTGCTCTGAAATGACAAAAATAATTTTAATTTAAAAAAAAAAACAAAACACATCTACCATGACATACAAGGGAATATTTCACTTAAAGTCTTAAAAACATTTTGTTGAGAGATGGTGTAGAAAAAGGATTCCTTACATAACTTTAGTGCAAATACTAGATTTCGAAGCAGAATTAAGTGAAATGAAACAGGAATTAACATTCGATTTTTCTACACCAACTGGACTAACAAAGACAGGCATACACCATACAGTGTTGCTATGAGGGACGTTTTGCTTAAACCAGTGTTTTACTCCTGTAAATAACACGCATGGGACAAAAGTGTGTTATATGCGGGTTTTTACGGTAAATGACTTACATCGTTAAAACTGCTCTAAGCATATCATCTGGTAGAGGAACGTGATGAGCGTGGAAAACGGAACGTATAACCTCAGCATTTACTTGACCACTCCTGAAACAAAATATATAAGGCCATATAAAAACAAATATTCTGGATCACAAATACCATCGCTAATGTAGACGGCATACATACGCCATGTAGCATAACCATCCATGGACAATCACAAGGAGCATTCTCGGCCAACACAGGGATCGAACCCAGAACCCCAAGTTAGCTTGCAGCATCTTACTCACTGGACCACTATGGCTCGTGATTGATTACCCCAAGCTTATATTTTTTGCAAAAAGGGAGGTAACTATTAAACGTTTCTGGTTGAATTTGGACGTGTCCCAATTTTCATACGAGCTCTGTATGCTAATCCTAACAATAAACAATTCTATGATCATGTCCTGTGTCTTTCCAGTTCTATTACTAAATGCCATGGAAACAACTTATCTGTTACACATGTGTGTCTAACCCCTACGCGCAAGTGAAATATTGAAAGTCTCGAAATGAACTATTTTGTGTCGAATGGACATTATACCCCATTTCTCTATCGTGCATGATAAATTGGCATGAAAAATCTTGAATATTCTAGATTCGAACCCATAAAAACATAGGACAACCATGGCACTGAAAAGATTTTTACAATATAAAATAAAGCAGATATTAAAAAGAAATAACATACTTGTCTTTGTCTTCATACTGTAGAGCATCTAACAATTTTGCAAAATCTTCATAATTTCTCTTTCGTAACTGCTCTTGAGCGACTACCATAAGTTTAGCAGCATCAATAGAGTTGTCTCCACTTCTGTCACTATAGTAACGAGCGATAGTCATTATCTCTTGTTCTGTGAGATTTCCATCAATTTGTAGCATGAGACTGTGGAATTGTTCGTAATTTATCGCCCCGGCTCCATGAGGATCATTTCTGGCAAAGAAAGCTCGGACATCTTCCATGCTGTTTCCGATCTTATTTTTGATTTTCTGCACAATGTTGTTGATATTTGCTAATGGGAACTGTGAATAAAATTAAAACATTAGAAATAAAATAGGGTATAAAATCCTCCTTTCCTGCACCACCAGGGCAAATCACTTAAATGAAATGGGGGCTATCGTCTCCCTTTTCCACACCAATCAGCCAGTGTGCTATGAGCAAATTTTGACCGACACCATGCTGTCAATGGTTTACATAGGGCCTTGCCTTATCAACTCACGACAGGATGGTTTTCCTTATCAGACTCTCTGTCCTGCATAACTTGCAATGGGAAACCAGGCTGAATAATCTTAAGGAACATTTTCGGTCAACACCAGGACCAAACCATAGATCACTTAGTTAGCAAGCACCATTATTACTGAGTCACCATGGCTACCCTTTAAGACAGATGTTACTGAGCATTAAATTGATGTTTCAGTTCAGTAGAATTAAAGAAATGCTCAAATGCCCAATAACTACTAACTATTAATCAAAAAATGCTGTTATGCATGATCTGTCTGATGAAGACCTTATGATATACAGTTCACTAGTTAGATGTATTATTCGACCGCTCACCACTCAAACCTCAATATATACACTACAACTTGTGTAGTTGTGTTGTTTTAGCAGGAGTTTCTGTATTTAATGTTTAGTTTCAACCCATTGTTGGAAAACTGTTCAAATCTGTTGAGAATTATAGAAAACCATTGGGTTTCTACTGTTGTGTAGTTTAAAGGGTCTGTGTATATAGGATAATAAGTGTTGGGTTTATAACTGTTTAGTTTCTAGAGCACTGTTGACTAATTATTCTGTCAATTACTCAACACCATTTAAGTAAACCTAAACAGTTATAAACAAAACAATGGCTTAAAACTATACAGAAACTCCTGCTAAAACAACACAACTAAATGATACCCGGGTTGTAGTATATAATATATATTGCATGATAAATTGTGCCTGACAAAGTCTGTGATGGTTGCCTATCACCAGACTTGTGATAATTTAAAGTTGACAAAAGCCTGTGACTGGTGCTTTTCTCCTATGATCTAACTCACCTCCGCAGAGTGTTCCTCCATATACCGGAAGGCATACTCATCAGCATCAATCAAAATAAACTTATGTCCTGAGAAATCAACGCTACTACCGACGTACAAGTCTTGTGCACTAAAATAATCAGACAATTTTGTGCTGTATAAGGGTTGACCTGGTTTCTTTATTCGACCTCGTTCCAAAAATTTACCTCCAATTATACCTGGTGTAATAAAGAAAAAAAAATAATTAAAATATGAAATGGAATGGGGTTCAACGTCCTACTGTTTTGCTCTGAATAGGCAAATGAAGACGGGCAAACCCATACAGTGTGCTATGCCTACCAAAGCTACTTATCAAATCTTAGCTGAACTTCAAAAATATTTAAAGAGAAATATCAAACTTTGAATTAAAATTTACCTGAGTTTCTAACAGGGGGTTCAAAAACTAAGATTGTGTCATCACACAAGAAATAAGAAATGATGAATCGTCGTTCCATATCGATTGGTTTCGTGGTGTTCAGTTTGGCGAGGAATCGTAAAACGTTGCTCTCTAGACCATGACGATCTTTCTCCATAAATTTGATGAAGTCACGCTTCGGTGGTTTTGGTAATAATCCCATACAGGAACACAGAGAATCTTCTTCGCTACCGAAACCGTTGTAGGGGGGATATTGACGATCTAATTTATAGCCTGCATTCTGTTTGTAGGTGATTGGTGTAAATTGTTCTATAAAAGGACAAAATCAAAAATAATTTAAATCAACTAGGAAATTTGACAAGCCTGGAAACAATCCACTCATCACTGACAATGCCAGACACAAATTGGGGTTTTGTCAGGTACAAATCCTATGGTGGTTCCAGTCATTTATGCTATCTGTCACTGGTTCAAATTCTCTGGTACCCGTCAATTTGACAAGTACAGATATGTTGTCTCTATGTTTTTATTGATATTTCTTATATACGTCCTACCAACTTCATCTATGCCTGACATTTTGTCAGATACAACAAAAACCATTAATTTCTGGCTGATTTGAACAAAGTGAACATATGGTAATTGTTTGCAGGTACATGACATTTAAAAATTGTGAACAACTAGATGTAATTAGAGGGCTATAAATTGTAAAATGTATAATGTTCGGGTAGAAGTCCAAGAGGTGTATTAGTCTATGAATAAATAACATACACCAATAAATACAACATTAGGGGCCTAATTCAGAAAAATTTAAACTATAATATTTTAAGGATACAAGCATTTCATTGTGGGGCCTGGCTGATGACTAAATTCCTAGTACAAATTTAAGCTCTTCGCCAACAAACGAAATTAATTTTAAAATATCTTTAAGTTTTAGTGAATAAAGCCCCTGAGCAGATTTCAAAACTCTTTCCAATCTAAAAACAAGACTTACCAATTCCAAATTTGGATTTATAATATTCTTTAGTAAATTCATCACAATCACAGATGATAAATTTCCTTCCCAAGACATTGATCACTGTACCAATAGTTAAATCAGAATCTTTATAAAACTCGGTATGAATGGCTCCAGTCTGTTCAGGTAGAAATAAATAAATAAAATGTTGGCAATCATTTAAAAAAACATGGCTACCTGTATATTAAAATGTTGGTAACCTTTGGAACAAATTGGATATATTATGTTTAGTTTACTGGAGTTAATCATATTTTAAAAAGAAAAAAGCTGGTATACAGTCTTGATGAACTAATAATTATTTAAACTGATCCATTTATTAATTTCTTTTGAATTTTGGCAGCTCATTAACTATTTACTTTTTTAATAATAAAACTAGTTTGCTCCAAACAGATTGTCATCCCAAAAAATCAACATGAAAACCAAAGAAATCAACCATTTCATTTTTGTTCCGAATCAAAGATGTCAAGAGATTTTACGCACAAGAACCATAAAAATGAATCAAATTGTCAAAGCTGCTCACCTTTAAACTATCAAGGATATATCGACCTCCGTGGCCCATCGGACCGAAAACATTGAGAACTGTCCTATCGGTTTTAACACCTGGCTGTTGGACGGATTCAACATCTTTTGGCATTTTTCCTCTTCTCAAGAAAACGGCAACATTATCACGGCCAGAATTTGGTGGGATAACTTCCCGCATTTCCATTGTGTCGTCTGCTAAGAAGTAATGTAGAATCATCTCCCTTGGATCACCAAACATACTATCAGAGTCATCCCAATAACAGTAGAATCGTAAAACATGGCGGTCGTGATCCAAGAACTGTTTTAAAGTATCGTGTTTCTCATAGGGTCTTAATGGCTGCATACTACCATCCATCTGGAAAAAATAGATATTATTAAAATTAATAATTTGATAGTTTAAAGTCTCTGATGGTCATTTAAGTAATTGATAATATCCGATTGAATACCAGGAGATTATCTATTGTTGACATTTCAATTCTAGGAGTTTAATACTACTGTTGATTGCAGTTATCTACGAGAGACATTTCGTTCAGACAGCAGTCATGGTTTCTTTTATGTGCATGTCAGACCTCGGTTTATTACCCCATCTGAATGACTAGACACGGTTCATTGCTAGTACCCTAGACCTCCACCACTGGCAAGGAGAAACCATGGTGAAAGGTCCTGAGGATTTTTCCCAGCCATCACTGATCGAACTCTGAACCTCCCTGATCCACCATGACTGTTATATTAGCATAAAACTATCAGTCAGATTCTGACAACATTATTATGTCATCAGCAACAATGACAAGTCTGCAAAACAACAATGTGCATTAAAAGTATAGTGGCCGAAAAAACGAGGTCCTGTGTACACATTGACGTGCATGTAAAATTGGGATAAGAGCAGGGCTGTCGGTAATTTTTCACAGTTGATTAGCAGCAATGCTAATCAAAAATTCCAATTTTGCCAAATTTGATTAGCAAATTTAAAAATTGATTAGCAGTTTTTCAGTTTCAATGTAAAACACCTAAATACCAAGATATTACTTTAATTCATAACAAATATTATTAGATTCCATTCTGACTATTCTTAGATTTTTTTAGCACTGCCACAAGTACTTGTGACAGTTTGTAAATGTGATGTAGACATTTAGTTAGGTCTTATGTCTGAAGCCAATTCTTGACAGTGACTTCCGAAGCCCCACTCATTTTAATTGTTATTTTTTTTGTTACGTTAGAAATCTTCGTTAGAAAACAATCTTGTCTGCTTTTTATCGTGTATTACTATTTTTGTTCAATCGGGCGCACCTCGATTAACTATACACACGCGATATAAACAATAATATTTTACTGGAATTTTTACTTTGATTTATCATTTTACAATACGTGTATTTATTTTTTTATATTTTATTTACAATACGTGGGGGATACACTGGAGTTATTTATTTCAAATTGAATATGATATAATTACTTGATGTCTCGCAACGTGAGTGCGACTACTTGATTCCCTATTTCCGGTTTAATAGTCCCTATTCATAGTTATGTCCCTGTGTTATATAGTATTGTGTCTGGGTAGTTCGAGAAGAAAATGTCACACGGAGAATTCAGTTTTGTTTATAAAATTTTATTCAACATTTTATACACGTTGAAAGTGTTGAGTAAGCCTTCTAGTCTTCAAAATGTGGATTATTCTTGTGACAATATCCACAATGACAGGCACATTAATGATTCGCAGTAACTGCGAATCAAAAACGTCAGATTTTAATTTTTGGTTAGCAACGGCCGAAATATGTATCGCAAATTGCGCTGCGATACTGGTTGTCGGCAGCCCTGGATAAGAGGACGCCAATCGTAGCATTGCTGTCCGGGCAAATTTTCTTCATAGCACACTGTACGACGTATCTCCGTCTTCATTAGTCCAGTCGGAGCAGAACAGTAGGATGTTAAACCCGATTTTATTTTGCATTAAAAGTCAATTTTTACACTTTAGGACAATTTTCAAAATGTATTGTTTTATACTTACACCTTTTCTATATTCACCATAAGGATCGACAGGTATGTCTGCAGGTTGCGAGATCTTAATACCAAGTTTCCGCAGAAAGTTATACGTGAAATTATCACAATTTGTGATTTTAAATATTTTAGAATAAAGATTGATTTCATTATCAATGTTAAAATCTTCCACCGTATAAAACTGATCACTGTTGGGTTTGTTTATTCTGTGTCTTCGGATTAAAGTTCCTGAAAGAAAAGCAAAAAGTTAAAAATGAAATTGGGTTTAATTTAAAAACAGGCATTATTTAAGAGCTAAATCTGCATATTGCAGGTCTTTCTTTGGTTAAATGTTATATAATTTGACATGTAATTAACACGATAAGAGCATAATCGACTATTGATGCCATCAGGTGGCTCCAATTATAAGTAGATTAGAATGGTTCAGCCATATGATTTAATTTAAAAATGAAGAAGTGAGGCTAAGACTCAAATGACCAGTATGGTGGTTTCGATCACTGCACACATCTTGTCAAAACTACAACCACTGATAACTTCGCTCAAAATAAAGCAATTTGAATGAAATTTTCAATCTATTCATTTTGCATTATCTATTTTTGAAATATTTAGAGAGCATCCAGCTCAAATCTAACATAAAGCCTATTTAATAAAATTCATACTTTTCTGCACCAACTTTCGGGGGGTAAAGTGGTCAAATGGTTAATGCTGCGCGTTGGATAAGGTCTGTCATCGAGTCAAATAGCGTGGTTTCGATTCCCTGCTTGTATGTGTCAAAAAGTAGGGTCGCCTGTCCAACCTCTGGGAGTTTCTCCAGGTTCTCCCGTTTCCTTCGAAAGCTAAAGACCCCTATGCGCAAGCAAATTATTGAAATAAAATTGAACCATATGTTAGTCCTGAAATGACCTAGTTTGTATCGAGTGAATCCCATTTCTCTCTCTCTCAAAACAGTTTATTCCAAATGACCCATTCGACTTCGAGTTAAATGAGTTAAAAGTATGGTTATCTTTTAAATATCTTCTGGCACACATAAATTTAACTAGGACTTGTGTTTTTTTAATTTGTGCATGCATTTATTTTGTAAGCTTATCTGATGTCTTGATTGAGTGTTCATGCACTAAATATTAAAAATATTACCTTGAGGTATTCCACTATTCTTGGCTCTAGGTTCGATAACTTGAATAGAATCATCTTCTAAATAAAAATAGATTTTACATTCACGTACTCGAAACTGTTCTTCACGCTTTTCAATAACTTCCTCATGGAAAAACGCATCAAAGCAGAGTACCTTTTGATCGAAAGCTACCCAGTTCGGCAGTTGTGTTTCTCCACGGGGGAAACTACTCATTCTAGGTTTGATGACCTGACCTTTGATAGGCTCCCCGCCAATCCCTGGCTTTGACTGTCCAACCAACATAGCAACATCGTTAGAATAGTCAAAATGGTGAGATTTGTGATGTTTGGTTTTTCCAAGCTAAAAAACAAAACAATGATTTTTATTTTGTATTATGATGATTAAGGTAAAAAATAGATAAAATATAATAATAATAAGCCATTATCTTGTTTTTTAATCATTACTATTCACTTGTTCATTGAATTTCCTACTTTCTGTTAGGGTTAGGATTAGGGTCAGGTATTTAAGATTAAAACCTATGCAAAAATGGGAGTCACATCAAACATGAATGTCGCCTATTCTTTACTTTAAATCATCACTGATAACAAAAACAGGAATGATGAAACAATCAAGGCTAAAAGAAATCCAAGAAGATCAGAATAACACATCTACTCATATCACTCATAGTAGTCATAGAACATAATAATATAATATGTTCAAGTCATTATTAAATACTCCTATAATGACCTATCAATTTAAACTTTGGTCATTTGTCATTTCAACAAAAGTGAGTTCATATAATATTGTTAATATAGATGGCTATTCATATTTCTGATACAATTTACAAACAACAAACGGAATTTTTCATAAATTGAGTGATAATACTAGCGATGCTAAACGCCGCTAGGAGCGCTGGCTGTACTATTTACAGACATCACAAAAAGTTGACCGAGAAAAGTATACGTCGTGTTACGCCTTGTCATGAATATTCAAAGTGTCAAACATTGACCACGTGATGTTTACCATCGAGAAAAATAGATGAACTTGCTGTCGAGTAGGATTTTGAGAAGCTGAGGTAAGATTTTCTGATATTTTTCATGAATTGAAAATTTGAAGTTGAGAGAAATTTTCGAAAAAGGCCCTCGACGCTCAAGATTTTGGTATATTTGGAAAGCCCAATTCATTAACTACTTAGTTTGACCATTTGTTAAGTCCGTATCCCCCGTAGGAATTCGTAAAATGGCTGAAATTGAACCATGTGGAATTAAAGGGAGGTAACTCGTGGTTGATCAGGGTTCAGACCATAATTAACCCCCCCCCCCCCCCACAGACTTCAGTGTAAAAAAAATGATGTTAGATTTGGACAGGGTTTTTTTATTATATTGAATGTTACTAAAGCTACCAACCAAACTTTAGCCAGACATTTCACTAACAAAGGATAAAAATTGTGAATGTTGTTGACCACCTTGGATTTTTTTTTCAGGAACTGTAGCTGAAGAAGTAAGCTACATAATATATACTCATCCAAATCCAAACATAGCCAAAGGCGATCCCTGATATTACTTGGTACAACATAAAATAGACAAATGATGATGATATATAGGCCTACTCATACAATTTGCATGAGGACTATAAAAAGGGGGGCTTGAAACTGACTGTTTCTCAGCATTCTCAAGAAAGTCCATAATTATTATAAATTTGGTATGAATCATAGAAGTTAGTTTAATTTATTGTTTGAAATCAGTGTTAGTAATCTTATTTTTGTTATTTCAATATTTGTGATAATATTTATTTTATTTTTAACATTTTCTACCTGAAAGAAGTGGCCTGATGCGTCAAATGTTTTTGTTTATTTTGAAAAATATCGCATATGAATAATGTGATTATTTTATATTGTTATTATTGTTTGTTTTTGTAAGATACATGTATTAGAAATCTTATATTTGTTGATAAATGTGATAATGGTTTCTTTTTTTTTATCATTTATTTTAAACCGGTGGGTGAACATTTTTAATTTCATATTAAAAAGTAACAGATATGAATTTTGATCTTATTGTGATTTTGTTTTTAATATTTTTATATTTTTATGACATAGATAATGTCTCGGCAAGATGTATCACCATCTGAATGATTATATTGTTTTTATTTTCATGGGATAATGTCTCAACAAGAAAGCTAGACTTCTACCACTGATATTATAATATAGTATATCGTAATGCACATGTATCACAAATTAATTTTTTTAATACTCTTTCATGTAGATTATATCTTACTTTTTATAAGCTTACCTTTTAATTTGGACTCTTTTAAGATATTCAAATGTTTTAATTATGTCTATTAATTATGTCTGTTTTTATTTGAAATTGTAGTGATGTTGATCACAAAAATATAGCTGTTATATAAATCATAGTTTAATTGTTAATTTTCATTCCTGAAACAAACAATTTCAAATTGATGTACATGGCAGCTTCTAAACAACTAAAGCAGTTGGCGTGGCAAAAGAGGCAAATCTGCCAAAAGCTTACAGGTTTATTTCTCATTTTGCCACACACTTTCATGATTTTTAAAAATATCCACAGTATACGTTAGTATAACCGGTTTATAATTGTTGTATGACTGTGAATGGCCAGTGGTCAATGGCCTCGGAACCAGTAGGTGCCCAATTACATACATAAACTTGTTTCTCTTCGACATTGACATCATACAGTCAAAAATTGTGATTTAAGGTGTTGTCATGCAAAAAATAAATAACAGAACAGACTGAAAACACTTTTATGTGTGCTTATTCATTAAAAAATAAGCCTCTGTATTAATGTCAAAGCGCTACAATTTAAGTACACACAAATTTGAAAAATTTTTTGCTGTGATTTGTTCGAAATCGGCACGGATCCCAACTTTGAACCTCTGTAACATAAAAAGTATATACTAGAATATTATAGCGACAATTTGGCTTTATCAAGTACATCTAGATCTTTAATTAGTGCAATTTTCATAGACCTATCTTGTATAGTTACTGAGATATTGGCTTCGGTCACTTTTTTGCGGTTTTTAAAAAAAGCCGTTTTTTAGCGCCTCTGGTTTGCCTTCTTTAAAACGCTATAACTTTTTTAATTTTCAATATTTTTTCGAAATTTTTTCAGATTATTCATTCTAGATAGTTCACAATTGCAGTATCGTTGTCATTTTTGAGTCAATGGTTGTATCTGAAAACCCGTTGGCAATGCTAATAATACTGGATTTTTTACTTACTGTAGATTTGAAACTATTCCCGGGAAGAAATGGCAGGGCCATGATGAATGATTATTCCTGTCAGCTTGAACAAAATTTAATGAAATGCTGACTTCTCTGCATTAATGAAGCCTCACCAGGTTGTGTACAGTGTTTGGGATCAGTGTGTGTATACGTTGCCAAGGAAGCGACCCCGTTACTGCTCCAGTGGTAACTAGGGCTGTGTTTTCTTGTAAATTCATATCTGGATGCAATGTAAGGCATTTAAAATGCAGGAATTAAAATAAATATTTTCAAAAGAGATAAACAATAGCTTTTTAATTACGAATAATTGGATAATTGTTATAAAAACAATTTTACAGTTAACCGGAAATGGCCTAATGGGAGGGTAGATAACTCTCGCGGTTAGATATCCGATTTCAGTGGAAATTACAGCTACAGGTGTAAACGTCGGCTGCTAATACCAAATGCAGACACGCACAGGTAAACGATAGGCTTCTGTGTATACACCACGACACATTAGACTATCGTCAAATTAGTTACACTATAAGACTGGGAAATTTAAATGCTAACAACGTTATTGTTTCTTTTAGGATTGACTGATGATGAAAAAATAAAAATGAGGTTCCTGAAGAAATATTAGAATCGATTTAAATTTAACAGTTTCAGTTTACATTTATTTAGACAGCACAGACTCAGGTGAGAATAATTTTTGTGAATTTTTGTTTTAATTAAAATAGCAAATTTTTTTAAAAATAATTCTTTTCGAAAAATAAGTACACACATACGGTATAGGCCCTACTGATAAAAATATAAAAATTAATTTTATACGTACAGTAACTAGGCAACAGCAGTAGGCGTATAAATTTTACATTCTTTCAAATTCCTTTTATTTTCAACAGTGGTCCACAAAACTATAAGCTTACAAGTCTAATTAAACATATATTATTACGGGAAATTTTATCTGCTGCATATGTTTTCAAAACTTGCAGCAAATTTTTAAGACAAAGGTTAATAATTTGGACTTGCATGAACACTCTTTTAAAATATCAAACTGGCATGGAATCGATACTAAAACTAATTATCACCTCATCAATTATTTAAAAAATGTTTATACCCAATTGTGTGCTCTTTAAATAGTCAATGTAGTGTCTGTCAGAGACCTTTTCTAAGATGAATAAAATACAAAATTTTATAAATACAGATTGTTTGATTTTAGAGAACAAGGAAAATGTGAACCACATGCATACATAGGCGTACGAGCTGGGGGGGGCTGGGGGGGGCGGCTGCCCCCCAATTTTGGGCACCAAATGCTGGGAAAATTTGGGCACACAATTGTACTTTGTAAAAGTTGTATAAAAAAAATATTGTTCTTGAATGTGTCCAATTTAACAGCGAATTTATTATTATTATGTAACATACTAAGAACCTAACTACATTTTTGGGCACCAACCACCACCGCCCCCCCCCCCCAGTCAAAAATTTCCCCGTACGCCTATGCATGCATACCCATCAGCTACATAAGTATGTACATTTAGATGTGTGCGGACTGAAATTTGGAAATAATGGCAATTTTCTGTGATATGTTTAATTATTACACTGCACAGTCACAGTGCAGTATAGGCTAATAACTGTTGTCATACTTTTATTAGGAAGTAAGCTTATTCAATAGACCAGTACAAGATGTCAAAATTGCATAGTTATGAAGTAAAGCTGTTAATAATATGATTATTTGTCTTCTAGTTAATATACGGCATATTCATATAGCCAGTCAGGGGTGAATCAAGACACTATTTTGCAAGTCCCAGAAAAGAGAAAATCAATTGCTGGTTTAATTGAGGTTGATGATTTGCCTTCCTTTGAAGTCTTTTTTTGCACATTGAGTTCTAGATTCTTGCAAATCCTCAACTTGAAGACAAAAACATTAACATGTATCTGGACTTAATTCCCCCAGGTTTTTGTTTGAAAATTAAATATTTGAACTGTAGATACCGTACTGTATTCAATCTCTGCATTTAATGAGGTTGTGAAATTTCACTACATATGGGAAAACCAAACTGAAATTTGATTGTGTTCCCGAACCAAACATGAATGGAATTCTTCAATCATGTCACAATTCTCCCTCTAAATCAACATATCATAGGGATACTGTTGGTGTAGTATTACCATGGTTACAGTGTAATATCCCTTATCAACTGGTTGACAGTCTAACTCAACATAACTTGACACAATCATTTCATTCATTCAACCCTTTCAGGTCAAATTGTTATACTAGAAAAAAAAAAGCACTATGCATTGATCAATCTCTCAGTCGACTGCTAAATAAAAAAAATATTTCCTTAATGGGTCATTCACATGAATCATAAAATATTATTTGTGACAAAAATCATTTCTCATCTTATTCTTATTTGATGTCTTATGTTTCAAGGTTATGCACCAAATGGTGTTTAAGGATGGATGGACCCCGGTAAAAGTTTAAAAGGGCTAATTAGTAATATATGTTAATAAAATGATCTAACTCTCAGTTAAACATATAAGTAAAATTCAAATATTAAAGGAAAAACACTAAAAATTAAATTTTTGGCTAGTACTTTCATTATTATCAAACGAATTGTCAGGCTATTTTAATAATAACGATGAAAGTACAATGTACTAGCCAAAAATTTAATTTTTAGTGTTTTTTCTCTAATATTTGAATGTATATATTATATTTATCTTGATTATGGACAAATCAAGGCTGGTAGAATTTATATTGTAAGAGGCTTAGATGATATAGGTTAGATGAGTTTATCAGGAATCAAACTATTTACATCCAGAATATATTTGGTTTGAGTGAGAGAGAAACGGGACTAAATGACCACCCGACACTAGGTCATTTCGAAACTAACACATGGTTCAATTCTACTTCAATAATTCGCTTGCAGTGCAGTAGGAGGAAACCAGAGGATACGGAGAAGACCCATGAGGTTGGACAGACGACACAACTTTTTGACATGTACAAGTGGGGAATCAAAATCCTGCCACTTCCCTCAATGACAGACCTTATGATTTCATGCGCACGCATTAAATCACTAGACCACCCTAAACCCCATTTGGTTTGAATCCCAGCATGGGCTTTGAATAACCGTCTAACATTTACAATATAGATCCGGTTGGGCAAATAATTGATGTAATGACTAGCAACATAAGTATTTGGATCTCACATCCTTGAGATGGTTGCACTCAATCAAAATGTGCTTAACTGTCAAACAGTGTTTACATTCTGGTTGAGGCTCTTACTTTGACAGTGTCAAAAATATCATAGACATTGGCCGGAGGCCCCGTAGATCTTGAGGCTGTAAGACTTAAGCCTGCCAAGCCTATATATAAATCTGGCACTACCACCATACAGGAAAAATGACACATTATAGTTAAAAAAGAGTAATGTGTTGAGATTGGATCTCTAGAGTTTTGAAGTAATTCATCATCTTATTCTACTTTATTGAAGTTTCACTGTTTTAGTTCACATAAAAATATAAGGAAGAGGTAATTATTCGTAACCACAGTATTTAGGGTTAGGGCAAATTTTAATTGGGCTTCTCTGTATAATAAACGTAATGAAAACTAGAACTGCGAAGCAGTAATGATGGGTTTCACCGGTGCCACGTTACCCTAAACATAAGTCACTTCCGGTACCAATGAAACCATTAAACAGGTTTCCAGATAAGCATTGCACACATCAAATAAATTGGACGCCGAATCAACCAAATCAAGCAATATCAATTCATTTTATACATCTGTTACATTTAAGTGTACAGTACTTCCGGTGATAATGAAAATGTTCAATTAGTTTTATGAAATCAGAAATGGCATAAGGCATCACATGGTGAAAATTTTATGTAAATCAAATAATAATTGCCACTTTTATAGACCAAAAACCTTGAAAATTGACTTGTAGAAAACCGTCTATTTCTCTGCAACCGTACAAGTTAGAAACTATTTTCTGGTATCTGTATGGTCGTATGGGTTCAATCTATTTGTTGATTGGAATCAAATATCATAATTTTAAAAACATTACAAATCAGACTCATTTGAAGAAAATATCTGTTTTGAAGGCTAAAAATACAGTTTTTGCCAAAATGACGTTACTTCCGGTGATAATGAAAATCTTAAATTCCTTGTATGAAATCGTAAATGGCATTAGGTATCACACAGTGAAAATTTTATGAAAATCGAATAATAATTGACACTTTTATGGACCAAAAACCTTGAAAAGTGACCTGTTGAAAATCGCCTATTTCTCCTCAACTGAACAAGTTAGAAACCATTTTATGATATCTATATGATCCCATGGGTTCATTCTATTAGTTGATTGGAATCAAATATCCAAATTTTAAACAAATAACAAATACGACTCATCTGAATAAATTATTTGTTTCGAAAGCTATAAATATAGTTTTTGCCCAAATTACGTCATTTCCGATGATATTGAAAATATTAATTTAGTTGACCTTGTCACAATTGACATTACGCATTAAATGGCATTACTTTTATGATAATCCAATAATAATTGACTCTTTTACAAGCAAAATAGCATAAAAAGTGACACTTGCAAAATTGATAATTTCTCGGCAACTGCTCATATTACAAACTAATTTTGAGATAGATTGTCTTCGTATGAATTAATGCTACAAGTTTATGAAAGTCACAAAGAAATATTTTAAAATATGAAACGCCTGAATGGGTTGTAAATAGTTCAATTTTACACCATTTTTCACCTTTAAATCGAAATGGCGCAAAAATGAAATCGAAATTAAAAAAACTGCTTCCGACTGTTTTTGCGCCTTTACATGGCGCAACTTCTTGCTTTTTACTTATTTTAAAAAAATAATATTTGCTTTCGAAAAGACGTTCCTAACCGCCAAAATTATAGTTTTGGTCAAAATTACGTCATTTCCGCTGCTGACAGAAATCTTTATCGGTAATAAAAAAGTTGAGACTTTGCACCATTGAGCATATGAACTTTGTTTTATACAAATCGAGCAATAAATAATTAACCTAGAACCCATAAACTGAATTAGGCAAGGTGAATTATCGATACAAAATTTTTTCATATTTTTGCTCAAATCACATGACCCTTTAATTATAGGTAAAGCACCATAAAAAAATATTCATAAATAAAAAAGTTTTTTTTCAAAATTTGGCGCCTAATATCTTCGAAGATTAATCGAAAATCAAAAATCTAAACAATCGTAGCTATTTGCCGTGTCACAGGCTATGTCAAAATGTATCAATGTTAAAATCCGACAATTATTGTTAATATTACGGCAATATTTCAAAAAACGACAACTTCGGTGATTTTGAACATTTCGCATTGTCACAGAAAGTTCGAAATAGCTTTAATCTCTAAGTCACACGCACTTTCCCTGTAAAACCGAAGACATCGAGTTGATCCGACAAATAGTTTCTGAGATATGCTCAAGTGGAAAAAAAAAAATAATAATAAGAAGAAGAATAATAATCTTAACAAAAACAATAGTGTTTCACACTGGCTATGCAGTGTGAAACCCTAATGAAATAGAATGGGGTTTAATGAAGATGGGCATATGCCTTACAGTGTGCTATACGGGAAATTTTGCCCTGACAGCGGCGTTACAGCCTACTCAGCTGCCAAGCGATCTTTTATGTGCACGTCAATGTGTGCACGGGACCTCAGTTTTTATCCCATCAAAACGACAAGACAGCGCTCCTTGTCAGGCCCTCAATAATAAACAAAACACAATTAGGGTTAGCTCAGTTTAGTTTAATACCAGTAATTGTCTTTCTTTAAAATTCTTTGTCAGTCCTCCACAGTCCACGTGTATTACCTAATTCATAAAAAAAAGTATTTACAACGTAATCTTTATTGGTAAACATTGTGATTCTGAATAGCCTCGTTCTAAATTTGAATCAAGTCTAATCCTCAAAGTCAATATATTTTTCTGGTGTTATAGTAAATTAAAAGTGAACACTATGGTCGTATTGGTCAAACATTATCCAGTACCATTTATGATTGTTATAGTCTGGAGGCTCAGCGCGGGGGGGTGTCCACCGAATGGGCACAAAACCAGACCCAACTTTTCTAGAGTAAAATTTTGCGTAGAATACGATGCTGAGTGGTAATCAGTCCGCCGTTGGGGCGTTTTCGAGATATTCGGGGTCAAAGGTCAAATGGGTTCATTTGCACTGAAAGTGCGCAGTCTTTCATGTATCATGAATATAAGCTGAAAATGATCGAAAGTAATCACACTTTCAATAAAAATGTAAACTTGCTAAATTCACCTTTGTTCTTTGTGACCACAGAGGTCAAAAGGTCAGATTTTCCATTTTAGCACTAGGAAGATTTAAAATAATAGATGTCAGCGTAAAATATAAAAACTAAAGCGAAACCTGTTCTAATTAATAATAGTATCATTTAAAATTTATCTTTAGGTGGTCTTAGCACTGAACTTTTACTTTGGAACGTCGAAAATGATCTTGCATAACAGAACCAAAACGCTTCGGGACCTGTTTCAAAAATACGTAAAAACTGTTAAATCAAAATCTCCCCGAATTAGTTTTACAATGAATGCTATACATAATGATACTAGTTGTCTGAAAAAAAACAATTGAATAGTTTCATAGCTGGACTCCAGCCTGCAGGCCGCGTCGCAAAGCCTACCAAAATTTTCCCCGCTAACATTCACCAATACGACATATACATCCTGTGAACTACTATGTACAAGACATATACATCCTGTGAACTACTATGTACAATGCATCCGTCGGTTTTATCTGCGTCCATGTTCGGGCAAAATTCATTAAAACTCATAACAAATTTGCAAACTTTTAATCTCGTCGTCAGATACTTGTTTTCCCGTCACAGATTAACGTCAGTTTTCCTAGACTGGGATTCTCAGAAATCCACGCGGCCTGCAGGCTGGAGTCCAACACTGAAACTATTCAATTGTTTTTCAGATAACTAGTATCTTTATGTATAATAATCGCTGTGAAAATAAATCGGAGAGATTTCGATTTGATAGTTTTTATGTATTTTTGAAACAGGTTTTAAAGTGTGTTGGTTCTGTTAAGCAAGATCATTTTCGACGTTCCAAAGTAAGAGTTCGGTGCTAAGACACCCGAAAGAAAAATTTTAAATGTTTCTATTTTTAATTAGAACAGGTTTGGCTTTAGATTTTAGATTTTACGTTGACATTTTATTGCTTTAAATCTTCCTAGTGCAAAAATGGTAAATTTCACCTTTTGACCTCCAGCAAGTTTACATTTTTATTGAAAGTGTGATTACTTTCGATCATTTTCAGGTTCTTTTCATAATACAAGAATGACTGCGCATTCACTTTCAGTGCAAATGAACTCATTTGACCTTTGACCCTGAATATCTCGAAAACGCCCTAACGGCGGACTGATTACCACTCGGCATCGTATTTTACGCAAAATTTTACTCTAGAAAAGTTGGGTCTGGTTTTGTGCCCATTTGGTGGACACCCCCCCGCTCTGAGCCTCCGGTCTATTAATAACATTTATGGTTGTGTACATGATAAATGAGCCTACACCACATTTCTGGATTCATTAGAAAAAAATTATCGAGCTACTTCCTATAACCTGTGCAGTACTTTTGGAAATAAAAACAGGTCATGCCACCCATTTTTCAAGGATGCAGAATATCTGAGAACCAGAATATTTTTCGGGTGTTAGACTATAACTTATAGAAAGTCACAAGTGAACACTATGGCTGTGTGTTTGTGACAGTACCGTATTTGTCAAACACTGACTATAGAGCTAATATAAACAACAGTTAACTGTTGACTAACAAACAATCTTATAATGATGCCATTATTATAGTACAGGACACTACGACTGTCACCTGGGTAACCATATACTACCTATGGTAGCTGTAAATATTTACACCTGGTCAGTTCGGTTTTGGTGATTATTTCTCATCAGTTTAGACGGTTTTGTTTTTACTCAAAATTCAGGCCATTATATCAATGCTATTTATATATATATAAAGGTAAAATTATTGCTATTTCATTTAGCCGATTTATTTGTTTTACTCAAAATTGAAAACTTGTGGCCATTATAATGTCATATAATATTTAATACGTGTACATAAAGGTAAGATTATTGCTATTTTATTTAAAATAGTTAAATTTCGGGTTAAATAAACAAAAATGAATTTTAAGTTTCACATATTATCTTGAGAGTCATAAAATATGCAACCATAACAGAATAAGCAGAGAAAAATGTTAAAAAAACATTTGTGTAAATTGTTTTATATTGGACTTAATTTGTTTTCTTTTGGTGGGAGAGTTGGGGTATTTGGATCAGGAGAGATTGATAAAAAATAATTTCTTTATGAAGCTGATTAACAAGTCATCGTACTTTTATTTTAAATGGAAGGACCTTTTCCAATCTGGTTAAAACACAGATCCTATTTCATTTCTTTTTTTATATAGTTCAAAATTCTGTTTTACTTGTCTTCACTACACTAGGATCTGGAAGAGTTGTTAAATAACCCGCATTCTGGTTGATGTGAGGGATTAGCCAATCAAATGGTCTTTTGCTTTGAGTTCTTATCATGTGGTGTGTGGAACTGTGGGTAGACATTTACAGTGATAGAACACAAAACTAAGCAAAAGATGTATATCTGAATAGCCTGTTCGAACATTGATAGCGATTGGTTAATCTAATAACTGACGTTATAGGGTTAAAAGTCTCTCGTATGATCCCTGCTCTGACGCAACCTCCTCCTACAACCGGTCAGATCTTTATGTAGTGGAGGCCATCGAAAGTATAAAAAAACGAAACGAAATATAGATCTGTATTTTAATCAGATTGGACTTATTTCATACATTCTGAAATAGTAATAAATTTTTATAAATTGAATTTTTTGTCTTTTCAGAATACTTATCCCCTGATGAGTTCCACTAGATCAGAGACAGGAAGCGAGGAAGTCAGTCTATATGGCTCCGAGCCTGATAATGATGAAATAGAGGAACCTAAACTTGTAGTGCGAATAAATTCTAATAATAAGGTCCATGAATTATGCCGTATATATTATCCAGTATTGGAACTCATAGAAGCAAACCGAAACATCTTAGATATTGTGCCGGAATTCCCCACGGACAACAGTGTTGGAGAACCGGAACAGACCGTTCCAAAAGACAATAATCATTATCAAACTTCTTTAGCTGTCGTTATTTTCTTGTATGAAGAGGGAATGCTGGGATGTGAAAGAATTCAAGGAGCGCGAGGACAGTTTGAAAATCCCCCCTGGTCATTTCATCATTCAGAAGAAATGAAAAGGAAAACGATCCACCCTTATCCGTACAATTCCCAAGAATTTTATTATACCAGTGACGATTTACCTCTGTGGGCCGTGCGACAAGTGCATTATGGTAACGAACATTTAAGGATTATGTTGTTCGTGAGTGACGTCAACTGGTACGATATGTTGGGATTTTATAAGGTGATTCTGGGATTGGAACCCGAGGTTCAGCACCAGGAGTTCTGTTTGTATACCCTGAGTTCCCCTCAAGTACGTTATGATGTACAGTTTGCTCTAAAACGAATAACTGGTACAATCAAACCAAAACATTTAAACAGAGTTCAGCTTGTTTTTAGCGTTTCCGACATCGGTCAGATGGTGCCATTGTTTCCACATGCTTGCCAGCCAGTATCAGATAAAGAATGGACAACAGTTGACCATGATGGGAATAAAGTAGTTCTCAATATCAAATCTTATCCCACTCCTGACACCAGTAAACAGACTCCATTTATACGGAACGGACCCAGGACAAAAACCTTGAATCAGAATGGATTCTCAATTTAAATTTTATTTATACCTCATTTTAGTAGCATAGTCCTACAATTGATATATTTATATTAATACTACCAATTAATATCTGTATTCTACAGTGAATGATCTTATTGTATTCTACAGTCAATGATCTTATTCTACAGTCAATGATCTTATTGTATTCTACAGTCAATGATCATATTGTATTCTACAGTCAATGCTCTTATTGTATTCTACAGTCAATGATCTCATTGTATTCTACATTCAATGATCTTATTACTGTCATATTGAAAGTTTTATTCTTCATTCTTACGTAATTCTTAAGATCTCAAATGAAATATGTGCATGTAACATTCTTACAATAGCTAATTACCAGTAAATTGTCTTATTAGTATTATTTTATTCTTTTTTGTTACATAAATAAGAAGAGAGGCTAGTCCCCTTTCGGGTCTTACTACCTTTAATTTAAAGATCTCAAATGAAATTTGAGCATGTAGCATTGTTAGAATATGTAATTACATGTACACATGAGTGATTCAGTGATCTTCCGCCATTTGCCCTAGTGGTGCCATTATAATCAGCCATAAACTATAACCTATGAACTTGATTAATGTATCAATTTTGACTGCACTGCCGTATGACATTTGATAGATCTGTCTCAAATCCAGGATTTTTCATTCCAGTAATATTTTATTATTTATTATTTCATATGTTATTTTTGTTAAATTTATGTTTTATTATTATTTATATTCTAGTTATTTCATTTTCTACATCGTTTATATTATAATGTTTATTATATTTAGTTGTTATTAAAGATACATTATGTAAGAGCTAAATCTGCCTAATGCAGGTCTTTTTTTCTGGCATTAAATGGTTATTATTTTGCCATTTATTCACATAGCCAGCCCATAATCGACTCTCTAGACTATGGGATGGCTTAGATACATGTATGGAGTGAATTAGACAATACAGACGACATTCACAGAGACTGCCGATTGAACATCAAGACTTTGTTTATTATCGTGACAATGGTACTTCACAATCAAAACTAGTTAGACTCTTTCTTGCCAAAATATCAAATATTTACAACTTCGCTCGGTATAAAGTAATTTTACTGAAATACTTAATATATATTCATTTTGACTTGATACAGGCTCAAGGTCCCAAGACTTATTCCCACCTCTGAATTATTTGTCAATTTAAATCAACATTGATGTGATGGATTTACCGGGAAAAGATGGGCTTCTGATATCCAATATATGAGACCAAATAAACATTTTGCCATTGGTACACGAATCATGTAAGATAATGCATTTCAGTGCCATTTGTAACAAGGTACTCAAGAACGATGACGATATATTCTGAAGAGCTTGCACAATAAAAACTGTCGTTGTAGACTGGAATAACCAGACGCTATAGATTGCCATTCGATTGAGACTTCTGGTATATTTCGCAGAACATAACTGATTTGAAATTAGAGTAAAAACGGAAACAATTGATGTAAATCAGTTTACATTCTCATATTACATTATTATATGCATTGCGACCCATTTGAGTCAATTTCTAGGTCCCAAATATTAGCAATTTAGCTCCTTTAAGTCGGCTAGCTTATAGAGTAAGTTTATCTTCATCTGTAGTTTTTCTAGTCAAAGTAAAATAAATGTATTTACATCCACTGTCTTTCTAGTTTACTTTTCTACATCAACCGAACTAATGAAGACTGACATGCCGTACAGTGTGCTCATTCTGCACATAGAGATCCATCTACATGTACTTCATCCCTCGAGAATAGATCTCTGTCCTCAATCGCAAAAATTGGTATGCTGTCATACACAGAAAGACTAAATAGACTAAATGGAAGCAGAATAAATACTCAACAAAATTCTCGAAGTTTACTTAGTGTTTTCGACTTCGATTTAGGACTTAAAATGTCGGTCAACTAGCTTAGTGTCTGTTCTCAATCGTAACTAACTGTAGACCACACTGATCAGCAGTGAATTTTCGCTAGGCCGCTACAATCACTGATAAGGATGACATCGATGCGACTTTATGGGCCAGAAATATTAACTTTTTTTCTGCGACAAATTAAATTCTAAAACATTTTTTATTATGTATTGGAAAAATAAATAAAGGCGTTTGACGTATTTGTAGGTAAAAATTATTTCCTATTTAGTGTAAATGGGTTTTAAAATGACTAAAAGGCAGCATTCCGCCCGAGGCAGTAACGTCTTATGTAAACAATGCCATTCAGCCAATGATTGACGCCGCATGCTGTGACGGCACATGTTAAGGTAGTCATCTTTGACAGAGATATTACTAGACTTGTAATTCTCTGTGTTTAGTATGAGAGTGTGCTAGGAGAGACCGTAGCCTATTCTTATTTTGAATTCTGACTGTGAAGGATTTTTTTTACATGCATGCCAATATGTACATGGTACCTTTGTATTATGTACCATCTAAATGACGAGACAGTTGTCCTAGTTAGGCCCTCCATCCTGCAACAGGAGAAACCATGCTGGAAAATTCTGATGAGCTTTACCTGCCAACACTGGGATTGAACAGGTTTAGCGAGCCGACGGTTTAGAGCTAATGAAGTCGGACATACGCCATGCAGTGTTAGCAGGGACATTTTGCCCTGACAGTGACATTTCAGTGACCTACTCTTTGAATTCCAACTGCCAAGGGTTGTTTCACATGCACGCCAATGCGTACACAGGACCTTGATTTTCCGACCCATCCGAACAACTATACAGCTGTCCTGCACTACTAACATTGGGCATGTCCAGAGGAACTGTCTCCGTGAGTCTGAGACTTCCAGGGTAGCTAGTCAGCATCTTACTCACTGTGTGACTGCATCTCTACGATTTACCAAGAACAGTTGTGTGTGGTTAAGGTACAAGACTAACATATGGTTACTTTGTTCTATGCTAGGAAGGAGAATTTTGCCTTGGCAGCCGCATATCCTCTTGACAGACCTCTTATGATACAATGTGCATGCACTAACCTATCGGCCAGCCACCCCTAACCTCCAATTTAAAGCAGTACAATAAACATAAATTTAATTTTCAGGACGTTTATTAATTTTGATATTTTACAATATATGTCGTTCAGAGAGAGAAATCTAATCTAATAACCTGTAAACATATATATACATACATACTCTATTATCATATTATACATGTAAACACTGTAGTCCACTAAGTGAAATTTTTCTCACGATAATCACCAAAACTTATTCTGGAATGTGTTTTTTAAACATATTCCAGACAAAATGTCCGGCACAAATCAATAACAATTTATTAACTTTATTAATATGAATAAAAACCAAGATTAGGGGATTTGTGTTTCAATTTGAGCTTAATTATTACTTGAAAATAGATCTAACAAGAGAAATGTTACCACACACGCACATTAAATGGATTAAATATGAAACAATTAATAGCTAAATGTCATGATTGTATCACATTAATATTCAGGGGTGGACTGGGCAGCAGGTATTAATATTCAGGGGTGGACTGGGCAGCAGGTTTCCTTGGGCCCCCTATCCCAGTGTAGAATATGTGACATGATGAGAAAATGAAACTAGCTTGATTAGCTTTTTCTACACCTCATGTATTGATCATTTTTTTCCTCGGTTCTGTTCATTTGAATTTTCCTTTTTCAAATCTGAACTGATGGGCCCCTTACTCCTCTGGATGCGAAGATAAATTTGATTTATTTGGAATTTTTGAATTTTTTTAAAATCGAGGCCCCCTTCTGGGTCTTCGAACTGCATCTGAATCCCAGTCCACCCCTATTTAGATTTACAATACATAACACACATATATAATATACATAATTTATTACAATCACAGCCATAGAGTAACTTTAATTACCTATATAATGACTATATAAAGGGGACAGCCTCACAATATCACTTACATGTTAGTCTGATGAGTTCACATAAGAACGAATCTAGTAGCTTCATGAGAGAAATCTGGGACGGCTACATGCCCTTTATAGATTTCCAAGGTTACCTATATATAGATATAAAAACATACTTTTATCATATATTCACCATCTTCACATCAAGGTATTACAAACATCATCTGATAATTCTTGATACCTTGACTATGGTTGGTGAAGATGATTTTTATCCTACATATATCAATACAACAAATAAACACAACCTTTAAAGTCTCTGAACCTCATTTGAAGGATTGAGGCATCCCTTGTAAACTACTACATCCCTTGTAAATTACCACATCAGTTGCAAATTACCACATCACTTGCAAACTACCACATCCCTTGTAAACTAACACATCCCTTGCAAATTACAACATCAACCCAAAAATAGTTCAAATTCAATTCAGTATTTACAAAGATATGATGAATTAAAAATATGGCAATATTCAGCATCCTCTACAGATGATATAAATGGGATATAGTCAAAAACCAGCATCATGTGTAATCTTCGCTTCAATCTTTTGATGGGCCTCTTTTAAAACCGATTGAATCCAAGCCGGGAGTTTAGATACCTTTGATATTTGAATTTAGTTTTCTTAATTAAATGTAAAATTATCAATTCAAGTAAATTTAAGCGTGGATTAAGCCATGGAATATATGACATCTTCCGAAAAATACCAATGACGATCAGAGACTTTAATGATATACATCTGGCAGGTTCTCCAAAATATACATAAAATTATTAATTGCGATTATAAATTGTTCGAGCATATACAAATACTTGGCAATTACTATATTCTAATGAAGAAACAGCATGGTGTTGTACTCTAGAGATACGAATTCAAATTAACATAAAAATTTTAATTGCTGTTACTATATTCTAATGAATAAACGGCTAGAGATTTAAATTCAAACTTTTATCCTATTTACATATTAAAATGCGGTCACAAATTGTTTGTTCATAAATACGATATCTTCAAATTTGTTTTTCTCACATACACAATTTTGCTCCGAGGCCTCATTCATGAAAATTTAAACTAAAACATTTTTAATATTTCTGTCATTTCATTGGTCAAGAGCTAAAATTTGTTTAGCGATTTTAAACCTAAACCAATGAAATGACTGCACCCTTAAAATATTTCATGAATAAGGTCCTTGGACTTGGTGTCCAGAAGTTTCTTTTATACTCTGTTGAATATTTACTCAAATTTCAACTGGTTTTTATTAAGATTTTCTCAGAAATTAATACACAAAATATTGAATACCCTTCTCTTCCTTTTGACATATTTATCATAACTGATCAAAATAACAGCATAGCAAGGGTTACAAAATTTGAGTAAAATTCACAAAACTTTCCTGGCTTCAAGATCTCGGGCCTGTTTCACTAAATAGCATAAATATAAAAATCATACTTTTTGATTACTTACAAAGCTTAGTAAAACAGACCCGAGACCTAATAGAATTTAATATTCAAAGAGCTAAATTAAATTAGGTTTCATTTTAATTCTATTAAATTTAATCTTTCTTCAATCTTTGACTAGTCATTCTGTAGATGATACTATCTCGGCCTGGATCAATAAACCACATTCCATAAATGATGATGTATACAGCTATCGCTAAAATCACCATAGTCCATAATACAATATTAAACATGGCTGGGAAATTCTCGTCGTAATCATCAGCTAAGTTTAGCTTTAGACCTCCCGTCTGAAAATACATCAAAGCAAAATAGATGTAAGAGGGTAAAACCTCGAACTCAATATTGAAAATATTCCATAATGTTCAAAATTAAAAACATGAATTAGAAATCAATATTGGTCCATTTCAATCAATATTGACGTTATCTTATCCAGTTTATACTATGAAAACAACCTCTACACACACAAACTAGGTAATTTGAGGTCTTATATATGGTACAATTTAATTTCAATAATTTGTTTGCACATAGGGGTCTTTAGCAGTCAGAGGAAACCAAAGGACCTGGAAAAAACCAACGAGGTTCAACAGGCAATCCTACTCCTTGCCACGTTCAATGTGGTAATTGAAACCACACCACTTGACACAATGACAGGCCTTATGATCAAACGCACACTTGTTAAACCATTCAGGCCCCCCCCCATCCCCTACAAATGGTGTATAAGCTGCAACAATAAATCCCTAATATAGACACTAGGAGCTGGATTGGCTCCTATACAGTCATGTACTTACAAACTGAAATGATAGGGGGTTTAACGTCCTGTTTTTCTGTAATGAAGACAGGCATATGTCACGCAGTCTGCTATGAGGGGAATTTTTCCTGTACAGCAGCATTTCTGCCTACTTTTCATTGAATAGTGTCTGACAAGGGATCTTTTACACGCATGGCACTGTTTTCAGTCCCATCCAAATGATGAGATGCTGTTCCGTTCTGTCCCACTGACAGTGTGAAACCAGTCCCAATACTTACATTAAGCGCTTGAGTGGATTCTACAAATATAGTCTTATACTTACACTAGGTGCTTCGGTGGATGCTAATAAACTTCTAACTTTACGTATCTGACCTTTCTGAGGGGTCAAGGTCAATACTTCTACTACAACATTATCTTTGTATAATTTCTTAAATTCATCTGTGGCCTGAAAATACATTTTATATATCAAGAAATCGTTTATGAACGCAGAGAGAGAGAGAGAGAGAGAGAGAGATGACCTATAACATCCACTTGAGACAAAACTGGGTCATTTTGGTTAAATTTTCTTTCAATAATTCGCTTCCACCTAGGGTTCTTTAGTAGTGGGAGTAAACCAGAGGCCCCCACAAAAAATCTACAACCTGGTCACGAACAAGTGGGGAAACAATTGGTTCTACCAATTCTATTATAATTGACATGAAAACTGACATGCTTGTTCCTTGTACAATTGTGCATTGATTGACAGACTTAACTGGGCATAACTGGACTTGAATGAATGCATGGACTTGAATGAATGCATGGACTTAAATGAATGCATGGACTTGAATGGGGTTTAACGCTACTTTTCTACATCAACTGGGCATAAAAATGAATCAGAGGTCAATGCACGACTACCATGACCTCTCTTTTTAAATTTGACTTCTTAAAGGCTGGATGCGTCACTTGCATTTTTCATTAAAATATCAAATTTCTCCCGGCTTAATACTTGCTAAATATGTACTCAGATTTATTATTTTTAAATGTTTAATTAATCACAAAGCTACTTAATCTCCAGGCTTGGATTCATTTGGATTTAAACTAAGCCCATTAGGTTTCTCCTATACCATTAAAAGGTGGCACGAAATGTAACCTTTTTTTTGACTGATGTTCCTGTTTGATTCATCATTCACAATATTGTAGTTTGCAGGGGAATCCTATAGCGCTAAACACAGTTTATGTTTTCAGTTTAAGACATAAATATCAGCTATTAAATCTACTTACATGATGAATAAAATCAGTGACCATTTTATTTGCATCGTTTGTTTTATCGGAACTTGCTCCATGTTTCTCTGCTACTTTATGTAAACCTGTGATTGTGAAACTCAGTAGATCTGGACTTTTAGACTTGGTTGCCTTGTCATTACTTTTTAACTGTAAATATATGCATTGCTTAGAAAACAGACAGAGAGAGAGCGAGAGAAAAAGGGATTAATGTCATTTTAGCACAAGTCATTTTGAGAATAACTCAAAGATGGGTTTTAACATCCAATCAACATAAACTAGATAATTTCGAGACTAGCATATGGTTCAATTTTATTTCAATAACTTGTGCATAAGGTTATTAGCAGGAGAAAACAAGAGGATCAAGAGAAATCCCACAATGTGGGACAGGCGACCCTACTCCCTGTCACATACATGCTGGAAATTGAAATCACGCCACTTGATTCAATGACAGACCTTATGACCTAAGGCGTACATGTTAGACCATTCAGCCCCACAAAATCCACAGAACAAAAAGAAAGGGTTCAATATCATTTTATAAACAACAAGCATGGATCATTTTGAGACTAACACATGACCAACTTTCTTTACTATGGTCTGACAACACCAAACTTGGTCATTTTGAGACTAAAATATGATTCATTTATATTAGGCTGTCAAAATAATACTTGATCATTTTGGGACTGACATGTGGTTTATTTAATTTACTTTGATCTGTCAACATAATATGTGGATCATTTTGAGACTAACATATGATAGATATTAGATAATACGGTGTAATGTGAGCATTACAATTTCAAGTGACCAGTTTCGTCTGCCAGTGTTCATATTCCAACAGCTAAGGAATCTTTTACAAGCATTATCAATTTGTAACAAGACTTCCAAATACAGGTCTTACTATCAAACAAGAGAGAAGACAGTTTAACATCGAGTACTCAAAACAATTAGGTTATTTCTGGACTAACACAGTTAATCTTTATTTCAATAGCCTACTTGTTTGACAGACTTTTTATTTCTTTAAAGAAACTTGAAAATCCAGAGAAAATTCATGTGGTTGGGAATGCTAGTGGGAAGAATATGGAAGCCAAAATGAGAACTGTACTCACAGTATTAAGAACATCATCTATCATCTGAAGTTCTCCCATCAACATGGAATCGGCACCGATGCTGGAATTCAGTGATCCTGGGTTGATCTTCTGTATAATGGAATCAGAATCTAGTAGACGATCTTTCATCATACGTAACGAATTCGGTAATTTACGTAGAAATTGATTCTCTGTTTGTAGATCAAATAACTGAAAAACATAAAATAATGTTGATTGATTAATCAAATAGATTTATCCCTTAAAGATGCATTATGTAACATTTAGATAAAGAGCTGATTGTTCAAGCTTTAATAGTTTAAAAATAGATAATGCAAAAGGAAAACTTTGAATATTTCAGTCAAATTATTTATTTTGAGAAAAGTTATGAATATTTGGAGAATAGTGTAGTCTCCATTTTCATTGCAATCTGATGTTTTTTGTGTGGCCTTTAACACAATCATTGCAAATGTTTTGTGTATTATACTCACGTTAGTATCGGTAAACATGTCTAATGATAGAGGATCTTGATCTAAAAATGTCCTCTGTAAATTATTCCTCACATCCTCCATACTAATACCCAAAAAATCCTGAAATAAACAATTATTCAATAAATCAATAGCCTGCTCAACAAAAGTTCACAGCTTTAAAAAGGAGTTATCTCCCCTTAAATGCGATTTCATGAAAATTCGTGTTTGCTCCTAAAAATTGCTTCTGTTTTGCTGTATCCAGTTTCAACTCTCGATTGACGAAAGTTCACAACAGAGATTTTATTTTAAAGAGAGTTATCTCCCCTTAACTACAAATTCATGATTATTTTGCAGCCATTTCTTTTCTTTTATTTGCTTCTGTTTTACCATATTCAATTTCCGAGATTCTTACTGTTTCATTACCACACTGAAAATTTTGATGAGAAAATATAGATAAATATTTCAAATAACTTAAAAATTCTTTTACGGCAATTTGAACAACCAGATGCTGTTCCTTGCCAGACCCTCTGTCCTGCACTACAGACAAGTGGAAGTGTAAATTTGTATAATATTGTGCTTTATATAGATCAACTTACATCTAATACAGGAAAACTGGCTACATTATTTAATTTTACAGGTGAACTATGTTTATTATCTGTTACCAGAGTAATGAGAACATTAGCTTTAGGTTTTTTAAATATAGATGTATGAGAAATACCCTTCCATTCATTTCCCTGAAAACAGAAAAACAGGATAAATTTAGAAACAGTAGACAAAAATACATCATTCTAAAGAAAATTTTAGAATTCCAATACTGTGGTAATTCATATTTGATTTTATCGGGATTATATACATATAATTGTGATCTAAAGCGGATGTGTTAGACCACTCAACCAACCAACACCTCTAACTTTATACAAAAGTATATTTTTAAGTGAAGTCAGTTTGGGAAGCAACATAGTCATATTTTATCGCTGAGTCTCTCCTCATGTGAGATACATTTTTAATTTCTACATTCAATGATCATAAGACTAGCATAATAAACCTACTGTCTGTGTATTAAGAAACTTACTGTCTGTGTATTAAGAAACTTACTGACTGTGTATTGAGACCAGTATAATACACTTACTACTTGTGTATTAAGAACAGTATATAAACCTACTGTCTGTGTATTAAGAAACTTTCTGACTGTGTATTGAGACCAGTATAATACACTTACTACTTGTGTATTAAGAACAGTATATAAACCTACTGTCGGTGTATTGAGAAACCTACTGGCTGTGTATTGAGACCAGTATAATACACTTACTATCTGTGTATTAAGAACAGTATATAAACTTACTGTCTGTGTATTAAGACCAAGTGTGGAAGCTATAACATCAGGAACATCACTAGCTGGTAATTTACCATCTTGCTGATGGAATGAAATATATTTTGGTGCATGAGTGACGACTAACTGCTGGCACAAACATCCAGACAGAGCTGAAATAAAACAAAAAATAGCAATGTACATGTAGGGGATACTCACGATAAATTATTGATAATACAAGGTGCTAATCATAATATTTCATCATTCTTAATTTCTAAACCAGGCTATAAATAAAATGTCTAGTTTGCCACAACACAATGTGATGTGAGATTAATAAAAACGGGGTTTAAAAGTCCACTAAACATTAGAAAAAGAGGAAACCAGTAAGTCTGGAGTAAATCCACAAGGATAGACATGCGATCCCATTCCTTGGTTACAAGCCTTAGAGAAACCCCATGATCTGCTTAGATATGCCTGTAGGCCTTATACATGTACATTTAATCTACAGCAAGCATGGCAGATCATTCAATCACCAAACAATGTGCTGCAACATTGTGTTTTAAGAGCTAGAACATCATTTATGAAATGTTTTATGAAATCATGACATGACATTTAACTGATGAAAAAGCAACATTTCTTCTGATAGGCCTCTCATCGGCCAATTAGGCTACTGAATAGTGAAACCGATAATCGGACCATCACTAAAAATAAATTTAAAATGATCGCCTTCAAATTATAGTCTCATGATTTCGTTTCGTTTAAAGAATTCCGTTCGTAATATGCACCATGCCAGATTTCAACTTTCGCCAATGTAGGTCATTTCCTGTTTCACTGTGTTTTGTTGGTTGTAGGCAAAGATTTTTGTGAAATCTCTTAAAATAGACAGCAAAAAATATTTTTGGGAACATAGATGGATATGATATGTAAGTTTAATGTGTTAGCAGTACAGATAACTGAAATTTGTGAATTTTGCTGTCCGCTGAAAGAAGTAAACTAGTTATCAACTTTTGCGACATGTTTTTGACTGTTCGGATGTTATATGTTACGTCCTCAGAATATCAAAGAGTAACATCTAACTTGTTGGATTAAGAAATAGATACTGAACAGTTTAGTACGTAAAGAAATTGAATTGGTATGGATTTATTGGGTATTAATATAAAAATAAACGCAAAAGTACAATGTGATTCTAGGCCTAATAGTTAGTAATGTAATGTAAGTAATATCTTAATTAATTTCATAAATTAATTTTCAATTACATGTATATCTGACAAATGCCATGTCATGTATATTATTAAGAAATCCAATTTAATTAGATCTAAAATATAACCCTCTTTTTTTCTTTTTAATCACCCACACAACGTCCTTTCCTTTTTATTTTGAATGTCATTTCCAGTTGTTGATAACGATTTGACCAGTCATGAATCAAAACTATTTATTTATTCAGCCAGAATGATGGAAATCCATCGAGTTTGAGAGGCGAATCTTTAATGAATTGTAATAATTCATACGTTACCACGAATAATAATAATAACAGGCAATATTCCGGCATAACTGGATGTATAAAACAGAACCAAGTTGTGTTAAACTTACCCAATATCCCAACAAACACTTGCAACATTTTTACCGATTTTTCGTCGGTCGCCATCTTGAATAGACCATCGATCATGTGACTCTGATGGTGACAGCTCGTGCTATAGTCTTGATTATCACACAGTACATTCGTGCAAGAATAGTCGAATTTACCAAATAACCGTAGATCTATAGGCCTAGTTGGTTACTATTATTATTAACTTCAGTAAAGAAAGCAAAAAATAATTTTAGAAATAATAAATAAAGGCTAATTTTACTCATTTGACAGATAAAAAGATTGTTACTTTGATTTCCTCAAAACATAGAAAAATATAACAATTGGTGAGAAAGACATTTTGATGATTTTGCTATATTTTCCTTTTTGCGCTATTTAGTATTTCTTTAACTGTGTGCAGCGCATAATGTGTTAATTATTCATGAAATTCCGACTTTCAAGAGACGACTTGTCTTCTGTAAAACGTATTATAAAATATGACAGGAAAATTATCGTGAATAGTTGAAAGTACATTTGATTATAAATATGGCATAAAGACCTAAAAGTCAAATTTTACGCAATAGAACGAATTTATCGTTACTTTATTTTTTTAAAATTTTATTTTATACATATTAAATAGTCAAAACGATCGAGACTAAAGAGTATTTTATTCAAATAAAAAAAGTGGCCAGTGTAAAAACAAACACTGATCTAATTTACGAGTTTATCCGGGTTTCTCGAGGTATGTTGACTATAATCTTCATATATAGTTAAGTTACACGGATACACAGCTATTTTTCTTATAGATATACTGTCGACGCCAGACCTAAATGTATTATTAATATCAAATATTTTTAGGCCTACCATATATAGCTATTTTACAGTATGGTTTCCCTTTGTCACTGATGTATGATGAAGCGGAAGCCCTGGCAAGAAACAGCATCTAGTCGTTCGGGTGGAACGAAAACCTGATATTCTGTAGATATTCGGCCAAAATGATTTATTAACATCAAACATTTTTAGGCCTACTATATTATAGCTATTTTAGAGGCATGGTTTCCCTTTGTCACTGGAGCTGGGGGCTGGCAAGGAACAGCTTCTAGTCCTTCGGATGGAACGGAAAACCGATATACTGTCGACATTAGACCAAAATGAATTTTTAATATCAAATATTTGTGGGCCTACTATGTTATATCTATTTAAAAGTATGGTTTCCTTTTGTCACTGGTGTAGGACGGAGCGGGGGGCCTGACACGGAACAGCGTCTAGTCATTCCGATGGGACGAAAAACCGAGCCCGTGTGCAAAAGGGAGGGGGACCTTAATAGAACCCTTGGAATTCGAAATAGGAGTAGGCTCTAGGCAAAATTTCCTTCATAGCGTATGTCCGTTTTCATTATCTTAGTTGGAGTAGAAAAGTGAGACGTTAAACCCCATTTCGTTTCATTTATCACAGCGCACTGAGCAACAGTAAATATTCGTTAAGCCTCTAATATCACTGAAAGTGATGACATCGGTGTGGGTTAATTAGTTCACAATATCAACCCTTTTTCTTCCAAAAGGTGTTTGAAGTATAATATACGGATACAAATGTTTTCTATTTAGTGTAAATGGGAATATAAAATGAGTAAAAGGCACCATTTTGCCCGGACCAGTTCACATTATGCAAACATAGCACTAGCTATCGAGCCCATGATCGACGCCAAGTGGTGTGATCAGTCATCTTAAACAGAGCTATAAGAAGGCCTTCGCAATACCTTCGTGAAACAGATTGATATCACAGATACAGACAGGTCTTATTCCGATATATATTCATCAACATGAAAGATCGTGAATATCTATAATTTTTAACATATTTTCAGAAAAGCTAATGTCGATATATTCTATGGCGCAATGTCATTGATGAACCAATTAGCCCGGACGCACCGCGTTCCTTTGATACGGGAGGACCTGCCAAGGGACATATTCCTGAAGCAATGACCCGAGAAATCCCTCTCTGGCCATTGCTGGATTAGCTTCTGATACTTGAGCTTTTGAGGGAGTGTGTCTATTCTTCCCGTTCAATCAAATCTATCCCCAAGCACAGCGACACGACAGCCCTTCGTTTAATCTGGGGTCTTCCCGAAAACGTTGGACAATGATTTAAGGTATTAAGAATGAGTTCGCGAGAGAATCATGCAAAATTTAAAAAAAACCGGCACAAGCGGTGTCGGGCGATTTTGACCAAACCAAATTTTGGTCATTGGGTACCCCGTATACCCCACATGAAATATGAGGGTCACCAACATCGTAGTTACGGAGAACCAGCTATGGCCATTTTAGTGTTAAAAACCCGTCATTTTTTATAAAAAAATCCTTAAATTCAAATATTTCCCATAAATTGTCTATTGATTTTTTATTTTTTTAAATTATTTTTTATGAATGATCATGTCTACTACTTCAATATATATGACTATTAAATTTTTCCGACAACCATTTCAGGCTATGAGGAATTTATTTTGAGACGTAGTTTTTGCTATATGCTAAAATATATAAATTTCATGACGCTATATCTCACCCACTGCGGGGCGGAGGACAATTATATTTATAATGGAAGTTGATGACTACTAATACTAATATTTGGTTTTGACAAAATCACTGGCACGGATTTCTTTCATATTAAATTTGGTGGTCGAACTTGAAGAAAATGATTTTATTTTTGACATCATTTTTCCAATAAAATCATGCATTGCCTGGATTATTAGGCCTGATAATGCCCCATGCAACCGCCTACCAACACAATGTGTAGGGCCGGTACAGATGATTCGGGAGTTCCACGAGGATCAGTCCTTGGACCTGTCCTTTATGTAATGTATACTAAGAATTTGGGACAACTAATCGATAAGCGTGGTTTCTAGGACGACATTCTTATGCAGATGATACACAGCTGATCGCAAGTTATTCCTTTTCAAAAACTGTTTTATTCCCTAATTATTCTGACATCAAATTGTGTACACATGACATTAAAGATAGGATGACAAGAAATATGTTGAAATTAAATTTAATTGAATTAAGTAAATCAGAATGTATTTTATGTGGTCAAAATACACATCTGCAAAATACAAGTTCAAATGATGTGGTTGTACGAGATGTAATATTTGTACCATGAGACCCTGTGAAGAGGTTAGGTGTCCTCTCTTGGGGTCCAATTTG